CGGAGCGCCCAGCGATATGCCTTCGGAAGGGTGTATGCGATATCGCATCGGAGCAACGATCGTGGGGTGACATATGGGTTCCGACCAGAGATCGGCGGATGGCTGATGAGATGTGCCAAGATCTACGGGCAGAGATATCGTATCGGGCCCTACGTTGGCGGGACAAGGGATGGCGGGTCACAGAGACGGAGTGTTTATGGAGCGCACACAGCGAGTCGCCAGAGACGATGCACAATCAACAGACGAGGAAGCAAGGAGCAAAAGACGTGCAAGCAAGTGAGATGGAGAGGGGGGAGGGAGAGGGGGATAAGCCATATGGGCGGGCATCCTTGGCGCGGTGCCTTATGGCCACCATTATCCCGCGGGATATCCCATGCTCACGTGATCCCAGTTATACGGTTGCTCTCATGATAGTGGTACGTCCGCGCTTGCTATATAGTATCGAACGCATCTCACGCACAGCTTCTCATAGCTTGTTGTTTGCAGATGTGTATGTCCTAGGCTTCTCCACCTGCTTAAAAGGGGCGCACCAGCTGAGCTATTGATCGATTTCCATCTCTCTTGACCTCCCCTGCGCACAACTGATGATGTCTCTCATCGGCTTCACCTTTGGCTCATTCGGTGACATCGTCACTATAGCACAACTTCTGCAGGGCATCATCGCCGCTCTGAGTGAAAGCAGGGGCGCATCTTCTGAGTATCAAAACCTCATCTCCCAGCTACGCGCGTTTTCCGACGTTCTGCGTTCTGTTCACGACACTATCTTTGATCATAACAGTGGACACCCTCCGCTTTCTGCTCATACGGCGCGCTGTCTTCGCAAGGAACTCGATGGATGCCATTCACAGCTGCAGAGTGTTCAAAAGCGGATACATGGATATCAGAACAGCCTGCGAAAAGGCGGCTCGGCAAGTCGGATGCGGGATTCGTGGCGGAAGATTGGCTGGGGGCTGTTTACGAGTGGCGATATAGCGTATATGCGGAGTGAACTGACTGAGCGAATCGCACGTATCAATACCTTGATATCCATTTCCAACAGGTATTCTTCTTTCTCTCCCTTTGCTACTATCTTCGGCTGATTCTTTACCGATTGGATCCAGTCGAGCTCTTGGTAGCATGGGCACCGCAATGGTCGAGGTGTGCCGAGTCATGGATAGAAATATACCCGAACTCTTAGGCTATGCTTTCGCCGACCAAAGACCTGTCCGTTTTACCGACTTCTTAGGAAGAAATATCCTTGTTCCTTACGAGCTCTGCGAAACTCGGAGCGTGGGTATATATCCCTCCATGTTGAAGACGTGTTACTGATATGACATCGTCAGCGATTTGACGGGTTTCTGGAGTGTTACTTCCGAGATCGGCCAAGAATAAACTATATAACAAGACACTGTGGACTGTTTGTAGAGTTGGAGGCCGGAAGTACATTTTCTAGTTGGACGCACGACATTGTACCTGGGAGGCGATTGTTTATGCTTGCAATTGTTCCCCGTTTGGATGGCCCAATATGTCTCCTTTGTGGTGATTGCTCGAATTCCGTCGGCGCTGAAGAAAAGCTTTACGTATGGTCAGCAAATTTCTCATCTACTTTCTCCGCCTCAGTTCAACTGCTTATTTGTTTCCACAATAGTTCCTCCTGCCACAGGACCAATTGGATTAGCCAGAGCGTCCAATCCTTTTCTCAAAGTAGTTCTTTCACATTGCGAGCTTGTGGGATAATTCCTTTACACATCAGCTGCTCTCAACCGTGTTTAAATCCTGAACGCTGTAGATCTTGAGCACATCGGCCATACCTTCAATCGCATAGAGAACTCTTTCTCAATCGGCCAACATGAGGTCGTATACCTCCCATGCGACGATGCCGAAGACGATCCGGACGTCGTCGAAATTCGGGAGCAGTTCCGAAGGACCTGTGTTAGTCCGCTCTACGAGCATGTGAGTAGCTAGTATTTCACTGAGCATGCGATGAACCTAAGTTGAACCGCATGTCGTAGTATGGGAAGCTTTTGCCTAGAGATACATTGGTAGCGACAATGAGTAAGTGCTGTCACCTTTTTCTTCGACAGCGTCTTGAGAAACCCCTGCCCACGCAAGAGCTAAGCTGGCTGAGCATTGAAATCCTGTGCTCTGGTATGGCGGTGGGTCTATGGGGCTTAATCCGGCAATTCAAAGCGTTAGAAGCAGCAGTAAGTCTTCTCAAATATGCCATTATACTACCCATTAAGTAACTTATGATCCTCCGAAAGACCGGAAGAAAACGTTACCGTGCACTTGTCGCATGGATATGGATGGTAGTAAACACTACACAGTCTGAATGCAAAGCCCTCTGGAAGAGCATGGCGCTGGACTTCATCTATACATATCATCCAAGTTAGTGGTCATCTACTACACCGTACCGTCACCAAGTTCAATCAGTTGACATAATCATCTTCTCTAGAGCTTGGTGCGACATTGGGTCAGAATGTTACCATCGTTGACATCTTATTCGCTCTTGGTACCATGCCCGGCCCTGTTGAAGACCATTACTCAAGCATGTGTTTTCTCTGGACTGCGTACAACTACTACGATTCCACTGAGCACATCAAAATCACCAAGCACGACATGGGGCTGGCGATATGCCGTTTATATTTGAGAATCGGTCTAGTGTGTACCTCTCGTCTCGCGTCGAAAAACCGTCTGACATCTTGTACATTCACCAGCGGCAGAAGGCCATTGAAGCGTACCACGAAGCCCTGGACTGTCTCCCTAGCTACCGAGTAAAAAGAATATGTTGGGAGTCTGGGCTCTTTCCTGTAAAAGAGTGTTAAATGCCATGTATATTGTAACAGAGCGTGCTCGAGGGATCTATATTTTAAAGAGATATTCTACCCAACGAGAGCTACGCGCTGAGATAAATATGGCACGAGCTGCAACCTTTGTACGAATTATTATTGTGAATTAGACACTCTTTTTTACAGGCAACATATATTTTTCTTCAATTTATGAGGTTGATGAGCTATGGGCGAACTTATGTAGAACGAACTGAACAGGTTTGATACTCAGCATTAACGCTATAAGCCTCCAGTGCAGAAGTCTCGATCGAACGCGACTTATTACCTCTTACGCCACTTCCACACACTCGAAATCCGTCCCATTGAATCGACTCTTGAACGCCGGGAACCTACAATGCTCTCTCACCGATCCGTCTGCCGCAGTTCCGAATATACTCCCCGGTGCCACATCTCCTTCTACCCATTCCACCAACGCCAACAGCCCATTATGAGCTGAATCGTTCCTCGCGACGGCCAGCGAGGTCCCATCTTGTCCGAAATTAAAAGCCCCCGGTCCGCCTGTGCAGTGTTCCATACCAGGGACGAGGAAGAGGCGATAGAAATCGTCGAGGTTGGAAGGTGTGAGGGTGCTGGAGATGAGGTTACGGAGACGTTTGGATTGGCCTGAGGCGATGAGCTGTACATACGTAGAGAGCGAGATCAAGGAAGCGGAATGGCGTTAGTGAGACGAGCTGAGAATGCATTATGATGGGACACGTACGCCGTCGAATCGTCCATGGTAGGTTACGATCTTACCGCCAAGCGCACGATACTCGGAGAAGTTGCCGTCAAAGGTGGCAATACCGCCTGGATTGATAGTGTCTGCGAATACGAGGTCCTTGACTCCGAAGTCCGCGAAGCTAAAGTTGGTGTTATTGACGATAGCATTAGGCCACCAGCCCTATGTGTTTAAGTATTAGACCATAGTATCATCAGTGCAAGATGGAGGGAGTAGTAAGAACGCACGTCGGTGAACTGAAACATCGACCCGTTGAAAAAGAGCTCACGCGATGTCTGATTCTCCGCCAGCGGGTCAAGGCGCGGGAATAAGACCACGCCTTCCGACGAAACGACAGGTGAATATATCTTATTCAGCGCCTCGATCTGGTCGGCCGTCAGACACGAGTTCGTATCATTACCCGCAGTACTCGTTCCACACAACAGCACACTCGGATCGAAGAAGCAGTCGTCCGGCTCGGTTATGATCCCATCCTTCACCCCATCCAAAAGGTCGCACTGCTGTAGGATGGCCGCTGAGACTGAAGGGAAGAGAGAGTCGGGTATGAAACTGGGACTCGAGGTTCCGGGAGCGCCGATAGCTCTACTGAGTAGCCCACTCCACCCGAGCAGATGATTGAAGTCGGAAGCCGGAGAACCTGCCATGATACCGTCGAAGTCGTCGGGGAACATGAGTGCAGATTTCATGCCTTGTCGACCACCGGTGGAGCAACCGAGATAGTACGATTTTGCAGGGGTGGTGTTATAGTATTGTTGGACGATGTCTTTGCCTCGCTCGGCTGAGACATGGATGGCGCGGAAGGCAAGGTCGTTGATGACCTCGGGATGGTCGAGGAAAAAGACGCATGTGTCGCCGTCGTGACCGTTATCAGAGCCAATTGCAGCAAAATGGAATGAGCTAGTGTAGTCGAGGTTACTGTAGTCGATGCCTAAGATTTGTTAGAGTCAGCAAACTGCACGGGATGGGAAGCATGAAAAGTACATACATCCGCCTAGTCCACCATTGCCAACCGTGATGAAGCGACCGAACCATTCATCCGGGAGCCACATCTCGAACTTGACAGCTGAGGACGAAGTAGTGTTCACTTGAGCGAAGACACGGCACAGATCGGAGGAGACTTGGGCAGTGGACTGGCAAGAGCCAGCTGTTGCTACTGTTGTATTTGCAGAAACGTGGGTGATGGAGATGATAGTGGTGTTTTCGAGCTGCAGTGAATCCGCAAGAGATGCGCAAGTACTATTGCCGTCAAACGCGGCACAGGAGCCGGCAAGAACGAGAAAACCGACAAGTAGTCCGATGTCAGCGAAAATGTCGAAAGAACGCATGGTGCGTGAAAACGAACGAGTAGCTTCACGAAACCAAGTTCTTCGCGTTGACGTCGTTTATAAGACACTGGCCCTCTGCAGCCGCTTCGTTTCATGAGGTTTCCGATGAACAGGTGAGCATCAGCTGATCGCGTCGAACTATTTACGCTGACTTCTTGTCATGACCCATTGCCGTGTCAACTTCAAGCAGATTCGAGAATGACCATAACAAGAAGAATCGTCCCTCCGAGATTCGGCGTTCAACAGAGCTCCAGTGTACCCATGAGAGTTCGATGACCAGATGTGAAGCTCACAATGACGACAACGTGACCGTTGGCCTGCTCGAAGGAGGTCAGAACAACCATAGAGCAACTTTACCTCGTAATAAGACCGAGAGACGTGCATGAAGGAGGTCAAAATAGAACCTGGTGCGCAGTCGAGACTGACCCTCATTTAGAGAGCGGGCCAACAGAGCTACCTCAGCGATAGCGACCATCGCGACAAAGCGTATCAACGCCGTCATATAAGCTTCGTCTTTTGACAGTTATGTTAGAGCGTTGTGGACCGAGTCTGCTCCAGGGCGCCGGCGATCTTCGTCGAGGATGGTTGTGCGCGGAAAGAACAACAGCGCCAGCAGCCACAGTTTGGCCACAGAAATGGGAGATCGGGTGTTTCCGGAACCAATTGTCTGGCTACTGTGGCCCGAGACGAAGCCTCAGAGTCATGGAATCTCGTGGAATCGACATCGGGAAATGACTACATTTTTCTCGAGAAGGAAGCCCATATGTAGGTTAGAGATATTACATCAATAAATAGGTGAGATGATAGTATGTGAAGGATGTCATGAAAATCAGCATGGTAGTTCGTATCGTATGTTGTGTAGCCGTGTTCGAGACGCCTATGAACCAGAAGTAAAATCGGCATCTGCAGAGAAGCCTGTTAGACATCATTTTCGTGATGAAGACTTCGAGCATGAAACTCACCGTCGAAGCAATCTCCACATCCGCTTCCGCTGCTCAAGCATACACCAGACCCATCACCGTCTGAGACCTCAAGCCCGTTGATCTTGTTCGAGCTGCTGTCGCCACATCCGAGGAGGCTGGCTGCACGCTCACGGATGGTGGTGGAGTCGACGCTGACGGTGGTACGTGGTCCGGCGGCGTAGTAAGCGCAGCCTTTGACAGGGAGTATACAATTTAGTGCCATTGCTGAAAACAGAAGAGGATACAGCGACTGACAGTTTCCGTGGCAAGCGACGTTGTATGCGACTTGGTTATACTCTGCAAAGGGGATGTTGGTGTAGCTGTACAGAGGGACTTTCCGTCAGCCAGTCGACTCGATGTACCAGCGAGAGGAGATAGGACACTTACTGGCAAGTGTTCGATGTTCCAGCATAAGCGGCATTCCAGGTGTCGAGATCGACGAGTGCCTGGCAGTCGGATAAAGTAGCGTCGGAAGTGGTGCCACAGTGAACTGTCTGTCCTGCGTCACGGGTGGAGAGCGTGACATTGGAGGAGGTGGGCATGGAGAGGACGCTTGATGCAGCGAAGAAGAGAACGGAGAGCAGTGCGATAGATGTTGTAGTGAACATAGTGGGTAATGTGAGTAAGAAAGATGAAGAGGATGCGAGGGTGTGAGATGAGCGATGAGCGACGAGGGATGAGGGATGAGATGGAGTCTAGGAGCGAAAACGAGCTGCCTTTATACGATTCTAAAACATCGGAAAGTATGCTTGACACAAAGATCATGACCCCAGAAACGGTCATCACTAGTCTCCCTGGTACGTTTACACCGATTCGTATGCTATGGCGGATAAGTCCCAAAGAGCACCGTCAGAGCAACGGAGAGTCAGGCAGAAACTTGGAGCGGGGGCAAGCTAAGATCAATTGCAAGTGCGTCACAATGCTGATGGTTTCAGAACAAAGTTGAAGGTCTTTTCCGGGCAGTGCATGATGAGTGTTGCACCAAAAAGACAGATACCCCAATAACTTCGAGTCGCCGTCGCACATGGAGGCGGTGAGACTCCTGTCGAAGACCTCCACGACCATGCAGAGCTGCACCACTATACTCCGAAGTGAATAATGATGGCGGCGGAGGTTTTGAATACGCATCTAACAGTAAATGAAAGTCTGCAAACACGAGGTATGTCGAGCGATCAAAAGCGGTGTTAGGATCACTCGGAATGGGACTGTCAAAATTTGGTTGTCAATGTCGTCATGATCAACACTGAGAGAATATGATTATTTGCGGTGCACTACGAGCCTTAGCAAAGAGTTTTACTTCCAAGCAGTTGTGATGGGACGTTCAAACAGATGATGGTACTGTAGCAAGATCGTTGTCGTCGTTTCGCCGCGACGCATCAGCCAATTTGGAATGCTTTGTTTGGCTTTGTTGTTCAAAGGCTTGCGCGGTTCTCATTGGCCAGAGCGACTCAGCAACCTGAGCCTCTGTCCTTCAACTTGTTATTCCGTCTCGAGTTGTCTACCCAAGTTCTCACAAAATGTAAGAACTCGGGCCATTAAAGAGAGCCATACCAGCTGTATGACACCGAGAGGAATGGATCGTAGCGGGTGTAGTGAGTAAGTCATGTCGTCGCCTGAGCATCGCCATCATTCAAACCGCCCGCCAGTGGCCTCATAGTTTTGGGGTGGCATACTAGTAAGTGATTCATTGAACCCCACTATTTTCTCTTCTAAATCATTTATCTGATCTTTCTAAAATCTATCACCCCACTCCATCAATGCTACAGGACTCCAAAGTGCGATACCAACTCAACTTTGTTTTCGGGGAATACCCTAAATGCTCCTGCTGAACAGGTCACATCGTCGGAAGATTTGTTGTGGAGTTGGCTTGCATTCTTAGTAACATCCTCATGCAAATGTTGGGAGCGGTTCAGACCGATGGTGACCAGGGCTCCCCAACAACAATGCGAATACCAGGAGGTGTCAGCGGCCTTGTGTCCTTCGCAGAGGCCTAACTCCGGACGAGATCGGCATTTTGTGGGCTTCCATATGTCTGCTTGTTGACTTCCTTGATTGCTGCCTTCGTCGTTGATCCGTTCGATATTTAATGCCCTTTGTTCAAGCTTAACCGAACACGGAATACGTATCGGAGGGTGTGGGCAGTACACGCCCGTGATGGCGGTGACTCCAATGATGTCCCGTCGCGAACCCCAGAATTTCGTTATGTTGATGTTACTGAGGCTGTTTTTGTGCGTCATCGACACACGGAGATGGCCTCTCTTTGAAGAGATTGACTTCAACTTTTACAGGTTGGACTCGTCAACGTATAAAAGTAGCACCGTCCTCAACCAAGATTCACCATCCCAATACATCAGCCATTCCCCTCATCCTCATCCTTACCACTCATCTACTCTCAATCGTACCACTCTCCCATCATCCAAAATGTACTTCTCTCTCCCCTCCATCAGCCTTGTCGCCGCGCTTGCCGCCACTTTCCTCCCATCCGCTTTCGCTGCAGTCGGCATCCATTGTGGCACCACATCAGACGCCACGCTTTCCGACTGCCAAGCTCTGGTAGATCCTGACACTTGGAACAGTGTCTGGGCTGGTACATCGAATGTTTGCCAGTACGTCCTTTTCTTTCCACACTTCTGCGCGGTGGAATTTGATACTCACAATCGTCCTTCAACTTTCTCACAGTTATTCCAACCCAAACTCTGGTATTGTCGGCGGTGTAGCCCAAAACGTCGCCTGCCACGGGAACTGTACGTTCACGCTTCCATGGTTCCAGCGCGCCCTTCATCCTTGTTGACGAGCATTCATTCTCCCTGCAGGCTGCGTTTACGTCGCTGATGGCGGTGCTAAAGGCTTCACATTCGACTCTGAGACCATCCGTAACGAAGCTGCTGGTTTGCTCGGATGCGGCGATACCGCCAAAGACAAGATCAACGGCCTGGACTTCTTCGAGGATGGGCATGGCACATGTATCAGCAACGGCAATGGATGTGGAGATTGCTTCGATGGTCAGTCTCAGCCAGTCATCTGGGCTTTGCATCATCCTGACGCCCATTCGTTCCACGTAGACTCCGACTTCTCTGGAGGTTGCGAGATTTGTTAGACGCACTGGAGATATATATTTTTGTCACTTCATTTTTCTCTATTCCTTGCCTCGGTCTCGGCCATGATGCACAGTACCTCTGTCCTCACGAATCTCATGCATACGAACCTGTAACTTATCGACGTAGTCTTATTTACCGTATCTGAATAGTTCTCCGCACCAATATTCGAGCCTCAAAGTTGGGAGCAAACGGTTCTTCTGTCGTTATACCAGCCAGAAAATAGTAGACCGGAGCCCACAAATGGCACGCTTGTCATCAGAAGCTTCCGTTGCCCAACCTGCCTATTGGAATACCCCCTCTTGTAGCTTAATCCTCCCTCCCTATATCCAACCAGTCTCCCACAGGCAGATCTTGGTATTGAATAGGAGGACGTTCTATATCCAACCGAATCTTCCCCTTCGCACCCAAAGTACCATCGTCCCCATCCGTACTTCCGTTCAATACCGACATCGCCCACGCTGCCTCGCAAGCATCAACCACCTCCTCCACGGCTCTCCTGTCCAAAGAATTCATTTCCGACGAGTCGATGTGCACTTGCACAGTGTCAAGGTTAGGGAGAACACAGTGTGGAACGACGGTTCGGGAGCCTTCGGCCTGTTTGGGACAACAAAGTCGTGCTAACGAATCAAAGAATACTTCAAATATGTCCCTTTTCCCAGGATTGGGGTCTCTGAGGGACGACTTGTCCCTGATTTCGAGTACCGAGATCGCCAACGTGCGGAGCTTCGGAAAACAGTTGTATACGTCCTGGGATGAATCGTTCGGAATGTCTAGTATTTGGGTGGCGGGATATGGGCCAGCCGCAGAAGGATGAAGGGAATCGAGAAAATGTGACAAGGCGCGCAAACTGCAGCAGACATCTAAACGCTCGATACCTGAGAGTTTTACGCTTGTGAACCATTCCGGGAGACGGTATGGCAAAATGTCTCGGGGCGCTCTGGTTCTCCACAGCCGTAGAGTAACTCGTAGCGGAGTGAGATGTGCCGTATGTCGTGCGACAAGATGGACTCGAACAGTGCGTCTACGGCCCGCCTCGATGTGGTGATAAATGACAAAGCGGGACCAGCATGGGTAGATATCAAGTCGTCACCAGATGTGGCAGAGACTAGAGAAGCTACAGTACTCGGGCAAGGTTCGGAGAGTTTGAACTCGTGTATGACAGGGAGAAACTCGGGGCACGAAAATGTCACTTCGAGGCACACCAGGGGTTTTAATCGGGATAGTAGATGCCAATAGTTTGCAACATGAGACATCACGAAACGTTCCGCAATGACACCTCCGTTGGGACCGTCTCTGTGATTGTAGTAAAGGAGCTCGTGGCAGGAGAGGCGAAGGTCAGAAAGGGATGGAAATACGAGCGTTTGGAAAGCTCGAAAACAGGTGCTGAACAGAAACGGTCCCAATGCAAGGCGCGTCAAGTTCGGGAGGATGACTTGGCTCGAGCTTTCAGACTCAATAGGAAGTCCATCGCCATCGTTGTTGGCAGACCCTGGTAGCGGACTGAATCTGAAAATGGGGGCAAAGCTGTCTAGACCCTGTGATATATCGGACTCTATTCGTAAATAGACCAAGTGTGGCATAGAAGACAGGGCTCGGATGAAGTCTTCGAATTCGATAGGCTTGAGGATATTAGGATCAACAAATTCGAGATGGGTAACATGAGGAAATAGACCACATAAGGGCACCCAGGGAACATAACAAAACACCAGCTTAACACGACGTACATTTGGTGCAGAGCCTCCCAGAAGGACGGCGGGGAGTTCGACTCCATCCACCGTCGAGAAATACCTGCACTCTAGACTAATGCTTTCGAGCATCGAAGTAGGCTGTACAAGAGCGACGGGAAGGGGGGAGCCCGAGCTCACTATGTCGAGATGTCTTGAACGAGCATAGTTCTCTGCGAGAAGAAGCCTGTCGCGCTCACTGCATACACGAATTTCGATGCTCAAAGGGACGTGTCCCGAACGACGGAATATCTCCTCCATCCATCGTACAGGCCAGTCTTGGTGAATCCTACACCACAAGACCTTATCAGCGAGCGCAATTTCTCGCCAACTACGGCACACATGGGTCAGCTCGAGCCATGGCATCCCGATGCAGAAACCGCCTGCGCGACGACACGATCGTGACGACGAAAAGTGATTAGTATCGCACTTGCTTCGTTGTCTCTGCAATAGCGAAATATGTCCGCTAAGATCTCGGAAGAGAGGAATGTCACGGGGGAGATGGATGCACGGTAGTGAGAGATCTCAACAATGGCACGCTTGAGGCTGGCGATCTCTGCGTCAATGATCGGAAAAATCTTGTGGGCCTGGGTCAAGGACGACGACATCCCAGTCGCGCATGTACTGAGATCTTCGAGCCAGATCCGTGCTTGGGTGGATCCTGTGTGTGCTTGTACATGCAAGTCAAGACTGATGGAAAGGCAAGATCAAATTGTGATTACAGTAGGAACGGTGATTCATGCGATAGAGGCGCACCTAGATGACGAATCGACTCGGAACGACATAACAACGAACGAGATTCGAGTGACTGCAAATCGCTCGACCGACTGTCAATCTTGACTAAGGTGTTGACAAGATCATGTTTAGTCGCTCGTGAATGGTCAATGGGAGGGCTGGACGGACTTTCTTTAGCCGACTCTAAAGTGAAATCGGGACACAGCAAGACACGCCTTCTTCAAGATTGAAATAAGAAGTTTTGTATAGAGGGTTGGCAATGCCCACTGAGGGTACGTTAGATGCACAAATGCTTGTGCTGGTCCTAGCGAACCCAATCATCCGACGCCGTACCAATGTCAATTGAGACTCCGCCTCAATTCCTAAATCAGGGTCGTCCTCGTCCACAAGCTCCTTTCCTTCCACAGAGGGAATATACGGGGCCCTGGGAGCATAAATGGTGTCACAGGACTGACACAAAAAGCTATGGTATTTACAACGATGAACTGACCAACAGACAAAAGTCATTGAGGAAACACCGTACTGCACGAAAACGTACGAACAAAGTTCAACCAACAAACAAATCTGAAGCACGTGATAAATCGAACGATAACAGGATCAAGAAAAATACAAACTCAATCATAACAAACATTATATTACAATAGGAGAAAAAGGAGCACGAAATCCAACGGCGAGAGGAAAATATTTACCGATCTCCACCGGTCAAGACCGCCACTGCGTGCTGAGGATGGAGGTCGCCCACTGAGTCCCGAAGGTTAGGATCCATCGCTCCTTCAGTGATACTGGCGTTGGTCGGTGCTGGCATCACCTTGAGGTTCGGGTCGTACCCAAGGTGCGAAAGCAGGGCGGCGCCAGCCGAACCATGGCAGGCGTGGTCAGTGCCATCGAGTGAGGGAAGCGACCCAGGACCGCCCGCAATCTCCTGCAGCTTCAAAGCCTCCAAAGACGGTAACCCATCGCCAGCAGCAGCAACAGTGCCCACTGCCTGGGTGAGGTCCGGGTTGTTCGACTGATACGCTTCCAGCTTCCCAGGAGACCACGGAACCTCATTCGGCCAAGGTCCATAATCAGTCTCTCCGTCCGCATCCTCATCCCCTCCCTCGTCTTCCTCATCCTCACTGCTCGTCGCACTGGCCAGCGGCGAGTTCCCGCCGAAAACCGAGTCGTAGATACTGGCGACCGAGGTGGCTTGTACAAGTGGCTGATGCTGACGGTAATTGTGTTTGCGTTCACGAGGCGAAACGCCGACATAGTACCGCCTCCCTCGCTCCATGAACTTCCCCTTTCGACGCTGAATAGCTGACGCTGACGCATTGGCTTTTGGTTCAGGCCCTGTTCTATAACGTCCCACCACAAGGGAAGGGTCCCAATCGATCTCCCGAGTCTTGACTCGACGGCCCCATTCCTTTAGCGGCTTGCCTATAAAGACGCGGCGTTTCGTCAATGGTGGTTGAGCGGGAAGGGGACGCATCTCCGTTGTCGGATATGGCGCTGGCGTAGGAAGAGGGGCTGACCGGAACACGGGGGACGGAGACCTCGACTTCGGAAAGTCTGAATAGACGGTGGACAACGGAAGAGCGGCCGATAGCGTATCCTGCTCTCCTACCACAGGCTCCACATGGATCAGCCCATCCTCCCCAACCTTGCCCTCGCCCATCTTGTTCCTCCCATCCGCGAAATAAATGTTGCCCCACTGATTATTCTCCGGGAACGCCCAAGCCGGTAAACGTACCTGGCTCGCCGCTTCCAGGTCCGGTGTTGGACTGTTCGATTCCGACCATGTCGCACCAGCCTCTGGCGACGGCGTCCAACCGGGATGTCCATACCCATAACCGCTCTCTCCATCATCATCGCCCATCACGTCTTCCTCCGGAACGTCTGTAGTGGAAGCAGGGCCAGCACGCTTGGTCGAAGCTTTTGGCTTCGCCTTTCCCGAAGACTTGGGCGCACGGACGAGGGGGCGACGGTTAGGTGCCTCAAACGAGACAAAGTCGGTGATACCCTGTCTTGTGAGATGGCCGCGCCAGCCGCCATTGGTCTTCTCAGAGATGTATCGCTCGTTGCGTTTTTGACAGCAGCTTGTGCAGTTGCACGTTTTGTCGCAGATGGGACAGAGGAAGTTCGGATCTTCGGGGTCGAACACGCGTTGGGGGTATCTAATGGGCAGAGATGTTACGAAGGACCGGATCAGCCTGAGTCAGCGACAGGGAGTAGAAAAAATGCTTCGAATTGAAGGATAGGACGCACCTGGAATAAATGCACTGCGGGCAGAAGTGTTTGCCGCACTTTTCATTTATGCACCTCATCTGCTTGGTTTTCTTCTTGGTCCTACACTGGTGACAGTAAATCTCGATGGTTGCGCTGATCGATTTTATGGTCCTCGATTCATAAACATTAGCCTCCCGTCCGACGTGCCCGGAGCCAGAGACCCTCGCGCTCTGAACCCTGCGCATAACGACGATCGATGCCCCATCATCTTCGTCCATATCCACCTCCCTAGCTCTCCCCTTACCCTTATCCACCTTAGCCTTCTTTACCCTCGCGCTCCCAGTTGGCACATAATCCTCATCGTCCTCATCCACCTCCTCTAGCCCCATCTCATCATCATCCTCCTCATCCTCCTCGTCCGAATCCTCCTGCCCAGGCGTGCCCGCCCTCCTCTTCACCTCCCAAGCCCCCGCCTTCGAGCTCGTAGAAGCTCCATCGTCCCCATCCCAAGACGACGGTCCAGCTAGAGCTTGAACGCGCTGAACCGGTGACTGCGAATGGTGCGACTGCTGAGACTGTGACAACGCCCGTTCCCGCTCGATCCTCTCCTGTCCCGTCTTCGTCCGATGAAAGATCGCCTTGACCTTCTTCTTCTTCCCCTGCGACTTCGATGACTCGGAGTTCATCCCTGGACTGTTAGCACGAGCGGCGGAGTGTTCCGTCGTCTGCGCTAGAGGCTGTGTGTACGAATACATCAGTCCATATCCATACGGGCCGTTCATATCCGATTGTTTTGGACCGTGACTGTCCGCGAACCCATCGGCGGGATCAGCGGGGTAGTAAGCGTGTTGACCGTGGCCCTGCTCTTGTTCGGAAATGTACGGCGCAGACATGTCAACATCGGCGTCAGGTTCGGTGCCAGTCTGGTCGGCCTCAGGAGACGGGTTCGAGACAGGATTAATCAGGGAGGGATTAATAGTCTCATGCGGATACATCTCCTCTCCAGACGGACTCCACGGTTCTTGAAGCCCGTGCTCGTGTCTGTACTCGGTTTGTTTACCTTCAGTGTATGGATGGCCGAAGCCAGAGTGATAATCCAGCTGTAGAGGAACCTGATTGCCTCCTATAGAAATCGAAGTCGTAGAACCGAACGAGTCCTGTCTCTGGTGCGTTTGCAAGTTTTGAAGTTGCGAGAGGTGAAACGGAGATGAAGGCGAAGGAGGAAGCGCAGTCATACTGGCTGTTGCCAATGTCTGGATCTGCATCTGAGACGGCGAGATAGTAACAGTTGTATCAGGACGCTGTTCCACAGTGACTGAGACCGATGCACCCACGGGTGAAGGAGGCGAAACTTGGATAGGAGCAGGAGCTGGAGCGATAGGACGATACTGTGATTGTGGTGCAAAAGGTATCTGAGCGCGAGACTGAGATGGCGAAAGGGAGGGTCGGGCGAAAGAGACTACGGCCTGAGGCTGAGCACGGGGACCAATTGGGGACGTCGGTGTGCGGACTGTTTGCGATGGCGAGGAACCGTTGATCGGTTGAAGGGGAGTAACGTCTTGTATAGCAGGAGCCGGTAACGTTGGCGGTGGACGCAAAGGATCTAAGAATGGCGGACCGTCGATGATCTCGATATCACTGTCCCTGTCCTCTTCTTGCACCTCCACCTCCTCCTCACTCTCCACCTCGATCTCAGACCTACCGCCGGCCGTATCCGCCTCCACCTCACTCTCTTCCCGGTCCTGGTCGTCAGTACTCAACTCGTCCTCATTCCCAATAAACATCCCCTCCAACACCCTCGTCCCGCTAAAGTCACCGCCCTCACAAACCTCCCACTCCCTCCCCTCAAACTCTTCCTCCTGGCCCGTCCTACTCCACCAAAGCCGGTCACACAACTTAACTTCTCCCTGTCCCTTCTCCTCTCCATCCCTCTCACCCATATCATCCGCCTCGCCTCCCTCTCCCTCTTGCCCCTTCAACCCCATCGCCCACCTCGGTCCAAACTCCCTCATCACACTCCCCACCTCCTTCAAAAACGGCCTCATGACGACCAACGAGCCCAACGTGACTCCCTCCGGCGTATCATATGGTAGCACGGATGCAGGGTCGGGCTGGGGGAGTGGGAGGGTGAGGTATGAGGGTGGGGTATGGGCGAAGAGGGGTGTTCCTTCGTCTTGTGTGGGGATTCGGGATTGGGATTGGGATGGAAGCCGAGTTAGAGGTCGGGGTCGGGGTCGAGTTTGTGGTTGCGATTGACGTGGGCGCGAACGGGAGCGAGATTGTGAACGGGATCGAGAACGAGAGCGAGATCTGGAGCGGGAGCGGGAGCGGGATTCTGGTAGGGGCGTTGGCTGTGGCTGGGATTGTGACTTGGTCGTGAGAGGACGACCGAGTGGCCATTTGAAGGTAGACGTAGAAGTGGACGCAGCGGAGGATAGGAAGGAAGGCGTAGATTGTTGTGGCCCAGTCTTCCGCTTCTTGACAACGATAGGCGCAGACGCAGAACTCGAGACATTCTTCGTCCTCTTCGGCATCACAACCTCCGGTATCCTCTCTTTCCCCTTCCCTTTACCCTTCCCCTTCCTATTGCCTTGATCTGTGCGCAGCGACTTCACCGAACCCCTCAAGCTCACATCATCCTCCTCCTCACTCTCAAAGGAATCATAATCATCCATCTCGTCCCTCTTCCTCTTCTTCCCACTCCCACTTCCCCTCCCACCCTGAGTCAGACTCAGACTCAACTTCTGACTCTGCTTCTTCCCCTTCTTTCTCTCACTCTCACTCGGCCTCTGACTCAAACTGGCCCCAAGGCTCTTCTGAAACGCTAACGTCTCCCTCGTAATCTCCCTCACCATCTTTGTGGCCCTGACCGCACTCTTCCGCTTCCCCTCCTCCTGTATCTTGCGCACGTACAGCGGGATCTCGTCCTCCTCATCGGAGCTGATATCGATCACGGACGCATAATCGCCTTCGTCGTCACTGTCACGGATAGTCCGGATGGACCGGGCGGAGAGTCGGGGTGCGGTATTAATGGGTTTAGGTGTGGGTTTGGGTAGAGGCATGCTGATGGTGCGTTTATATGACGACGGAAGGGGTGGAACGTCGACGTAGACGATCTTACGACGTTTGATTGGGCGAGGATGAGGAGATGAAGCTACGCTGGGTGGCACGGAATGTTGTGGCGTCGATAGGGGCTAGACAAAAAAAGAGTGGATGGGTAAGGCACAAAAATAGGCATGCATCAAGAAAGTGGGAGTACCGATGAGAGTATCGAGAACTCCCTCGTATCCGGGAGGCGCGAAGAACGAGGTGTGATCAGGCCGAACTGTGAAGTATCCTAAACGATAAGTCAGGGTCGGCATGAGATCATTGATGAATGTGAACGTACGGTTGATCTCTGAACGGGCGTGGACGGCGTATGAGAGTCGTCCAAAGCCCGATCGACCAACATCTCACTCACATCTCTCGAATCTCCCGAGCTCTCCCTCGAGAGCTTCGTCGCGCCGACGGACTCATCGAGCGGCGAAGGCAACGACGACTGCGACGATTCAGTCACTTCCACAGGCTCTGCGTCAACGTCGATGAGTGATAGCCGTCTATTAGAAGATTCCGATGATGATGCATGAGATGATTCATGCTGCTGTGGTTGGTGTTGTTCAGGTGGCGGCGCGGTGGTGACGCGACTCGACGCGTCGTCGCGTCCGGGCACAGGCGTGTCTTCGTACGGAACGTACGCGTCCATCATAGCTTGTTCTTCCGTAGATAATGGTTCGTCGGGTTCAGGTGAAGATCCATACGCATCGAGTGCGGCTAAGGACGTGTAATGATACGACCGCTTTGTGAACAATGTCGAGCTGGCTTGTGGCGGAGAACTGACCCGCGTAGGGCCAATGTTGCTTATCATCGAGAACTAAAATGACCAGCAAGTCTGTCAGCGTGTAAGAAACATAAAATCTCCCTCGCGTGGACATTGTATGTATCCACAGAGGAAGACTGAAGGACGAAAGGAACGAACCTGGCCCGCTGTCACAGCTCCTTGTCCTCTATCCCTTCTCGATTGTTCGATATCGTACATCGCCTCATCCTCATGTTCCCTCTCGTATGCATTAGAATATTCTGCGCTAATTTGTGACTGCTGTGGTGCCGTTCGAGACGACGAAGAGTGCATCGCTGCTGGGTGGGTTGGTTGTGGCGGCGAAGGTACAGGACTCCGTGGTTTTGATAGCCCGCCATTCCAGTTGGCCAGCTCAGAAGAAGACGAGTGCGGCCACATGCCGCTGATAAGTAATCACTATGGTCACCACCGTGATGGGCGATGAACAAAGATATGTCGATGACGGCGTGGACGACGAGCACTTGTGCTGTGCGGTGAAGGGTCTGGAGAAAGACAGCGGAGACGATCTTGGCCGCCATTAGGCGACATGATTATGTAATGTTCTTGCCTTTTTCGCGCCGGTGTGTCATGACTCGGCGTCTGACGCCACATAGTTGATTGTGGCGCTGTGGTCCCGGGGGGACCAGTACTTATTTGGAACACGCCAAAGCCATTTGCATTGTGAAATCCATATCCAGAAAATACATAACTCTTCCTCCTCATAACAGTGATCTATTGTCATCACTGTAAATGAGACTTAGAAGTATCTTCCTCCTCGCCGTGACTAGCATGAACTTGGGTGGAGCGAATGTCCGGAGCCGCCGGCCCGGAGTTTGTTTGTGTCGCCAGCGCTTCCCTTCCACCATCGTCCTCCCCTCCTTATGGCGGACATCATCAAAGACAGGGTTTACATTCCGAGCGCAGCATTTATTTTTCCCATCACTCCAGGCTTCGTCGGCCAGCCTGTACGCATCTCGTCCCCGACACCGACAGGTCAGGGCTCGACGTCGACGAAAAAGTCTCGAAACGCTAAGATCAAGGATGAGAACAAGATCAGAGAAAAATTATCTGGCGATGACGGCTGTTTCCTCACTGGCTATGCCTGCCTTTCTCTCGAAGTAGCTCATCTTGTCAACGCTGTCCAGAAGAAGGGCAACAAGGCCCGGCTTGACAAAGTGGTAGGTCCCGTATTAATGTTACCCCGCCGCCACCCACACATCACAACATAATCTCTAGATCTACTATTTAGTCGATGTGCTGGGCATCGTCCGCAAGAAAGCGGGATTTAACCTCGAAGCAGCGGAAAACCTCGTTTATTGTAAGACCTTCCTGCTTGTTCTCGTTGTCAGCGACTAGGTATCTGACCGACAGATCAGTACGTCCCACCTATCACCGACACCTCGACTTATATGCTACGTTCGCCATCACGTTGAGCGAGGACTCGCTGAAACTTGTGATTCAAGAGTTGAAAGATGTTAACGAGGGATGGGCGGCAATGACGTTGCACAACGAGCACCGTCTGACCGTCAGAAGCTTCAGCGTGCGTGGTGCCTGAATCGCCATCAAGCACAGATAGACTCGCCATCAAGCACAGATATAGCTCACCTATCATTATTATCTGCAGTGGCTCCGCCCAGGCCTGTATCAACCAACATACGACATCATCTTGCTCCATCCTTCGTTCTTCCTCTTGCCCGACCAACCACTAATAGCCCTCAAACAGCGCGAGCCGCGAGTGTATGGTCTCTGGCAGGTTATCGACGGCGAACTTCGTCAAGCACTCGACTCCGATCCCTACCCTCCCTTTTCCCGTACCTTCCGCGCAGATTCGGATGATGACGTCAATCCTTTCCTTCTGATCCTCAACGCAGGGTCCAAACTCGAAAATCACCAAAAGAAATTCGGGCTTGGCGCTCTGACCGGACGCCAGCGCAAGCTGGCCGACCTCACCCTCGAGGCTTACGAGTTAATATACTACCGCCCTCCAATGTTTACAGAACGACTACAGATGTTCGGTAGGACTGACTTTTCGACCACACCTCCTCTTCCCACTCCGGCGGGCACCTCCGGACAGTCGACCGCTGTATCTCGACAAGCGCACGAAAATGACGGCACGGCGCTCGGTACCGAGGATGGGAGTGATTCGATGGTGGAGGATGGGACGGAGGTGGATGAGATGGATGAGGACGACGAGGAGAGTGACAGCGGTTCAGAGAGCGATAGCGAGGGACTCTGTGCGGAAGAGGAGGATAATATTTTGGCCAAATTTGCAGACCCCGCCACTACACTTGACGAGAGAAAGGAGCTGGGTGCCCTTTTCCTTCGCGGCGGTAGACGTGAGTCTCTCATGCTTCCCTTCCATAGTTGTTGCTAGCAGGTCATCGGTCTGATTGTGGCTCTTTCGCCAGCCTACCGCCCCTTTCCCTTGGTCCCTGGAATGCCGGTTCCTGAAGAGCGTGGTCTGTTTGAAGGTCGAGGGGAAGGATCGTAGTGATGTATTTGTTCGTTGCGCTAGTCATTCGTTTCGCATTCTGCACGCTGTCCGAACCATATGTATTTTGTGAACCATCCGAAGCTTTTTCCTCATCCATCGGTCCTCAAGTTTCCATCCTCTTTGCGTATGGCTGGGTTTCTGAGAGTATATATGTACATGTTTTCCTATCCATATCATCTCATTATTTTCATTTTCTCCGTCTTTGACCTTTCCTATAAGTTTATTCATACGTCGTCTATTTTATCCATACATCGTCTACTTTATCCGACTCTGTCTATCTCTCGGAGTGGCCACTTCGCGGCTATCTGTCTAATCCATCTATATACATGGTTATCTTACTCTAGAGCCTCCGTCCGAGCCCCCTCCTCCCTCTCTGCTCTGTACTGTATATACTTGTCGGGTCCGTCCTTTTGCATCCCCTCAACGAAGCGGAGGTACTCCTTCGGTGCCTCTGACTTCACACTAGTCGGATCCGTTTCCACGGCGAACAAACGGCGAAGGTGTTTTTACTCGAACTTTCACCCCTTCGCTCTCTGTACTGCACTGTACATACTTGTCGAGACCTTCCTTTAGCTCCCTTCGTTCTCCCCCGCGTTTCGTTTTACGTCATCGTTCCTTCGCCGCGCCCAGCCGCGCCCTCGCCTCACGCGTCACATCGGTGACTGATGTGACTCACGTGTTACCGTAGCGCGTTTCCCAGTTCCACTTCCCTTCCACCATCGTCCTCCCCTCCTTACGCTCCTGATGGCGGACATCATCAAAGACAGGGTTTACATTCCGAGCGCAGCATCTATCTTTCCCAACACGCCAGGCTTCGTCGGCCAGCCTGTTCGCATTTCGTCCCCGACACCGACAGGTCAGGGCTCGACGTCGACAAAAAAGTCTCGAAACGCTAAGATCAAGGATGAGAACAAGATCAGAGAAAAATTATCTGGCGATGACGGCTGTTTCCTCACTGGCTATGCCTGCCTTTCTCTCGAAGTAGCTCATCTTGTCAACGCTGTCCAGAAGAAGGGCAACAAGGCCCGGCTTGACAAAGTGGTAGGTCCCGTATTAATGTTACCCCGCCGCCACCCACACATCACAACATAATCTCTAGATCTACTATTTAGTCGATGTGCTGGGCATCGTTCGCAAGAAAGCAGGATTTAACCTCGAAGCAGCGGAAAACCTCGTTTATTGTAAGACCTTCCTGCTTGTTCTCGTTGTCAGTCACTAGGTATCTGACCGACAGATCAGTACGTCCCACCTATCACCGACACCTCGACTTATACGCTACGTTCGCCATCACGTTGAGCGAGGACTCGCTGAAACTTGTGATTCAAGAGTTGAAAGATGCTAACGCAGAGTGGGCAGAAAGGACGCGTCTCGAGCACGGTCTGTCCGTCAGAATCTTCAGAGTCCGTGGTCCCTGAACCGCCCATAAAGCACGGATATAGCTCACCTATCATTATCATCTGCAGTGGCTCCGCGCAGGCCTGTATAAACCAACATACGACATCATCTTGCTCCATCCTTCGTTCTTCCTCTTACCCGACCAGCCCCTAATTGCACTCAAACAGCGCGAGCCGCGAGTGTATGGTCTCTGGCAGGTTATCGACGGCGAACTACGTCAAGCACTCGACTCCGACCCCTACCCTCCCTTTTCCCGTACCTTCCGCGCAGATTCGGATGATGACGTCAATCCTTTCCTTCTGATCCTCAACGCAGGGTCCAAACTCGAAAATCACCAAAAGAAATTCGGGCTCAGCGCTCTGACGGGGCGCCAGCGCAAGCTGGCCGACCTCAGCCTCGAGGCTTACGAGTTAATATACTACCGCCCTCCAATGTTTACAGAACGACTACAAATGTTCGGTAGGACTGATTTTTCGACCACACCTCCTCTTCCCACTCCGGCGGGCACCTCCGGACAGTCGACCGCCGTATCTCGACAAGCGCACGAAAATGGCGGCACGGCCCTCGGTACCGAGGATGGGAGTGATTCGATGGTGGAGGATGGGATGGAGGCGGATGAGATGGATGAGGACGATGAGGAGAGTGACAGCGGTTCAGAGAGCGATAGCGAGGGACTCTGTGCGGAAGAGGAGGATAATATTTTGGCCAAATTTGCAGACCCCGCCACTACACTTGACGAGAGAAAGGAGCTGGGTGCCCTTTTCCTTCGCGGCGGTAGACGTGAGTCTCTCTTGCTTCTCTTTCATAGTTGTTGCTAGCAGGTCATCGGTCTGATTGTAACTCTTTCGCCAGCCTACCTCCCCTTTCCCTTGGTCCCTGGAATGCCGGTTCCTGAAGAGCGTAGTCTATTTGAAGGTCGAGGGGAAGGATCGTAGTGATGTTTCTGTTCGTTGCGCTAGTCATTCGTTTCGCCTTCTGCACGCTGTCCGAACCATATGTATTTTTTGAACGGACCCTCTCCTAGTAATTCTCTCAGTCCATCTACTTATCGCCTCTGTATTTCTTATGTACGACTACCATAAAGCATACGAAGAACTTTGTAATTCAAATCGGGGACAAACAGGACCAAAGGGAGTGGCACGGCTAGAATTGTGGCACCGCATAACGATCCAATAACGATCTCGACCCCTTGGTTTTGTGAGATATAGGCTCGTATTTCTTCAAAAAGGAATTGAAGATCGCGGGCGCGGGAGGAGTGTTTGTATTCGATAGGTAAAGATAATATATAGATAAGTTACAGAGTATGCAAGAGATTCGTGGCACGGAAAGCGAAGCGGTAGTCATGGCATGATCAATTCCGAGGCGAACTTGTGGTAAAACGAAGATCCTATGATAGAGCACTTTCGCTCAGCAGATCTGGCAACCACCAGAGAAATCGGAGTCTATAACGAACAGCAGTACGTCAGGACTCGTTCAAAAGGTTGCGAAGCTAAGTCGGAAATACTGACCGTCAAAGCAGTCTCCACACCCATTGCCGTTGCTGATACATGTGCCATGTCCATCCTCGAAGAAGTCCAGTCCGTTGATCTTGTCTTTGCTGGTATCGCCACAGCCCAGCAAGCCAGCGGCCTCGTTACGGATGGTCTCAGAGACGAATTGGAAGTTTTTAGCTCCGCCGTCAGCGACATAAACACAGCCTGTGGTGAGAATGTATGCTCGTCAACAAGGATGAAGGGCGCGCAGGGATCACGAACTATGCACGTACAGTTCCCGTGGCAGGCGACGTTTTGGGCTTTGCCGCCCACAATGCCAGAGTTTGGGTTGGAATAACTGTGAGAAAGTTCAAGGACGATTGTGAGTATCATATTCCACCGTGAGGAAGCGAGGGAAGAAAAGCACGTACTGGCAAACATTTGATGTACCAGCCCAAACACTGTTCCAAGTGTCAGGATCTACCAGAGCTTGGCAATCAGACAGTGTGGCGTCTGAGGTGGTGCCACAGTGGATGCCGACCGCAGCGAAGACAGATGGAAGAACACTGGCGGCGAGCACAGTTAAGGAAGTGATGTAAGAGAAGGAGAAGTACATTGTGTGAGGGATGAGGATTGTGCGGGGTGAAGTGGGGTGAGTGAGGATGGGATAGGAATGGGTGGGTGGCGTGTATGGTCGACGACCGCCCGGCTTTTATAGTTTGACAAGCTTGATCTGCAAGCGACGAGGTCCCGAGCTGCAAAGAGAGACCTTCTTCATGCAGAAGAACCTCGGCAACATTCGTACGAGATTTGGGGTCCGTGATGGCACTCGCCGCCATCATCGTGCACTGCTTGACCGACACATTAAGGTGCGCTTGAAAAAAGCCAGTCAAACGACACTTGTGTCAATCGCGAAGGCAGTGAGCAACAACCAAATAAGCAGTTGCATATTACCGTAAAGATGATACAGGTTTTCCAAGCTTCCTCATCCGAGAAACGACCGAATGTCGTGACCAGATCACTACGGTGATGTCCCTCGCCACGACCAAGAGTCACGGATAGTTTCTACACATCCCGCTGCCAGGATATTTTCAGACCACACGATAATGGCACAATGTGGAGTCAAACCTAGTCAACCTCGCAACAGAGACTGCGATGATATTCAGTGCTATTGGACTTCGAGTTCATGTCGCACCCTGGAGTCGCGTAGCATAGAGGACCTAATAGGAAGACAAAATGCTTTGGAGGAGGCAGACAAACTGGATAAACTGAAACGGCAGCTCATGACGATCAATAAATCACTCACTAGCATGATCCCCCGAAACTGGTACGACGAGCCTGAGGCGGTGGCGATGGACGATCCTATTTACCCTATCTCGCCCTGCCGTCCCCATTTGTTTTTGTTTCCTACATAAGATATGGCGCATATCTCATGAGTACCAAGAGACATTGTTGCGCCACAATGGCCAATTCGAAATGGGACGTCTTGTTTGGCTTTGTTGACCAAGGGCTTGCACCGCTCTCATTGGCCAGCCGGCTCTTTTTTTTTTTTTTTTTTTTGAGTCAACATATTTATACCGCGCCGGCGAAGCCAGGGGCGCCTTGCGTATCTACAAGTAAGCAACTAGGGACGAGACCTGTACCGTACCGTACTGTACTCGAAAATGGAGCTGATACCCAAGTTCTCGTGCACTAAGTAAAAGACCGTGAAACGAAACTAGGGAAGTAGGATGATAGACCCGTATCCAGGCCGAGTTGAGCTCGATCGCGGCACCTCCTCCTTCTCCTATGTGGGCGGGGCATCAGCGAATGTGAATGACGTTGGGTTCCTCGCAAGGAACCGGACTAACTCCGGGATGGGTTCCGCTGAGTCTGTTAGAAACTCTACGAAACGCATTCTCCGCGGTCGAACGTAGCGTGGGCAGCTATTGAGGATGTGGTGTCTCGTTTCGAGAACAGGCCAGCCGGCTCCCGGAGTGGGCCTCTATCGATTCATCCTTTAACTCTCTTTGTCGGAAGCGTCCTGCGCAGATTTCCTCGCAATACGGATAGCTATACTTCCCAACCGCCATTACCCTCCATTACCACCCACAACACGTTTCTGCATGCTAAATTCTATATTTATTACCCATTCTAATCCTTCTCCATGAACCATCTATTATAGGTTAAATCTTCACTGTTCTATACCGGGTGTACTAGATCAACGATGCCAACACCGCTTTCGATCCTCCGCCATCCCTCGTGTTAGCAGTTGTTTGATTTGCGTCGGACGCATATTCAGAGCCCCCATAGCCGTCACATCCGCCATCAGCTTCAATATCCTCTCGAAGTGATCGCTGTTCTGCGTTTTGTGGACGCCTCCGTTCCGAGACGACATACCGTCTCCAACCCTATCGACGAGGGTGAGTTATGAGGGCTTCTGTTTCTCTCGTGCAAATGTCCACCGTGAGGCACTGGATGGTGCCTCTGCTTCTTTTGCAGTCATCAGTGTCCTACTATCACTGGCCCTTCGTTCGGACAATCCGGAGTGCAAAAAATCTAGCTCACGCAGTATACTGTACTTTTCCGACCTACTGTTCGTCCCCTGTCCCCCCACCCCGCCGAACCGAACACTTTTAGGGGGACTGTCCCCCTCTCTCACGGCCCCAACGAACAGCTAGGGGGGACATGTTCGTAATTCAGCAAAATTCATAATGATAATGAAAATCAACGAAAATATTCCGATTGATGTTTTTGCACTGTTTTGGCCAAAATTTGTTGATGATTGTATGCTCTGGCTCACCAAAATCCCAGAGCACTCAGATATGGGTGAAAAATCCTCATCCAGTGCCCTGCAGTAAGATTTTTGTGGTTAAGGCATTGAACAGTGTCCCCTGTCCCCCGGGCTCGACGAACAGGGGGACAGATGTGTGGCGCTAGACCGGCAAACTCCGGTAATTTGAAATCGAACAGTAGGTCGGAAAAGTACAGTAAGTTCTCTTGCCATGAAACTTTGCACACACAATGCCCCCTACTGTAGCTACATGCCCATGCAATTTTGTTGTGGATTGCTTGAGAGAAAGGTCGTCGATCGGGGGATGGGACCGTCGATCGGACAGATCCCGCCAAAGTGTCCGAAACACCCCCCTCCCCATTCGACCTCCCACTGCCATTATTGTACTCAAATCACTTCGCAGATGGTCTAGTGGTGATTTAACATGATTTATGAGAGCTTGAACGGGGAGAAACGATAGGGAATTGGGTGTGTTTTTCGCACTGTCCGAACGACAGTTTGTCCGAACGAGGGGCCACTGATAGTATGGCAATCGATTCTAATTTGCTCTTGCTCCAAAACTCTGGCTGTGTGGTTGATCCTCGTTACTGTCTGTGAAGTACACCCTGACCAGCATAGCATCGCTTATTGGTCAATATCAATGATCGTCAGTCAGATCAATCGTACTATGGAGGCAAGTGATTGAGGGTCGATATTTGTGCTCTAAGCAGTACAAGGCGTATGTCTCCTTGAGCTTCAGACTCACATAAAAGTAGGCTTCTGTGTGTCATCTCATCTCTCATCCCCTCCGCTTGCACACCTCCATACCCTACATCGACCCAACTCTTCACCCTTAACCTTCCTCACTCACAAATTCCACAATGTTTTCCTCCACCTCGATCGCTCTCGCCTCTGTTCTATTCCTCGCTGGATCAAGTGTTTTCTCCATGCCCACGTCATCGAATGTCACGCTTTCTAGCCGGGACGATAGCCACACAGTTCATTGTGGTACCACTTCCGATGCTACATTGTCCGACTGTCAAGCACTTGTCGAACTCGATACATGGAATGCCGCTTACGCGGGAACATCAAATACTTGCCAGTGAGTATCGCATGATACTCTTCTCATCTATTCGATATAGCCGCTGACCACGACTCGCTCTCTACAGCTACACCAACGTCGCGTTCGCGCAGTACAACCGAGTTGCATACAATGTCGCCTGTCATGGAAATTGTAAGTCAATTTTCCCCATGTTATAGTCCAACCACTTTCGTTTCATCACACTAATCACGACTTTTCTCTATCACAGGCTGCGCCTACTATGCCGCTGGTTCCCATACGACCGCCAGTGTGGACTCTACCACCGTCCGCGAACGTGCAGCCAGTCTTCTCGGCTGTGGCGACACGAAGACTAACAAGATCAATGGTCTCGAGGTCGCAGTCGGCGATGGATCTGGTGTTTGCTTGAGCAACGGAAATGGATGCGGAGATTGCTTCGATGGTAAGCTCGTCGATTGTCGTGGTCGGTAGTCTAGGTGCTGACCGAGCGAGCTTTTCTTCACAGACCGTGACTTTACCCCTTGAGTTACGGATATCCCCTTGCCACGAAATCATAATGCCTCCTCCGTTTGGATCTCGCCTACCTACCTACATATATCCTCCTATACATAACCTATTGTATTTATTTCTCGATCTTTACTTCTTCCCTGCGAGCTCATGCAATATGAATTTCACGACGATAACCGTACAAAATATCAGCTTTGAGAGAGGTATTCCGAGGGAGGTGCCAAGACTGAGATACATTGTTCCTGATCCAAATCTAGACTATGTTGTACATTCTCCAGAAAAGTAGCTACATGGATGCAATAATTGGTACAAAAAATGAAAGGAGGTCGTCCGTTCAGATGACGATACATAAGTTCCACTACGAGGAAGAGAAAATTTATGTATTTATAGACAAATGTAGATTGAAGGCAGACAAAATCCTTGCCGCATACAACGTCGAAACCAATGTCGAGCAATCAGGACGACGTTTGCAACGAACTTGCAACAACCTAATTTTGCCACCGCCACATCCCTTCCTACTTGATCAGATTAGATGATCGTTACATAAGGTTCCCCCTTTCCGTGGTTGCTCGGCTGTCGCGCAACCTTTCTTCCAACTTTCTTCTTCCTTCCTTCGCACCAAGACCCCAATTCCTCGTACTGTCGCGCGACCGGCATAGCACTGTCTGCTGCACTGTTGGATGCGTCCAAACATCGCGCAAAGGAAAAATCGTCCAGGACGTTTCCGTCTGCAGTATCGATGACAGTATATATGTTCATCGTCACTCCGGCCTAACTCCGGCCTAACATATCAACCACAACTCGTTCATGATCACTGCCTCTGATACTTACAGCACCCACTAGTTTTGATCTTGGGCTCTACATCTTAGACGGTATTTTTGATGCATTGCGCATAGGAAGATCCTGTCCTCCAAATTACTGGCGGGCGGTATCTTCTGCCGTCGTGCACCTCCTAGTGCGTACCGTCGTCCGTGTCCTTCTTCGCCTAGACCGACCCGTATGGTATAGCCATATCCTCTTCGTGGCCCTGTGGCAAATGCCTCAGTTAGACAGTAATAGCACCCCAAGTTACTCCTTTTCTTCTTTTGGTGGAAGACTTCTGCTTGTAGGGAGTTGCACGAGTACGCCCGAAGGACGGCGAAGCAATGCTTTTCTTTGGAGTGTAAGAGCCCGTCTGTCGCCAGCCGAGTTGAACCGAAACTACGACCTTGATGGCACGTTCTTTGCATCTTCTCATCCACTCCCCCTTCTTCACCGGATAGACCTTCCGTCCGAATGGGCCGATCCTGGTGTCTGCACTTGGCATCATCCGCATGAAAGTAACCGTATACTGTACCATTTCGATCGGATGCCATGGGGGTGTGACGTGTGACACGGATGGTACTTAGGCCAAACGTGTAAATAGGCCAAAAGCCTCCGAACGTTGTGACCGACCTGCCTTTTTAGGCAACTTTATTGCCAAATTGGGCGTAGCCCGGAGAAAAAATTGATTAAAAGTGGCCAAAATGGCCTGTGACCTGTGACAAAATGGGAATAGGCCATGCCATAGGGCCTTTGTGACGTGTGACCATGGCATCCGATCGAAATGGTACAGTACACCCTCTGGTGCTCTGAGGTAACATCTAATATAGCCTTGTTCAGAGTGCTCATATCGAGCCCTCATAAACGCAGTACTGTACCTCCCAGACGTTAGGCGACGTCCGGTGTCCCGAGGGGCCTGTCGCGTCGCCTATTTGGGCGCTTGTCCCGGTGTCCCGAGGTTCTTGTCGCCTAGGGTAATATATTCGTATTTTCTCGTATTTTCTTCAACAAATAATATAAAATTGTTTCAATTAGTGTTTAGATACAGAACTGCAAGTACCACTGCAGATGGACGTGAAATCGAGAAAGGTTCGAAGTACTGACCATTTGTACAGGGCCGGGTCACTCTCCCTCGGAGGCAAGGTGACTGGCCGTCGCCTGTGTCCCGCTGTCCCAAGGGTCCGTCGCCTCCTCACGGGAGTTCCCACGTTACGTAAGCGGTCGTCTAACTTCTGGGAGGTACAGTATATGTAGTCTACACCAAAGTTCATAGGGCCATACTGGTGCCTGAGTTCGGCCCAATATGGAAGGTGAACCATGCGCCATTTCCTGCAGAACGCGCACAGGAAACCGCGAAGACAGCCTGAAATTGCCTTCCTTATTGGGCCGAACTCAGGCACCAGTATGCGTCTATCAAATTTGGAGCAGACCTCACACAACGACTGTCTTGTGTGAGGTCTGCTACGGAGACTACAGTATATGAGCTCGTATATGAGCTCGATATGAGTTTGATATGAGCTCCAGCACAGCCAAGAGGCTTTGCCGAGCATTTTCTCCCTAATGGGGCAGTTCAGCTCATATCGAGCTCATTTACGAACCTCGTATGCGAGGCCTCAATATGCGAACTCTGAGCAAGGCTTATGTGTGCGCAGTGTACTCCCGCCTATTCTTGGGACACACGAGTTGGTGGAGCAAATGCGGTGTGGTAAACCTCCTTGTCATTGACGAGGAAGATAGCCGAGCGTTCTTGATGCCGACTTCGTATTCTTAGGTATGCTTGAAACGGCGGCAATGCTGATCACCAGGATTTCTATGGTGGTGAAACTGATGGCTTGTGATCACATTCCTGATTCCACTACTTGGCGAGCTGTGCATACAGTCTGTGCACTATTGTCTGCGTCATCTGTCCTCGTTCAAACTGAACAAGGCAGAGGCATCGTGAAGGTATAAAAGCTCTTGAGACCATTCGACTGCATCTCATCACCAACCGAGCCAACACACAGCACTTCACTCCTCATTCGCACACCTACCTTTAACTATCCACCAGACCAGTTAATCCATCATGCGTTTCACTATCATCTTCGTCTCCACTATCCTCGCCGCTCTCAACCCCGTCACCGCCTTCGGTGTCTCTGCCTGGACAGGCTCTGCATGCAGCGGCGTCGAAGTCGGTTCCATCGAGGATGATACCAACCCTGCCGGGCTCACCGCTGCAGAATCTACTCCCAACGCACTTTGCGTCCACTTTGACTCCGCTCTGCCCGCCAACTGCGACGTCTATCTCTGCGCGGATGCGGCCTGCAACGACCAGGGCGAGACTGTGGAGGGACCGAAGGATGCGGGCACGAGGCTTGAGAACCAGAGCTTTGAGGGCATGCAGGTCGGGTGCCAGTAGAGTGCTAGTCTTCAACGTGAGCGAGTTCGATTTTTTTTACGTGGCTTGCTTTGATGTAGTCCTGTGTGCTGGTGCTGACGACATGGATTGATTTAGTCACTCGTTCTCGCGTTGAAGTGGGATAGGTGGCCTCACGCGGCTTGGTCTAAAGATACTACAGTCCCCTTGCGCATGTATCAAAATAATGGAAGCTTGCTTCTCCAGCTGGCATATATGCCCACCCAACTCTTCTTAGACGAGTCTCAACGTCTTGGTCGTTGGTCGTACATGCTCATAAGGTCATATGAATCGTCTGCCTTCTTGAGACCGTAAGAGATACATCATGAGTGCGACCTTTGTCCGTATTCAGCATAACAATCATTGTAAAACAATATGTGTGCAATTCCATGTCTATCTCCATGCAATGCTTGGCTCCGCAGCCTACCATCGAGAAGTCCAAACACTACACACCAATCTGCAATCCCTCGTCCCACATCTTCCCGACCCTCTCATAACCCTCTCCATGCATCTTCGCCATCCGCTCCCACACCTCTGGCCTCAATTTCACCTCCACAAGCCTCTCAATCTTACCCTTCTCCAAAACTTTTCCCGGAATTCGCCATCTCGACTCTACCATCTCCGTAAACGCATCGAAGGGATCGACGGAGGGGGTACGGTGAGGTAGATCGCTCTTGTTCTCCGCGCAGAATCGATTGCCGACAAAGCAGATGTGCCTGAGGTGAAGTGCGTGCCCGGATTGGAGTATCCCAGATCCGCCCTCCGCGAAACAGAGAGTCAAGGAACGGAGGAGCGAGGGCGTTACGGCCTCCATCGTAAGGGTGAGAGTCGACAAATTTGGAACGATAGCGAGCATCGACAACAGGTTCTCGTCGTTTCCGTGGTCGCCGATGAGCGTCAGCTCCCGGAGCGAATGCTTGCAATGTGTGAAGAAATCGCGGAAAGCAGAGCGTAATCCAGTTGAGTCACGTATCTTTTCTCTTTCTTCGTCCAGCAGCTCGTCCAGGAAGTTTTGGTCGCTGTGAACGCTGAGAGATTGCAAGTTAGGGGCGACGACGGAGTAGAACCAGAAGTAGAAGAAGGAGTCGGGGGAGTCGTAGAAGGAGGCGTGAAGGCTGCGAAGTGAATGCATCGTGACCTGATCCTTCAGGGGTTCCAAATCGACAGCATTGACGTCTGGAATGCCGAAACGAAGTTCCTCGAGGTTAGTGCATTGTCGGAGGATGTTCATCATCTGCTCCGCTTCGAAGATAGGATGCTCTCGTCGTTCGCCAAGTTTAGGTACGGCCTTGTAGCTGTCACAACTGATGTCAAGCTTCGTCAATTGTGACCACGGTAGGTCCCAGTTCGTGAGCGAAGGACCGTGCAGAGTGACCTCCTGGAGCCGTGGTGCGAGTCTGACGAAGTGACACATGGATGACGTCAGAATGTTCGGAGAGCGAACGACCAGTCGTTCTAGGCGAGGCATTTCGTACTTGGTAGACATAAGGCTGGGAACCTCATTCGTGTCGTCCAAGATATCGAGGGAGAAGGAGACATCCTCCCAGCGACGAGACTCAGCGAGTAGTGTGCCCAAATACTGTCCTATGTTTCTGCCCAAAACGTCGCTCGAGATGCCCTGTGGTGGAGTCGAAGAAATATGTATCCGAAAGGACAAAGGCAGTGACTGGGACCGAGAGAGCCAGGATTGTAGTGTGACGAAGAAAGCTGTAGCACCGTTGACTCCAGGACTGGTTGGAAGTAACAAGGATGTCCAAACCGGCGGGTGATTTATAGCGATGAATCTCCAGCGTCGAGAGACTTGGGTGAGAGATAGGGGCGGTTTGTTCAAGATGTCGGCCGCTGTTACAGTGTAGTCTTGAGGATCTGCCTCGGGATATACGAAAGATCGACGAAAGATCTCTTCCATGACGTTGGGCGGCAATACTCGAGTGATATCCATCGTAAATGCTCGTTTAGCGTGCGACGATTCGGTCTGCATTGGATGATACGTAAATGCCCGCTGGCCTCAAATAGGTAGTTTTTGAGAACTCACCTGGTTCGAGTATGAGCCCTATGTGGTTGACAAAGGCTGGGACTCGGAAACAGGCTGGGCTGAGGTTGCTGGCTCTACAGTGGTAACGACGATATCGAGGACAAGCCGACGCGTGTGTTTGGACACTGAGAAATCAATGAGCGTTGACAAGTAACGGGATATCGTGACGCACCTAGGAAGTACTATGTCGTCGTCGCTGAGCTTTCAAGAAAAAAGCAGAATCGCCGCGTTCAAGTCCTGGTGACGGTATAAGTACCTCGTCCAAGTCAGTTCGGAAAGTGAGCTAAGTACAAAAGCTAGCGGCGACTCCCGGCCCCAGCTTGCGTGGCACCAGTAGGTTTGATTGACGCCCTCCGACTTGACTTGCCACACTTCGAACCCGACCTTCTTCTCTATGTCCCCCATTTTACGACTGATTTTCTCTATTGAGACTGTAAGAGATACATCATGAGTGCGGTCTTTGTCCGTATTCACCATAGCAAACATTGTGTATCAATATGTGCGCAGTTCCATGTGTATCTCCATACAATGCTTGGCCCCGCAACTCATCAAGCCCGAACACTACACAGCAATTTTCAACCCCTCGTCGGACATAATCTCGAACCGTGCATAACTCTCTCGATATAACTTCGCCATCCTAGCCCAAATACCCTTCTGTACCCTCACCTCTCTAAGCCTATCGACCTCTCCCGTCTTCAATGCCGTTTCGGGAATCCTGCGCCTTGATTCCACCATATTCGTGAAAATGTTGTATATCTCGTGTGCCGAAGGATCGGAAGCTGGCGACTGCCACGTCTTTTCACCGGGGAAATAATCGCCAATGAATTCGATGTGAGTGAGATGGGGTGCATGGCCACAGTCGAGCAATCCGGTTCCGTCGGAAACGAAGCGAAGGGTGAGGGAACGAAGAAGAGGGACGGTAACTGTTTCCATCGACAGGGTGAGAGAGGATAGATTCGGCATATTGGACAAGATAGATGGCAGGCCCTGGTCGTCCCCCTTTCCTAACAACTTGAATTTTTGAAGTGAATGCTTGCAATGCGTCAGGAAACAGCGGAATGCAGACAGCAGCTCCGCCGTCGACCGATCTGCTTCCGTCCTACGATAGTCTTGACTGCGGTCGAAAACATCGCTCGATGCGACGTGCATTGACTGTAAGTTCGGGGCATGGACGGAGCCCAAGAAAGCACAGGTAAACCGGGCTGTCGGATCGTTAAGGCTAGCGTGAAGCCGGTGAAGTGCAGGAAGTGCGATAGGTTTGATGGCGTTTAGACTTTCAAAATCTATATCGGTGGCCACGGAAAATCGGAGATCCTCAACCTTGTTGCATTTTCCCAACATGGCCATAAACTCGTCTGTGGGAATGGAATTGTGGCTGTTCCATGTCAACCGACTGTTCGTGACATCAATTCGCGTCAGTTGCGACCACGGCAAGGACCATTTCGTAAGATTGGGATGATAAAGTTTAACATTTTGGAGTAGGGGAGCGTCTTTGAACAGCGTCATGATAGATTCGTTGTATGTTCCACTGGAATAGACCACGAATCGCTCGAGTAGAGGTGCCAGGTTCGGAGAACTGGAGGGTAAGAGAGGGCGGAGAACGCTTTCTATGTCAGAGTATGAGTGGAAGGTTATGTTGACTTCCTTCCACCGATGACATTCCCCAAAGAGCATGCTCAGGTAGCGAGCCAGATATAGATCAAAATCTACGTCGTATTCGTATGGTAACCGGGTCACGGATACGCCAAAAGATAGAGGAAGCGAGCGGGATCGCGCGAGCCATGATTGGACAGCTTTGAGAGACTCTTCTATGCGAAGATCCGTGTAAGAGATGTCAGGGAACGCTGGAAGGGATAGAGTCGTCCAGACTTGTGGACTGTCCAAAGCGATTGCCCTCCAACGTCTGGACACGCGGATGAGCGATAGGGGTGCCTCGTTGAGGATGACCTGTGGCGAGTAATCGCTACCAAGAGGGCGGGAGACGACATCGGCGTGCGATTCGCAGAAGATTTTCGTCATCACTTCAAGCGGGAAGACACGGGTGGTGTCCATGGTGTCCGCTGATTCTCCGCGTGCTCGTACGGCGCTGGAAAGCAATGGCTAGGCTATCGTCTGTATCGAGATACCCAGTAAGAAGCTAGTTCAAACGTCTTTCACGCCTTACTTATTAGAGGTTGAAATGCCAATAACTCTTAGTCGCTTTTGTCACGTACCTCTGTTCCGAGTCAGTCCTCATTCGAGATAGCTATTAGACTGCTTTAACTTCACAGTTGTAGATACGATTTCAACGCGTCTGCCATTCCACGAGAAATGAGTAAACATTCGGAAGTAGCGGATTATCGTGGCGTACCCAGGGCGTCGTCGCACTGCCGCTGACCTTTTGGCTCGAGAAAAGAGTCGCAGCCGGTTCGAAAGATGGGTCTATGATGTTATGTAAGCGAGCGGTGACTTCCGACCCTAGATCGTGTGGCACTAGTAAGTTTGACTGTGGCAATTTTGACCCTCAGAGTATAGGGCTGCAGAGCAAGAAAATGCTAGGGGCTTAGATCCCTGAATAACGGCAGTAGTATACCGTTGGTCTCAGTATACCTCCGGCGTTTGCTCCTGCTACAGCCTCGCACCATGGGTCCTGCCAATGTACATAAAAAGTTGTGATGGCTATAATCGGCGCCGTACGAGGCGTCGGACAGGAAACACTACCTTCTACAAAGCAGGCGTTTCCCCCTTCACTATCTCCCCCCTCTCCCCTTCCTTACCCACTTCACAGGCCTCGATCTCCACTTTCCCATCCACACCAACGACCAACTTCACCTCCACCCTCGTCCTCCACCCGCCCTTCTGCTTCTTCGCGAACTTCGCCGGGATCTCCAATGCGACCAAGAACTCATCCTTCTCTACCGTCTTCTCCTTCACCTCGATATCCTCCTCCTCCTCTGGCTCTTCGTCATCTTCGTCTTCCGGATCACGCTCAAGAGGCGGAGGCTTGATATGATCGGTCTTGACGCCCTCCTTGACCTGCCACACTTCAAACCCAACTTTCTTCTCGCCCTCCGCAGCCCCGAGGTCGACTTCGACCGAAACGACCCTCCGCGCGGGAAGCGCTGTCTCCTTCGCCAGCACACGGACCCACTGTCCTCCGAGCCCATTCTCCCCCTCACCAGCCTCCTCAGGGAACAACAACCCCAAACTCTGACTCGTCGTCTTCACTTCTCTCCACTTCGCGCCCTCGCCCTGGCTAGTAGTAGCGTCAGTGAACGCCTTGGCGACATCACTGCTCTCGCCCTCCTTGCCCAAGACCTGCATGATCAACTTCGCCTGCATCGCACAGCCCCTACTGATCATAGTCGTCGGATCGCCAACACCACCACCCACGATCGTCCCCTTCGTGAACGGCGAGACCGTCCTATCGGGATCGTACCCACCAACCGCGCTCCCCTCTCCATTCGGGCTGATCAGTCTCTCGTCCAACCCAGGCAACGAAGCCGACCCGCCCACATACACCACCTCGTCCAGCTCAATCCACTCTACACCGGCCTCGCTCAACAGAGCCTCCGTCTTCGCATAGACGAAATCATACACCGAGCGAGCCTCCATATCGAAGCGCAGACGGTTGACAGATCCGGTGAAGTCCATGCCGTCTTTGAGGGACTCGACGGAACAGGTCGCGGCGGAGGGAGAGGCGGAGATGGTGCGTTTGGTGTGCTCTAGGGCGAGGCGGAGACGCGCTTCGGCGCGGACGTCGCCTTTTTCGGTCGAAGGCGCAACGGCAAGCGGCGTTTTGGTCTTCTTCGTGAATTCCTTAGCGAGGAATTTAACGAGCTTGGTGTCGATGCTCGTGCCGCCGATGCCGTGGTGGTAGGATTCGGCGAGGGGGTAGAACAGGCCCTGGCGGATGGACAGCAGAGTGAGGGAGAGCGAGTCCGAGCCGAGGTCGACGATGAGTTGCGTGCGGTCGGCGGAGGGAGAGGACGTGTTGGTCGCGAGATCGCCGAAGGTCGAGTTATCGGCCGTGGTGGTAACTCCGGCCGCACCAGCATCGACCAATAATTGCAAGACCTTTACGCCAGCCTTCTCCGCCGCATCTTTCAACGCCTCGACCTGGCCTTCTTCGAACCAGCCAGGATACCCAATCACGGCACCTTCGATCTTCTTGCCCAGGAAATCGGAGGCTGAACCGATGAGCGACTTTAGGAAGATGGTGGTCACTTCGGAGGGGGTGAGGGTGAGGGTGGTTTCGAGAGGTTCGGAACGGGGGGTAGCGGTGGTAGAGGCGGCAGGAGTAGATTTTGAGGAAGGGAGAGGGGCGGGGGCGGCTTGGGTGACCTGGACGGTGTAGGCGGGGGTGTCGGGGAGAGTGGGGTGTTGGATTACGGCGGCGGAGGTCGGTTTCTCGTCTTTGGGGAGGTCAGAGAATCTGGAGAGAAAGGTTCAATTAGATGTCGTGTGGCTAGTTGAGATTATATAAAATGGGTATGGATAGAAAAAGAAATGAACCGCAACGATAACTCAGAAGGAAAGAATAGCGGGAAGTCTACAGGGAGGAAAACGCGGCGATGGACCAAATATAGGGAAAATCTTACTTTTTGCCAAGCAAGTTGCGGAACCCAGTGATGGTGTTGTGCGCATTTTTAACAAGCTGTGCCTTGGCTTGGTTGCCAATGTACTACAGACCGAAACAGGCGTCAGATCCTAGGGCAGAAAAAGTTATCATGCATGAAAGGACGCACCAGTTCCTCGCCATGGTAAGAGATCGCACAAGCAATCTGACGCTCTCCATCTTCGTTGGCAATGCACTCAGCGTTTCCTTCCTATGTCCACCGATGATCATCCTTATACGATCTGGGACAAGACAGTGGGACGTACGTTGGTCAAGACCGCGATGGAAGCATACGAGTTCCCGAAGTTGATACCAACGACGGCGGGCTGACTAGACCCGGAAACCTCAATGGGCTGCTCTTTAGCGCTGCCGTTGGGGACGTTTTTAGGTGCCATATTTAACGTCGTCGGGGATGGCAGTGGCAGCGAGCTCGAGGGGATGAAAGTACGAAAAGAAAACGAAATTCAAAGCCAAGAAGCCACTCACAAAAAATGGGAGATCAGTGCACGTGGAGTAGACGCCCGTTGCGCCACAGGGTCTTCAAGTTTGAGTGGCGTGGCGCTGGGACGCGCACCCCGCTTTCTTCTGCTCCATCACCATCAACGACGGCAACAAGCCTTGTCACGACGACTTCAGCAGAATAATTCACGAGAACAATGTCGGCGACTGTCGATCTGAATTCATTGGCGCGATTGCAGCCACCAAAGCTGTCGCAGCAGGTTCATCGTGAGGAGTGCACCCAGTGCTTCGACAACCAGGTGCGTCCTGTTCCTTACGTTCTGCATTGACAGAATTCTGAGTTTTCTATGTGGGTCATATGTTGTAGGATAATCCATTGGGAATTGATGTCTGCTTGACGTGCTTCAATGGGGGCTGCCTTAGCCCGGAAAGACATCATGCACGGACTCACTTCGAGAAGACGGGCCATGCCTTTACTTTGAATGTAAAGAGGAAGTTGAAGCCCTCTTCGCAACGGGTAGGCCTCCTCACTACATTAGTCTGGGTTTCATCGTCATGCTGTTTTGTTGGACTATGGTGACTACACAATCTGGGCTCAGGGCTCGTGCCTACGGCCTTTTGGGTCTGTGGGCCCGCGGTTTGGCAAGACCTATAGTGTGCATGATTACGCACAAAAGTCTTTATACAGGTTGACACCATCCAACTTGGCGAACCACTGTGTGTAGTATCAGTCGAAAAGCGACGTTGGTTCTACAGTATAGGCCATAGCCCACAGGCCAGATTACCCCACTTTCCGATTTAACGTGTCTTAATATCGCCTTCGATGATGTTACCACCCCACATTTCCGTTATCCCAGTTTCTAGATAAAGATCTTCCCTCGTCCTTTTTTCTGACGTCGTCTCTTTGCTTACTAACACTGAACCTCTCCTTGCAGGACGCCGACTCTGAACCACCCGCCAAAATGACCAAACTTGCCATCATCGAAGACCGCGAAGAAGACAAATACGAGCACCTCACACTCCTCAAACACTGGCCTTCAGACCCCGTCCAAGGCCTTCCTCTCCCCGAACTCAACACCGCCGCTGGTGATCCGCTGATCAAGTCTTTGGTCGATGGGGTCTTGAACTCGATGAGCTCTGCGAGACAGTCGGAGGTGAAGGCGTGGGAGGAGGAGATTATGGCTTGTGAACATACATTGACATTGGAGCAGTTGGCGACGGGAGCGATTCAGGGTTCGGGTAAGTACCTCTCCCTCCCTCCGATTTACTACTTTTGGATACTGAAAACCAGCGATAGGTCTTGCGCACTGCAATAAGTGCGATTTGAAAGAGAACCTCTGGCTCTGCCTCACTTGCGGTTCGCTCGGATGTGGGAGGAAACAGTTCGGAGGTATAGGCGGTAACGGACACGGTCTCACCCACTTCGAAGAGTCAGGACATCCCGTCTCCGTCAAATTGGGCACCATCACCCCCGAAGGCTCGGCAGGTACAGCTAATCTTCTTATTCACCCATCCATTCCTCATTCATTTTATCTACCTTTACTCATCCACCATCGCTGCACCACAATCGCAGACATATACTGTTACATCTGCAACGACTCGAAACTCGACCCCGAACTCGCGCTTCACTTGTCGACTTTCGGGATCAACGTCCAAACGCAGACCAAGACCGAAAAGTCAATGACGGAACTCCAGATCGAACATAACCTCAAGTTCGACTTCTCCCTCACCGACGAATCAGGCAAAGCGCTCGAGCCCGTGTTCGGTCCCGGATTAACTGGTCTCGCGAACCTAGGGAACAGGTAACACTCCGTCTCCCGCTTTTACCTTCATATACACGATGGCTGACGAAGATATCGCGTATGTGGTGCATGCCAGCTGTTACATGGCCTCAGTCCTGCAAGCCATCTTCTCCCTTCCGTCCTTCCAAGCCCGCTACCTCCCCACCGCACCCGAACACTGGATCACCTGCACCACCCCCCTCCCCGCCGACTGTATAGACTGTCAAATGCATAAAATCGCAGACGGCCTTCTTTCGGGCCGATACTCGCATCCTCGCGCCTCGCCATCTCCTTCCGCCCAAGACCCGAAGAGCACGAACCCACTCGCTCATGACTCGCCTACACCGGTGTTTCAGGAGGGTATCAAGCCTACGATGTTCAAGGCTTTAGTGGGCAAGGGCCACGAAGAGTTCGCTACGATGAGACAACAAGATTCTGAGGAGTTTTTGGGACATCTGGTCACCACGCTTCGTCGTCACGCTAAGAAAGTTGGGACTCCTGGACCGGAAGAGGTCTTCGCGTTTGGGATGGAGCAGAAATTGGAATGTGGGAGGTGTGGCGGGGTGAGGTACAGAGTCGATCAGCAGGACGTGCTGAGTCTTGCTGTTCCTGCCCGAGAGAAGGGTAAAGACGAAGAGGGAAGGATCAAATACGAAGATGTCAAAGTGGATGAATGTCTGGATGGGGTGTTTGGCGTTGAGGGACTGGAGTATCGCTGTCCGAAATGTGATGCGAATGTGGAGGCGAGGAAGCAAGTCGGGATGAAGACGTTTCCGACTACGCTGGTCGTGCATGCGAAGAAGTTCCAGCTCGTGAATTGGGTGCCTACGAAGCTTGGTGTGTATTTACTCTGGTCCCGTTGATTCTAGTTTTTGGCGGTGCAGTACTGAGATGGATTTGGCTTTGATGTACAGATATCCCACTCATCATGCCTGAGGACGATACCCTCATTCTCGACAAATACCTCAGCAAAGGTCTTCAGCCAGGCGAGACCGAACTCCCAGGGGACGCACCTGGTATATACCCTTCCCCTTCTGCGTTTCATTTCGTTTTGTCACCTCACTAATATCCTCGTCTAGCACCTACAACCGCGCCATCCTTCAACGAAGCCGCTATGGCCCAGCTGGAAGCTATGGGTTTCCCGCAAGTAAGATGTCAGAAAGCCCTTCTTGCGACTGGAAATTCCGATCCTGAGGCTGCTATGAACTGGTTGTTCGCGCATATGGAGGACCCTGGTATGTTCTACACCTTCTCACCCTCATAGTATTCCTCCTACAATACCGACGGTCGCTCCATTTGCAGATATCGATGCTCCAATCGACTTCGGTGGTGCTTCAGCAGGAGGAGGGGCTAGTTCGAGTGGTCCGGAGCCGAGTGCGGAGCAAGTTTCGATGTTGGCGGATATGGGTTTCAGTTCAGCGCAGGCTAAAAAGGCGCTGCGGGAAACGGTTCGTACTGTTCCTGCCTATGGTCTCCAAGCTTTTCCACGAACGATCTGTATGGACGCTATCTCTGCTGAATGATTGTGCTCAGGGAGGTGATCCCGAACGCGCCGTCGAATGGCTCTTCTCACATCCAGACGACACAGGCCTTGACGATCCCGCTCCCGCTGCGCCCACCACTGCCGAAGCCACGACCCCATCTATGGGCGGCACTGCGACCATCCCAGCGAAATACATCCTCAAAGCCTTCATCTCGCATAAAGGCCCATCCGTCCACTCGGGACATTACGTCGCGCATATCAAGAAGGAAGGGGAGGGATGGGTGTTGTTTAATGACGAGAAGGTGGTGAAGGCAGATGAGGAGAGCGTGAGGGAGTTGAAGGCGTTGGCTTATTTGTATGTCTTTGAGAGGGTTTGAGGGTATGGAAGCGTAGAGAATGGGTAGGGTAAGGGAAGGTAAGACAAGGTAGATGAGACACATATGGAACAGATGGAAAAAGGAGAAGATATTGATGCATGTATACTATCACAGCAACATTGCAAGAACTCAAAGTCGTCTGTACAATGAATATGGTCTACCCTCGAGCCACGGCGGAGTAAGCTGTTTGAGCATCATGGGAAAATTGGCCTCTTCATGGTCAGCGTTGATCAGAATCCCAAACAACGGTCAGGTCTTCAAGCTCAAGTTCGCGCTTGCTGTCGATTGACAATCGATTCTCTCACTCGGTTCGCCTCATGCTCTCCTGCTTTTCGATGACTAGCGACTGACGTCGAACTGCACGCCTTTCCGCAGGATTTGGTAGTCGGTCGACATAATGACTCACCCCTCTCGCTCCTCGAGAATGTTTATCTCCTCACTTTTCTCGTTTTCGTATTCTTTGCGGTCTAGCCCATAACTGTTTCACCGATATGATATCATTGAACGCCTTGTCGACGTTGGCCACCTGCCAAGGTGTGGCCCATTTCCGATTGTATCACTGCGGGCCGGAGCTCCGACGGACCTATCATGTCCTGTATCCGACCATGGCCAGACTTTATAAAACCAGCGAGCTCCTCGGAGCAGCGAAGAGCCCACCCATTCCCAGGCTTTCTCTCTATTGGACCTCTTTGCGAGAGTCGTTGGCGTCGGCGTCGAGGCTTCCGTTACTTTTTCTTGTGAATAGACCTCTGATTTATCCTACGACCTTCACGACGACGAACGAGAACCGGACCAGACAAGATGCTTGGCGCTGGAGCTCTCATCTGGGTGTCGTTCAGGCCTTTGCTTCGCTTGTGAGTGGTATTTGCCGTTCTATATATTTATGGTGGAGGCTCAACTTATTCCTGTCGTACATAGGTTCCTCTGCGTTGCTTCTGGCTTTATTTTGACCAAAGCCGAACTGTTCCCCGTTCAGGCCGCTCGTGGAGCGGGGCAGATTGCGCTGGTGCGTTCTCAATATCATCCAAATATCTTCAGCGCTAAATCAAAGCTTTGCGTTTAGAATATTGCCATGCCATCCCTCATGTTCTCTCGCATTGTTCCGGCCTTCTCTTCAGACAACATCTCCGCCCTAGGTGTGCATGCGCAGGAGCCTGCCTTCACCCAAAGGCCTCCACCCCTCCCCTCTTCCTTCCCTGTCCCCTCTCCCGCTCATGTATAGATGAATCTCGCTAGGACCCTTGGTTTTGATTGCTTTCATATATCAGGGCATAGGCATGGTCATGGCCTGGACCATTACGCAGATATTCTGGGTCCCTCATCGGTTTAGGCATGGGATGATCGCTGCTGGTATCTGGGGGAATGTTGGTGACATTCGTGAGTCTACGCCCCCTGTCCTTTCTGGTTTCCCGGTTCAACGCTCATAGCAGGAGCTCATGGAGTTACGAAACCTTTTTTACAGCAACCTCTGTGATCATGAGTATCACAGCAGTGGCGCCCTTCAATGGAACTGCAGACGAAGACCTCGCGGTGGCATATATCTCCGCCTTTATCCTCGTGTTCTTCGTAAGAATTCGTCTTATCACACCAAGATTATACAATTGAGCTCCTCTGTTCCCAGGTCACGCTCTTCCCTATGGGCGGTAATCGTCTCATCGCCAGGGACTTTGTTGGTCCAGACGTCGAGCCCGATGAAGTTCGCGAAAGGCTCAGATGCAGGCAACGCAAACTCCTACTCAATTTCGTTGCCCGCGCCCGGAACTGGAAACACCCGTTCAGCTCGACAGCATCCATCAGCTCCGACGAGAAGGCGTCAGACCCAGAGTTCCGGCCCCATTCGCCATCAGACTTTGAGGCTGACGCGCCGAAGGCTCGGTCTTACTCCAAAGCGCCACTGAGCAATGACCACGGGCATGACCTCAACGAGAAGGATGTAGATGATTGTGGCTCGCCTGGAAATTATGGCCCATCATCGCCTACACCGTCCGATGCCTTCCATAACTGGATGCCATCTATGAGCCGACACGTCTCCTTCTGCCCTCAAGATGACGGTGGCACCACCATTGTCCCACCACATTCCGACGCTGCCCTTGCATCACGGTTTGCCTCTCCGGTTGCCTCACGATTTACTTCTCCCGCACCCACAATCGTCCACGGTGACCAGCCTATCTCACCTATCATTCCGACCAATCCAACACTTCCTTCTTTCACCTCTGAATCCGCCGTCGCTCGACCATCTAACGCGAACCGCACCCGTCGCCAAAAGATCATCTGGAACCTCCGCACCATTCTCTTAGGCTTCGTCACACCCGCTTCCCTGTCCATCATCATTGCCTTCCCTATCGCACTCATCACGCCCGTAAAATCCCTCTTCACCACCACATCATATACCGGCATTCCAAATGCACCCGACGGTGAACCTCCCCTCGCTTTCATCATGGATACCACAACATTCATGGGCGGAGCTTCCGTTCCCCTTGGATTAGTATGTTTGGGGAGTGCGTTGGCTAGATTGAAGGTTCCGAGCTTTAGGAGCAGTGAAGAGTGGCAGAAGATACCGAGGGGTGCGATTATGAGTTTGGCGATTGGAAAGATGATTATCAGTCCCGTGCTAGGCGTTTTGATCGTCAGAGGGTTGACGAAGGCAGGCGTTGTGGATTCGGAGGATAAGGTCTTACAGTTCGTTTGCATGTGCGTCCCGTTCGTTCTCTACTCTTGTTGTCATGAACAGTCGTTGATGTTCGTTGGTGGAATAGTTTCTTATCCTGCCTGCCGACAGCGACAACACAGGTGTTCCTCACGCAGGTGTACTCTGGTACTGGATCGGCAGAACACTTGTCACCATTCCTCATCCCTCAATACATTATTATGTTTGTCTCCATGACCGCACTTACGGCTTATACTCTTCAACTTCTTTTCTAATCGACCTTTTCGATATCTACCTTTACATCCCCACAGCTCACGTCCCCCTTGTCCCTCTTCGTTTATCTTCTGGCGACGAGCCTCTGCAATGCCGATATTGGGTTCGTAGAATAGACATCACCCACTTATGCTTCATCCTCATCCTTCATCATTTTTCTTTACCTACACCCTCTCGACATAGATTTTCGCTCACATAGAGTGTACGTACTGTACATACAGAGCCTTCCCGTTTGCCTGTCACCGCCAAAATGTGCATCTTGTACAGCGCTCGCTGCACGGATATGTAGCATGGACTAATGATTTATGACCTGTCTTCTAATTCCTCGCTCCTTGTCCATTGTCGACTGAGGGCGTATGCAATCCTCCACACAAGGAGTAGATTCACTAAAAAGTCCTAGCTGTTCGTCGCACGTTAGTTGATACAGTACCACACCGGACTGAGCATCATCTTTCCAATTCTGAAGCTGACGACACGCTATCTGCCGCTACTCACCGCTCCCCCTAACTCGATGACTCCGATCTCGCTAACACAGAGGACGAGGTGGGCGTTCGACAGGATCCATCGTCGGAGGGGGCCGAAACAGAATATAGAGAGAGTATTGGATAACTACTTTCGAGGGAATGATCTCAGGAGTAATGAGCGGAGAGTTAGGTGGCCACAATCAAATGCTCCTGACTGCTGAGCAACCCTGCCAAGATTGAAACCATAAATGTCACGACGTTTTGCCATAAGAATACAGTAATGGTCCGAGATAGCAAAGAGAAAATGAGGGATTGTACGTTCTGCGAGATAATATTATACAGTATTATATTATGCGATACAAAATGCGACGATACGGGACGAACGAGATGCGACAAGATCCGGTACGAGACAACATACGACGAGACGGAACGAACGAGATGCGACGAAATACGGTGTGAGACAAAATGCGACTTGGCGGGACAACTTTTCCTAATTGAATCACTATGGAACGTCACCACGACAACTATCATATTCCTGCACCAGCTGTGTCGAGCCACCTCGTGACTTTCGCTTCGGGAGGCTCAACACGCTTGCCTAGTCCTGCATTATACAAGCCCGTAAGCACTGAATACATGACGTCGAACTTATCGGTGCCATCGATAACTGTGTCATCCGAGCGCACAGATCTATGATCATCTCCATCATTCCTTTGCCTCGATGCACGATCTTCGGCGGTGGTAGAGTACTCCGGTCTGGATCGGGACATGCTCGGGTGTTCGATAGGCTTAGGTCGAGGGAGATGTTCTGGGAATATACGAAGCGCGCCGTCGGCTCCAACGCCCCATTGTCGTAATGCAGCAGCTCCGTAGGCACAATCGAGAAGAAAGGCGGACGGCTTTTGCATTTTATGGTTCGCAAACGCAGCATCCGTGTTATCACCCATCCCAAGGAGGTGTGCTTCGGATGGGTTTACGATCCATTGCGCAGTGAAGCGCTGATAATTGGGTCTAGAAGGATTGGGGAGTGTCTGGGGAGGGACCGGGGCCCGTCGATCGGATTTTGGTATATCTTCTACGGTGAGGATGTGATTGGGAGTCTAAGAGACACAATTTAGACTCAAACTTGGAGGATGATGCAGGCAAATAATCTTACGTGCATGATAGCCCACGAGCCGTCATCGTAGAGACCATGCGGGGCACACAAAAAACCGTTCCTTTTATCGTCGATGTCCCTCAGCGTAGCGATAGGATCGTCGACCTCGTGACCCGGTTCATTGCATCTGTACGAAGGGGGCTCCGAATCTGGCTGCAGGCGTGATCGAATGAGCTTTTGAAGCCACTGAGATGACCACCTGTGGTTAAGCATTGGTTTGTCCCGGCATGACGGATAGAAAACGCACCTCGCTGCCTCTTTGGAAAGGTACAATGTGGGCAGCCTCGAAGAAAAGGAATCCTGTGAAGATGCAGCGCTCGTCGCGCTCACGAAGCTTGTCACTGAAATTCCGCTTCCGAGATTCGCTGGTTGCGGAGCCTTCTCCCTGCCTACCCAGGGTGGTAGGGTCGAACGTTCTGGCGTCCGCCACTGAATATCAAGAGAAATTGTCAGTTGACTGGACTGCGGGCCAGAAAGGCGAATGCTCACATGAGGAGGGTGGTCTCGGTACAAAGATGTACTCAGCCGCCGGGAGCAACGAGTCGAGTGGAAAATCATCGGGCAGATCCTCAGAGGTGTCCGCGAGTTGGATAGTGCCAGGAAGCATCAAAATGGCCCAAGCGAGGAACCTAAGATACTTGACGGGGTGGAGGCATAGGGCGTCGAGCCTTGATTTTGGAATCGTGAGAACGACGGGGTCTTCTATGATCGTCTCTACAGCAGGCTGTCCACCGTCGAGAGGCTGAGACATAAGGCGGGCCCCTTTGGGGACCACAACAAATGTGATGGTAGGATCCAACGACATTTTTGAGTGGACGAGGGCGGAAGGAAGGAGGAGAATATGAGGAGAACTCCCAATGGTGACAACGCCAGACGTGTTTGTCCTTATTTGTGGGGCCTAAAACACTGGTGCCACGCCGTGCGGCGGCCGCTTCACCAGTACTGTTAGACTCGTACCCATCCCACTCGCGTCTGATCAGAAAGAAAAACTGATGCGATTGAGATATAAAAGTTTTGAGTGATTTTTTACGACCCGGCACCTTTTTTTCGCCCTCGACTTTGAGAAAAGAGCGCGGGCGTGATTCTGGGTCACGCTCGAGCTGTGGCGCGGTGCCACATTGTGCCCTTCGGGCCACAACAACAACAGCAAGATCAAAGAGACAGGTCGAGGTGATTTCTTTCGTGGTTGATATCCTTTGTATATATATTGTCAGTGTTGTGGCAATGTCTGTGAGCTTATGGACAAAGGGGGACCACACAACAATTTTTTGTTGGATTACATCACTGGAAACTGAGACTAAGTACATACTCCCTAGATTGATCGGGAGTGAAAGAAAGAACTGCTACAGATATCATGCACACTTCACCATTCTCCTCACCCTGAGAGGCTCGATAACACCGAAGAGTGACAAGTTCTACACGACCTACTCGAGGAGAGGCACAGAGCAAGCACGGCACGGGCATCTTGGATACATGATGGACTAGATGAATGAGAACATAGAAAGATCATTCACAAGGGTGGAACCACGACCATGTTCAGCCTGCAAGCACTATCCTCCACCCGGTCTCTAGCCCTGACTCCTCCTTGGACGGCCTTGAAGGGACGAATATACACACCGGTGTGCGTGCGTTCGTGCGTATGCGAATGTGGACGTGGCGGGTGGAAAATATGGCTCGACCTCGCTTGGATGAGGGAGATGGGATGCGCGGGACCGAGAAAGAAAGAAAGAGATTTGGAAAGAAAAAGATGACGCACCAGGGCACTCGCCCCCGTATGCCCTCATCTCCTGTATGCTCGCACTCCTCCCCATCTCTAATCCTCCACCCTCCTCGAATGGTTTTGAGGCGATGGATACGCACGTTTGCGTGCGCGCGCGTATACGCAGGTGCGATCGCGGAAGAGCGAGGGCGTTCGCTTCCTCATAATCGGAGATAGACGCTGTCGGCGTGTCACGAGTGCCACAACACATCGACGGTAGAGAGAGAACACGGATGCGGGCGCGCGTACGTGGGTACGTAGGCAGAGGTGGACGAGGAGGTGTGAGTGAGTCCGTAGTGGTGGTGCGAAAGAAGGAGGCAACACGCGTCGTTGTTCGCGGTGAGCGTGGACGACGCGCTAAGCACCTGATGACGCGTCTCGCACGCGTTCGACGTTGTCGAGCGCGAGAGCGCGAAGTAAGCACGAAAGAGAAAGAAAATAAATGAAAGAAAGAGAAGACAAGAGCCCGCTAGGGCCTGGAACTCGACCAAGATGAATGAATGGGGACAGGATGTGGTTGTAGGGCAGAGGAGGGAGGAGGAGAGGAAGAAGGATGTGATAGCGTTGAGAAAGGTCGTGACATCGCCTTTGTCGTTCTCCCCTCATACCATTCCCATCAGCACCAGAACGTGAGGATGAACACCCCTGCTACGATGTCAGGCTCGGGTCACGACTATGGCAGTTAGGAAGGCTTAGCTTTCTGCTTCTGCATCAGATGCTCATTCGAACTCGAGTGCGGGTGTGCTGATTGGCGAGCTTCAGGTGTGGAACTCGGAGGGTATGCCAAAGTGTGGCTGCCCGTCCATTGACCTTGAATGTTGCAGTGCAAGTGGGAAGGGAAGTGGCGAGCGGCGAACATGGTAGCAGTTGACTTCGCCTGTGAGCGCCGCCACTCAATCCCGTTTTCGTATTTGTGTGGCGCTATCGAGTACATAGGCCACCAGAAACAAAGTTTCGCTTCTACCTATACTGGCCTTTCTGCGTCACGATTTCTGTCGTACTGCAAACCAAATCTACGTGTAATATAGATCGAACAGTATATATTTCAATTCGTCTCCCACCCATCACTTTGATCTGTCTCGTCCTCAACACCCACGAAGCCATCTGAATCCTCGCCGGCTATGTACTTCTCAGTACCCCCTACAAAAAGTCCCCCGACCTGCTCGTCATCCGAATCCCAGCCGTCCTGGAACTCTCCTACGTCGGATGCCACATCATTGTCATCTACACCCACCAGTCCATCCTCCATGCCATCTTCATCGATATTGAGCTCGTAGAATAGACATTGTCCACTTATGCTTTATCTTCACTTTCCACTACCTGCACCCTCTCGACATAGATTTTCGCTCACATAGACTGTACGGACTGTACATACAGAGCTTTCTCGTTTACCTGCCACCATCAAAAATGTGTATACTTGCACAGCGCTCGCCGCACGGATGTGTACTATAGACTAATCATTGATGTCCCGTCTTCTAACTCCTCGAATCATATCCGATCCTCTCACATAAGATTGAGCGATTGTGCATGCTGCCTTATACAGGCAGTCGTCGAAAATGATACACAATGAGTACATAGCTATCTTGCAAGGTTTCGGTCCCACATCGAGCGTTAGCGGATATAGCAAGCGTATTGTTGACATGGGCGACCGCCACACGCCACTGTGGCGCTAACATTGACACACAAGGACAAATAGGGACAAATACGTCCAGCGATGTCATTTGGTTGTCATTGGCGATTCTCCTCTTTCTCTTCGCCCTCGTCCACTCGAAAATGTCTTCGGATTCTACCATCACATTCGCTTTAGTTCCCAAAGGCTCTCACTTTAGGTCTCCGCCTCTCGACTATGGACAACCTGCTGTAGAGGAGATCGTTGAAGACCCCGTCGTTCTCATGATTCCAAACTCGCGGCTCCGCGCCCTTTGTCTCCATCCTGTCAAGTATCTCAAGTTGTGAGCATTCGTCATTTTTGCAGACATACCGGGCAACTTATCGTTACTCTTGACATCCAGTTGCGGATGCCAAAACATTCGACCCCACCGCCCTAGGTAGGAAGGGAGAAGACTCCGCAACCAGCGACTTTCGAAAGCGGGATTTCACGGACAAGCTTCGTGAGCGCGACGAGCGCTGCATCTTCACAGGATTACCTTTCTTCGAGGCCGCTCACATCATACCTTTCCAAAGAGGCAGTGAGGTGCGTTTTCCATCCGTCATGCCAGCACAAACCAATGCTTAACCCCCGGTGGTCATCTCAGTGGCTTCAAAAGCTCATTCGTATACGCCTGCAGCCAGATTCGGAACCCCCTTCGTACAGTTGCGATGAACCGGGTCACGACGTCGACGATCCCATCGCTACGCTGAGGGACATGGACGATAAAACGAACGGTTTTTTGTGTAACCCGCATGGTCTCTACGATGATGGCTCGTGGGCTATCACGCACGTAAGATTGTTTGCCTGCATCATCCCCCAAGTTTGGGTCTAAATTGTGCCTCTTAGACTCCCAATCACATCCTCACCGTAGAAGATATACCAAAATCCGATCGGCGGGCCCTGTTCCCTCCCCAGACGCTCTCCGACCCTTCCAGAGCCGGTTACCAGCGATTCACTGCACAATGGCTCATAAACCCATCGGACGCACACCTCTTTGGGATGGGCGATAACACGGATGCCGCTTTTGCCAACCACAGCATTCAGAAGCTGTCTGCGTTCCTTCTCGATTGCACTTACGGAGCTGCTGCGTTACGGCAGTGGGGTGTTGGAGACGACAGTGCGCTTCGTATTCTCCCGGGGCATCTTCCTAAACCCCTCCCTGTTGATCGTAGTTCAGCTTACACGGATGAACCAGTCATCGAAGAACCTGACAAGTTCAGCGAAATGTGCTCAGTGCTTACAGGCTTGTACAATGCAGGACTAGGCAAGCGTGTCGAGCCTCCGGGAGCGAATGTGGCGCGGTGGCTTCAGAGAGATGGAGCGGGAATATGAGATTCGTTGTTCTAATGCACCGTAGCGATTTCAGTGGGGGAAATTCGTCTCGTCTGTGATTTTTCAAACTCGTCTCATACTGTTCTCTCTTGCCTTGCCTTGTCTCGTTGTATATCGTCTCGCATCCTAGCCGTGTCGTATCGCCGTCTCTGGTCTGGTCTGGTCTCTCTCCTGTGCTATCTCGTCTGTCCTGCCATGCTGTCTTGTGCGCGCCGTCTCTTTTCTCGCCTTGTGGCGCGTCATGTCATACTTTGTAATGCCAATATTGTTGAACGGTCACGCACACAATTTCTCGTGCACAGCTTACACCACTGTGCTTGTACTTGTAAGAAAGCACCGAAGTTCGCATTCACAATCATCATCTTGGCATAATCCTCGTTCAGGTCGTAAGTTTAGGATGTCTGTATGCATATCGTTTGGATTCTTCCGCCGTATACGATGTGGGTCCGTTGCTACTATGACTTTCATTTACTCCGGGCTTGAGCACAGTTCTAGTTCTCAGCCTTCATTCTTCCTCTCGAGTACATTCGGAATCGTGTATCTCCCTATAGGCAACTAGCCCGCTCCCCCTGTTATGTTGGCTCGTCCCTCAATATGGGATTGGATCGGATGCCCGTAGGAGTGAGCCTGATCGGTTGTAAATGTCATCAATATCTTCAGCGCGTCATACTTTGTCCTCCACGTAAGAATCTACTTTGTCTTCTTTTACGTTAATAAGCACTGATCTCAGGTATTTCCAAGCTCCAGAGACCGTCTCAATTTTTGTACAGCTCAAGTTCGATGAACTCCCAAGTAAATTGCCACCAACACGTTTCTCACGTGCATAGCAATCCCGAGATGACTCCGCGTGAAACTTTGTTTGACAAAATGGTCAGACTGTGCTAATATAACCGCTATTTGTTTTTGCTCTGCCGCTGATCTCTTCATAACACCCAACATAGACAGCGGTGAATGCTAGAAGCCTTGTATTTTTCTCCACCGCAAGGTTCCGAGCATTTGCAAAAGTTCACCTCCCAGGTTCTTTCTCTTCAACTCTATCTCGTTCATTCGGTTAGTGATCTATGACCTCTTCATCGAAGAACTTCCAGGCTCACCGTCCACCTCTTGCCAAATATTCTGCCTGGTTCTTCCTGACTTCCTCGTACACGACCTCCCAGTCTCGGCACTCATAGGTGTCCGGGAGAGGCTTCGGGGCAGGTGATGCAATCACTGGTGATAGATAGACGTCTGCGCGACACAACACTGTTTGTCGAAGGTAGTTTACGCAATGCTGGGCGGGCGAAGATGCTTCGGAAGAAGATGTGTTATGAGTTTGAACAATCTCCTTTCGTATGATATTGAGGCATTGCAACTGATGGAATATGGATAATGTGAAGGGTCGGTATTCTTTTCCTAGAAAAACCATGCCTCCTCCTGGATATAAGGCTCTCCATTCCATATCGGCTTCAGGTGCGTCAATTTGGTAGTGCATTGTCTCTTCTATCGACATTCGGACGACCTGCTGTTGCGGTACAGTCCATGTGGATGAATAGATAGGATTGTCGTGATCTGCTTTTGGTCTAAATGAGCTTCGTCTAAGTACCGGATAAGCACATACTGGTATTGGCGAAGAGTGAAGCACTCCGCAAATCCCTCGCATTTCTAAGGAATACTAGGCCACATCCCTTCGCAAGGATAACGAAGCATATAAACAGAAAGTGACCGAGAGAGTGAGCTCTCAGCTCCGTCAAGTGCCGTTTCAAGCTCATCGCTCTGTACATCAATGAGTAGACGGAGCCGGGGGAAGAGTAACGGACAGGAAGCGTTGTCCGCATGTATGCTGCCCTATGGATATCGGACATTTCTCCCATGCACATTCCCCTCTCAGGGTAACTGTAACCTTGGGCGCCCTGGCAGACTGCCCCAGTGATCCAATCTTTCGTACTGATGATTCGTCATCGATTATGCAGATTCTTTTTCCTCTATACGGTGGGCCACATGGATCCAGGGCTGATGATGAACCCAAATCTTTTGTTGGGGCCATATGGTCCCACACAACCGGATACGTCACCCTGAGACAATAGTTTGGGCGCTTCAGTGCGATTCGATAAGACCTGTCTGAGGGTTTCTACGCCATCTAGGATCCACCCTTCCTCTCCCCACGTACTTTATCTTTCTATGTCTGTTGAAAGTCCCATAGACCTTCCCCTTGAACGCTCACTCTACGTGGGCAACTTCATGCGTGGGATCCTCTATGGTGCGCCTGAGACATGGCGTACGACCACATTAGTGCTGATAACTCTGGTTTCTAGGTATAGAGCTCTTCACCTTCTCCCAAGCCGCTCACCGTACCCTCAGTCAACCCGCCCAGTCCAATCGTCGCAGCCAAGTTCTCTACGTTGTTTATGGTGCCGTCTTAATGACGATGGTCACAATTGCCGTGACTACCGACGCACTCTGGGGCGAGTTCATGTGGATCGACCACAGGAACCATCCAGGAGGGCCGTTGGGATACTTCGGTGCCACAACGTCAATGTGGATGAACGTGTTCGGGTCTGCTGCCGACGCCACGGCGAACATTCTAGGTGATGGTCTATTGGTGGGTCATTTCATTCGCTCCCTTAAATTTGAGACATTCTCATACAGCAAGTGCTCTAGCTCTATCGGTGTTATATGATCTGGGGATCTAAACTGTGGATTATTGCGTTCCCAACACTCATATACCTGGCCTCTTCCGGTACGTCGTCAACTCAAAGTTGAAACATAGACGTGGCTGACGATGACTCTAGTCCTTGTCATTATCACCATCGTGGAGAGCGCCCTGCCGGGTGCATTCTTGCTCAACGGAGCCGCAGCCAATTTCGGAGTGCCATGGGTCTCCCTCTCCGTCAGCCTCAACGTAATTCTCACTGCTATGATATGTGGAAGACTCTTAATGATGCGCCGTATGACTCTCTCGATGATGACTCCTGAGATGGGAAACATGTATACCGGTGTGATGTCAATACTGGTGGAGTCAGCGTTGCCCTTCAGTGTGGTCGGTCTAGGATTTGTAGTGACATATGCGAAGAGTAGTCCTACATCCAATGCATTTGCGTACGTTTGGGGTATGTTCTGTGTGAGTCGCCTTCTCTTTAGGCTGTTAGTTATAAGTACACGACCTTACCTTGTCCCTTTGTCAGTCTCTTTCCCCCCAGATGATCATTTGGAGGGTGGCTATGGGGCGGGGGTGGTCCAAGGAGACAGTGCAGCAAGTCAGCGGCCAAATGGTTTTTGCACATCCCGAAAGCACTACGGAGATTGGTGGAATAGAGAACTCGCTCGGCACTGCGACGCTTAATGCTTCGGATTCCAATAGGTCCTTGAAGGAGCCGAAATCGGTAGGCGCGATAGTGTAGAAGAATATTTTTCGAAACCCAAGATAATTATAGCTTACATTTTTATGTGACTGGCAGGCTGGGCGAGATCCAAGGCGGCGGTCAAGGAGCAGGACGAAGGAGTTTACGAAAGAACGAAGGGACTTCTTCGTCAGTAGGACCGATGACTGCGGCCTAATTCGCCTTCTGTTGTCTGTATCGTTATGTTTTCTGCGGCAACTTTCAGCATTCCTCTGAAAGCATTATCGTGCCGAGTTTCGGCCCTCATCGCAGACCTGCATGCGGAGTACCCATGCTGAAACGTTCTGGGTTTATCCGCACACTTCTATGTAAGATTTTGACTCTGCTACAAGCTTCCACATGAGGATAGGGCGAAAGGTCTGTCAGTATTCTATTCTGCTTTTCTGCAATCAGTGGAGATGTTTATTGAGCCAAATAATGCTGCCGCTAGACCTAAAGCTCATGTGTCGGGTATCAAGTAGCTTGTTGGATCTGCTCATATTATAGCCACAACTTTCGCACATCATAAGACAAGTTACCATGTGCGTCTATTACATTCGTCCGTGGACGTGCCAAAGCCTGTTTCACCTGATCTTTGATAGCTGCTACTGTTAATCTTCAGGGGTGTTTTGCGCACCGGAGGAGTGGGTTGAACCTGAGACGTGCGCAAAAACTAGACCTGGGATGATGGGAAAACCGCAGTTACATCAAATAACTCTATGATCGGAGCTGATTCGAATACAAATATCAGTGGTATATTTAAGTGCTTCGCCATTGGACACGAGGATATGCAAATGATAAGCTATTTTCCCGATTGTACACATACACTGTGGATGCCCGGTGTAGCCATAGTTTTAAATCAAAGTTAAAATGTCGATGCCTCAGCTCGAGTCGGAAGTTCGGGACTACTACCTTCAATGAGTAGGTTGATATGACGGAATGATTTCTGCGCCCGTCTGGTGCTTCTGTAGAGGATGCAGCATCATAAATTCCATGGTAGAATGATGGACATTATTGGCAACTACTAGCAATCTTCTGCGCAGGGCCTAGCTAAGTTACCAGGCCCGAGGTCGCTGTGAAAGGTATATTCTTCCCATTTCAGGCCATCTTGTGGCTCTTTTGTTCTTTCCAATCTGAGTTGAATATCGATCCCCGTGGATTCAACTTGAGTTGTGCGTGATTAGTATGTAGCCATGTATCCCCCAATGGAATCAAAACCTGGAGAATACACCCGGACCTTGATCTCCGTACTCCGACATCCCCCTCGTCGCGGTAATTGCCGATCTTCCCCAGAGGATTATATAGAAGTACGATCCTAACTCCTAAACACAACTTCAGGCCTACTCAAAGATGAAGTGCTCTTTTGTGTCAGCTGTTCTGTGTTTCTACGTCGCTTGCACTGCTGCCATCCCAGTTGGAAAGGCTGAAGGTGCGCTATGCTTACACCTCTTGATATTCTACAACTACGAAGGCCACACTTTACTGATATCTTTCTTGTTCTCCGTGACATAGACTCTACTGTCTTGCAATCTAGACGGGATGGCTCGGATGACTCTGTCGAAGGTTTGAATTTTCAACGATGTTTCGGTCGCACCTCTAGACATTAGGATTGAAATTTTCCATCTACTTCCCAAGCTGCTGCCCTGGTGTCTCCTCAACCAGATACCGTTTTCAAGCGTACCTTTGGGAATAACCCTCAAGGCATAGAAGGTATAATGTGATTTCGATATCACTTACCAGGCACTTTCATTATGCTTACATTTTTTCAGCGTCCCAGGAGCGTCTGCATCCTTCGAAGATATCCGGATGCATGGAGGAGCCTAGTAATGGCGCGCTTCTCCTGGATCCGTTCCTCCCGGCTCCTGCTTGATGGATAATTGTCCATATCTGTAGTGATATTCATCAAATTTCCTCAACCGGAAGAGCTCTCCAGGCGGTCAGCTGAGACCGACGACGCTGAAGGTACGAGGCGTATAACTGTACTCTGAGTGACTCAGGTCTCATGATTTTGACACAGCCGCTGCGCTCAAATTTCCACAGCCAGACGTGGTCTTCAAATGATTCCGCTGAGAACTTCGCGGGATCGCTTTGGATTATCGTGATCCTTCGGCTGTATTCTCCTTCAAGTAATAAATGTAGTTCAGTATATGGCAAATGGTGGCTACCCTACCATTGTAACATCGATTGTTTTATCTTTGCATATGCACATTAAACGAGTGGGGTTCCCCAACTCCGAAATTGCTCGACGATGATCAGAAACAACGGTTCGCATTGCATCAAACATGGTCCACCAACCCAGCCGAGCTTTTCACACTCTATCACCTTTAGTCATTTCGCTGCTCCTGTGTTCAGAACCAGGGTGTTTGACTGCGAAACGTTCTGCTCTTCCATCGCGATTCTGATACTAGTAGAACATTCCCATGATATCTATGAAAAATATGGAATCCAACCTCACTTCTGATGAATTGTGCCAGTGGTCGACCGTTCTATTTCTGCAATCATGGCGATGCTCTCACACAGTTGCAATCAAGTATGGTATGTTACTCTCCATCATCGGACCCCCCGCGTGAAGATCCTCCCCGTATCTCCGCGGAATACTTGATAAACAGAAGCATGATGACTCGCATGATGATTCCCAGCGCTCTCCTCAAGCGCTGGCTGACATCGAACGTTTTCTCACACATCCACATACCTACCCACCCACACGGTTCCATTTCAGATACAAATATCCCAACAACATACCCTACTTGATATAGGAGGCTTTTCCAATCTGCTAGAAAGATCGACTACGGATACCATTATCTGGAAACCTCCCCGCTACCTCTGACAACACTGAAGATGCACCAAAGCGTATACGTTGCCCAACTCAAAGAGCCCATAGGTATGTGTTAACAACAAACTCTGGTTGCTCATACTAGTCATGAAAATACGTGTGCTACAATAGCTTCGCAATTGGATTCAGTTGTGGATGTATGTGTCAGGGCTTACGACGGAGGTGTGTACTGTATCTTGCTTGTCTCTTGTGCGGATTCCAATAATCGGAGATATTAGACATCGCTGCGAAGGTATTTACAGGGGGAGACCTGAGCCTCTCAGAGGTGATGTGGAGATCGATGGTCCGCGCAGGTTTCCATAGCGGTGCAGTATACGTAGCGTCGCACAGCTCAGATCTGACAGATATTGTGTCAATCGGTGTCTGGTTCGGTCCAGGCGAAGTCCTTTATGCTACGTGAGTAACTTCAGCTGCTTCCCTTTCATCATCCGTCCTGACGTGCCTGTCAGAGAGGAGCAGCGCGCTTTGGGATTTAATGAATTCTTTTCCAAAATTGCTCCTGAATATCAAGAATGGATCACCAATGATGCAAGTGATTTGTTGTTTTATATAAATATAATATGCTGGGAAATCCTCATAGTACCTCAGTTTTCCCCTAAGGTCCGCGCATTCAAGACCAGAGTATTGGGTCCGACTGTAAGTTACATTTTTCGGTTGTATGCTGATGTTTTATCTTACAATGCTGTTCCAGACCGAGCGTGATGCGTGGTATTGCAATATCATGGCCACTCGTCCGGATTGTCAAAAACAAGGGCTAGGTTCTGCAATCATCCGAGCTGTTTGTGATCGTGTACGTGGTTTCGTTCTCTCCGCGATTACCAATACAAATCGTCTCAAATTAGGCCGCGAGTGAAAAGAAACTAGTCGCGCTCGGAACGCAATCCGAGGAAAATGCAGGTGTACTCTTTCCGTACAGCCTTTATGCTGGTTAACACCATGATGGTTATTACTAGGCTGTATTCTATCGCAATTTCGGGTTCCAGGAGGTAGGACGAATGGATGAGAAGACGCCCTGGGGCATCTTCACGGGTAACATGTTCATACTCGATCAGAGCCAGTCTTAGGTAGTCGTGTAATGCCGCATAAGGATGAAACTGTGCCAAGGTGTTGTCAGTGAGGCGATAATTTCAGCTTATCATTTTGTCTCACCGAAGCGTAAACAAATCACAGTGTAGTATTTGTATGCCTCAGTCAATGAAGCACTTGTATAGATCTTGACGAGAAAAGTTCTACACAACAAATTGGGACTCGAAGGGGGAGTACACTACTGGGAATATTTCACCTGTGTGATTGTATATTAGTTCTCAACATTTAACACATGATTATTCAACTATGCTCACATTAATGATACCCTGGTCGACTCTGTACTTGTACCAGTCGATCCAGTTCCTCCTCATCTGGGTGTATACGGCCTCCCAATCATGACATATGCGAGTGTCGCTCCAACGATCAACGGTAAAATTCCTCTGCATTGAACTGCCCTCTTCTAGCGTCAGATCCGCTTGACACAGTATCCACTGTCTGAGCATGTTTAGACAGTGTTGTACATGTGGCCAGCGCTCGCTGTCGACAACGCCAATCTCTCCCTCCATGTAATGAAGGCAGTGCAGCTGGTGGAACATGGAGACGAGGAAGGCGCGATTGTCGGGACCCAAACGAACAACTCCTCTCCCGTATGGTTCAGATTTCATCCACTCTTCTTCTGCTTCTGCTGGATATTTTATCGAAAAATGGACACTCTCTTCTATGTTCATTTCGATGGGCTTCTCGGGGGGCATTTGTAGGATTTCTGGTACGTCGTTGCCTTCATAAGCTGGGAGCAAGTCTGTGAGCTCTTTTCCCCAAACACAATACCCTCGCTGTACTTACTGTATTGTCGTTCGAATATTTCAGGCATGGGGTGCTTCGATCTCAAATCGAGCCGTTGGACAAGCTCTATTAATGACCAAGTCCATGCGATCGATATGACACTTAGAGTGCTGAGCAAAATGGATGAGCACCAAGTCGAGACGAGCATTCCAGAAAGACGATGGAGTCGAATTGTTTATCTGTATGCAGCTTCCAATGCCATTTTCAGAGTATGCCGGTGGTATGCCGAGGTTTATTCGCCACCGCTTGTCCGGTGCTTTCCAGATACTCGTATCAACTTCGGAACGTGAAGTACCGAATTGCTTCTGATATCATGATCTCTCTATCGAGGTGAGCATCTGAATCAAGAACCGCTCCCATCAACACTTCTGCGCATTCATGTGGGTCCTCGTTATATCACAGACCGGTCACTCCATCGCAGACAGTTCACTACCGATGCGGACAATCTTCCCGTTGAGCGTCGGATCTCAAATAGCAAGTACACTCCGAGTAGCAGTCCTTAGTCTAGATCCGATGGTTTCTTAAGCGCCTTTTGATCCTGTTCCACATGCTATTCCGAATCCCCACCGTCGTTGTTATGATTTGCTATTTTCAGCGCACAGTTATGAGGGGTGAAAAAGCAGTGTGCGCCCATCACAGCATCTTCAACTCTGCCCGTTGTCCCTTAAGCAATGGTAGTGAACGGCGCACATTACATGCCCCTCCTACCTGAAGATGGGGACGTCTTGAAAACATATTCCAATGCGGAAGGTACGATGTTTCCTCTGACATAGGAGCTGTTATGCTCATATGTCTATCATTGGCTCATCAAGCAAGCAAGTTTTACAATCTTCATGGATACATCGCACGATTGGCATTCATCATTCTTAGCATCTGCGCCATAGTCGACACATTTCTCGCTTTCTATGTTGCATTTTGCTACCTCGAAAGCCTCTCTTGGAAAGCTATCAGTGTTGCCTCATCCAATGCCCCACCTCTACGCAGCACGTACATTGGGTTTGACGAGATCTACACGAACCGTTCTCAGACAACCCAGCACGCCCCCATCGTTAACCTTCCCCGTTCATCCATTCAAGTATCTTCCACATCAGGGCAAGCCTTCGTGCCGTTAGTCGATGCACTGATCACCGATAATGGAATGGTTCCGGTCTATTCAAACAGAGTATGGGTAAATGATGAGGTACGTCCGTCGTCTGTTCTGAATGGCATGCAACTCATGCGTCCGTGATAGGTGTCCACTATAATCCAATTTCGTGTCATTGACTACGGAATGGAGGACTGCAGCTTAACCATGACAGTTCCCAATGTCGTCGGAAGGAACTCAAGCTTCGTCATTGGAGACTTGGAAGAGGACCGCGCATCAAAAGTCGACGTGTGGAGACTGCCAGGTAACTCACGGATAGACATTCAAGCTACATCCTGGGGAAGAGGAGAGTCGAGTGGCAGCTCGTACGTGGGTCATCTGGCGGCCGCAGTGGGATCTACCGCCGCTATCGCAAGATTTCCGTGTAAATCAGGGTCTTACTTTACGTTCAAACTGTCGTGTGCGACGGCCGATTGCGGAGTAGACATAACGACGTTCAAGAAGGAAGCAGCAGGTAAGTCGGCGTCATCCCCGAAATCCTCTCTACTCAGTTTAGGTCGGTATCGCTGACAAAATACATAGGATTATATCTTCTACAGTATCAGACAGTATGATGGCACCGCCCCAGTATTTGGCTGAGTATCGATTCGGTCTCATATGTCGTGGTCATTCGGTCGGATGCAGGCATCATATATATGCACTTGCGCTAAGGCATTAGCAATCCACAATATCTGAGGCTCGGTCTGATCAGTGTAGCCAGGAGGTGTGATCTAACATTATACTTCACTAACAATACCTTTATGCTTGTGGAACTGCAGAGAAAGAAAAACTGATTTTAATTTATGTCCTCGAAGGTTGAGCCGCCACACGGTGTGGCACCATTCTTGTGCCCCAAACATGGACAAACATGGCCGTATTTGTCATCATGTTACGCGCTTTGACAAGTTCTCCCCACTCTTGCCCCAATCCTTTCGCTCTCATCTACTCGGAGATGTCTTTGGATTCTACCATCACATTCGCTCTGGTTCCCAAAGGGTCTAGCTTTATGTCTCCATCTCCCGAGGATGGACAACCTGCCGTAGAGCAGATCGTAGAAGATCCCGTCGTCCTAAGGATCCCAAAGTCAAGGCTCGGCGCCCTTTGTCTCCACCCTGTCAAGTATCTCAAGTTCCTCGCCTGGACTATCCTAATGCTTCATGGTACTATTCAACTCGCGGATAGTGCTGAAGATCTGCCCGATGAGCTTCCACTCGACTCTTTGCTCTCGACGGCTGAGTACATCTTTATACCGAGCCCACCCTCCACATGTGAGCATTCGCCATTCTTGCACGCAGTACAGTCAACTCATCGTTTCTCTTGACACCCAGTTGCGGATGCCAAAACTTTGGATCACACCACCCTGAGCAGGAAGGGAGAAAGCTCTCAAACTGGCGCCTCCCGAAAGCAGAGCTTCAGGAACGACCTTTGTGAGCGAGACGTGCGCTGCATCTTCACGGGATTCCCACTTTTTCAGGCCGCCCACATCATACCTTTCCAACGAGGCGACGGCGTGTGTTTTTTAACGTCTATGTCACATTATACCAATGCTTACCCGCGGACAATCATCTTAGTGGCTTCAGGAGCTCATTCGGCTGCGCCTGCAGCCAGATGCATCCAACGCCCCGTCGTACATCTGCGCCGAACCAGGCCATGAGGTCGACGATCCCGTCGCGACGCTGAGAGACATTGACGATAAAAGGAATGGCTTTTTGTGTACCGCTCATGGTGCCTACGATGGCGGCGCGTGGGTCATCATGCATGTGAGAATATTTACCTACATTATCCTCCTAATTTGAGACTAAATTCCGCCTCTTAGACTCCCAATCACATCCTCACCGTAGACGACGTACTCCCATCCTATCGACGGACCCCTCCCTCTCCACAAACTCTCTCCAACCCCTCCGGAGCACACTACCAGCGCTTTACTGCTCAATGGATCGCAAAGCCATCGGAAGCAGAACTCTTCATGATGGGCGACAATACGTATGCCGCATTTGCCAATCATGGGCTTCGGAAGCCGTCCGCCTTCCTGCTCGACTGCGCCTATGGAGCCGCTGCACTACGACAATGGGGCGTCCTCGCCGACGACGCGCTTCGCATCTTCCCACAACATCTTCCTCGACCTGCCCCCATCGAACACCCGAATACGTACCGATCCAGGCCGGAATACAACACCACTGCCGAAGATCGTACATCGAGGCGACGGAACGATGGAGATGATCGTAGTTCAGTGATGTCTGATGAAACAGTCACCGGCGGACACCATCATTCTGCGCTGTCGGATGATACAGTTATCGATGGACCCGACAAGTTCGACGCCATGTGTACAGTGCTTACAGGCTTGTATAAAGCAGGAATAGGCAAGCGTGTCGAGCCTTCCGGGGCGGATGTGTCGCGGTGGATTAACACAGATGGAGCAGGAATATGATAGTCTGTTGTGATGATGCACCGCAGCGATTTGGGCAGAAGTTGTCGTCTCGTCTGTTAACTTCTTAGGCTTGTGTAGTCTTGTTCTCCCTTGTCTCGCTTGTTCTGGTCTCGCATCGTGTCTCGTCTTGTCCGTGTCGACTCGTCGTATCTGGGCTCGTGTCGTATATTGTCTTGCCTCTGCAGTGCCGTCTCGTTGCACTTTGCCTCTTGTCCGTACTATCTCGTCGAATCGTGTCTCATCGTATCTTGTCCTGTCGTGTGTTGCATCATATCATATTGTGCAGTATTATCTCGTAGATCGTTCAAGTCCCCGCTTTTTCGTGTTTATCTCGCACCGTGACTGTACTCATATGGAAAGTGTCGTGACGTTCAGATTGTCCTCGAAAAATGTGTATATTTACCCAGCGCTCGCTGCAGTGATGTATATTATAGGCTAATAAATTTTGATCCGTCTTCTTGCTCCCAAAGTTCTTTGCTAGGTTCATCTGGAGGAAGACGGATGCTGTTGACTCGAATAACACTATGGTCCAAACGGCCGTGTCTCAAAACGAGCGTGTCAATCATTTTCGAGAGGAGTAAGTGTGTTTACTGCTTGCGTCGTTATGTCGTCTCTACCCATCGCCAATGCATTGCAAATGTGCGCACAGAAATCACATCATAGTCATACATGCTAGACACAGTTGGATAGGGAAGTACACATATATTCTACAGAATCTTGGTCGTTCGCCGTGCGCTCATCACGCACGATCTGAGGAACAGAATATGAGTACTCCCTAAGGACATTGACGGGCAACTAGCTAGCGTACCTTTCAGTCGTCATAAAAAGCATCCTCCCCGTCGTCACGGATTCTACTATCTAAATCGAATACCTCTCCCCGAAGATGCCCTCCTCCATCGCTTTGATCTCTAAAAAAACAAAAAATTCCAAGCAAAAGTGAGCACCACATCGTCCTTCAAATTCTCATATGGCAACCTAAAATGTACTCACGCAGCGCCAAGGACTTCGAATAGAACCTACACAGCGCCAGATTCCCCATCATACAATAAAGTCCCTCGACGCCTGAATCCCTCCATGCGCTCTGAATCTCGCCCTCCTTGTCCAATCCCCAAATTGGTTTAAGCTTGTCCGCGGTAGCCGGGTCTATGATTTTACGCCAGGTGTCGCGGGTGTCGCCGTAGCTATCACACAACCAGAGGCGAGAGCGTGAGTGAAGGACTCGAGACGAGGATGTTATGTGTTGAGATTAGGCCGAGATGAGAGGGCTTACCCGGTGGCAAAGATAACAACGTCTGCATCTAAGGTGCTTCCGTCATCGAATAACAGGCCGTTCTTTATGAAGCGTGAGATCTGGCCTGAAGACTTCAGTTTGATACGCCCGTCGATGATGGCTTGGCTACCCCCAACATCTATAAGCCGTTTATGCAACATCAGCGACCGCTCATTATCGAGAAGTGATTGGAAGAGAAACGCACCGAGGTAATAACCCCCTGCTTTATTCCAGGCTGAAAGTATGAAGCCCGCGTCCTGTTCTCCCCAGTTGAGTTTGAAGCCCACTCGTCTAAGACCATCTAGAGTCTCTCTATATCATAATGGACATGAGTCTTACTATATCCAACCAGGTGAACAGCGAGAGAAAGAGGAGGTAGAAAACGCACTTATCCTTCTCCGCAATGACGTGGACCAGCCTCTGATGTAAGAGCTTGGCGAAGTAGTTTGGGAAAGACACATTCAATCGGTCGCCAATGTCCACCGGGGGTCCGTTCTCGCTGTAGTATTCTGGGTTTCGCCACAATGGTAAGTTCGGCGTCAGTATGAAACAATGGACTATGGGGTAAACAGGCAGCCTTACGACCAAATAGAGTTGTCACCCCGTGTTTTGTGGACAAGACATAGGTCGAGCTTCGCTGGAACATCGTCACATCTACGTGCAGCCATCCCAGGATCAATCAAGCTGATACAAAGATAATTGAGAAGAGAAGGACGCACCGACTCCATGATCACTCAGATCCAGGCATATATCATGTGCAGATGTACAAGCCCCGACGACGACAACTTTCTGCCCGATATGTTCCTTCGCAGTCTTGAACCGCCCAGAGTGCATGATCTTGCCAGAGAACGCATCCTACACCACGCCACGCCGCAGAGAGTCTTAGTAGCCAATCCATCCATAGACAACGGAAACAGAACACACCGCCCCCTCCACGCTCGGCATCCTCATGACTCCACCACCCAAACCCACCGCCATCACCAGATGCTTGATGTTTTCAAATTTTCGTACGGTCCCATCGGGGCGTAAGATGCTGAGGGACCATGTATGGGTCGTAGGATCTTGCGTGCATGAGAGGATGGTTGAGGAGGTCCAGACATCGAGTTCGAGAGAGTGGGCGTAGTTTTCTAGCCAGTCTGCGAGCTACGGATGGACGTCCGTGAGGGATTCAGATGTGGCGAGAAGTAGAGTTGCGAAAAGTACCTTTGGAGCCGGGGCAAATACAGGCCAAGTCGGAGGGAAACTGAAATCGGTGAAGTCAGTATCGAATTATTATCGCAGTAAACGATACTCACGGAAGGTAGGGCATGTGATCGTACCCTAAGTCGAAAGCTGATTCAACATTGTCGACGCCACATAATGAAGAGGTGCCACTCACAAACAGTATCATGCAAACACAACGCCTCATACCTCTTCCTCCACAAGTTTCCCACTCTCGGTTCTCTCTCCACTACCAGCGTCTTGACACCCAGATACTTCAGCCTCGCAGCGATCTCCAGCCCAGCCTGTCCGCCACCAACGACGATCACCTTCGGGTCCTCGTCCAAGCACTCGATCTCCCTCTTGCGCTTCTCATGCCATTTACCGTGATTCGGGGCCTGCTCGCGAAGATCCTTGATTTGTTCCGGGAAGTCGTTGAGACCTTCGAGGTTGGTGAAGATGGAGTGAGCGAGCCAGGAGCCTGTGATGGATGAGGTGGGTACGAGGCGGAAGATGCCTGAGGAGCTTCTGGTCGGTGATCGGAAAGTGAACATTGCTTGGATCCACACGATATCGGCGTATGGGCGCTCTATCGCTATGGATGATTCATCGAGTTTGAATTCGGATAATTGACCACTGGAGCCCACGACGCGATCGGAGAGGAACTGGGGGAGGGATTCGCCGTAGAAGGTACGAATGTCGTTCGTGAGGGAGATGATGTCGCGCCACCAAGTGTCCGAACCGTTATCTAAGAGAAGGGAAAGAACATCGGAGACAGAGCCAGCTTGGATGGCTTGAGAGAAGGAAGAGAACCATTCTCGAGCAATCTTGAGGGCATCGATGTCTACATCGTCAGCAAGCTTGACCCCGAGCCTATCGAGTGTGGGCAGAGTCGCATTCTGCATGCCAGGAGTTGCGGCCATGGCTACGTAGCGCAGGATTGAGTGCTTCCGTAAAGGTGAGAGAAACGAACAATGTGCGGGGAGAAAGGTGGGGCTGCAAAACTAGTCGCAATCGTGTTCGGCTCTTTATAGCGTTTGGCGGCGTTAGACAAACGTAAAAACGGAATGAAACCTGTCTCCCGGATATATCGAGCTCAATGAACGTGTCGTTCTTGTCCTGAGAACAATCTCGGTCTTATAATGATGCAGGAGGTACATATGCCTAGAACCTCTGAGGATAGTCATGAGTCGCCTGTCTGAGAAATAGCACTACCCATGATCGCATCGAAGCACTTTGGGCGCAATTATAGACAATCATGTGTGAGCCCCTATTCGTAGTATTGAGATCGCCACATTTTAGTCAGCTCGCTACATCAAGAGTCAAGACATATCGCGATCGACTACCATTGGGTAGAATACCAAAAATTGTCAGTTTGACACTGACATGTACCGACATCTTGACCCCCATGATGAATCACATGATGGAGGAGTTATTGGTCTGAATAAAAGTACTGACCTATTGAGTTAGATACGCGTTTAGACGAAGGCGATCGTAATAAGCTTCGAAGATGCGTACATTGGGCGAGTCTTTTGGATCATGAGCAAGACAGCATATATCCACTGGCAGGGACGCAGGTCGACATGGATGTATAACAACTCTGGGAAGCTGACATCTTGTATTCTCCAAGTTGTCTTTCGCTTCCGCGATAATTGGCACCGAATAGTTCTGGATGTTGGACTGGCTCACCAAGAATAGATGTGCATGATGTATCCGAACTACCAAAACCTTCTCGGCATGGACTTGACACTGTGGTCTCAGACTGAGAGCGAAGCGGGTGAAGATTGAGTTCGATACTAAATTCTTCCTAGCTGGCTAGAGAGTTCTTAGTTGAAGGGCCGAATGATCATGATGTTCGAGTCGGCGGAGAAGACAAAATCTGGTTCCCGAGTTCGTCCGGACTCCGGATGCGTGCCATTCAAACCCCGCTCGCCGAACGCCGATTAGTTGCTATCTCACGTTGATCTCACGCATCATCAACGCATCGTAGTTTCATGCAACGAAGCCGTTCTTTCATGGTCCTTTATCTGGTCTTGGCACAAGCACTCACAAGCATCGTCTTTTTGTGATCGGGGGCATTTGAACATAGTCATCCGACCCTGCCTGTTTTCCCTACCGACATCCGCGAATATCTTTTCCAAGCAGAGGAGTCAGGACCAACAACGTGATCTGGTCCCATGTCCTTATACTCACTCTGGATGACCTCGCTCGAATTTGCACGTTAAGCTTTCTAACGTCCATCGCTGCTGCTTCCTATGCGGATCGTGTGACGGACCGTCTCTCGTGAGACTGGCTTGGGGGTATATATTGTAGGACACTGGAGCTTCAACCCTGGTGGTTTGACGGCTTGAACATCATGCATCATCCAGGACAGCTATACGCTTTGCTTGGGGTACTACTGACTTCCTCAGTGTACGTCTCTGGTATAACGACCCTCAATGTCACGATCACGAAAGAGACCACGGTTGACATCCCTGCTACTCTGGGAGGAGGATATATGTGGGAGGTGCGTTGTATTCATGTGGTTTGAATCCTCTTATTGATCCTCTAATACTGCCTCAGGATATCAACCATAGGTAAGTTTCGAACTACTCGGGGCTGATGACACCTGTTGATGAGTTGTGGCATCGTAGCGGAGATGGAGGCTTGTACGGCACGCATACGTTTGAATCCTCTGCATGTTGTGTGCACTCAACTTTTCTCAGGTGAACTCCTGCAGAATCGAGCCTTCCAAGCCGTAACTCCAGGGAACATAACCTCGTAAGTTGTGGAATTTCAACCGCGATGCATCACCGTGCAGGGCTCGCGTTCGTCTTCCTAACGTCTGTCGAATCCTCAGCCTCACTTCGTGGATAGCGAACGGTACCGAAATCTCCGTCGTCAATTCTACTTCAGGTGTTTACTCTGCCCTTCCAAATAGTCTGCAAGTCGTCATACCAGCCGATGCTACGGGGCCCGTCGGATTCGCTAACACGGGATACTGGGGTGCGCATTCAATATGTCGAATTCGACGTCTGTCTACGCCCTATACACTCTGACATACCTCATCGCACCTAGGCATCAGGGTACAAGCTGGCTGGACGTACAATGCCTCTCTCTGGGTCAAGTCCTCCTCTCCGTATAACTCTTCTCCCTGAGCGTCTCTCTCCACTCCAACACGACATCCGCCACACTTGCTTCAAATGCCACATCGCTCTCCATTACATCAACCTGGCAAAAGCTCAACTTTACGCTCTCACCCACCTCCAATACTTCCGACATCAACAATACGTTCGTCGTAGAGCTAGATGGTGATGCGGCGAAGGGAACAACGTTCTGGTTTGGTATGTTTAGCCTGTTCCCGCCGACGTTTAAGGGGAGGGAGAATGGGATGAGGATAGACCTGGCGGAGGCTATGGCGGGGACGAAGCCTAGTGTTTGGAGATTCCCTGGTAAGTCTCGTGGAGTACTGATTGTCACTGTACGTACGTGCCATGTATGGCTAATGGTGCGTTAGGTGGTAACAACCTTGAGGGTGTTAGTTTCGATCAGAGGTGGAAGTGGAACGAGACTATTGGGCCGTACGTTATTCTCGTATTTATTAAAAGTACTCCCTGCATGCGTGCTGACATCTCCGGCGTAGGCTCGAAAACCGACCCGGACGGCTTGGAAACTGGGGTAAGATACCATGCTGAACATGTTGTGCGGTAAATGCCATTTAACTACGTACTTTAATCGACAGAGTATCCGAACACAGATGGCCTTGGCTTGCTCGAATATCTCAACTGGGCCGAAGACCTGAACGCTGTACGCCTACTGCTACATATCATTTACTTTCATCATCTTCCATTCTCATCTAATATTCATGTCATGGCAGACGGTGATTCTAGGCGTCTGGGACGGTATCTCGATCGGCGACTATTCAGACCTTCCCGACTGGCCGATCCTACCTCAAGACCAGCTTCAGCCTTATATCGACGACGTGGTCAACGAAATTGAGTTCATCACTGCCGATGCTGAGACAAACGAATGGGGCGCACTAAGAGCGAGCCTTGGAAGGGCGGAACCGTATGCGTTGCACTATATTGAAATGTACGTCCTCTCCCTTACGGTTCGTCGTGCTGGATAGTAAAGGCGTCACGACTTATTATACTCGATGCGCAGCGGAAACGAAGATCAATTCCAGGAAGACTCGTACGCGGCGCACAGGTGGAATATGTTCGTTACGCAGCTGGGGGCGAAATTCCCCGACCTGGTGTTCATCGCCACTTCATACCCATCCCTCGCCCTTGATCCTGCCTACACGTACAGTAAGCCTCGACATTATTCCAGGAAGAGCTTCCACTTCTTCGTACTTACGTGTTACCTTCCCACTACAGTTGACTATCACATGTACAACAGCCCCCCTTGGTTCTTGACGAACGCATTCATGTTTGATGAGTACCCGCGTAACGGGACGAAGTACTTCGTCGGAGAGTATGCTGGTAAGCCACGGCCATTTTAAGTCGTCTTAAAGCCCTCTGCTCACGGTCTGTATTTGCCTGACCGTCGACAGTCACTTCTACCAACGACACAGAACCGCTCGGTGTCATCGGCGACGGGCGCTTCGCATATCCAACACTTCAGGGCGCCGTTGCTGAAGCAGCGTTTATGACAGGAATGGAGCGCAATTCGGATGTCGTGTTTGCGGCTGCTTGTATGTATCTATGGTCAGGGGCAGAGAGACACAGCTCTATGAACATTCCTATTTTAATTCAGACGCACCTTCACTTCAACATATCGCTTCGTATCAATGGACACCAGACCTCATCACATTCGATGCGGGGAACTTGGTCAAGTCTGTATCGTACTACGCCCAACAGGTAGGTCGTCACCTCAGAACTAAACGCTCTTTTCTGATCGCTCATCGCCAACAGATGTTCAGCGAGAATCGTGGGACGCAAGTGCTCACAACAGCGCCCGTATCCAGCGCCCTTCTCTCTCCCATCTTCTGGGTGGCGAGCCACAACAACGTGACGAACGATCTCATCCTTAAAGTAAGTCTATAGCCTCATGCCTTGACACCGCTAATGAATGACCCATCCGTCGTATATGTAGGTAGCAAATGCCGGAAATGATTCCGTCTCCTCGACAATTTCCCTCGCCTTCGACATCGATACCTCAACTGTCGGCACCCTCACCCAACTCGCGCCCGGCTCAGACGGTCTATTCAACGTCTCGAATACGCTCGACGAGCCTGAAGTTGTCGTACCGGTGACGTCTAACTTCACGTTCAGTGATGATGCGTGTGCGGGGACGACGGGATGCGTCTTCGGGATGGAGTTCCCAGCGATGAGCGTAAGTGTGTTGGTGTTGAATGTGCCCGATTGGTGAAGGACCCAGGGAGTCGAACATTGACGAGCTCACAACGTCTCCAAATGCGCTCGCTATGACTCTTCGTTGCGTATAAAGTAAATCAGATATTTTCTGGCAGCATAAGCTACTGTGCGGATTTGCTCTTGGACAAACGCTCCCATGAACGGTCAGGGCGTAGCCAAACGAATGCTTTCCGTCGCGTCCCTCGCAACATGTCTTTGGACCAGAGATAGTGGCTGCGCGTATGATTTTTACTTGCCTTTGAAATACAGGCTCTTTGCCCTTTCATTCGAGGATCAGGTCATAGTTGCTTCTGAGCATAGTGGCCACCCAGGACCGTCTACCTTCTACTCTAGACTTCAGCTGATCCTGAACCTCGCGCGATACGCATGTCATTGGAACCCATCTCATGCCCCCCTACTTCAGGCTGTACTGTCTTTCGTAGACAAAAACGACGGGTCTGTTTCGCCGTTATTCGGCTTTGTGGCAACGATTTACACATGCCGTATAGGTGCATACGCCTGAATCGTGATCAACCGTCCGTGCGTCGTTGAGCACCTCGGTCCATGGGTTTTGCAGGCTGATCCGGACCTATGTAGGTCAGCTCCCTGATCGCTATCTGTTCCAATTTCCTTCTGATTTCTCTGGGTTCCAGAAGCACGCTAGGACATGCAGCCCTCCCAGTTGCGGATGCGCCAAGAGAATGTTTTCCGTATTTTTCGGGCAAATGGGATCACTCATGGGCGTCAGGAGGGGAGTACAGCTTCACATCCAATAGGCCGAGGAGAACAATGCGTCCAGGTCGCAGCCTGAAAGCTCTGGGCGTGATGTGAACACATCGGACCATTCGATCGTATTCCGAATTTCTGGTCCACGTCAGGTTGCTGTGGTTGATTTGTGCCATTCTGTATCGCGACTAGATTGATAGGCTTAGGCTCAGGAGCGGGAAAACATGGTATTTCTGTGATACATGTTCTGTCAACCTCCACTCTACTGAGGGGAGCAGAAGCTGCACAGTTACGTATGAATTTCATACGGGTTTTCAAAGCTTGTGGCGGTTGGCCGTGGGCGTACGAACAGCTTTGATTTCACGAACATATCCGCATGTCCCAGTGCCTGTTCTGAGCTGCTGCAGGCTAATGCAACTCAACTTGTTCACGTCCTCTGGGGTACGATCCCAAGCATACATACTGCTTTTCAACATGGTATAACACTTATCCGGTATAAAGGTGTACTTATGGTGAGGACATTGTGACAATCCCCAAACTCATTGTTCCAGCACTTGACTAATCATGGTCGTGAGTCATACATTTCTTCCCCAACTTGAACTTGCTACTGTCGAGCCCCAGGCGCGTGCATAGAGAGACTGTGCGGATCTCCAGCCTGTTTGCACGTTTGTTTCATGTTGCAATGCCCGTTATGATGGAGTAATTGATGGATTGATGATTTACACTACGCAGGAACATTTCCATCAATAATTGCCTGTGCTCACGGTGGTCAATGGCCGCGAATTTCGAGGCCAGGTACATACGGATCGGTGAACCTGGAATGGCCAGTTACTTCATCGCGATGCATGTAGACTTCGAGGTATATAAACCAACTAACTCTTCACATTCAAGACACATCGCACAGCTCCCCATAGCTCTTTCACTCACAACATCCACGAAAACCGACCATCCCTCAAAGCCACTCTTATCTCACTAAGATGCAGTACTTCTCCCTCATTGCTTTCGCTCTCCCCCTCTTGCTCGCCTCTCAACAAGTCGCGGCGATCTGTCCCGGTTTCAACTACGGAATCGGTAACGCCATCGACGAGGGCAAGCTCGGAAACTCAGAGGTCACTCGCTGTAGGTTAAAATACTTACTCATACTTCTCCAATCTCACATTTGAATCCACCTTAGGGAACGTCTACGACGATAGCTGCAACGTCGTCGACGGACTGACAACGACCGGGAACCCGTGCACGTCCGGCACATTCTCGTGTACCGGTGCGCCGATCACTTTTAACGGATACACGAACACCTTCAACGGCTTGCAGTGAGTCTTTGTCTTGTTCTTTTTTTCCTCATTGAAATGCAATGTTCTGAACATCTTCGTCTGTCCGTCAGTTATGCTTGCCGTCCCGACGCCAACTCTGGAAGCTGTGGCAGTGACAAGATTTCTGTCTGCGTACGTGGTTCTTTATAACCCTGGTCCACTTATCCGTGGAGCCCATTCTAACGCGGCGTGCATTTACAATGTACAGTGCCGCAACGATGGAAATTAATAAGGTCAATTTTTGGGAACTGTTTTGAATAGGGCTTGGTTTTGCTTGGGATAACAGTGTCATTTGTGATGATAATTCATATCGGATATGAAGTTCGTTGGACTCTTCTCGAAATACCTAAATCAGTCTTCCTCTAAGGATACAGGCCATATCCGGGGCCCAGGATGTGTCACAGCAAGTGTTAGTTTCTAGCGCCACAAGGACATATTGAGTGGCGGCGGAGCTTGACCCGGGATCTTCCGAGTCCGCAATGCGCCAATATAAGAGCTTTCAAATCCACCACCACCACTACCACCACCACCACCACCACCGCCGCCAGCACCAGTCTCTACCGCTGTAAAGCGAGGTTATACATGACTGCTCTACGTGCACTCGCATAGATATATTACCACCACCACCACCACCACCATTTTGCCCCTATCTTCATGCTGTCGCCTCGCATCGGACCCAACAGTCTTACAGAAAAGTTCGGTCCTTACCGGCCCCCAGTATTTCCTCCTTCTCCTGAGGAAGAGAATAGCTCTGGCGCGAAGATCTCCTTTCCTGACAAGTCCAACCACGCAGCCTGTGCCCGCTTCAGGCTACGGCGGAAAGCGAGACCAGCCTCCCTAGGCCTGACACTTCGCACGCACGCTCTTTTACACTCTCACTCTGAGGATTCACTACGCATCGTCGCCCTCGAGCGTCAGGTTCGCGATCTCCGTGCACGCATCGTGCAGCTAGATCACGACTTCAAACTGAAGCTCAGCACTCCTCCTCTATCCCCTCCCCCACTTCCCGCTGATGCATCCGCTGCGGTCCCAAACAAGGCATCCCTCTGTCTCACAATACCTTCCTTTTCCGTCACCTCTCTTCGGTCTACGCCGAACGCTGTCACTACCGCATTCGCTCGCACATCCTGTTTCGCCGTCAATTGCGCTCGCAAGGTCCCTTCAGCGGCTCGCCACCTTCCGCTCCCTTGGATCTGTTGCGTGCTCTTCGCATGGTTGGCTTTGATAGGATGGTGGAAGGCACTTTCCGAGCATTCAGGAGACGTCCCGTCTGTGCTCAGGGTTGACAGAGATATGGAAGAGACTTTAGGTGTTGAAGGACTGTCGAGTTTTGTACACAGCCTTGGATTTGACCCGAATCCCGTGTATCTGCCCCTTGATAGAGATGAGTACCTGGTTGATATTGCGGCCGCCGCCCGAGACTTGTAGACTATCATTTGTACTGTTATCATCACCACCACCACTTTTCCTCTGTGGCCTCTGTACGTGTACTGTAGCTTATGTACATCACCACCCTTTACTTACGGTCCGACGAGGCACGTGTGCCTGAGCTATGTTGTAGCGTAGTCGGCCTGATAAATCTGATTCTCTGTTTTTTCAAATATGAACAACCACCATCGTCCTACCACTGACAGCCCAGGATTGACTTAGTCTGGTATCGCGTGCAGTTTTTTTGTCTGACGCGTCAAAATACATCAATAAACTCTTCATCAGATCCAGACTTGAACACGGTGAGTTTCCTTCGCGTGATTTGGAGGCTAGCAAGCCCAGTGTCGAGCGCGAACCTGGAGCAGCTTAAGACTAACCTACTGTGACACAATAGCTCTATACCTCAGATCTATCTCTGGACGGATACAATCATAGTATTAGTAATACTAGCAGCGAGCCCGTGCTACGCACAGGGCATTCAGACATGCTACTTGAGCAGTGATGAATGCTTACTAGTATATAAAACAGGAACCCCTGTCAGGTCTGCCTCGAACTCCGGGTCGAGGCGCTATCGCGCCTCAACCCTCCATTCTGCACAGACCCTCCAAGGGTTCTCTGGTTTGTGGTAGCGTAAGGTGGTGATACTCAGACATTTCGCTCTCCAGCAAACTATTGTCAAACAGCCGTGCGGAAGCACGGGCACATGCTAGTCCTATAGCTGATATCGAGACAAAAACACATTCTCATTGGCTGGCCAAGCAGTCGGAACCATCTGCTGAGTAACCGCGCAGCTGTGCGACAACGCCACACTGTCGATTCTCGAAGTTTCGCGAAGTGGCGACAACGGTAGTATGCCGCTGAGGGCTGCTGAGGGTCGTTCTAATATAAATTGGCAGCTCGTAGGTTGCCCGAAGTTCCTCATACACACCACAGGCATTATCCACGATACGGTGGACTGCGGTAATTCTTGCTTCCACACGGCAGACTCGGATAGGTAGCCAGTATCCAAGGAAGCCGTCGTGTAAGGCGAGGAATGCGGAAAACCTTAATCGTCCGCATCAACTCGTCGGCAAACGCCGGCGAGCGAGTGGGCGCGTCTCGCCACAGCTCAGAACGTGTGTTTGTGGCCGGTTTGTGGCCCATATGTGAGTAAAACAGTTGTATGCACGTACTGGGCACAAATAAAAATACCAATGAGTACTGTATATATATTATGGTGTGTATTGATGGATAATGGCCTTTAAATAGTTGGTGAGCCCATAGTACAATATTAAAGTCAGCCAGGAGACTGAAATATATATATTGGGCCTCCAAAAAAAAATACACCGTTCCTGCACAGAGCTTCAAGTATGCTGGGGATCCCATCGGAATATTTTTGAGGTGGAAATGAATATGTTTGACATTTGTTTTTGTTTTTTCTTTGGAGTATAAGTTTAAGTGGTATAAATCGGAATATAATTGTATTCGTTAAAGGAGAATAAGTGAGTACAGTTGATAAGTAAAATGATCAAACCACATGTCAACGTCAAAGCGGGCAGGACGGCGTAGAGGGTGACAGAGTAATAAAAATGTAGGAACCTCAACGGCACGCGTGCAGATCGAACCAACAACCTCCCGAGCGTGGTGGCGCACGATGCGGCCGCGCTAAACCACTGCGCCACCAGGCCATATTCTTACCCCAAAGTTTATGCCATATATACTACCCACTCACCCGACATCCCTCTATACTACTGCTCCTCCCCGTACTCAGGGACCGTGATTAATGCATCCCCATCACTTAATGCACTATATGACACAATTGATTGCATTTTTTATGCCTTCAACACTCACACAAGTGAGCTCATTGGACATGGGCCACAGACACTGTAGTGGGCTGTGGCGTGACGCGTCAACTCTCGCGCCGGCGGTTGCCGACGAGTTGATGCGGACGATTAAGGGTTTCCGAGGAATGCCGACCTCTTGCTTTCTCCCTCGCGCAGAATGAAGAGATTAAATAGAACACGTTCTCCCTGCCATTAGACTGAGCAGCACACGAACAGGTACTTTGGCCTCTAGGTTTTTGGCTCCCGTGCTGCCAATGTATAGTCGTTTTATGCGCCACGAAGCCTTCGTGAATCACCTTGGCCCGAAGGTATTTTGACAGTTTGACTCCGTGCACTGGCAGAAATTTCGCGGAAATGCATTTGGCTCCCATGTTCGAAGGTGTTTGGCCACCATGCCCGAAAGGTTTTGTCCTCATGTTCAGGGATTTTTGGCTCCCCGAATTTTGAACAGCTTTGAAGTCTAGACATCCAGGAGCCACATTGGATGTTCGCCACACGATTATTAGTCATATACATATATTGCCACGTGGTTTGTCTCCACGTGGTTTGTCTCGAGACAACTGCCTCCACATTAATAGTAGATTGCCTAGTCTCTCTAGTGAGTTACATTAATGTTGTCTCCTACCAACCCCACTCACGCCTCCTGTTGCCAGAGTCTGTCGAGATACGTCCCAAATGTTGAAAATGGACAGGACTCGACATCTACCATCCGAAACCCTCTCGGAAATATTCGCACACTGTCTGCCCGCCCCAGTCTTCGACCCGTACCTTCTAAGTAGTACCAGCCCTCGTGAAGCCTTGGGATACGCACCGTTTACGCTCTTAAGAGTCTGCAGTAGATGGAGGTCCATCGTGCTTGACTCTCCACGTTTGTGGACGTCCCTCAGGCTCCCCGACATACCTGAGACGAGAATATGCGCCGACCTGTTCCTCATCGAGCTGAAAAATTGGCTGTCCAGGTCGCACGAACTTCCGTTATCATTCGGGGTAAACATAGGCATGCCTTCCGCGGAGGACGCGATGTACGTGGGACTTTATCTCCTTCTACTATTCGAGCACGCTCCAAGGTGGCTCAAGATCAGTATGCACCTTGGCTTCTCCGAGTTGTTCGACGTACCCATCTTTCCCGCGATGTCCGCAAGTACGAACTCCACACCTCTTCTCAAGAAATTGACTTTATACGCCTCTGGTTATCTCCCCGAATCGCAACCCATCATGACCCATTTTCGCAATTCGCCCAGCCTCCGATGCGTCAACCTTCGTCATTCCATGATCACAGAATGGGCACTTCCTTGGGCCCAGTTGAAGACACTTCACCTGGAACGGGCTGCCCCCGCTGTGTCGCAAGAGGACGACTTCGACGAGGCACCCCAATTCGATCCAAAAGTCCTTCTTGACATGTTGAAGCAGTGCATCAATCTCGAAGAACTTCGGTTGTGCATGCTTTCCGTCCAGGGACTTGACGATCCGGTCGATCCTGTCATAATTCCAGCTCTCCTGCGACTCGACGCGGAATTCATCGAACCAGACGGCACCTTCTTCCACACCTTCTTCAGCACCGTTCGAGCGCCTAAGCTTGCCTCCCTCAAGATCGATAGCCAGTACTTACTCGATGACCCAAATTCGACCCCGGATTCCAGGTTCTGGCGACGTACGCCAGTCGATCTACGCTCCGCCTTCCTCGCCTTCCTTTCACATTGTGCCGGGTCAATGCGGGAGCTAACGCTCAAGACAGGCGTCGAGAAGGACACGTTCATCTCTATCATCTCCACCACTCCCAACCTCACTTCCCTGCACGTATTCGACACTTTCCATATTTCCTATTTCGAGGCCTTGACTCTTCAGTTCTCCGCGAACGGTCAAGACGTCGTATCCGGTCGCTGCCCACATCTGTCTTCTATCGACGTAACCGTGGACATCCCGCACCGAGAGCGATCGCATCCGGTGTACAAGAACACTGTGTACTCGAGTGTGGTGGATATGATCGAATCGAGGTGGAGGACTCCTGCCGGAGTGTTGAGCGGTCGAAGAGCTGAGAGGCTCGTCTCGATCGGACTTCATAAGATGTTGTTGCGGAAGATGGAGATGGAGAGTCCGGGGCTTTGGACGCGGCTTCAAGCTATGGGAGACGAGGGACTGGTGGTCAAGTCGCGACCTTGATAGTTACACGACATTGTTCATCGTCCGCTGTTATTTCTTCGTTCATCTTTTGTCGGTTCGCCGCGAGGACGTTTACTGTCTGCTTTCCCCTTCTTCTTCGGGCTATCTTCTTCCATCGCTTGATTTTTGTCGGTCAGTCGTGAGGATGTTTAATGCCCGCCTGTGTTATATTTGTACCAGTATGTATAATAAAGTACCGATCTCTGCCTGTAACATCCTTTCCTCAAAATATACGAGCCCCAAGCCTCGAAACACCCTCATCCTCTTCCCTCAAGCCTATCGCCCCTCTCATCACGCCATCAAAACTGCCCACCCTCCTCCCCTCCGCACCTCCTCCACCCACTTGGTCTCCTCCTCGTCTCCTCCTCCCTCTCTTTTCGTTCCTCGACCCCCAACCAACCGCATCTCAACCTCCTCAAACACCTTTATCCTTTTCACGATCTCGAACCCTAATTTCTCAAACAGCTTTATGCTCGGGATATTTGTTTCGGAGATGCGGAGGACGAAATGGCGGGGGTGGACTGAGGATAGGGGAGAAGACGGGGGATGCGGTTGATGAGTTGAGGTCGTATCGTTACGAGCGGGGTGATGTGCAAGGTTCGAGTCATTGACATTGGGCAGGGATAATGTTGTAGGCGAGGTGATGTAGGTCAAGAAGAGACCGAGGGCTGCGTGTGCGAGGTTGCGTCGACGATAGGCTTTGTCTGCACATATTTGGAGAGAGGTTATCAGCAAGGACTGGGATAAGGGGTGAAGAGGATAAGCGAGTTAAATTAGTAAAAGGGAGAGTGTATGCTCTTTTCAGCCTCGAGCTCAAGGGTCTCGTCTGATGTTAACATGGGATGTGGCGGACTTGTCGACGATCTCTTTCTTTTGAATGCTGCGTCGTCGCAATACACAGCACTCAGATGCATATGAAGACCTCCCAAGATCTTTGTGAGTGCTCTGTCGAAGACAAACCCGCCAAACACGAACGCATATATCCAGTCACTCGAACATCACGAAATCGAAACAAAGCTCCAACCCGCCCATAGCCAGGCTCACAGAACACCCCATCTCCGAAACTCCAAAGACCAAACGAATGAAAGGAAACTAGCCACGCACCAGCGATCATAATCTCCACCTCCGCCTCGAACTCTTCCTCTTCTTCCTCCCCCTCTTCTCGTCCTTGATCTTGTTCCTTTGGGATCTTAGCACCTATAAATAACGATATCAGTAAGTCCACTCCTCAAATCCCATCCCGTCCCTGAAAATGCGATCTGAACAGCCCTCCGTGCGTGTATGCAGCATAACTCACCTGCCCGCAGAGAAGGTAGCGTCCCCTTCAAAAAAAGATTCACATCCCCGATCATGGGCAGTGCGCGAGTCCATTCCGGGAGCGGGAGTGGGGTGGTCGGACCGTCGTGACTCTGAATTGGCGGAGGGGCGGGAGGTGAGGAAGGCGGAGATGGGGGTGGAGCTGAGGCTGTGGTTTCGTTCGAGATAGACGTGCCGGTATTATTTGGGTCACGAGCGAGGATGATGAACGTTAGTTCTATGGAACAGTGAATCATATAGAGGGTCGAAGAGCGGAATCGACATCGAACCGGTGCAGCGATGGATATTGCACGTGAGGACGTGTTCCGTGTTCCGTGGATGAGGTGATGATGTTCAATGGGACAAAGCAAGTGAATCAGTCAGCGATAATACTAATTCTGTGCGTGTATAAGAGTGTAAAACACTGACTATCTTCATCCACCTGCCACTTCTCTATGTATTCCGTCCGAGTGAAGGGAAAAACAAGGCAATCAGTCAACACGGTTCGATTCGATTCGGATTCTACCTTTCGCCGTCCACGCAGAACAAAAAGGAAAAGCAGAAAGAAAGACTTTCATCCGATCGACAAAGTCAAGTACTGTAGATGCAGCCCGATGGCAGACGCATCACATCAACGCGGAGCCCAAACACTCGGACTCAAGCTTCATGCATCATACTCGGACCAGAACCAACGAATTCACCTCCCTCGACTCCTGTATCTATGTAGCAAGACCCCAGGACGAGAATGACAGAAAGCCGGTATTCGAATCGAAGAACCATATGCATGTGACACACCTTGCATCCCAAACTCCTCCTCGACGGTCAGTTCCTCGCTCGCGGTCAACTCGCGCAGTTCGGGGTCTTGCATCCATTTGTGATAGGTCTGTCGTCGTCCGATGAGGGGAGAGGCGGGGGATAGGGTAGGATACGAATGAAGGAAGGAAGAGGAGGATATGGGCAATGGGCGAGAGATGGTGATAAATGGAGACGGATATGGTTGAGGACGAGAGTTAAGGATGGGAAGCATGAGTGATCGGAACCGGAACGAGAAAACGAGAAGAAACGAAGATGAGGGTCAGTTTCGACGGTGTGGCTTGAATCGAAGGTCCCAGTTCGCTCAGCGAACGGACGAATGGATAGTGGGAGGACATACGGGGACGTGTTCGCGCCTTTAGCATACATCCAAGTATCCAAGTAGTAAGTACCCCGTTTGCGACTCAGTCAGGCAGGCCCCTTGAATGACGATGGGGACCGATAAACGAAAGCCCACGAACCTATATGGCACGAGCACGACGGACGGGCCAACAAGGATCGTGTTCGTATTCGTTCTCATCCCAAGCCTTTCAAACTTCTTGTCCGAGTCTTCGACTTGAGTCTCCTGTGACATTCAAGTTGTCTTTTGCCCAACTTTTCCCTTCAAGCAACTTCAACTTGAAGTTACTTTCTTTGCAGCTTGCTGGCACAGAAGCAGACAGAGAACAGCCCAACGACCAGAGCTCGAGAACCGACTAGATCGGAGGATCTCAAGTCAATGTCACCGTGACGGTCGCGAGACCCTGCGGCCTTGAGGTCGACAGAACTTGTGGCGAGTGAACGAGTTGTACAGTAGGAAAGGAAAGGAAGAGCCTAGGGTCGGGGAGACCCGGGATTCGACTCTGCTCAAACGGACGCTTATCGATTAGCATTGGCCGCCACCCAACCCATCTTGGGATCTCATGATATCATGTGGCGTCGCAGCTTCCGGTTAACGTTGATCGCAACCAAATCGCAACCGCTGACCAACCCAGGAGCCTGGTATCACGGCGGGGGAACCACTATTTAGAGCACGCTAAAGGTATTTCTATTGTGAAATCTATATTTTATACATAGAGGGAAAAATGCAGTCGTCGAAATACCATATTTAGCGTAGTTTGATGTGTAATCTATAGTTTTCCTTTAGATTGTGCTTCAGAGTTTCCCATGTAGGAGGCTGATGAAAGAATATGGACCCGAACGGATGATAATACTTGGACTACAGTCCTCAAAAGGAAGATCTATATATTTTAAAAGATCACATCATCCTCTCATCCCCTCCTACCCTCCCTCCCCCCCGCGACCGGCTCCCGTGCACCCATGCGTTGGTTCCGAGGCTCCGACAGACTTCCCGAGGCCTCTCGCAAGGGAATGATACATTCATTCAGACCACTTTGTACACCGCCAATCCGAAATGATATCGGAAACAATATTCGCGGCCTGATGGTAGCCGACGGTCGGTGCCGATGTTGTTCTGAGACTCATCCGAGCGCCGGCCGATGCCACCTCATTTCCGTACTGAGCTCATTTCGAGATCAGGACGCCAAGCTCGGTCGGAACAGCAGGCGGATGACGGCATCGCGGTGCTTCAACTCTTCGTGAACCACTCTTCATGGATGGTGAATATCGCAAGAAGAGTGAGTTGCTGCTCGCCGTCGTTCCTCTTCGTTACTATGGCTGAAACGTTTCCCCCTCCCTCCAGAGATCGTCGATCTGACCGAACAAGAGCTTGTTACACTCGGATTTCTGGGCGAAAGTGAGCTGCTTTCGTCGTTATACACACACGTCCATCTCGCTCACTCATCATTGTCCGTCCACCTCGTAGATGCTCTTCCGGGAGTCAGAGATATCGTCCAAGCAGTGAGGGCTGACCCCGGCCGCCTTGGCTGTAAGTCTTTTTCAGTTTTCTTTATTTCTATGCCCGTTTCGGTTCCCATGTGCTCACCATCCCGTTTTTCGTTCTCCTTTCAGTCGTCAACTGTTTCCAGATCGACTGTCTGAGGCGCAAGTACGCACCCCAGACTCCCACCCAAGGACGTCCTGGGCACTCTTCTACGTCTCCCACCTCTCCGTCCTTTCCAGTCTCCCCCGTCCTAAGCGACGCCGAGACCCTCTTCTCGCAACTCAGCAACAACTCCTCTGCCCTGACCGTCGTCCCTCCCGACCTCATCTCCCAGTTCGAGATCAACTTCTGGTACCACGGCATCTCCGGCAACCCTCCCAAGCTCTTGTGGCGCTCTGATTTCGAGACCAACGAGTTCCCGCTCCCGAAAGTCGGAGACCGCTTCTTCAAGGTCCCCACCAAGACCGCTTATGGCGTCTTCAATACGCGTCTCAACGAGGTCTGGGATTCTACCGTCGCTCCTCAGATCATGGACTCGCTCAAGGCTCGCGGTCTCAAGTACTCGGCGCTCAAGACAGCCCGCTTCTCGACCGTCGACGAGGAGGGCGGCGAGGAGACGTTTGGGCCCATCGTCGTGTGGATTGCCGTCCGTCCCAACACCACCAACGCCGAGGCTGTTCGCGACGCCACCCCTGACATCCTTCACATCCTCAACGACGCCCAGGTCACCGGTGTGGTCGTCGAATGGTACGAAGGGAGTGTCGAGAGGCTGGGCGGCACGCCTCTCGTGAGCGTCGCGGATAACACCAGCCCCACCTTCGGGCTCAACCATCCCTTCAACACGGGCCTAGGCATCCCCATCGCTAGAGCGTCCGACGATGCGCAGGGCACCGTCACGCTTCTGTTCCGGGAGGGCAAGACCAGCGATGGCAGCCCCAGCAACACGACCTTCGCCCTCACCAACAAACACGTGGCCACCCTCGTCACGACCACCCATTACGACTGGGACGCCGCCAACCCTCTGAGCATCCTTGTCTGCGGTGAGCGCCGCTTCGGTCGTGCCTTCGACGAGGTCGAGGACGCCCTCAACACAAGCCTCCGCGACGCCGTCCGACTTGCCGCAGAGCTGAAGGAGTTGGAGGCCAAGGCTGGCGGGCAGACGACCAGGGCCATGCAACGCAAGCAGACCGCCCTGGACGACAAGGACGAGGACAACGCCACTCTCCAGGACTTATTCGACCAAGTCGTCGAGACGTGGAGGGATGTCGACAACCGTAAGCTCGGCCATGTCCACTGGGCTCCTGAGATCTCTGTCAGGGTTGGCGACCGCCCTTACACTCGAGACATCGCTACAGTGGCTGTCGATGAGGAGAAGCTCGAGAACTTCACGGGCAACATCGTCGACCTCGGTACGTGCCGTCTTCATTTCCTCCTTAACCCCCTCTTTTTTTTCTCTCTCTCTCTCTCGTCATTCCAATCTCGTTTACTAACTACTAAACATTTTTTAACCCACTTCAGGTAACCAATACGACGCTGGTCAACTCGAGGATCTCTTCTGGCCCGTCGACACCATTCGCCAGAGCAAGACCATCCCAGCCAACCTCCAGCTCCCCATCCGTCGCGCTCTACCTCGCCGCCTCGTCATGAACCCCGATACGGAAGGCAAGAACGGAGAGCCGCTTTACGTCGTCGCCAAGTATGGCAACACCACCAAGCTTACGTTGGGCAACTACTCCGGCATGGACGCCTACACTTGTACCGAGTTCGGACTCGAGTCCCGCGAGGTCGTCGTCTATAATCGCAAGGGCGCTGGAGACTTTTCGGCCAAGGGCGATTCCGCATCTCTCATCTTCAACGGCGACGGTGACGGCCTCGCCGTCCTGCACTCGGGCATGCCTCGAGGAATGCACAGCCACGTCACTTACGGCACGCCCCTCTGGTGGGTTATCAAGCTGCTCCTCGAGAAGTATCCCTCTGCCGACTTCTACGGCATGGAGTACACCCTCGACTGAGCGCAAGCACCATCCAAGCTCCGTCGTCGTCGTCGTCATCGTCGTCGTCCTCCCCACCCTCTGCCCCCACTGTCCTTTCTCCTCGTCTTCCGGTTCTTTTTTTTTCCCTTTCCTTGTCTCGTTGGTTCAGACGCGTGCTTGATACTCGATTCGTCTGCTCATCGTTCGTCCCAATTTTCTTTCTATCCTTTATGTTTTGTAACTGACGCCCCTTTTTTGATCGTTTAGGTCTCTGGCGGATTGCACGCTTTCGTCTGGTTCTTCGACGTCGTCTCAGCTCCCCCTCTTCTCTTTCAATCCCTCTGGTTCTTGTTTCGTCGTCCGGTTATCGACGGAGCTTGGTTGACGTCTTGATTGGTGAATTGCTGCCCTGGTGCGTTCTCTATCTTTCTACTCCGCAATCTGTTCTGCCGACTGAAGAGTGAACCTTTGCGCCCAGGAATTTGATCGTCGATTTCTCGCCCAGGTACGTCGGGTCCTCCCTCTCTCCCCCCCCGTTTCTCAATGCGTGCGGCTTAGAGTCCCCTTTCTTTTCAGCCTTTCTCGTCGCGTAACCTTGCTGTCTCGTCCGCCCGGACTGTACGATTAGTTTGTTCTCGTCTCATTTTTTGTACTAGTAAACCCTCCTCGCCTGCCCTTCCAACCCCCTGGCTCGCCCACCCCGCTCCAATGACCTTGTAAACCGTTGCTACGTCTTTGAAATGAACACTATCTGTGATGTCGTTGTATACGCTGCCGAGCAATGTGACTAGTTACGTCGACCTTTGGACAAGGTAAGAACTTGTCGTTGGATAGCTTCAAGCAAGTAGAGGTTTATCACTTCGCCGATGCCAACCTTTTCCCCTGGGAAAAGATTCCCGAAAAGGTTCGGGAAAAGGACATCTTTTTTCACTTATTTGTGACCCAGAAAATAATGTAAGATAGGGCTCATCGACGGTCCGCCTACCTCCGGTGTGGCACTGTATTGCGGGATAATTCACTCTCGCGTTAATAACATTGACAGATTTCGTTTTCATGCTTTGTGTCCTTAGTGATTCTTGTTCAGAGATGTATTTAGAGAAACTCTGTGCAGCCAGAATTTTTGAGATTTCTATTTTTGTGTCTCGAGTGAGCCTTCATTGAGAGAGTTGTCCCCCAGCTTTATTAACCAAAGTAAAGGCCTGAGGTCAAAAATCCAAAAATCCATCCGCACAGAGTTGTTAAGAATACGTCTCTGAAGGACATTTCTCAAATCATACAAGCTCGAAAATGAATTTTGTCGATGTTATTAACTTTACAGTGATTCCCATCCAGACCGCGCCACACCGGAGGTAGGCGGACCGTCGATGAGCCCTATCTTATTTATAGTTTGGAAAATGTAATGGAAAAGATCGTCTTTTCTGGCAATTTGTTTGCTCCATTGTCCTCAATGAAAAAGTTCTATTTTTGTAGAACAAAAGGTTTCATTGACTTTTAGGAAAATGTAGTCTTTTCCTACCATACAAGTGCTTTGAAAATATCATATTTTTCAGAGTCTTTTCAACGACTGAAAAGGGAATATTTTATGAAACAAAAATCTAGCCTTTTCTCGAGCAAAAAGGTGATCTTTTTGTGGGGGAAAATGTCGTGCCCACACAGTGCCCACACCATGCCCACACCGTGCCCACGCAGTGCCCGCACCACAAAAAGATTGCCTTTCTGCTCAAGAAAATGCTGAATTTTTGTTTCATAAAAGATTTCCTTTTCGGTCGTTGAACAGGCGACAGAAATGTCAATGTTTTCCGAGCCCTTTGACTCTGAGAAAAGACCATGTTTTCCCGGTGGTAAACAAAGCCTTTTATTCCACAAAGAGAGGGGACTTTCAGAGAGAACAATAGAGTGGAAAATGTGACAGAAAAACTCGTTTTTTCCATTACATTTCCTGGGCTGAAAATACAATATTTTCTGTCATGTAATTACATCGGAAAAGACAGTCTTTTCCGTTGCCTTTTCGGAGACCTTTTCCGAGACGAAAAGGGTGCCACCGGCGAAGTGTATGCGTATCGTTGTGAAACTCCGTTTTCCCTTCCAAGTCAACCAAAGGCCGAACATGACGTTCTGCACTGCACCACACTACTCATCCTCACCCTGACATCGCAGTCGATCTCGATTCTCATGACTACCCTCGACATACTTATGCGCCCCACGAACGTCCGCATCACTTGAGTACCGTCTTATTCTTATTATATGTAGTGACCCGGGTTGATTCTCCGCTGTCGATACACTCAAGCTGGTGCCGCGACCGTAATGATAAGTCAGTATAATCAGAGAAATTTACACTTGCCTGTAAATTCCAGTAAATGGCCGCGGGTGATCGAGGACGTGCCGACTACCTAAGCGATGGATGTCCGGAGTGAAACGAGATGAGGTCGCTCAGCCGGGTTCTGGGTACACGTCCGTCGCAGCGCAGACGTCGTTCGAGTCACCATCCCTTGAGAGCACGATTCGAGGGTCGGGAGTGTGTTCTGACAAACAGAGTATGTAGGTGCATACACAGATATAAATAAATCTTTGTTTCTCGTATGTGTGCGGCTTTGGCAAGGCTTTGGGTGGCACTGCAGTAGCCACTTTCAGTTGTGTGTGGCACTTTCTCATCGCGGGCGCCGCAGGCACGAAAAATGGTCACCCAAAAGGATGTTCTGAGTATCAAACGCGCCGCAGGCGCCAGAAAAAATAACTTCTATCGAGGTGGCGATCTCGCGGCACGAGAGAGTAGCGAAACGTCCCAAGTGCGGGCCTGTGGCACTGTCCGATACACATCTCGGACTCATCTCGCTTACAAAAAATTTACAGGACTTTGATCGCAAGCAGCTTCTTCAGTAAATTTTCTGTAAATGTAAAGTTCGGCACTACTTATTTCACTTATTCCCGCCAAACGAACGAGCTCTGCAACTTATTCCTTAAATTTCGGCATGGCGTCAGTGCGTTCAAGCCCGTCTCTTTTGCGCATCGCGCTCTATATTTAGCGGCTGACCAGCTTTCGTCCATCGTGAGGTCTTGGTGTCATCGCATGCTCTTCGGCTGACCTTGGACTTGCTCGCCATCACTCAAACTTTTCCGGGCCACACGGTGCCATCTGGTAGCCTCTGCCTCAAAAATTGAGAAGAAAATGAACAAAAACTTGTATATAAAGACACTTGCAGGTACTGGAGGTCACTCAAAGTAATCACAATAGAGGAAAACATATGATACAAGCATATATACCCTGAAAGTATCGAGACGAGAGGGAGAGCAACGAGAGTAATGAAGTGTTCGAACACTGGAAGCAAAGTGGCGGCGCGCGAAGCGCGCCGCCCAACGGAGGCAGGTGGACGCACGTGGCGTGGCTGTGCCGTGCCGCGGCCGGCCGATCCATAAGTGATCGACGGCTGCGGAAGCGCCCGGAAAGGCGAATTTCCCGTAAATTTCTCGACATAAGTCTACATGATAACTTGAGCCTCAGCAGAAGGCAGAACCCCCAAAACTGCCACGGAGTCCACGTCAGAACGTCTCAGAGATGCCGCTGCAACTTGAAAAGCATGGATTAATACAAAGGCTGATGAACTTGAAGTTGAAATGGAACGAGTCAGGGCGACCAAGGAGGAGTAGCGGACGACAGACGGCGAGGACGAATATCAGACGGCGAGGAGGAATATCAGACGACAGACAATCGACAATCGACAAAAGAAAAAAGACACTTCGGAAGGGAGTCGGAGTAGAAACAGGACAACTTGTGCGAAGGGACGAGGGAGGGTCGGAATAGGAATAGGAACAGAATCGAAAAAAATTGTGAAAAAGGGGAGTGATTATGAGACGAGAAAGGGTGATGTAACGTAGAACCATAAAACCAGAGTCGCACAACATCCTCACCACTCAGGCTGCAGTCACCCAAAGACACTCGGAAAAACCTAGATCTTCCTCACCATCCCCGTCCCCTCCCCACCATCCCGCCGCCTATCACCTTCCCCTCGTTCCATCTCTTATGTCTCCCATACGCATCGTACACCTAATCATTCCTCTTCGCGATCTGATGCCCCAACGGCAACATAAACGCATCGTCCACCGTCAACAGTTCCGCCGCGCCACAATAATACGCGATGAACGCCGTGATGGCGCCAAAGACGCCGCCGGCGGTCGTGACGGAGGATTTGCCTGTGAAGTTTGCTGGTGGGTGGGGAGGGAGGGGCGGCGTGCGTAAGTTAAACGAGAGCGGAGATCGACGATTGACGAGGAGAGGAGGTAGCGGGAGGTGAAAGAGAGGACAAAGTAGGAAGATAAAGAAGAAGAACGAATGAAAATCAGCCACGCATCACTCGAGTAGAGGATATGAAACGAAGACGGACCGATAGCGAGCAACATAAACGTGATCGTCAAAAAGCCAAAGAGCGCCAAAAGGCCGATACTCCGCCTCAGACACGACAGGCTACAAATGCAAATGCAAAAATCAAGCGCGTCAGCGATCTCGTGTCTCTCATCTCGTTTCCCCATCCTCCCCCAACCCATCCTCACGTCCCATCGTCCCATCGTCCCATCCCTCGTTCTCTCATCCCACACAAGACCCAACGCAGAACACTCAAAAACTCAAGAAAAAAGAAAGAAACCCACAAAAATATAAAAGTAACAATCATCCAACTAATCAAAAATATCCCAATCGCGTTCGGCTCCTCCGATGGGTTCTCAGTGAACGCGTCCGCGATTCCAGAGCCGGGGATGAGGATGGTGGCGTAGGAGAGCCAGAAGGCGCCGTAGGATGAGAAGGCTGATGGGCGGGGAAGGCGGGGGGTGGTGGGTGAGATGGAATTTGTCGGTTCATTGTGTTGCGTCCATGTTCGTGTTCGTGTATGCGTGTAGATGTCCAGTCCGTACGTACGTAGAAACGGAATCAAGAACAAAGTCAGCAAACCCGCCCGAACGAGAGCGACTTGTCCAGAGACGCAACTTCAAATTGGCGAATGGTCAAATGGTCACGAGAACGCGCGAGGCGGACTGAGAAAACCGAGATTTAAGCGAGCAGACATGAGATTCATGCGAATGCCGCATGATCCACTAGATCATAATGGTCACGAGTGAGTGGAAGCACTCGACAGAAGCACGGGTCAAAATGAAAAGTCGACCATGTAGATGTAAAAAGCTCCTTCTCTTCAGGCGCGCGTCACTTCGTGCACTTGATTCTTGAGCAGCGCAAAACGGACGAGCGCCAGAGAGACAGCTCATGCGAACAAAGGTTTCGTGCCCCCTCGCATCTCTGAAAGATCCACCCCGGGTTCGTGGTTCGGGGTACAGAATCGATTCGAAAGGCTCGATGAGATGACAGGATGGAAGCCCCAATCGCAGCAGTTTCTCCGATTCGAGCGAGCGTCCAAGTCGAGCGCTCGAAAATATCCGACTCCAAATAAAGTCACGGATGGCTTATTCGCTCGCATGCCTATATCCAGCTATATCCTCGGACCCGGGCACCGGGCATCAATCCACGATGCACAGACGCCGATTTAGATTGGCCGATAGAAGCGGCGAAGCAGAAGCGAGGGGATGACGAAAGACGCGAGAATAGAGCGCTGCATGGGATTGGAGAGCTCCATTGACCCTCGCTTGTGATTGTAATGGATCGATGGGTGTCCACATAAGGGCCGCGATAGCAAACATCGCGTCTCGCAGTAAAAAGAGAGAAAGAATGGAATGGAAGGACAGAAAAGGAGAAAGCAACTGACCAGTCGCACCAAACGTGTTCCCGACCGCAAACTCCCACATGCCCGCCAGTAGCTGCGCGAGCCCACCACAGAAAAGTGCCATACCGACGACGAGGTTGGGCGTGGCGGAGGACGTGCCATGGGTGTTGCAGTTATAGAGCGAGAGGATGAGAGTCGTGGACGCGAAGGAGAAGAGGCCACTATTCGACGGGTATGAGTCGATGTGATGCGCAGAGGAGAGGAGAGGAGAGAGGGAATACGGACAGAGGACCGGGATTGCCGAGCGTGCGGCGGTTGGGGGACAGGGAGTAGGGAGGGCCGGCTGCGTAGTTGACATGGCCCTGGCCGTACAGCTGACCGTTGTTGAGCGGGGCGTTGGCGGTGTGTGGCGGGGGCGGGTTCGCGTTCACCACCGTCGTTCCTTTCTCGATGTCGGCCATCGTCTGAATCGTCTGCGGGGATTTGGGAACGTTGAGGAATGGGACAAGGGTGAGACAAGTGGGCGGTTCAAGAGCAAGAACGGGCGCGGGGGAAAATACTAATAGGGCGCGTCGATGGGCTTTATAGTCTACGGCGCCTCGCGAGCCGGGCGGTTCGCGTCTTCTGGCGTGGTCCCATGGGCATACCCAAGCTGAAGCAAGACAAGGCAGGAACGATCACCGTCAGCCATCGCGTTCAATTCGTCCCTGGAATTTTACTTTCCCCGCATTCATCTCACCCCACCGGAAAATCATTCCCGTCTGGGGTAGGCCCCTCGTGATCTCTCGATACGGTTTAGCCGTGGGAGCGAGACAGCGGAACTGCCTTGCTCATTCTCAAATAGGGGCTCATGCCCTCCGACCACGTCGTCCTCCACGTTCGTTGACCTTGTATGGTCAGTCTGAACGACGTACGACGTCCATTGGAATCGACTACGTATGTCAGTGTCGATATTGTCAATAAAAGTCTGCGTGTCACTTACGAGTAGACTCGATGCCGCACTACTTAATCAATCGGAGACTCAGCACTTTCTCTTGTCACTTGAGCACCCCGAAGAGAATGAAAAACCACTACTCATGCACTGCTCTCTTCTCGATCAGACTGCCCAGTCATTTACGGTGACCGAGACCTGTTTTGAGTACATACGTCTTCTCATCCATCAGTCGTGATAAAGGTCAACTGTGGTTGATCCCCGGCGCCAAATCCCCGCCAGCCTTTAGACTTCGACGCGTCGCTCCTTACATGAAGATTTTGATTACTTCTTCGACTTCGTTTAACTGCTCTCGTCGTATCCTGTGAGTCAATCTGAAGCCTAAAGGGGTACTAGTACAATGGACCACCAACTCACAGCACTTACTTGGCTTACTTGTCTCATCCGTTCAGCTGACTCTCGAGTCGTTCATGTGCTAACAAGCCCGAGTCCTATCCTCTTTTCTCCTCTCCAGATTCATTCAGGGGTCCGGTCATCTAGATCCTCTGAGTCTAATTCATGAGTCACTTCATCTTACGATACGGGATGCATGTCGACCTCCGCCGGGATCATCGACCCGTCACACTTAGTATTCGAGTGCCAGTGGCCCAATACATGTGGCGTTGGACTTATCGGAAGGTGTGCGCACATGCATATGCATCCTACGTTCTGCAAGATTCAAGACGAGTGCCAGTAACCTGCGGTCAACAATTCCGATTCCACCGTGCGGAGTCGACGCCACACATTTAAATTGAGATGAGGTGGCGACCAATGATAATCGATAACCGCCCATAACTAAGACTATTAACTTCTTGAATCGTTCCACCAAGATCCCGGCTCTCTTCCCTTCCCTTCCTTCAAGTTAAACTTGAGTCGGATTGGAATCATTGACATCCTCGGGCTCTCGCAACGTGACCGGGATCAACCTCGACTTGAAACCCCCGATTCGACTCTCGCGCACGAATTTTGATGTGAAGTTCGTCTCTTCGTCTTTAGACTTTGTCTTCTTCTGTGCCGTGCTCTGAGAAGGAGAAGGGTACACTGGCAGGGCGTGGTCACTGAAACTCCAAAGGTAACACGTGACAGCATAACCCTCGACCAGCTTCGAAAGAAAGACGTCGCTCACCTGGACATTATCTCAATAGAAAGAGAAAGAGAAAGAGAAATAGAAAGCCTGAGAGAATGAAAACAAACATGAACACGATCCTCGTCGGTCCGTCGGTCGTTCTCGTGCCTTATAGGTTCGTTAGTTTCAGTTCTCGTATAACTTATTAATCAATCCCGTTGTGGGACCATGAATATCTGAATGGGCTCACGTTTGGGGTTTTTGGATTGTGGACGAGGAAACGGCGTACTTACTATTTGGATACGTGGATATATTATAAAGGCGTGAACACGTACCGGTACGTGTTGAGTTATCCATTTATCTCCATTTGTTCGTCGTGCGGTTTTAACCCTTCAGATCACATCATCGAAACTGATCTGTGCTTTCACTGGCATGTTCTTCTCGTCTCGGTTCCGGTCACGTTTCTCAACATCAACATCTTCTCACCCATATCCATCTCCATATCAATTTATCACCCACCATGTCCATCCCCTGACCCCTCCTTCCCCGTTCTCTCTCCTTCCCTACCCAATCCATCATCGGACAACGAAACAACGAAACAACTGAATTCCAAACGACAGACCTACCACAAATGGATGGAATCCCCCGAACTTCGCGAGTTGACCGCGAGTGAGGAGTTGACGGTCGAGGAGGAGTTTCGGATGCAAGGTTCGTGCTTTGGCTTTGTTTTAGTTAACTTAGGTTAGCTTAGGAGGAGAAATATGAGCGGGGGTCTTGCAGGAGAGATGAGCGGGGGTCTTGCGGGAGAGATACAGCGAGGGTCTTGCAGGAGAGTGAACGTGATTCGTAGGCTCGCCGAGTGTTTGGGCTTGTCGTTCTCAAGTCGATGCAAGGAGTCCTTGTGGACTCGGCTCGTTTGTTGGATGTTGATCGAATCGAATCTAATCGAATGGAACCGTTCTGGCTGACTGATTGCTTTGTTTTCCTGTTTGTCCCCCCCCCCTCCCCCCTCGATTTCGACTTCAGCTTTGCCTTTCATCCTCAACGTCGTGCGACAGAGAAGTTGCAGACGGTCGAAGATAGTGAGTTCTTTCTACTTACTCTTATCTACACACAGATTCAGAGACTGATCCGCACGCTGACTTACTGACTTCCTTCGTCTTCGTCTTCGTCCACTCCAATCTCTTCATCTCATGACCTTATCCCTCCGTGCGATATTCACCGCGCTGCCGTTTTGGCGTCGATGTCGATTCTGATCCTGAACGTTCAATCTTCGACCCTCGGCTCGATATGATCCACAGAACTAACGTTCATCATCCTCGCTCGTGACCAACACGTTACCGGCACCTCGAATAATACTACACTACCACCTTCCTCACCACACCCCTCCACCTCCGTCCGCCCAAAGTCACGACGGTCAGATCACCCCATCTCTATCTCCATCACCCTCGCCGCTCCCGCTCCCACTCCCAGGATGGCCCCGCGCACTTCCGATGATCGCCGATGTGAATCTTTTCTTGAAGGGTACACCACCTGAGATGCGAACGGGAACGGATGGAAAAACAGGTATGTATGTACATTATACTTAGCATCATATCATCCAGTCTTTATGTTCTATTCCTGGGATGGGGCGAGATGAGACGAGAATGTCATCGACCCCACCGGAAAAACATTCCCACTATTGGGTAGACGCCTCGTGATCTCTCGATACGGTTTAGCCGTGGGAGCGAGACAGCGGAACTGCCTTGCTCATTCTCAAATAGGGGCTCATGCCCTCCGACCCACGTCGTCCTTCATGTTCTACCCGGACTGAGTTGCATGGTCGGTCTGAACACCGCACGACGTCCATCGAAATCAACCACGTCTATCAGTGTCTATTTATTCAATAAAAGTCTGCGTGATGCAGCATCAATGAATCGGAGCACCCGCTCTGCTTGATGGGGAGATGTGTGTCCGAGTTTGAGGGTAGGGCGCCACATCCGCGTCGATTTTGTTTTCGAGCGTGGCGGCCAATCCGAGTCGAGATCGTTTTGCAGTCCTCATGCAGATGATCAGACTTTCTACTCCGGGCATTCCCGATCTTCGTTCTTTCCTTTCCTTCTCTCGTCTTTCTCCTTGTTTATTGTTGATCATGATCCAGGATCTAGCTAACTTCGACGTCTTCTCGATCATGGCCCCTAGGCCCTTCCTCTCTGATACCGTACGCCCTCCCTGCTCCCTCCATTCTCTTCCTAGCGCACGCCGCCAACAATCTGTCTTCTCCTCGCATATGAACCCCTAGGACTTCATGCTCCATTTGTCGATTGCTCATGACTGATGCTGATATATGAACAGCCCTACCATGCCTGTAAGAGAGACCTTGAATCGCATGAGTGGACAGCGAGTGGGGAGAAGTATGTACGAAGTCTGTTTTTCACCCATCCACCCATCCATTTATAATAACGGTTCTGGTGTCGACTCACTGATTGCCCGACCCATAATGACAGGGACTACTACGTATACTTCTCGTCCGTCACTCAGCCTCTTACTTCTTCGTTTCATGACCAGCCAGCTAACCGACAACTCTGCTGACCACATCTATCCTTTCGTCCCGTCTGTCCCGACTGTCTCGACCTTGTCTTGATGTGGATGCGCTCGATTTGAGTGCTCCGATTTTCTCTTATGCTCAGGCTCTTCACATCACACTTGCATATTCCGTATGCATTCGATGCACTGCTCATAGATCTAAGTAACATCCATCATTCTCGCTTGAGAGTGGATCCTCGAACGACTTTTTAAAAAGGTCACGGAAATGCCCACTGGCAGCTTTTTTTCGTCTCCTTTCACATGAAGTACCTTTTCGGCACCGAAAAGACGAAGAGAAAGATGGCATTTTCCGCTGAAAAGCGCCATATTTCACCCTTTGTTCGTCTTGTCGACCCGAAGAAAGGAAGCCGAAAGACACTAGAAAAGGTCAGCCACGCCATGGCGATTTCCACAAAAGCTGATCTTTTTCAAAGCCTTTTCGAGCACGTTTTCCCTACATACCGAAGACGTTGCTCCTGGGGAAGTGCGTTGTCCTTGGCATGAAACGGTGTGCTCTGGCCTCCATAGTGAAGAGGAACGATTGTCTTCCTCGATCTTTGAGTCTGGATTTCGAGACCAGCTCTGGCCGACCGTAACCCGTGACGTGAGGATAGCCGTTCACTATCACATCCATCAGCTGTTCTTCCGTATTATCCCTATGCGTTTCGCGGTGCGGTAGGTGACACAAATGAATGCGGGGTAAATACAACCTACAGGGGCGAATTGCATGTCGCGGCTTCAAGAGTTTGTACCCGTGGTTGGCTGACTAGGGGTGGGTGACGGCGATCGACCCTGCGTCCTCTCCTAGGGGCTGTCACATCTGCTGAGACTTTCGGCGCACATGGACATGGGACCACATCAGACGACGTGAATTAACTGGATCTTCAGCTCAGTAAAGTATCATAAAGACCGGGGCCAGCTTACGACTCGCCCCTTTTCCCCGCGCTCATCCTTGCACTTTGAACCGCCCTTGTCCCCAGGTCTCGCCCCAGTTCTCTTCGTCCTATCTACATCGACGTCGACTCCCGTAGACCATTCATAACATCGACAGTCACCATGGCCGACGTCGAGAAAGGAACGATCGTCATGAACGCGAACGCACCTCTGCCCCACACGAATGATACTACGTTCAACAACGGCCAGCCACACATCAACTATGCAGCCGGTCCTCCTTATTCCACGTCCCCAAACCGTCGTAAGCTCGGTAACCCTGGTCCTCTGTCCGTGTCTTTCCATTCTGTCTTTCTCCCCAGTCGCCCTCTGACATCTGATCCATTGCACATGCACAGCGGTCTTTTCTCTTTCGCATCCACGAATCTCATCCTCTCGCTCTACAACTGCAACACCCATGGCACATCCTCCGCAAGGCCAAACATCGTCGTAGGAATGGCTCTCTTCTGCGGCGGTCTTGCTCAGCTCTTGGCTGGAATGTGGGAGTTCGCGGTCGGGAATACGTTCGGTGCGACTGGTCAGTCTCTTTCTCCTCGTCTTCTGCTCCTCTTTTGCGCGTCTCGTTTTCATTTCATCCAATGTTGGCTATCACGGTCATTGTGTGGGCGTGCAGCAGATATATGCGGATTGAGCTCTTGGGGATAACAATTGTGCTTTAATTAAGCGGACGATACTCCATGGAGTTGTCCAAACTCACGCAAGGGTTCATTGCTGCACACTTCTTGAGCTTTCCCATTCCTTCGTTCCCTGCTTGCGCTGTTATATGATTATGCATGCGCGTGTCTTTCTGGGAGTCTCATCAAAGCGGATTCCACGTTTGATTCGCAATTCGGTGGTGGCATCTAGTACTTATTCCACTTACATACCCCTAACCGCGGGACGAGAGGACACCTGGATGTTACTTATTCTCTGGACCCTATGTCCCTGCATCCCCACATCTAGCGAACGCGCCTTGCGTTCATTCAGCCGGAATTTATTCGTTTCCAAATGCTTCTGATTCTGAGGTTGTGCATGATCTCATGCATATGCCTGCGAGACCTCGAATACTTACCCAATCGCATGTTTATTTTTTTCATGTTCTCGTGGTTTTGTTCCCGTGATCCGTGACCCTGTCTCCTAAACCGTCTCTCCTCCTCAGATTGCTTCGTACTAACCTCCTCCCGGTTTCATTTCCTTCATCTCGATTTTCGAACGCAATTTACACACCACCCACCCATCCTCACCAAACACCAGTCTTCTCATCCTACGGCGCCTTCTGGCTCTCCTACGCCACCATCCTCATCCCCAGCTCTGGCATCGCAGACGCGTTCGCTGCGAACCCGAGCGAGGAGCCGAACGCGATTGCGATCTTTTTGATTAGCTGGATGGTCGTTACTGTTATATTTTTGTGAGTTTTTTCTTTTCTTTTTTTTTTTTCTTTTTTTCTCGCTGGGGTGCGAGTGCGGCTTTGCTGGACCAGGCGGTCTGCTGTTGACTGTGTTTTTTCTCGAGTTCGGTCTGTGTGAATGTACTTTTAGGTGGAGAAGGAGGATGATGATGGAATGCTGACTGTCATTTTTGAATCCTTTTGAATGCGTAGCATCGCGTGCTTGAGAAGGAATATCGGCCTCCTGGCTCTCTTTGGGTTATTGATCATCATGTTCATGCTCCTCGCTATCGGTACGTCCCTCTCTTCTTCTTACCTCTAGTCCGGTAATGCATTGCATAGCTGACTTTCCCTTCTTCACCATGGCCTCACAATGTATCCCTGGCTCGACACCACCCCACTTCCCTCCTCTTCACCTCTCCACCTCCACATCCCACTCATCTGACCCCAACCCTCCAGCCAACTTCACGGGAAAATCCTCCGTCACAACAGCAGCAGGTGTCATCGGCTGCATCACGGCTTTCGTCGCTTTTTATGATGGTGCGGCGGAGTTGTTGACTGCGGATGATGCGTTTATGTTGCCGTTGGGACATCAGATCACGAAGAGGAATGTGGATTGAGGGGGGAGGTGAGGCGAATGTGTTGTGGAGGGTTTAAGGGAGAGTGGAAGTGGTTGGGTGTGGAATGGGCGGCTTGAGGTTCAGGTTGGTTGCCTGTGAGGCGACTCGCGAGGCGGTAGAGCAGGACCTTGCACGACACACGAGGGGCGTTTGCTTGGTCTTGGGTGGTTATCTGCATCTTCCATTACCAGTGGTTCTGTGGTTCGATTGTTGCGTGCGCATGGGAGGGCCCAAATTGTGATCCACGTTATATTACTTTACTTGAGTTTAGCCAGCCTTGTATAGTTCCGTTTATATCCTCCATTATTCTTTAGTTTTGTGCACTCGACTGTTCCGACTCTCTTTCTTCGTCTCGGTTTGTTCGATTTATCTTGCGCCTCAAGAACCAAGTCTCTCTCTTCATCCCCGTCGTCATACTCATACTGCAACTCGTTGACATAACACCCAATGCTAATCGTTGCTATCCCATCACTGCTTTGCACCCCACCTCGCATCCCCTCCAACGCACCACTTCACGTCTCCCACACCCGACTCCTCTAATCCCTCCTCATAAAGCTCATAAACCCTCTCCCAATCCCTACACACGTGTCTTCCCTATCCCGTCTGTCGAAAGTCGCATCTGTGTCTGTGCGGCGGGTGAGTCTGGGTCTGGTGTGATGGTGTCGTTGTTATCTGATGAGGAGGCAGGTGAAGAGTCGGGGAGGAGGAAGTGGGCCCGGGAATGTCAAGAAGACGATCGAGCGTCGTGTCGGCAGCGGCGGCGCAGCCTATGTAGAGCATACCCCCTGTGTGTTGTTTGCACTGTTGACGGTTGACGGTCGGTTACGATGGGCACATACATAATCCCATCCGCATAAGCAAGCCAGCGAAAAGAAGAAGAAGAAGTACGCGCCTGCCATCGAATGAAAAATTCAAAAAACAATATTACAGTAATATCGCGTGTGGTCCGTCATCCGTCACGTCACGTCGCTCATGCCAGTGATCGCCTCCCGGATCATCTGAAGACGAAGACGATGCAGCGGGTGGAACATACATACCTACGCCGAATGCACGTCCTATCACCCCACGACGAACTGATCACCATCGTCCGACAAATGCAGAAAAAAAATAGTATAGGATAGGATGGTGTACGCGGCCCAAGTCTCACGAACCCCATTCCTCTTCGGAAAAGCGTTCATAGCGCCATGCGTCGATCTCTGCAAGTGTGGAGTGTGAAGTACGGTTCTGATTCTTCGTGTGAGCGTGGGGGCGATGGGGGGGCCTATGTCGATGGGGAGCTCTGTGGGGAAGTCTGAGCCTTCGTGGCCTGGTCACAGGAAACGGTGGGTATGCATTTGTGATATGGAGAGTTAGGTTAGTGAGAAGGTATGGAGGATAGCTTGATGGAATGAGGTGATGGATGAGAATGTACTGTAATGCGCGTCATGATCTGCGTATGTTTCGTCTGAGCTCAAGTTATAAGATGTAGAGAGAAGAGAAAAGCGGCGACTCACCGTTGTAATGTAGGTAGCAGTAAAACCGAAAGTCTTGCGTCTTGACTAAGAAATCTCGATGATCAGGAAACAGTGCTTCGAGTTATGGACATAAACGTCAGAATGGAACTTGATGTGACTTGGTGACTCGAGTGGCTGATGACAGTAGGAGTAGTCAGTAGTATGTTGATGGAACGAAAGCCCGATTAATTATACGCGATGCGGAGGTCGTGTCAGTCAGTTAGCCTCGTCAAGCGCTACTCAACGTTCTGAGCGGTATCAAATACCAGAACGGCGACGTGGACGGCGGCCATGTAACGTACCATTCTGACTGACGTCCGGTGCCAGTTTGTGGCATCCAAACCAACTTGAAGTGTAAGAAGGTGACAGCCTACATATTGAGGACACAGAGGTGTCAATTGTGCCGAGCGCTCCCAGAATACTCTGTACGCTGCGTGACAGAATCAATTGAGCCGATAGTAAGAAAAATGATACTAGCGCCATTAGACATAGATAATTTTGGAAGGGTTGAAGGTTGGTTGAAAGCGGAAAAGTGGCGAGGAGCAACACGTGGCACGGCAGCCGCCGCCGGCAGGGCCCGTACAAACAGTGACACGGACCACATTTTCGCTACTTCCACCACGACCAGCTACCAGGCCTCTCCTCTCAATGTGAAAAGTTCTCGTCAATTTCTTGGGCAATATTTTGACTCGTCAGCGTGCACCTCGGCACTAATGCTAGAGAACTCTTGGTTGACGCTGGAGCATCAACTTAAGTATGGCAGTTCACAGTTCGAATCGCCTCCGACTCTAAACCAATTACAGTAATGCATTCTTGATGTCTTTGACCAGACCCTTCATGTCGTCTGTCAGATCGAAGCCTGTTGGCTAAGCCCAATGGATATCGCAGCTCAATATCATCCCACCTTGGAGCACTTATACAACGTAAGTAAAGCCTCCGCATGCCTCGGTCGACATCTCCGTGCCAACGAAGTACATATATAGCTGGAGATTGCTGGTTGCAGTTTTATCATTGCCTAATCACACTCTTTTTTCTGGAATCCAAGCCAAGGCATCTATATCCGATCACCTATCTTCTTAGGAGAAACACCATGCGTGTCAACGTCACTCTTTTCGCTCTCGTCGCTGTCACTGCCCAGGCAGCTCCTCTTTTTCCCGGTGAGTTTGATTTCATAGACTCCTGATATATTTTCTTCCTTTGAGCTGCTCATAATATCATAATTTGTGATATTTACCGGTATTTCTCTCGGATAGAATCGGCCGGTAATGGAATCGGCCAGCGCGAGCCAGCCCCGAATCGTAAGGGCTACAGCATTTTACTTGAGGTGCGCATTCATTTTGATATTCGATATAATTCCCCGTTCCAACATCTAAGGATCAGGAGGAGATTGGCAAACGCGAGCCAGCCCCGACTCGTAAAGGCTACGGCATTTTACTCGAGGTGCGCAATTAGTTCAACTAGCATGTGCCCGGCTGTTTGACAATAGAGAACAAAATGTCTGAGTATGATGATTTACGCTACCACAGACCATCAAGTGCTTTGGCCCCCGTGCTCGAAATGTACAATGGTTTCATGCTCCACGAACTGTTAAGCACTTTGGCCCGAAGGTATATTGACAGTTTGGCCCCCCGTGCAGCCTGCCACTGGCAGAAATGCATTTGGCCCACTATGTTTGAAGGTGTTTGACTCCCATGCTCAAATGCTTTTCCATTTTGTCACTTTGTTTGTATTCGCTTTCATTATTCAACTAAAGCTAAGCTGCAAGATCAGGCATGTGCTCTGGTGTATTTCCGGTTCTATTACCGCGGGGTCAGCTGGGCTCCGAGAGGGTCCGAGCTGAATTCGCATCAGGTTCTGATCTTGAGGTTGTGATGGGGTCTTTTATTAATTTCTCGGGCAGAAATACATCAAAGTCACCCTGCGCTGCTTTTCCTGAAGGTATAAAGAATCTCGCTCTGGAGAAGGTAAGCAGGCTTGATCTCGGGACTTACCTCGAGAAAGTTTGCAGTGCATGCGGAGTCGCATCTCGCCGATGACCTCATATAACTGTCTTCTGGGTGCTCTGTGTCTAGCGGTAGGTGTAGGTGTTGTCAAGGGACTAACTATCACCTCCGATCCTGGAGCACTAGCGAACAAGACGTTTACTCACGTCGTCATCGGTGGTGGCACGGCAGGTACGTCACATCTCAAGTGGATTCAAACAAACCTACCAGACACTGACGTCGAACGGGTGCCCTCCACAAGGGTTGACCGTGGCTAGTCGTCTTGCTGAGGAACCTTTGTTCAACGTCGCAGTAATCGAGGCAGGCCCAGACGCGCAGAACGATAGCCTCGTTAACGATCCAGCCAAGTCTGTACCTCCGAAACGTATCTATCTCCAATCTTGCTAACATGCAATCGTTTAATTCAACTAGCGACGAAACAGTCTCCTCTGTTTATCGTTGGGCGTATCTCACGACACCACAAGGAAGCAAAGGTGTGAACTTGACCATGCTACAGTAAGTATTGCTACCTCACCATAACGAACCTCAACGCGTCTGATCAAACCCGCTTCCAATGTAGAGGAAAGGTACTAGGTGGCAGCTCATCTATCAACGGAATGGAATGGACTCGGGCCACATCGAACCAATATGATGCTTTAGAGCGTCTCGGCAATGAAGGATGGAATTCGACTAGTATGTTCAAGTATGTCAATGTCATTGTTTTTCACTGTTACCTAGCACCCTTGACTTTCTCTTGAAGATACATGAAGAAAGCCGAAGGATTTCACCCACCCTCGTCTTCCCAGCTCGACCTCGGAGCGACTTGGGATCCTTCGCCCTGGATTCATAACACCACCGGCCCTGTCTCCGCGTCGTTCCCTAATCCCTATTCTGCAGCCGGCTCTTTCGGAACATACATTTCCTCTCTGCTAGCATACTTTGCTCCCGTCGGCCTTGTCCAAAATCCAGACGTATGCTCCGGTACGCCAAACGGTGCCGCCCGAATCGCGTACTCCATCATACCTGGCTCGAACGACACGAACGATACCGAAGAAAACGTGCGAGCAAGCAGTGCGAGGTCGTACGTATACCCTTTCTTAGGACAGCTGGATGCGAAAGAGAACCTTGTCATTTTGGTGGGGCATCAGGCGATTGGGATTGTGTGGGGAGATGACGATGCGGACGGAAATGCAACGGCAGCCGGTGTCAGGTTCGTGAACACACCTGAGGAGAACGGAACAGTTGATGGAGCGGTATGGGAAGTGGCGGTGAGAAAGGAGGTTGTCGTGGCATCAGGGGCAATTGGGGTACAGTCCAGCTCGTTTTCGACAAAGCATGCCACTGAAGTGAAACCTTTTCGTTTCCTCTTCCATCAGAGTCCGCATTTCCTTGAGCTCAGTGGGATTGGGAATGCGACGTTAGCTAGTCCTCCACCCAGCTTCAGTGTTAATAGCTTATCGTCTCTTCCAGGATCCTCTCGTCGATGGGAATTCCCGTCAAGGCAGAGTCCTCACCATCGATCAACCGTCAACCACTAATCATTGCATAGATTGACCTCCCTTCTATTGGCACGAACCTTCAAGATCAGCCGCTTATATCGGGCGAATACAACAGCAGCGCGTCCGTCCCGCCTTCGTTCATCAATACGACTAATGCTCCGAATGTCGGCGTCTCTACGTACCTCACCCTTGGGCAGGTCTTGGGTTTCGAGAATGGCAATTCTAGTGTACAGGGTCTCTTAAACAGCTTGGAAGAAAGGGCGAAAGAGATCGTGGCTGGTGGCGGGTTTGTGAACGAGGATGCGTTGAAGACCATCCTCATGATGCAAGCCGAGAGTATGCTCGACGATGGTCAGTTTTCGAGTATGAATATATTGCGAGAACAGCATTGATGATGTACTCTTCATGATAGCGCCTGTCGTAGAGATGTCGTGGGGATCGCTCGGAGGAATTATAGGGAGTGTCGTATGGAACCTCCTTCCGCAGAGGTATATCACCCGACTACATCTTAATTGGGCTCTATTTGACCGACATGCCTCGTTCAGTCGCGGCACCACTCACATCCAGTCCTCCAATCCTGCCGTACTTCCCCGTCGTAAGCCTTTTTCGCTGTTCCGTGCCCTCTGTCCTTCTACTCACACTTTTCTCCCAGTGAATCCCGCTTACCTTCGTGGTCCTGCCTTCGACCTCTACCTCATCTCCAACGCCACAAAATCCGCCCGTGCAGTCTCACAAACCCCTCCCCTCTCTGACATCGTGACTACTGAATTAGTACCTGACCTTTCCACCATCCCGCTCAACGCATCAGACGAAGTATGGCATGAATGGATACTTGCCAATGTTCAGCCGGTGATACATCCAATCGGAACGGTGGCGATGCTGCCACGAGAGATGGGAGGAGCTGTTGGGAGCGACTTGAAGCTCTATGGGACGAGTAATGTGAGGGTTGTTGGTAAGCTCGTCATGACGGCGTTTGTTTCCTGCGGATATAGTATGCCATGGCTGATGTGTCTTGATAGATTCGTCTATCATTCCGATCCAGCTCAGTGCTCATTTAAGCGCGACGGTGTACGGTATCGCTGAGAAGGTACGCTCAGGTCACCGCAGAAGGGAACAGTGGGCTGTTATATCATATTAATGATGTATGGTTTTATCAGGCCGCAGATATCATCAAGGGCTGCGATTGAGGTTCTGAGCGCAAATCTGTATCCTAGATTTCCACCATTGCGACGTCATTTTTACGGAGCATGCGTTACGACAGGTACGACTACTTGCCCGGCTTGTGACATAACCATGAAACAAACTTCCTGCAGACACTGCGCAGTGTTTTATACGATAAATATCAATATGGACCAATCGTCCAAATACAAGTCGGAAGTCCTTCCATTGATCTCTTTACCGCACCAGCTCGATCTGTTGGACTATCCTCCATACGCCCATTTGCACATTCCTTTCCAACTCCCACGGACCTAGAGAAGTGCAAGTGTTAGCCGAAAAACAAGGAGCTCATGAAATGACATGGACAGAATCGCTGACCGAAACGAGCTCGCAGAAGCGTATTACAGTGTTTACTTGACTCTTTGGCTAAGGTCATCGCAGTGGCCTGCGTGATAGTGGAATACCAATGCTCCGACTCGACAGTGACACACTTGAGGACTTTGAAGTAAGCAAGACAAATTGCCACCGATAAGCTGGTAGTCTGGTGAGCGCCAAAAGGTGTATGACACCATGAGTGGAATGGTTGAAAGGGATAGTTAGTGACTTTGATGCGGCTGATGACGACAAAAGGGTGGAGAGAACGGTGACTTACAATAGCTTCGCCACGATCCTGGTAATTCGAAAAGTCGACGCTCAACTCCTCGAGCGTCGGCAACTCTTCCTTGAGCTCGACGAGATACGGAATTGTTCTTTCTGCCGGAATCACGATTCTGACCGACTTGATTCCTGTGAATTTCCCCAAGGGATGGATAACGTCGAAGGGCTCTTCATCAAGACCACCGAACCGATCCTGATGCACGCCTGCAAAGTGTAAACTTGGGTTGGCATGGACGAGCTCCCAGTACGTGAAAGGGGCGGTGAATCGTTCCAAATCAGTGAAGGTAAGCTCCTTGTCCCCCAGGTTGCTGTCGTATTCGTCGGTGATGAGTTCGATATCTTTGAGACGAGGATGGTTGGAAAGGAAGTCAATGAGAGTAGGAGCGTGGATGAGGTCCATCTCGATTCTGAAGGTACGAAGGGAGGGGAGACGGAGAGCGTCCAGGATTTCGAGCGACCCTTCGGTCGGACAGAAGATGGAGTCAATATTGAGTGACTCGAGGTTCGGAAGAGTCGCGAATACGCGTTTGAGAAGTGCAGTGAGCTCAAATGCTTGGGCAGGACGCTTTATACGGTCGCTAGAGACGTAGAAAGATCAGCTCGCGAGATTCACCTATATTTCACCATGTTCGGAGCAAGTGCGGCTGCGAAAAACAGATGACCTACCTAGGAAGCCGTGAAACCGTGACGTTTTTGACGAGAGCCGCCTTGTCTGGCTTTTCCATGACGGTCTGGCACCATTTCTGAGCTCGACGAACGAGAGCCTTCGTGTCTCCAGCATACGTGGCCGTGCAGCGTATCGAAACGTCTCGGTACAGATCACGGACCGTGAGTTCGTGAAAGACGCGACTGGTGCGGCACAATGCCCATAGAGAAGATTTTGGAGCCTGCTTCGTTATTTCTGTGAGCAACTCAACAGGAAGTCGAGGAGCTTCTAGGTATTTCTGTGCTCTGCGCGTAAGAACCATGGCGGTTCAAGTTACGCTACTAGTATACGGTGGGATGACTGAGTACTGAGTGTCACGACTGTCGTCACCAAAAATTTAGAAAGGGTGAAAAGAAGGTGACTGCAGCGTCGGGAGCAAGAGGTGTACCCGTCACGATGTCACAGTATCGTGGTTTAAATATGGATGAATTCGTCACATAGTCACATGTGACAGTGGTAATTCCTTTGTGGCTCTTTCTTGGATTCCACGCCCTCCGGGCCAGACCTGTTCCTTCAGATTGAACAGCGCAGACCAACTGGTTATAATGCGCCTTTTGACCAACTTTATTGTCCAAACATCTCTGGAGACAAAACCGGCGACCCTTGCTGTGGCGAAAACGCCACAAAAGTTTAAAGCTCACAACACGCTCACCTGCGTTCAAAGAAAGAACGAGCACGGCATACCCGTGGCTCGAGATAATTAAATTCCTCACACGGGTGGAAGAACATAGGCTGCAATTAGCCCACGTTTGCTTGTTCAGACTTGTCAGGCATATTTGAACGACGCACGACACAGGTACTGTAGAGTGGCCGGAACGAGACGGGAGGACCGGGAACCACCGGGAGCCGAGAGTGATGGAGGACGAGTGACCGTAACAAAAATCTCCAGCTCCCAGGAAAAAGACGCCACCGCCACCGAAGAGGCGTGACGTGACGCTGTGACAAAGCTCGTCTCAAGACCTGTCCTAACAGGACCCCTGCGTATGCTGACGGAGGTCCCATCCTGATGCGACGAATTTTGGGCGAAAAATCGCGTTTCGTCCGATCCGTAGTGCGACGAAAATGGCCCGTCGATGCTGATGTTCCATCCCGCTATGCGGACGAAAATGCCTCCTGGGGACGCGAAAAATGGGGTAAACACGGCCAAAAACACGGGCGAAAAACACATTTTGAGAAAATTTTTGACATACAGGGCTTGAGAAGGCCCAGGAAGGCCTTATGCGGAGCGATGTTCCATCCGATCGTGCGTACGGAAATGGCCAAAAATCCGATGTCCCATCCTCATGCGGACGAAAACACCCCCCAAATCGTGCGACGAAAACGACCAATTTTGGGGGTTTTCGGATGGGACCTCTGTCAGCATACGCAGGGGTCCTGTCCTAACGGAACAGGAAAAACTCTCGTCAGGCTGTCGCAGATTGCCATCGCCTTGATTTCTTCGTCGGTTCCAGTTGGCATTGGTGACACCGCCGTGATAACTTTGGTCATGGGAACTACAAGTTTTCCTGTCGAACTTCTCAGTGCTATCGTCTCCTTTGCTGCTGCTGAAGGCAGCGAAGTCGACTCAAGGCCCGTGTTGGGCCCGTGCTACTACTATCTCTTTGTCTTGCCAGTCGCGTCCTCCACGAGCTTTCTATCCGCCATCTTTATCACCACGTGTCAATCCGCTGTTCTGAAAGATCGCTGGAAGAAAAGGATATGGAGCGCGCAAAACAACCGGTCATTCGAAGTATCAGGATGTGCGGGGCCCTGCTCCGAAACAAGTATTTCATAAGAGAGTTCGTTCGTATCGTGACGCTGGAATAAACGCCCGAGTAAGTCATTACAGTCTCATATCAGTTATTGGGCAACAGTACATATTGACCGTTGTACACGCTCAACTCTCTCGACGCACAGCTATCCCGTCCTCAAGTTGGTCCTGAGGGTTCTTGCCAATCTCCCCCGCCTCGAATCTCTCCGTTTCGAAATCAAGTTCCAAAAATGCGACCAGCACTGTCTCCCTCTCATCCCCTTCTCCTGTCCGGGTCATCACGAGTACGAAGACCCGACGGAGGTGTTGTCGACTCTCCACATCCCCACATGACAAGACTTCAACATCGAGGCACGCATGGTACACTCTCCCATCGTCGCTCACTTTCTGCAACGACACGCTCCGTCATTGCGAACCATCAAACTACGCATCGACGACGTCGATGAGCCTATCGAAAGTCTCCTGCGTGCGGACGACGTCCCGGGGCCGTCGAATTGGCCATTGAAACGCGCACCTCGCCCAGGCTTGCAACTCTCCCTACCCCTGCTCGAGGATCTGTCCGCGCCCGTTCCGTTCTGGGAGATTCTTGATCCTAAGGCCTGCCCGAGGTTGATGCATGCGACGTTGCTGCAGAGTCCGACGCTATCCTGGATGCCTGTCTATCCCTTGCGCTACTGTCGTCGCGTTCATGCCTTGAGTTTTCAGATACCGGCCACAGTCAAGGCGACGGAGGCATGCTTACGCTTCTTGGGGAAGCGGCTGGCGATATACGATATGAGGATCGAGTACTTTGCATGTCGGAATGATGACTCTGAATCGGTATGGCATCCGCAGTACGACATGATTAACTGCTGAAAGTTATACTTATCTACGAGACTGCTTACGACAGGAACTGCTGGAGTGCATCGCGAGATCACTCAAAGACATCGGCTTTAGGATGCTACGAGCTCTCTTCGTCAGGACGTCGAACACCTCCGGAAGTGAACACCTGTTGGCCGTCGAAGAGGTCGAGGAAGTACCTAAGATCATTGGGGATGTCTGCCCTAGCCTACGTCAATGTGTCTGGGGTGAGTCTCCCTGACCTCATTTCGGATCGGTCATATACAGAAGGAGAAGGTATCTTGAGCTGACATGGCATTATTTGACTGGTGATAGACGACTGCATGTGGAGGAGAACAAGCACCGAAGCACAATGGGAGACTGTGCGTGGGCCTCTGGGTCCAGATGAAGACGAGCATATGCAACCTAAGGAAGAGGAACATGTGCGGCCTGAGGAAGAAGAGCCTATGCAGCCTCGGCGTAGCCGCCGGATACAAGCACAAAAAGCCTTGCTGAACGCTTGATCGGTGGTGTGTAAGTAGTTCATGCAGTCCTTCCGCTTCCGTATACATTTGACCGACAGTCCCCGAGTTATCGTGTACTATATTTTCTGTGTAGTTTCGCCCATGAACATCATATGAGATATTGATGTGAGTGTAGTCACGAGTACTCTGATCCCTCAAGAGACGTGGTTACACGCAGGCATAGGCGGAAGCTTGATAACATAGATGCGTCGAACCCTCCAGTCAGAAGACAAAGAACATAGATGTCAGTCAATGTTCTTCATGCGGCTTAATGTGGCGTCGCCCGCGACACTCGATAAGTCCTGTATTCGTGTGCGCGTTGGCGCTCGAATCATTTTTTTTTGCTGCAAACCACCGTGTCCTATACCTCTCAATTTTGTATTGTCGCCGAGAACACTGACACCCTGCCTATTGTGTTTTCCGGTGACTTCCACCTAATGCCTTCGAATGCTTCTTCTCGTCAGATGCCGAACTGAATATTGCTATTCCTTTTAGCAGCGCGTCCGTCCCACCGTCGTTCATCAATATGATCAACGCTCCGAATGTCGGTGTCTCTACGTACTTAACCCTTGGGCAGGTCTTGGGTTTCGAGAATGGGGATTCGAACATACAGGGGCTCTTGAACAGCGTGGAAGCAATAGCGAAAGAGATCGTGTCTAATGGCGGGTTTGTGGATGAGGATGCGTTGGAGACTATCCTGACGATGCAAGCCGAGAGTATGCTCGACGATGGTCTGTTTTCGAGTATGTATATATTGTGAGAACATCATTGCTAATGTACTATTCATGATAGCGCCTGTCGTAGAGATGTCGTGGGGATCGCTCGGAGGAATTATAGGGAGTGTCGTCTGGAACCTTCCACAGAGGTGCGCTACCTGAATTCATCTTCACTGGTTTCGATTTGACCGACATGTCTCGTTTAGCCGTGGCACTACTCACATCCAGTCCTCCAATCCTGCCGTACTTCCTTGTCGTAAGCTTGATTCGTTGTTCCGTGCCCTCTGCCCCTCGCCCCTCTACTCACATTTTTCGAGGAGTGAATCCTGCTTACCTCTGTGGTCCTGCCTGCGACCTCTACCTCATCTCCAACGCTACAAAGTCTGCCCGTGTAGTATCACAAACACCTCCCCTCTCTGATATCGTAACCACTGAATTAGTACCCGGTCTTTCCTCTGTGCCACTCAACACATCAGACGTGAAGTATGGCAGGAATGGGTACTTGTAAATGTTCAACCGGTGATATGTACATTCAATCGGAACGGTGGCGATGCTGCCACGAGAGATGGGAGGTGCCGTGGGGAGCGACTTGAAGCTCTACGGGCCGAGCAATGTGAGGGTTGTTAGTAAGTTCGTCATGAGGGCATTTGTTTCCTGCGGATATGGTATGCAATGATTGATATGTCTTGACAGACTCATCTATCATGCCAATCCAGCTCAGTGCTCATTTGAGCGCGACGGTGTACGATATCGCTGAGAAGGTTGCCCAGGTCACTGCAAAGCGGAGAAGTGGGCTGATTATATTTATTGATGATGTATGGTTATATCAGGCGGCAGATATCACCCAGGGCTGCGATTGAGCGTGAAACTGTATTATAGGTTCTCAGCATTGCGATGTTATTTTACAGAACACACGTTGCGACTACTTGTCCCACTTGCTAGATAGCCGTGATACAAGTTTCCTGCAGACGCTGCTCAATATTGTAGACGGAACATCAATACGGGCTAATCGTGCGGACACAAATGTCGGAAGTGCTTTTATTGATCTCTTTACCGTGCCAGCGCGATCAATCAAACTATCCTCCACATGCCTGACGGCCTATCTCTTTTCAAGTTCCACTGACCTAAAGGAGTGCAAGTGTCAGTCAAAAAATAAGGAATTTATGAAATGACATGGACGGAATCGCTGACCGAACCGAGCTCGCAGAAGCGTATCACAGTGTTTACTTGACTCTTCGGCCAAGGTCATCGCAGTGTTCTGCGTGATCTTGTGATTCCAATTGTCCGCCTCGACAGAAACATACTTAAGGGATTTGAAGTGGGCGAGACAAGTTGCCACCGATAAGCTGGTAGTCTAGTAAGTGCCAAAAGGTGTATGACATCATGAGTGGAATGGTTGACATGGATAATCAGTCATTTTGATGCGGTTGATGACGGCAAAGTGGTGGAGAACGGTGACTTACAACAGCTTCACCACGATCGTTCCAATTCGAAAATTCGACGCTCAACTGCTCGAGCATCGGTAGCTCCTCCTTCAGATCGTTGAGATACGGAAGTGTGCTTTCTGACGGAATCAAGATCCAGACCGACTTAACTCCCGTGAATTTCCCCAAGGGGTGCATAACATCGAAAGGGTTGTAATCAAGATCCCTGAAACGATCCTGATGCACGCCTGCAAAACGTAAGTTTGGGTTGGGTCGTAAGGCCTCCCAGTACGTGAAAGGGGCAGTGAATCGTTCGAGCTCGGGGAGGGTAAGCTCCTCCTCCAGCTCTGCGTCGTCGAATCCGTCGATCATGAGCTCGATATTTTTAAGACGAGGGTGCTTGGAAAGGAAGTCGATGAGGGTAGGATCGTTATCGGAGTCCATCTCGATTCTGAAGGTACGGAGGGAGGGCACACGGAGAGCGTCCAGAATTCCGAGCGACCCCGAGAGCGGATTTAGTGAACAGTCGACGTCGAGTGACTCGAGGTTCGGAAGAATCTTGAACGCGCGTTTAAGAAGCGCAATGAGCTCAAATGCCTGGGCAGGATCATACTCTATTAAGTCACTGAATACGTAGAAAGGTGAGCTCGCTGGATTTATCTGCATTTCGCCATGTTCATATAAGCAGATGACTTACCTGGGAAGCTCTGAAATAGTGACGCTTTCGACAAAAGCCGCCTTGTCTGGCTTATCCATGACGGTCTGACACCATTTCTGGGCTCGGCAAACAAGATCTTTTGTGTCTGCGTCGTTCACGCCCGTGCAGTGTATCGTGACGTACCGGTACAATTCGCGGACCGTGAGCTCGTGAAATACACGACTCGTACGGCACAATGCCCACAGAGATGACTTTGGAGCCAGCTTCGCGATCTCTGTGAGCAACTCAACAGGAAGTCGAGGAGCTTCTAGATATTTCTGTGCCCGTGTGAGAGCCATGACCGTTCAAATGGCGACCGCTAGTAGTATACGATGAGATGATGGAGTGCGATGATTGTTGCCGCGAAGCTTAGAAAGGGTGAATAGAGGGTGACTGTAGCGTCGGGAACTGGTCGGGAGCAAGAGGTGTTGCTGACACGGTGTCACGCTAGCGTGGTTAGTAAGGTTCTGTCACACATGTGACTCGTGACAATTGCCAATTGCGGCGATCCTTTTGTTCCTCTGTGCTCGGCAAGAACACCATCTTTCTTAATCCCATCAAAACCGTTGCCTTTGCCGATCATAACTCAAACTCGGTGCTAGCTTGAACTTCAGAAGGGTATCCATATATTCTCTGAGGAAAATCAAAGTTCAAAACCTGGCCCAGACGAACCTGACCACCACTTCCCCTCCCTTCCTAACGAACGAAAAGGCGATAAGTAAGCGAAGAAAAAGAAAAGAAAACCCGATGATTCGAAAAAGAGGTTATGAACTGAATCTAGCTAGCTACTACCTGCGTAGTAGTCTTCGTCGTGGAGAGATCGAGCAATATACATGGATATGTGTTTGGATGAGGTTACAATTCAATCAATCAATCAATACTACCGCGCATAATTCAGGAATCAAAGGGAGAAAAGGAAGACGCGTTAGTAATGGGATCGGCACGGCACGACAAACGGCACGAAGAGGAGTAAGAAAATGAAAAGAAAGAGGAAGTGGCCTAGCAGCTTACACGTAGGATAAGTGGATCGATGACGCGAACGAGACGAGAAGTCGGAATAATTCAATAGGACGATAGAAAAACGGCTTGCGCGGTATATCATGACGAGCGGGAGGCTAAAGAGGAGGGAGGGCCTGTAGAGGTAAAGCGGCAGGTGGGTGGGTAAGTCTCGAAGACATAAAGAAAGAGAAAGACCGAGATGAGATGAGATGAGATGAGATAGAGAACAGGAGAGAGAGAGAGAGAGCATACATACAGAAGCACCCCAACCACGAAAAAAAAGTCAAAAGAAAAAGGGTCACACCGGAACTGGAGAACTCATAGAGCCTACCATCGCACTTAAAAGTCGTCCCCCTCATCGTTCATCTCTGGCTCCAACGCCCGCTCTCTCTCCCTATCCCTATCCCGATCCCGCTCTCTACTCCTCACACCCGTACTCGTCGTATCCAGCCCCGTCAACAACACGCCCTTCACCCCACCACTCTGCGTCCTCCCACCGTCCCTCGCCCTCGCCGTGCTCATCATCCCCGTCCCCCCACCACCCGCATGCGCCACCCTCTCCCTCTTCTCCCCATGCCCTTTCCTCGCCTCCTTCCCCGCCCTACCTCCTCCTCCGCCACTACCACCCCCAGGCTCCGCCTCGAGATCGCTCTCGCTCGCGCTACTCCCCGGGAACGGATAATTCGCCAACTGATTCGCGCCCGGCGTCGGCGTCGTGATCAACGGAAGTGGTATCGTATTCTTCCTCGACTTCTTCTTCTTCTTCGGGCTAACCACACCTCCCCCTCCCCCCGTCGACTCTCGTGCCACGGAACCGGAAGCCTCGCTCGACGCTGAGGCTGTCGACGCCGTCGAGACCTCGGATGGACTCGTCATATGTCCGTGTCCGTGTCCGTGTGGTTGTCCAATCCCGTATATCGAGCCCATCATCGGGTTCGGAACCACCCTCCCATTCTCATCCGCCCCATTCGCACTCGATGGGATAGCTCCGCCATTCCCTCCATCGCCCCCACCGCCACCGTCAGCGCCCTCCGAGGGCGATCTTGGCTGTGGTGTCGGTAACGAAACCGACGGGTCCACCCACTCTTCGTCGTCCTCGTCGTCCTCACCATCCTCATCTTCTCCATCGTCGTCGTGTCGAACTTCTCCTTTGCCCCCACCTACGAACGTGCCACCAGCCGACCCCGGACCAGGCGTAATCGGTCCAATCGGGTCTTCCTCCGTATCCACCTCACTTCCCTCTCCCTTCCTCTTCGTCTTCTTGCCTCCCTTCTTGCCCTCCTTCCGCCCCGCCTCCTCACCTCCCTCTCCCGCACCCGCACCCTCGCCCTCACCATCAGGCTCATAATACCCTGCCCCCACCGAATTCTCCGTCGTCGGCGACGTCGAGCCCGATCCCTGCGAATCGTCCGCATCCGGCACGTCGAGGTCCATATCCATATCCATGTCCATGTCCATGTCTGGCTCCGACATCGATTCGAGCCCGAGGTGGTCTTCCGAGTCGGACGGGTACGAGGGCGGTTCGTCGTGGATGGAGAAGATCGTCTTGTGTGTCTTTGATAACTATTTCCAAGGATATCAGCGAATGAGCGACGATTGTCCCGTAACAAACACATAGTGAAATGAAATGAAAATTTGGAAAGATCAAAGGAAAAGAACAACGCACATCCGCTACCCTCGCCTTGAAATCCTCCCAATCCCCCTCATCTCTACACAAAAACCCCACAAGCATACTGGGATCCAGCCCACTCAGCGGCATCTTCCTCACCCTCTCACAATGGAACGTCTTGAGCTCCGCAGCGGAGTACGCGCTCACATAATGCTCCTGAATCGCGTCCAGGGGCTCGGGGCCGGTATTGCCACGGGCGAGCAGCTCGGACATCGACATGGAGAGGGAGGACAGGTCGGAGGAGGCGCGGCGGCCACCACCGCCACTGGCACTGCTGTTGCTATTGTTGCTGTTATTGGAGTTCGAATTGGGGTTTGAGTGTGTGGTGTGATAAGGAGCGGTAGGCGTCGTAGGCGACGGAGCGAGCGTAGTCGCCCACCGGCCATGCCCATATCCTCCTCCATGTCCATGCCCTTGTGACGACCCACCCATCCCACCCCCGCTATTCGTCGAATGATAACTCCCCGAGCTCCCCGAGCTCAACTGGTGCGCCAACGGACTCGGCGAATGTATCGGGCTCCGGCCGCTCCGGCTCGACGTGGGGCTCGTCGGGCTCCTGTAATGTCCTTGTCCTCCTCCTGCGCTACTTCCTGCTCCTCCGCCGCCTGAGAAGAGGACAGGCCCAGCCGGACTCCCCGGTGCACTCTTACTCCCGCTCCTCAACCTCTTCTTCTCCCTCTCCTTATCCTTCTCCGGCGTTCTCGGTCCCTGTCCTCCTTCCTCCTCTTGCTGCCTCTCCCTATCCCTCTCTATAGATTCTCTCGAAATATCCAATACGATATCGTTCGTAGATGGTGGTGGTCGAAGAGGGACCGCTGGTCGGGCGTGGTGCGGGTCGAGGTAGAAGAGGTTGTCGGCTTGGGAGCCTACGAAATAGTAAGAAGAAGAGGGGCGGCCGCCGGCGATGCCGACGGATTGGGGGAAGGTGTAGAGAGCCTGTTTGGTGAGAGTGGAGTGAGTAGATGAGCGTGAGTATGATCGAGAAAAAAAAATTATGGTGTGGAATTGAACGGTGAAGGTGTGGTGGTGGAATTTGGTGGTGAGTTCGATGGGGCGATGAGCAGAAGCGAAGAAAAAGATGGGGTGAGTGGTTGTCAAAAATGAGGTCAAGAAGAAGGGAAATGGGGAGGGGTGAACGATGATGATCAATTGCAGAAATCGAATGTGCAAAAGATGAGGCGGTGGACGATGCGGTTGGGATTTGGTGAGGAGTTCGGTGGGCGATGAGTAGCAGAACAAGACAAAGAGTGAGATGCAGTTTAAAAAGGGAGACCGACAGAAAATGGACGGACAGAAAAAACGCACCTTGATAGTCTCATAATAAATCGGATTCACCCCATCCAACCCCAGCCTTATCCCAATCAACACAAGCACCGCCCTGCCCCCCCACGTCGACGCCAGCTTCTTCTTACTGCTCGGTGAATCCATCGGGGGATGCGAAGCCGCAAAAACGTCAGACTGGAAGATCTGGGAGTCGGATGCGATGGAGACGCCGAGACCGGCTTCGGGGAAGGCGTGCACAAGGGTCCTATCATAGCACAGAACACATTCGAGTTGAGATCAAGAGATTGAAGTGAGAAGGCGCAAGAAAGGGGGAAGACGCACTTGATGGCACCGGCGGCGGTACTAGGCCCGAACCACTGTCCGACATCTTTACCCAACTCTTTCCCCGCCAACGCCATCCGATGAACAGAGAACGGACAGTGCGGCGTCGGCGAGTCGAAGAACCAAGTCAACATCTGGACGTATGTCGCATAATCGGCCGTATAAACCGGATGCGGCGGTCTTCTCCAATCTAACCACCCATCGATTCAATTCATTAATTAAGCCCGCTTATCTGAGATACGAAGAAGGGGGATGACGATGACGCACCCCGTCCCAGATGCAGATGAACCAGCGCATTCGCAAGTAACGACTGTCCCGTGCGTAACATACACCCCCACCCCGCATCGCTCGTCCACCCTTTCTCGCCCGAGCCGGGCCATCCCCACTTCTTCGTCGGCGGACTGCTGGCCATGATCACGGGTCCCGCGTGCGCCATGTTCGCCTGCTCGGACTCGAGCGCGGTGAGGGTCGAGTCGCGGATGGGCTGGAAGTGCGAGCGGTAGGTGAGCCAGACGCGGGAGGTGAAGTCGGAGTAGAAGACGGGGGGCCAGTTATTGGGTGCCGCTTGTGCTGAGATCTGTTGCTGTTGTAGTGTCGATTGGGAGGATGGAGACTGAGATTGTGATTGGTAGAGTCTGGCAGAATAGGATGAAGGTGGGAGAGAATGCGATGTGGTGGAATCGGGTGAGGTAGACGATGAGGTGGATGAGCGGAAGGACGGCGAGCGGCGTGAATCGTTGCTGCGACGACCAGAAGACGAGGGCGGGGTGTTCGGCAGCGGCGGCGGTGGCTCGTAGCCGGGATGTTGTACGCCAAGGAGCCAAATAACATCGGTGCAGCCGTCAGGCGTAGCGTCCGAGTCGAGGAGATAGCGCATGGCCTTGTCGAGGTGGCCCTTGCCGTGCTTCGCGGCGGTGAGCAGCGCCGACGTCTTGCCCTTCGGCGAGTTCTGGACTGGATGCGTTAATAAATTCGGGAGCGAAAGATCTGTGGATGAAGTATTGAACGTGTGCTGGAACCAGCCCGACAGTCTCGTCGGCAAATCTGTGATGCGCGAGGACGAGTGCGACGACGAGTAGTAGTTCAGATGGTTATCCGACGACGCGCTCAGGGGCCTCTCCGACCGTGTGCGTGGTCGAGCAGCAGCAATGGGCTCGATGATGACCGGAGGCTCGTCCATGCCGTCGTCGTTGTCGCCCATGGAGAAGTCGGCGTTCTCGAGCTCGCCGTCGTCAGCCGTCGACGGCGGCAGCGCGGGCACGGGCACCGGAACGGGCTGGCTCTGCGGGTGCGCTTGCTGCTCCTTTACGCCGGCCAGCCTCTGGCTGCTCTTCCGTACCAGCCGATGCGAGCCTTTCGAGGGCGACGAAGACGACGACGAGCCTTCGGGGCCCATCGTCGGGTTGGATGGCGTGGATGACGAGGACGCGAGCAGGGCGGGATCGTTCAGGGATTTCGACCGGTCTCGGGTCTGCTTTGATTGCAGGAACTTGGGCAGTTTCGACGAGGGCGACGACGCCGAGGGTCCGTGGCGTGGTTTCGAGGAGGACATCGGGGCGCGTGTGGGGGTCGTCGTCGTCGCCTGGGTCGTCGGTGTCGGTGAGGGTGGTGAGCGGCGGCCTGAGCTCGTCGTGGTGGACGATGATGAGAGCGTGCGTGCTAGGAATGGAGCGTGGCAGACTAGCCCGGCCGCGTGGCGCGCCTCCCGACCCCGGGAAGGATGGCGCTCCTCCTTTTGCAAACACGTTGTTTCCGTCCCCTTTCCTTTTCCTTCTAGAACCAAAAGATACCCTGAACTGCTATACCTGACGCGTTTATCTTTCAAGCTCACTCTGAAAAATCTTCGACGTTCTCAGCAAATATGATGACCGAAGGTCTTCGGGACCGTCGGCATCCACTTAGGTCAGGCTGACAAGGCTTACTTCTTGATGTCAGGTTATATCTAAGGAAGCCCTTCGCTGATCAACTGGATGACTTCCCGTAGACAAAATGATATGTTTATTCGACGCGATCAGCACTCGGCAACGCTCGGAGATGAAGACGGCAGCCAGCAGCAGCCAACCAGTGCGCTGCGATCTTCATTTCGGAGCGTTGCCGAGCAGCGATCGCCTTGAATCAATACCGAATAAACATATATTTTCTCTACGGGAAGTCATCCACTTTCTCTGCCTTTGCATAGGAAGTCGAAAACTCTTTCTCGACACGTGTAGTTCGCATGTTCATGAACGCGTATCTGGCCACACGTTCAATCCAACTTGCGTACGCTCTGAAATCATGACAGGCGGGAGTACGGAACGAGGTACGCAAACATATTCTTGCCCTCGCAGTTCAACTCCAGCCCTCGGAAGCTCATCGTCTATATTCACTGTGAATACTTCCTGTCCTCTCCTCTAGATTTTCGAGCTCCAGGAAAATAATCCAGACCTAACGCATGTCGCTGTATCTTGGGCTCAGTCGATAAATATTCACCACGTCTTCAGCAAGTATAACTCCAGCAGCCTCGGGACCGTTGACATCCACTCCGACCTTCATCCAGTGCAAGGCTACTTCTTCATCTTAATCTATGCCAGTGGAAGCTCTTCGCCAATCAACCGGTCTTACCCTTCGCATACTTAGGAAGTCGAAAGCCGAAGCTCTTTGCCACCACGTGTGGCGAGCATGTTCATGAACGTCATCGCAATCGTACACTCCTACTGCATGACTGGCGCGCGGAACGGAAGGACACAGTCACATCCTTCGTACTCGGCAATTTCAGGAGACGGCTTGAGGACGGAGATTAGGATCGGCCCCACTCCCCAGAGCATACCTGTTGCAAGCAGACTGGTGACCGAGTCTGCAAGGCGAGTGCATATGCGATCTCAGAGCGCACCACGAATTCGTCAGGTCTGTGTTGCAAGGCCGCGCGCCTTCCTTCCTTCCTACTCAGTCCTGAAATATTATTGATGTCCTCAGTATAACGGCCTGATAATCGCAGTCTTCGGGACGGTTGATATCGACTCCGGTTAAGCCGACAAGGCTACTTCTGCTTGTCAACCCTCACTTATCAACTTTTCTAGGCCTTCGCATAGGAGAACCTCTTTCTAGACACGTGTGGCACGCATGTTCATCCACACCATGATATCCACGTACCTACTACATGATGGGAACGCGGAACGACAGGACACAGTCAATGTCATTTTATTGGCCATTTCTGGGCATTTCCACCAAAGATACTCAACCCCACACCTAGTACTACCGGAAGGTCCTTAATCCATCGCATCTCCTCCAGACCGTAACAACGTTTGTTCCTCGTGTCTGTGAGTCTGATCCTCTAACCCCTCCATAACTCCCGTTGACTTTCGCACAAACGAGGAAATAGGACCAGAACTGCCTCGGGCTGACTCCAGTCAGTGCAAGTCAGGCTAAGTAGTCCAAAATCTGATCCGTACGTATCATCTGACTCCTTCAATGAATTAACTGTATTTTTCTGTTAGGTCTGAGAGGGCGATCATGCCCCGCCATCCAGATCTCAGATCATACTTCGGCCATGACCTCCGTGGATATGGCATCAGTCTCAGGATCCTTCTTCGAGCCTAAATCATGACAGGCGGGAGTACAGAACGAGGTACGCAGCCATATTCTTACCCTCGCAATTCAACTCCAGCCCTCGGAAGGTCATCGTCTATATTCACCGTGAACACTTCCTGTCCTCTCCTCTAAATTTCTGAGCTCCAGGAAAATAATCCAAACCTCACGCATGATTGCTTGTTGTCTTTTTATTGTTCAGCCAGTCGGGAAATATTCTTGGCGTCCTTAGCAAGTGTACCCGCATTCATCGGGACCATTGACATCCACTTCAACCTTCATCTATGGCTAGGCGACTTCTTCATATCTGGTTTTATATAGGCCAGCCCTTCTCTTATAGACTTTTCTCGGCCTTCGCAAGCCTTAGCATAGGAAGTCCAAAAGCTCTTTAACGAATTCCGACACGCATGTGGCACGCATGTTCCTGCAACACCTACTAGTTCAGTATCCTTTACAGACCCAATCGATCACTGTTACAAGCCTACTACATGATGGACACGCGGAAAGACAGGACACAGTCACCGTCATGCTCTTGGCCATTTCTGGGCAGATGCACCGATTATACTCAACCCAATATCTACCGAGCGCTCCGTCGCATCTCTTCCGAAGAATGCTTTCCTCGTGTCTTTTACATTGCGTCCTCTAATTTCTACATTTGCACAGGAGGATCAATAGCCAAAGAACACCGTGGCGCCGCCATCGCCATCGATAGCTTTGTGAGTATCTCTCGATTTTGAATGATTTCTGAGGATGCTAAGGTCCGATGAATGTGCGTCGTTTTTCGGACGAAACCACAGGCTTGATGATCCTTTGCGCGTATGTACGGCAAGGCCTCCTCGCCGTCGTGCATATGTAAAACCTCTGAGTTGGATCGGACCTCTGGTGGCTGCCGGGGGTCTTTATCTAGCCTGTACATGCACTGCACTCGAGGGAATGAACGGAGCACACAGTCACTGTTTCTTCTCGGCGACTTCTGAAATTTTTCTTTTTGAACAGAATATCCAGCACCACGGAATGGTCATCGCGTCTCCTCCCGTCTGCGACCACGCTTCTTCCTCGTGTTTGTGAGTTCTTTCTTTTTATGATTTCCATCGACTGTCGCGCACCTCGAGAGGGAAGACAGGACCCTCGACCCTCGACAGCTTCCCTAGAGGTCTGTCGGTCCTTAGGCTGCAAGTTTGCCCCCGTACGAGGCTTCACCGGAGGAGCTGTCCTGGCCCCCGTTTTTGGGAACATACTGTACCTCCGCCAGAGTCAGCACCCCAAAATACGGGGACAATCTGCGAGATATTAATGGGCTTGATTTTTGGATTGGAGACCTATCTTGGGCTGATTTCGGTCATGGCAATTCGGAATCCATGGACTTGTGAATATGTCCATAAATTTGACGGGTCTAGTGTGAGTTTCCCGAGGAAAGTCACGTCTGTCCCAGATCATGCCTCACTCTTCCTCGGGCCAAAAGCCGCCTATATGATCCTCGCAAATCTCGCAGACCGAGGCGCTGACGCGCTAGGATCAAAGTCGCAAAAGGTCAATCCCATGTTTCCGATGTCTGTGAATCATTTCCTTTCGTAACTTTCGTTGACTTTCGCACAAGAGAGGAAACAGGACTGCTGAAAGCTTTCACAAATGTCAGTCTGTTCATGGGCTGCGATTTAGCCTCCGCATGAGAGCATGTACTCCGGATGGGCTCAGAGCTGCCCCGGCACCCGTTCTCGGGAACATGATACCTCACGGAAATCCTGTCAATGCGAAAAACTCCTGGACCAGGGGTTTGCCTATCGGTTTTCGAGACCTGTCTTAGGCTGACTTTGGCCGTTGGAGGCCAGGTTCTTTAACTCTGAATCGAACTTGGACTTATGACCATTGCCACGAATTCAGTGTATTTTCGTCTCAGGTCTATGAGGACACATTCTACTCTAGTGCCCCCGCATTTCAGATCTCGAATTAGACCTCATGACCGCTCTCTCAAACCTCGGGAGTAGGTGCTGATGCACCATTTTAACCCCCGCTTGTGGATCATGAACACCTTAGGTGTTTTTGGTGGTGCCCTCGTATACGTATCTATATCACAACACAGCCTGTTTTGAAGCCCTGTCTAAAAGAACCCAACATATCAGACATGCCACAGGCGGCTGGTTAGATCTGCTCGCGCGCTGAACAGCTCGTCAGTTATGTCATGTTTCAATCCGCCTACTTCTGCTTCTTGAGTTCCTTTGAACTAGCCGTCCGGCGCTCAGCGCCTCAAATCCGCTGTGAAAACGGCCTCATGTCTCCCACACGTCACTGTTTCTTCACCCTTGTTTTTCATTTTCCTCCCACTTCCGCACCGGAGCTTAATCACATCAGCTCGTTCGCAGCACGAGTGACTCGAATTGCTGTACTTCCAGCTGTCCTCGAGTCTGCCAGGCGTATCATGTTTTTACTCCGTATCACCTCTAAAATTAAGAGCAAACTTCGGGACCCCTGTTATGGTCGCACGAGGATCAAGGCTCCTAGGATCCCAGTGGCGACGGGCTGAATTCGTCGCATTATAGATCGGACGTCAAGAGACTTTTGGGAGCACCAGGACCGAACATCCGTCCACATACACAGGGGTCCTCATTTGTGCTGCTTGATCGTGCCGCGTGCAGAAAAAGCAGACTCGACACCACAATTTCCGAGCATCGATCGCGGCCATGGAACATGTCAGGTACTCGGAGAATATATAATTAGCTCCACTTCATGAATGAGAACCCGCGTATAGATAATAAGAGCCTTCACCTGCAAGACTTACATCCGATATCCTTTGAACTCACGAGCTCATCGGCCTACTTTACCGCGACACAAAGCAACAGACCTCAATGGGATTGAGTCACCTCAGCGCAGGTTAGTTCCTCCCATAGTTTTATGCTCATTGTTTCGTCGCTGATGCCTATGTCTGAAGGGCTCCAGAATATACCTTATTCATGGATGCTTTTATTAGTCTTCATTCTAGTTTTGATCTCTCGTACGCACGAACACTGGCATTATTCAAGACCATATCTAGCGTGCCTGCTAACTCTACTCCTGATGTTGTGCATATCTTACCAGCCCAGGTGCTGTCGCTGACGCAGGCCCCATCGGCCCAGGAGCTCACTGCCGAATGGCAGGAAGCTTCTCAAAGGTTTGCTCAACCACGTCACCATGTTGACCTGTTCTTATCCAGCCTTCACCTTTCCAGATCCCGAACGCCATTGTACTGCCTCGTCATCGGAATCGATGAATACCAGTCTACAAAAATCCCCAATCTATCCGGCGCCGTTGCCGACTCTACGGCTATTCATACTCTCATGTCCGCGAACGATCACGCCTTTACGCCACATATAAAACACTTGATCAACCAGCAAGCGACGCGAGAAGACATCATCCGGGAGCTTAAAGCGCTATCTTCAAATCCTCTAATTCGGAGAGGCGACCCGATATTCATCTATTACGCCGGCCACGGTGGCTCTGCTGCGTGGACAAACGACCAAGGTCAGACCGACGCCAGTAACATCCAGTTCATCGTCCCTCATGACTGTGGGGAACACGCGGAGACAATACCGTACCACGACTTCGTAAGGTACATGGAGCGCATCGCTGATACAAAGGGTAACAATATTGTGAGCTATTCTATCTATGTTTCCCACGCGGGGATTTTGGGGTTTATATTCGTATTTCTTTCTGTGATCCTATAGACGGTGGTATTCGATTGCTGTCGGTCGAGTTTCGAGTCCGCGGTCCGTGGGCCAGCGCGTAACAGTGGCATCTACACTCTCATTTCTCGTTGCCACACCAATTGGGATATAGAGGCAATGCATAGAGAAGACAGACGCCCTCGCGGAACAAACGTCCCACCTGCGTTCGTGCTTAAGGGGATCCACTCTCATACGCTAATCACTTCCTGCGGTGTACAGCAAAGGGCGTGGGAATCCGGTGGGCGTGGCATGTTCACGACGGCCCTAATCAAGGGACTCAAGTTGGCGCTTCGCGAAAGTATCAGTTTCAATGAACTTATGGGGATGATTCCCCACATTCCAGGGTAAGTTGTCCGTTATTTGTGGGTTATAAAGCCTGGCATCGATGCGTATAGCTCATTTCAATATATTTTCACCACAAATGTATCGGCCAGGCAAGATCCACAATGCGTAGGCATTAATCTCAATCGCCCGGTGTTCACTACGAGCGCAGTCCCTACCTCACCTCTAGCTCACGCTCTCAATCCGGACCTTTCGCTCATCATTCGGAGCGTTGATGGCCAGTTTGAGCTCAGGGAATGTCTGCCTGCATCTGACGCTCGCTTTCCTGCGCGAAAACCAGGAGAGAATCCGGTTTCTCTTTGCATCCAATTTGGCCTTGGCCTTCCTATGGATGAAATATTCGAACATCTGAGGATGAAATATGACGGTCGCCGCATCAATACCTACACAAAGGTACCTCGTGGAGAAACCGAGGCAGATGTAATCATTTCCGTTGCTGACGGCAGAGTCGTCCTCGATGACCTCACCAGTTTCCGTCTACCGTCGATCTCCGACCTTCCCACTCAGAGTGAATTCAAACGTCTTCCATTCACCTTCGAGCCGGACTGTCGCTCCCTCTACTCCATCATCTCTGCCACTTCGCACTGGTTTTATCATCTGCGAAGACGTCCTCCGAACGATGTTATGTCCCATTCGGCACGAGTCACTATTTCATTCATGGAGCTCGAGAATGTGGATAATGCGACGTCTGAGCCTGCGCCTATCACCGGCGACAGCCTCATCAACCAAGTTCCAGGAGTCGGTAGTGTCATTGATCTCGTGGTAGACAATGACAAGATTTACGGAATGAAAATCAAGAACTCGTCTCCGTACGCCTTATATCCCTATCTTTTCTACTTTGACAACAGCGACTACAGCATCAGTAAGTAGAAATCCGTGTTCAATACATCTGTGTGATAGGTTTACTATGCACTGACATATCTTGTCGTTCTTCGTTCTCTTACTAGCGAGTTATTACGAGCCTCCTGTTTCTACCTCCACCGGCAAACCAGACCCCCCCCTTCCCCCCCACGGCTCTTCCTTAGCCATAGGGTACGGTCCCGCTGGCGCTGCACCTCTCAAATTCTTTCTTCGTGAGGGACAAGATATCGATAATGGGCATTTCAAACTTTTTCTCACGACGGAATACGTCGATCTATCAATGATCCCGCAAAATTCCCCTTTCGAGGCACATGTGGCGGACAAGACACAGCCGCGTGGTCTTCGGCGTGCCGAGAGCTCGACCCCTCTGCTTTGGGGTGAGATCACGGTTCAAGTCGTACAGAGGCGATGTCCCTAGCTAGTAGCATTGTCAGGCTCGCCGTTCGTATCGATTATCAGGCATCGGAGTGGCTGCAGTTGGCATGATCGTTTTGGGGTCAGTCATGCATACGTTCTAGCGTTCGTACTTATACTACTTCGCCTCATGTTCTCGCAAGATGGTCTCCTTTCCTTCCTCGATGACACCCCGGTTTGAACTCTCGCCACCTTTCGGCACCTCTCGTTTGGTTTCTTTCGCTGTCTCGCATACTCATGGCCCTTACTATTTAGTTTCCTCGGTATCCAGTTCTTTCTAACATGCCTCAGTACGTTTCATACATATTCGCATCCTCGTAGTCTCATCCTCGTTTCCCTTCGTATCGTTAGTCTACGCCAGTAGCTAGCTAGCCTACCTTACTTACGCCTTCCACCATTTTTCTCGTTTGACTTTTTTCTTTTATCTCTCTCGGTCATGTTTCAGCCTCTCCCGTTACGTGGCCTTTGACTATGAGCATGCGTGCATATCTATTGGGACCAAACGATGCATATCTACCTCTTAGTACTCCCCGCTTGCATACTCATCCACTACGGAGGTGCCTCTGTACTTATTATGCCACAGATGAATGGACGTGCGCGTTGAGAATATCCCAGCATATACTCGAGGAAAGTGAGCGCTGTCAACTTGGGCAAGGAGTTTTAAGCCTGGGAGAGGGTAGCGATACAACGGCCAACGAGAGTCAGGGCCCCCATCATGGCAGCAGATGCTATCGAGCGGCTCCTGAACGTTGTCGATACGGGGTCTGATGATCTGCAGTGACTCTGGGTGGGCTACAAGAAGCTTATCACCGTCTTTGTGTGTGCCGATCTTACACTTCTCCATTTTTTATGTTTGAACTCCTGATGGGCAGGAGTGCTGACGCTCGATGTGAATTACATCGAGACTCCAGTCTAGATAAACCTGGCTAGAGAAATATTTCGAGCACGACGGAAATATCTGTTGCACGAAGGCGCCACCCTAGATGTGACAACCTGTCGAGGACTCTCAGGATGAGGTTGCTACCAGGACGCTGAACGTGAAACGGCCGATGGTAAACGTATGGAGTGTTCACGAAGAAGGTCGATAGCAAACGACTCATTGTGTCTTCTCGAGACCATTCTTAACAGTAGATTGCCACATTGCGGTACGACAAGCTCATGTGAGACTGAACTATTAGAAGAGATAGCAATATATAGTTCAGCATTCGTTCGAGAAGAAGCAGTCGAAGGCATCAGGTGGAAGTCACCAACAGACACAACAGGCAGAGTTTCTGTGTTCTCCGCGACGATACAAGATGGAGAGGTATTGCCAGACACGGTGGTTTGCAGCAAAAAAATGATTCAAACGCCAATGCGCACACGAATACAGGACTGATCGAGTGTCTCGGCGACGCCACATTGACCACACGAAGAATATTGACTGACATTTTTTTTCTTCGTCTTCTGACTCGAGGGTTCAGCGCATCTATGTCATTAAGCTTCCGCCTATGTCTGCGTGTAACCACGTCTCTTGAGGGATCAGAGTACTCGTGACTACACTCACATCAATATCTCATATGATGTGCATGGGCGAAACTACACAGAAAATATAGTACACGATAACTCGGGGACTGTCGGTCAAATGTATACGGAAGCGGAAGGACTGCATTACACACCACCGATCAAGCGTTCAGCAAGGCTTTTCGTGCTTGTATCCGGCGGCTACGCCGAGGCTGCATAGGCTCTTCTTCCTCAGGCCGCACATGCTCGTCTTCCTTAGGTTGCATATGCTCGTCTTCATCTGGACCCAGAGGCCCACGCACAGTCTCCCATTGTGCTTCGGTGGTTGTTCTCCTCCAATCGCAGTCGTCTATCGCCGATCAAATAATGATATGTCAGCTCAAGACACCCTCTCCTTCTGTATTGCGTATATGATCGATCCGAAAGGCGGAAAGAGGGCTCACCCCAGACACATTGACGTAGGCTAGAGCAGGCATCCCCAATAATCATAGGTACTTCCTCGACCTCTTCGACGGCCAACAGGTGTTCACTTCCGGAGGTGTTCGACGTTATGACGAACAGAGCTTGTAGCATCCTAAAGCCGAAGTCTTTGAGCGATCTCGCGATACACTCCAGCAGTACCTGTTGTAAGCAGTCTCGTAGATGAGTACGACTTTCAGTGATCAACAACCACGCCGTGCTGCGAATGCCATACCAGTTCAGAGGCATCATCCCGACATGCAAAGTACTCGATCCTCATGTCGTATATTGCCAGCTTCCTTACGAAGTGCAAGCATGTCTCCGTCGCCTTAACTGTGGCTGGTATCTGAAAACTCAAGGCATGAACGCGACGACAGTAGCGCAAGGGATAAACCGGCATCCAGGACAACGTCGGACTCTTCAGCAAGGTCGCATACATCAACATCGGACATGCATTAGGATCGAGGATCTCCCAGTACGGAACGGGCGCACTCAGATTCTCGAGAAGGGGTAGAGAGAGCTGCAAGCCTGGGCAGGGTGCGCGTTTCAATGGCCAATTCGAAGGCCCGGGGACGTCGTCCTCACGCAGAAGACTCTTGATGGGCTCATCGGCGTCGTCGATGCGTAGTTTGATGGTGCGCAATGACTGGGCGTGTCGTTGCAGGAAGCGAGCGACGGTGGGAGAGTGTACCATGCGTGCCTCGATCTTGAAGTCTTGCAACGTTGGGATATGGAGATTCGATAATACCTCTGTTGGATCTTCGTATTCGTGATGATCCGGACAGGAGAAGGGGATAAAAAGAGGACAGTGCTGGTCGCATTTTTGGAACTTGATCTCAAAACGGAGAGATTCGAGGCGGGGAAGATTGGCGAGAACCCTCAGGACCATCTTGAGGACGGCGTGGCTGTGCGTCGAGAGAGTTGAGCGTGTACAACGGTCAATATGTACTGTCACCTCAAAACTGATATGAGACTGCGACAGCTTACTCGGGCGTTTCTTCCAGTGTCACGACACGAACGAACTCTCTTATGGAATACTTGTTTCGGAGCAGGGCCCCACACATCCTGATACTTCGAATGACCGGTTGTTTTCCGTGCTCCAGATCTTTTTCTTCCAGTGATCTTTCAGAACAGCGGATTGGCACATGGCGATATAGATGACGAATCGAAAGCTCGTGGAGGACGCGACTGGCAAGGCAAAGAGATAGTAGCATAGGTCTTGAGTCGACTTCATCTTCAGCAGCGAAGGTGACGATAGCACTGAGAAGTTCGACAGGAAGAGTAACTGCACTTGTGGTCCCCATGACAAACACCGTTAGAAAGGTATGCTTAATGGCAACGGGAGGCGACGAAGAGGAGATGTGAAAAGAGAGTTTTGCAAGTTTTGCAAGACCGGCCCGCTGAGCCACAAAGAGCCACAAAGGCACGACACCATGTGACGTGATCATTGACATTTCCTTCCTTCCCCGTGACGGAGTGACAAGCCTCTTGTTCCCGACGCCACATTCACCAATTGTTCACCAACATTCACTCTTCATTCACCACCTTCAAATTTCGCAGCGACAGTCATTGCACCCCATCATCCCACCGCATACCACTAGGGCGTGTCATTAGAACTGCCATGGTCCTCACACGTGGTCTCGGAGCACAGAAATACCTAGAAGCTCCACGACTTCCCGTTGAGTTGCTCACAGAAATCGCGAAGCTGGTTCCAAAATCTTCTCTATGGGCATTGTGTCGCACGAATCGTGTATTTCACGAGCTCACGGTCCGTTATCTGTACCGGTACGTCACGATACGCTGCACGGGCAGGAATGCCGCAGACACAGAAGATCTTGTTCGTCGAGCGCAGAAATGGTGCCAGACCGTCATGGAAAAGCCAGACAAGGCGGCTCTTGTCGAAAGTGTCACGGTTACGCAGCTTCCAAGGTAGGTCATCTGGTTATTTGAACATAATGAAATGCAGGTGTCTAGCAAGCTAATCTTTCTACGTATTCAGCGACCTGATGGAGTGGGATCCTGCCCAGGAAACTCTCATTGCGCTTCTCAAACGCGCATTTGTCGTTCTTCCGAGCCTCGAGTCACTCGACATTGACGGTGCCCTGAATCCGATAGTGGGGTCGCTCGGAATTCTGGACACTCTCCGTCTGCCCTCCCTCCGTACCTTCAGAATAGAGATGGAATCCGACCAAGATCCTAACCTTGTCGACTTCCTTTCCAGCCACCCTCGCCTCAAAGATATTGAGCTCATCATCGACGGACTCGAAGACGAAGAGCTGGGAGAGGAACTTACCTTCCCCGAGCTCGAACGGTTCACTGCCCCTTTCACGTACTGGGCGGGCTTACAACCCAACCCAAACTTACGCTTTGCAGGCCTGCATCAAGATCGGTTCATGGATCTTGATCACGATCCTTTCGATGTTATCCATCCCTTGGGGAAATTCACGGGACTAAAGTCGGTCTGGCTCTTGATTCCAGCAGAAAGAACACTTCCATATCTCATGGATCTCAAGGAAGAGCTACCGATGCTCGAGGAGTTAAGCGTCGACTTTGCGAATTGGAACGATCATGGCGAAGCTGTTGTAAGTCACCGTGCTCCACCCTTTTGTCGTCATCAGCCGCATCAAATAACTATGTATTCATTCCACTCATGGTATCATCCACCTTTTGGCACTTCCCAGACTACCAGCTTATCGGTGGCGGCTTGTCTCACCCACTTTAAAGTCCTCAATTTGGTGTCTGTTGAGTCAGACCCTTGGAATCGCAAGATCACGCAGACCACTGCGATGACCTTGGTCGAAGAAGCGAGTAAACACTGTGATACGCTTTTGCGGGCTCGGTTTGGTCAGCGATTCCGTTCATGTCGTTTCATGAATTCCTTCTTTTTTTTTTTTTGACTAACCTTTGCACTTCTTTAGGTCAGTGGAACTTGAAAAGAGATGGACCAAGAGGCGTGTGGAGGATAGTTCAATGGTTCGAGATGCTGCAGTAAAGAATCCAATGAAAGGACTTCTGACACTTGTGTCCGCACGATTGACCCGTTTTCGAGTGTCTGCAGAAAGCTTGTATTCCCATTATCTAACAACTCTGACAAGTGTTCGTAATACGTTCTACACTCCAATTTTACTCTCAGAGACAGCCCTTGATAATATCTGCGGCCTGCAAAAACCATGCACCATCAATATAATATGATCAGCCCATTGTTCCGCTCTACAGTGAACCGAGCGTACCTTCTCAGCGATACCGTACACCGTCGCGCTCAAATGCGCACTGAGCTGGATCGGGATGATGGATGAATCTATTAAGACACATTCGTCACGACATGCCATATCGGAAGCAAACAAACATCCTCGTGACAAACTTACCAACAACCCTCACATTGCTAGACCCATAGAGCTTCAAGTCACTCCCGACGGCACCTCCCATTTCCTTTGGTAACATCGCCACGGTCCCAAGCGGATGCTTCACTGGCTGTATGTTCTGCAGGACCCAGTCCTGCCATACTTCGTCCGAAGCGTTGAGCGGCACTGAGGCGAGACCGGGTACGAGCTCTTCAGAGACGATGCTAGAGAGGGGTGCAGTCTGGGAGACTGAACGTGCGGCTTTCGTGGCGTTGGAGAGGAGGTGAAGGTCGAAGGAGGGACCGCGGAGGTAGGCCGGATTTACTGGGTGAGCGTCAGTACAAAGAAAGAAGATGAAGGACGGAAACGGATGCTTACTACGCGGAAGGATAGCGGGATTGGAGGACTGGACGTGAACTGTGCCCCGACTGAGAGAGCCATATCAGTGAGTCGTATTCAGAGAAGAATGGGGAACGCAAACCTTTGGGGTAGTAGGGGCCACACAACCGACCCAACAAACCCTTCAATTGATCCCCACGACATTTCCACCACAGGTGCTACGAACGAGAGGAGATAAACAGCGTTGTACTCGGATACACAAGGTCTTGTCAAGGCTCACCGTCATTATCGACCATACTCTCCGCCTGTATCTTCAAGATCCTCTGCAACGCCTCCTCGTTGGTAAATCCGCCAGTCGCCACGATGTACTTCGCCCTCTCATGCACGCTAGTTGAGAGCTGCAGAGCACTCATATTTCCGTTCCCAAAACCTAATATTTGGCCGAGTGTGAAGAATGCGGCGATTCCCTCAATAGGGGCGTTCGTCGTATTGATGAAGGAAGGTGGCACCGAGGCGGAGCTATTGTACTCTACAGAAACAAGGGCTTGATCTTGAAGATTCGTCCCGATGGAGGGTAGGTCGATCTATATGATAACGAGTAAGGGAATGAGAATGTGTATTGAAGACGGAGACGTACTTTGACAGGGATATTTACTGAAGAAAGGATCCTGAAAACGCAATAAGCTCTTGGGGCTGAGAAAATCAAGAATGCGGCTCACGTCGAATTTCCGACACCACTAAGTTCGAGGAAATGCGGACTCTGATAGTACGCCAAAAAAAGATCGAAACGAGTCTTCTTCAGTTGCATTACCGGTCGGGAAGTGAAGTGGACTTACACCAATCGCTCCCGACGCGACAATAACCTCATCTGTGGTCACCACCTCCCATATGGGACCATCAACGGTCCCATTCTCCACGGGCGTGCTCACGAATATAACCCCGACAGCCGTCGCATTTCCATCCACAGCATCGTCTCCCCAGACGATCCCGATCGCCTGGTGCTGCACCAAAATCACTAGGTTTTCTTTTGCACCCCGCTGCTCTAGGCAAGGATAAACGTATGATCTTGCGCTGCTCGCCCGTATGTTACCTTCCGTTTCATTGCTGGTGTTCCGACCAGGTATGATGGAGTATGCGACTCGCGCCGCACCATTAGGGATACCAGAGCATGCGTCTACGTTTTGAACGAGGCCGACAGGAGCGAAGTAAGCTAGAAGAGAATATATGTACGCTCCAAAGGAGCCGCCAGCAGAATAAGGACTAGGGAACGATGCGGAGACCGGACCCATGGTGTTATGGACTGAGGGTGAGGGATCCCAAGTCGCGCCGAGAGCGGTTTGAGAGGACGAGGGCTGATTGAAACCTTCTGACTTCTTCATGTACCTTTGCAAGACAATGAGGAGATGAGTGGAATGGGGTAAAGTGCCAGGACAAGGGATCGACGTACTTGAACATATTGACCGAATTCCAACCATCATTGCCAAGACGTTCAAACGTGTCGTATTGATCAATTGTGGCCCGGGTCCACTCCATCCCGTTGGTGGATGAGCTACCTCCCAATACCTTTCCCCTATATGATAATGCAGGGTCAGGGTGATTTCGTGGTTATGCGTTACTTTCAGCCAAAACTTACTGCATCAGGAATAAATTTACACCATTACTTCCTTGTGGGGTCGTATAATATCGCCAACTGTAGGCGGACTGTACCGTTGCTTCGCTGTTTGATCGGATGGGAAATGCATCATAAAGTAAGCAGTGAATTATTTTGCTTTGTAGAAAGACAAACTTCGCTGGATCGTTAACCACGCTATCGTTCTGAGCATCCGGACCTGCTTCGATAACTGCGATGCTGAACGACGGTTCCTCAGCGAGCCGACTAGCCACAGTCAGTCCTGTTATAAAACGCCCATGAATTTTGAATCTGACAATCAGACAACCTGTGAAAATCACTTTGGGAATCGGACGTACACACCTGCCGTACCACCACCTACAACGATATGCGTGAACGTTTTGTTCACTAGTGCCCCGGGATCGGAAGTGATGGTAAGCCCCTTGACAAAGTTTATACCTATCACCAGACATAAAGCCCTTAACAAGCAAGAAGACAACGGCATCTGTGGTATAGCGCGCTTATACATAGCGAAGGAGGGGAAGTGTGAGGAAGAGGGCTAGAGCTGCTCCTCATTTAGCGAAGCTCTTTATACCTGCGGTGGGGAAAGAGAGGGCTATTTTGACCTCGATCTGATGCTTCGAGCGTCACGGTGATGCTCGGCTCCGGCGCCGAACTGATCATCACCGTAGCAAATCGAACCAAGCAGCTGGTCGCGATGGTCGAAAAAGACAGTAATCATTTAAAAAAAAGATTATACGATTGCCTATCCTTCTCTGAGAGCGTAGCTCTCCCACCACATCAATCCTTCACTCCCCATATTCTCTCGAACAAAATCTGAACGAGGGCATCCGACCCCGGCGTACGTGTCACGACAGGAACGCCTTCACTTCCCTTCATGAGCGACTCCATCTGTGCTTGATTTTCTACCTCAACTTGGGCGGGAACGGCAGTCGACTCGAATGGACCATGCTTGATATGTTCGCGATCCAGAGCTTCTTGGACTTCTGCACGATTCGCACCAGGAGCATAGGCGCGTTCGTCAAATCTTCTGTCGACGATGCACATCCCACGCGCCAGCTCTCCCGTACTGTCATTTGCGTCACGTTGTAGTGTGCATCAGCTTCCTGAGTAATTCCGATAGCTGTAAGCGGTAGCACGTACCGTTCCATGGCGAACTTCCTCCGTGTGGCGTTCCATCCTTCCATTAATCCGAGATCGACCTCCTCAGCGTCATCTTTCACCGGTGGATTCTTCGCAGCAGCCCACACTGCCACCACATCATGCAACTCCATCGCATCATTACCAAACTCGAGCATTACCTCCCTCGTACGCTGAAGGAAAGCGCTAGAGAAATGTATTATCGGAGACTTGCCAGCCGCGATCGAAGGTTGGTCGGGTCGGAAACCGGTGTCGATCCGTTGGGCATAAAGTGGGAAGGATAGCTCATGAGGAGTGGTTATATCGAGAGGCAGGATGAGTACTCGAGAAAGTGGAAGGCCTTGATGTGGCGGTGGTAGTTCGCCAGAGGGACGTTGCTCGAGCAGCTCTGTAACTGCATATGGATCCGCAAAGAAGTTGACTAGAGCAAGGGTAGAAGATGGCAAACGTCAGCGTCTCCAGTCCAGGTCCATTCGGATAGTTAATGACTCCTTACATTCTGCGACGGGGCTCGTATTCCCGGGCACATCTAAAGCGCCACCCATTACCACCACCCGTCCTATATTGTCGCGCACGCATTGCGCGTCCTCGCGCATCATAAGAGCAAGGTTCGTCATTGGCCCAAGAACGATATACGTGATCTCCCTTGCTGGAAATTCGCGCAGCATGTCAAGACCGACCAGAAACCCTGGTCGATTCGTAGGCTCTAATTGTGGGTGCGTCTGAGACTCGATCACGGATAATGGGACGTTTATATCAGGGTGAGTTTGCGTGGCATTTCCCAAACCATCTCTGAGGAGACAAAGTCCACAGTATATGGGGCAAGGATGGTCAGGATTGTTGTCATAGAGATAAAGGGTAAAAGCGATGCTGACTATGAACTGACCGACCGTGGAAGTATTGAGCCGTGTGAAGCTCGCCACCAAGTGGCCCCTGGGCGCCTCTAGCAAGAAAAGGCTTACGCATTTGGAAGAACCCAGGGAAGCGAGAGCGTGCTTCGGGGTTCTGCTCCAGCTCTTTCTGGACAGCCTGATAGATTCTGTACATGTTTGAACTGGGGAAGGCGTCAACAAGTGTCAGTAAGGACCTCATACCCAAGATATGAACCACATACTATGATGCATCCATGTCCGTATTGCCTATCAAGGAATAGAAGAAATTCGGATCAACACGCCGGGAATTACAAGGATGAAGGACTAACCAAAAGAGATAGTGTAACCCAAGATCTCGAGTTCGGGGGATGTCAGAGCCATAAGTCTAACACAAATCTAATCAGAATGGTGCAACAGCATATAGCTGCAGAGGGAAAATAGCGTACATTGCCACGGTATCATCAACACCGGGATCAGTGTCGACTTTGTAGTGGATGAAGGTAAGTAGTCGAGTCGCGATATTGACTTCAGCAAGAATCATAATTCATGAAAGAAATGAATACTGACTAATGACCGGGATTTTAGGCCGACTCAAATTCACAGTAGGCATTATGTGCGTTGTTGTTGAAAAGCGTCGACAAGTTCGTTCTGGCGTTATCTCATCGTGTCAGAACACTCAAAGGATCTGACTTCAGTTGGAGAACGCCGGTCGGAGCAGTTTCGGAGATTCAACGGTTGATTCTGTTCAAGGACACGTGGCCGGGTAGCACCTTTGAAGTAGTGATCCTCTCACTTTTATCTCGATCCCCTCTATCTCTCTTTGTCCGCTCATAGTACAACACAAGTCTTGCACAACGTGAGGTAGCAATCCGTCACAATATGCCCCAGAAACTAGTTAATGTGGAATTGTGCCAGCTTACCATTCGACTGGCAGAAGTTCAATCGGACAGCTTGGCTGTGTACGTCTATGTTCTGCTCGTGGCTGTCATGATTGACTCGAATGACATGCATCATACGAGAGACGACCCTCGATGCGCCAACGAATGAGTAGTCGACGGTATCGTCAATTTAGCGTGCATCTCATCAATTGATCCACATGCCACAGTCTTCTTCTTCTTCTTCGTTGACCTGTTGAAGGAGTGTCCATGCAAACATCATTCACTACGAGTTCCTTGACCCATTTGGCGTTGGCAGCCCATCTCGGTCATTATTAAATTTCCTTGCATAGACGTTCCTCTTAGGCATTCCATATCGTATAATATCATGTTTTGTTCGTATTTTGGGGGCGAAGATCGGTGTTTAAAACGTTGTGACATCTACGAATACTGGGTGCTGATTATCGATTGGTGATAACGCATCGAGCTTGGGCTCTGGGTTCTGTCTGTTCGTGGCTCTGATATCGGCCAAAACACGCCCTTTCATTGTCGTGATTTAGTATATAGTGCTTTCCACAGGCCCACACGCACCCATGATACATGCACGGCGTTCCGAGGGCGTGGTATTTGCCGCAAGGACTGCTCATATATAAGCCTTCCAGTGATAGCGTGTACGCGCGTTGCTACTCCCACTGACTTCTGCCCACGCATTTCCACTCTAGCATACGCACAGCAGCTCATGACGTGGAGCATACCTACTTGTGAGTGTATTTTCACGCTTTACAGTTTTTTTCGCATCACTGACTTCTCTTTGACGATCGGGTTGTGTATGCAGGGGTGAAGAGTCCGTCTCCAAGTTTGCTATGGTGGTTTTTACTCTCCGCTCTACTCCTGACTCCTCTATTCTTCTATGGAGGGAGCCTCACACCTCAAGAGACGGCCCCCAGAGGTCAACAAAGGCGCACACCTCCAAGGACACTACCAAGAAATGTTCGCCATACTCTTCGGGGCATTGGGCACGCATTGGTCGAGAAAATGTCTGCCACACACGTAAGGCCAGAAAAGCAGCTCAAATCTTTGCAAAGTGCCCTCCAGTCGTACGTTTGAACTTCCTTGGCAGGGTCCAGATCATTACCATCTCTTGTCCCTCATCGACTTATCACCTTTCTTCTAGACAACACAAGCAGTTATATGGCCTTATTATCGGAATCGATAACTACCTGTCTCCAAAAATTCCAGACCTATCCGGCGCCGTCGCTGACTCCGCTGCCGTACGCGCCTTTCTCTCAAATAATCAACACGTAATGGGCTACTTTACGCCGCACTTAAAATACTTGAGCAACCAAGATGCGACGCGGAAAGCTATCATCCGAGAGCTCCAAGCTTTACGTTCGGACAAGAGGATTCAGCGAGGCGATCCTATATTGATCTATTACGCCGGCCATGGCTCGTCCACGGTCTCACCTGTCAAGTGGACACGCACAGAAGATCAAAAGGAGAACGGTAACATCCAGTTCATTGTCCCTTATGATTGCGACGAATGGGTGGCAGGAATACCAGATCGAACCATCGCAGCATGTTTGGATCATTTGGCTGGGGCAAAGGGCGATAACATCGTGAGTATTCCCACCTCTATGTCCGTCCGAGCTTCATCGGTGCTCATCCAAACAACGTGTGCGGCATATAGACCGTCATCTTTGACTGCTGCCATTCAGGTTCTGGTACTCGGAACATCGGGGACTCACAGAATTGTCGGGAGCGCTTCGCCGACCTCCCTACCACCAACATTCCTGCGGACCTCGACGCGGATATCTGGCAGAACATTTCGACGTCTGAAGGCGAGGAAGGTCTTTCTCGTGGGGATAAGCTTGCGCCGAAGTTTGCCCATAGAGCTTTGAGATCGCATATGCTGCTTGCCGCCTGCGGAGTGCAGGAGTCTGCGTTGGAGGTGGACGGAAGAGGCGTGTTCACGAAGGCGTTGCTTGAGACGCTTGAGCAGGTCATGAGCGAACGGGTTAGTTATGAAGAGCTCATGTGGCGGATGCCGGACCTTTCGGGGTATGTGCGCTACTCCAAAGTCTTTGTAGGCTTCTATTCACATTCCCACGAATGCAGGCAGAACCCACAATGCGAAGGGGTGAATCTCAACCGCAGGTTATTCTCCACAGAACCAGCCCCTAGCTCCCACCTCGCTCGCTCCCTTGGCCCGTCCTTCGCTCTCATCGTTCGTAGCCCTCAGGGTCAGCTCGAGATCGGGGCCACCCCGTCCCTTCCTGGTCAACAGTTTCCAGCGAGGCAAGACGACGAGAGTGTGACGCGTTTTTGCATTGAACTTGGTCCTGGCCTAGACGAAGTATTCGAACGCTTGAAAGGGGCGTGCGATGCGGACAATCTCACTACCCATCTCAAAAGTTCTGGGGATCCAGACTACGGTCTACAACTCATCGAAGCGGACATCATTGTCTCCATCCTCAACGGCCGCGCTGTTTTCGATGACCTTACCGGGTTCGGCTCCAGCCCTCCCAAAGCAAGCAGGTTCAAACGTCTTCCCAGCACTTCCGAACCCGACTTCGACTCTCTCTACCCCATCATTTCCGCCGCTGCACACTGGTACCACCACCTTCGCAGGCGCCCCACCAATAGCGCTCTATCGCATTCCAGAGAAGTCAGCATCGAATTTATGGAGCTTTCGGAGACGAGCGAGTATGATGCGATGTTGATGCCAAAGCTCGGCCCATCCACTGAAAATCTCATCACCCAAGACGCCCAATCTCGAAACATGGTAGATATCGTGGTGGAAGAAGAGACGCTCTACGGGCAGAAAATCAGGAACACATCTCAGCACGCCCTATATCCATATCTCTTCTACTTCGACAACAGTGACTTCAGCATCAGTAAGCAAATATTCCTACTCGTCGAGCGCATCTATAGACGTGTCTTTCCATGCCCTGACTTTTCTTTTCGCCCTTCGTTATTTATCATCCCCTGTAGTGCCCTACTACCTCCCTCCCATCTCTACATCCGGTGGCACACCAGACCCTCCACTTCCTGCCAATGGTTACCTGACCATCGGTTACGGCTCCGGAGGAGCGTCACCTCACCAATTCTTCCTCCGTGAAGACCAAGACGTTGATGTCGGTCACCTCAAACTATTCCTGACCACGAAATACGTAGACTTATCGTTCGTCCTCCAAGAGACGCCTTTCAACACGGATGTTCAGGGGCGTCACATAAACAAACCGAAGGCAAGGGCGAAAAAGATTCAGAGTCCGCTGTGGGATGAGATCACGGTTACTATCGTGCAGAGGGCAGAGGCGTGAATACCAACATCGACGCGGTCGTGTTGATGACGAAACTGGTTCCTTTCTCACTATTATCTACCTGGGTTGACGATGTGCGCCGCGTTGCGGGTTATGTGAAGCAGACTTGACATTGAGCGACGCTTGTTCATGTGTCTTTATTGAGCGCTCAGTATCCACGACTAGTCCTCGTCTGCTCATAATATTTACACTTCGCGTCCTGTATCCCGATTGACAGGCATTTGTACACCTTCACTCCACCGACTCAGTCCCAGGTGGCTATATATTCTCGGCGAAAACGCCTCCCGTGAAGACATGAACGACACGACGAGAGTATAAAATTATGTCGGGATGAGCAGCTGGCTGTTTGCGGAGGCACAGTTGCAAGTACTTTTTGAGTACTTTCTACCTTGTTTCGACTACAACTTGTTGAACTTCTTCCCTTGGTATGCTTTTCATATCGGCAAATGTGATCCCACTAGCAGCTGAGTCGCGGAGCACTCGCGCAGGCTAGACCCAGTTCAGCCATGACCATCTAGGATGCACACACAGTCACGGTATTGGATCCGATTCAACGAAGTGCGGTGTGCTCGATGACAGCTTTTAAGTTTCCCCAGAAAGGGATACCGAATTCGATAGATATCAAGTGTTGGTGGAAAATACTCTTTCTTTCATCCGTAGCCCTATCTTCGTGTGCAAAAGAATAGACGTCGCTCAAAGATGAACGGCCTCGATCATGGTCAGGTACATTGGTACCCCGGTCGTTACATGCACCTATAAGACAAAGGATAGCCATTCGAACCAGACCGACTAAGAGGAATCTTGCACAGGTTCGATCCGTTTCGACAGATGCGCGGAAACGCGTCATCGATAAAACTAATCACGTTTCAGCATCCCCCGGCGATACTTATAGGGACTGAGAGACGTACATACCAAGAAAACGTTTTAGAAAGAGGCACTATATCCACCGGAACGCATATGTCCTCCTACCAAATGAGCCTCTCAGCATCTGGAGATCTTGCTTGGATCCGACATTTGAACGGTTTGGGATGGCTGCAGGATACGAAGATCGTCATGCCATTAGTTTCACCTCAGCATATATTCTATTAGTCTAATTGACCGACCTGATCGTTCCGCCTGTATATTCTACCTGTTTCTTCAGTGGATTACCATGATCATCAACGCAAGGAAGGATGTTGAAGACCGAGAGCATCGTGGCTGCAGTGATGAACAGCGAATCCTCGGCGAGATGACGACCTGGACAGATGCGCCTGCCATATCCGAAGACAAAAGCTCGCGGGTCGGGATTCGTCTGTGTCACAGTTGAGGGTTGTCCTGAAGGCTGGGAAAGGTAACGAGCTGGATCAAAGTCAAACGGATTTGGGTAGATATCAGGGTCGTGTAGGATTCCCCTACCAATCGATGTCAGCAATCAAAAATGCCAAAAGAAATGCTGTAAGGAATTACACCCACCAATTATTCGCTATGATGACGGATCCAGCGGGAAGGTAGAAGCCTTTGTAATGATCATCTTGTATTAGCGAGTGCGGAATGCCTAAATGGCACGAGTCAGTTACATAGGTCACCTCTGGATCATACTTATCAGAGCGACAACGCACCCAGATTCGCCACAGGATTCCAACGATGAACCTCCTTCAGCACGGAATCTAAGTAAACCAACTCCTCTCGATCGTCAAAGGTAGGAAGCCGGGCAGTCCCGACAACTTTGTCGATCTCGACCTGGGCCTTACGTTGCACTTCGGGGTTGGTGAGCATAGCTAAGAAGAACGATGTTATAGCGGATACGGTCTGTCCGTAGACATTAGTACGAAATGGAGAGGGGATGATGAGGCTGCCCACGGTATCAGCTCCTGCTGTATGAAGGAAGAGAGAAGATGTTCATATTCTGTTAATGGTATAAGGGAGCAAGACGGTCATGTACCAGCGTAGAATGCAACCGATGTCCATTTGAGTACGATTTCTTCTTCTGGGGTGGGGTGGGGATTATTCTCGATGAGGCTGGCCGTGAAGGATGGCTGCGCGGTTCCATTTCTCTGGAAATGCAATTGAATATAATACGAACCAGCCTAAAAATGCGACGACGTACAACGAGATCCGAAACGTACTTGTAAGGTTCATCTCTGACTTGGACCATGGTCTTCCTCCATTCTCTCGCTTTGCACTTGAAACCCGCACCGGGGAACCACTCGGGTAAGTATTTCACTAGGATCAAAGTATGAGTGTGATAAGAACGCGCAGAGGTAACCCAATGTCTACACCAACACTGAGGAAATACATCGACAAGAAATGCCCCGGGCGTGCTCGCTATGCTGAATTCGTGATCGGCTCGTTCTGCGAGTTTCAACATCCAGTCATCGTCTCCAGTCACCTTGTGAGCGTGAGAGATCTGTAGGACTGTTGACGCTACCAACCTGATAAATTTTGTCATGTGAGATGGAAAACATAGTACTAAGCGATGGACACGGGCGTACGTCCTGATCTGCGCAAGAAAGGTATTCGGAGAAACATGCAGTTGACGCAGGAACTCCATGTTATTGTCCTGGATCGTTCTGTGCCAGCCCTGCACCTCACGAGGGGACAGAGCTTGGCCCAAATATTTGCGTGCCATGCGATGGTGAGTATCGTAGGGACGCAGAGGTATGGTGTCCACGTAACCGATTCTATAGAGCTATATGAGCACAAGGCGATTTCGTTCACCTATGGCAGGCTACGTACATTTCTCCAGCCATGGTGATTTTTGGTCTATCGGAGTAGATGGAGCTCCTACGGTCGAGGAGATCGTGAACCGCTTTGGGAGAACTGAGAACAATGATGTGACGTCCGAGAACGGAGAGGTGCATTATGTCGCCTAAACATCAAGTCATCGACCGACTCAGCCAAGAAAAAAAGTGTGATTCCATCCAAATAACTTACCGTATGCTTTAGCCATATCTGCGAAAGCAATCCACTCTTTCTCGGTCGGCATATGATGTGCATTGCCGACCACCGGGAGTGGCTTCGGGCCTGGAGGGTACGGTGGATGCTTGCGAGATTGAAAAGCTCTGTATGCTGTTATAAAAGTGAGACCTACGGCAGCGTAGATAACAATATTTAGCGAAGACGGCATCTTGACAGGAAGAAGGAAGATCGACGAAACGCGAGTACGGGAGCCTCTTCATTGATATAGGATCTCGGTCGGGGTTCCCGGGAATTCCCTGATTTCGCGTATGTGCACGCTGTGGGCGCTAGAGGAAACGTGCCCTTCGGCCCCGTGCAATTAGACGCACAGCATTGGCAGACGCCACTGCTCTCAGCCCTATAATCTCCAACGAACAACAACGAAAAAAGAGGTGACATGGAACGGCAATGCAGCAAGATCATTCACCTCTTGAGGTTCTACATGTCTAAGCCGTTTGCCAGTGTCTCCTGGTAGCCAAGCACCGCGAATCCGTCAGCTTAGGAATCTACCTACATTGACCAGCACTCCTCGTCTCAACCTTGCAAACAATGGCCTACCCTCGATCATCACCTTTCCCTCCTTGATAACCAGAGTCGAAGGCACACCATCATCCGCCGCTAGATGCGTGTGATCACGATGCAATGTGTGAAGGGATGAGATATGCAACTCTATGAGAAGGCATCGAAGCGGCATTCGCAGAGTCGTTTGTCAACTGAAGATACCTTGAAATGTGAGACGCGCGTAGGAGAGGTTCATCCTCAACAGATGAGGGCTCTGGAGGCGTGGCGAGTCCAATGGATGTCACAATCGGCATCGAAAAAGTGGAGGAGAGCAAAGACTCGGCAAGCTATGGCATTCTTTGGACTATCATGTTTTCGACCTTATTCCATGAACGAATTGATGAGCCTATTGGGAGCTTCAACGAAGAACACAGTCAATGGGGCGATACAGCATACCTTTGGTCCAAGATCGCGCTGGTAGCTGAGCTACTCGATGACGCCTACGCGAGCCGTGTCAATCCGACTGTCGTAGTGAGAATCTGAGTGGGAATGAAGCCTGGCGGCCGTTACACTGTAACTATTCATGTTATTATTGAACATTTTCGATACTCTACAGAGCGTGCAAAGTCCGACAAGAAAAGCGAGTGCAAGAGCAGATGCGAAAACCTAAGAGAAATGTTCTGACCATCAATACTGGCCCTCATGATTCGAAGAGCACAGTGATTCGACTCACAACCAAGAATTTGTGCTGGCCAAGGTAATGTGATCCAATCATCGATTGACCGACCAAAAATCGACCGAAGTATCGCCATAAGCTGCGACGTATCCGTCCGCGAAGGTCGTGTGTACGATCTCCTCGTGGGCTGACCCGATATACGTCTCCACCACGTCCTGACCATGACAGAACGATAAAGTCACCGGTTAATCTGAAGTTCCCTCCAACTCAGAGAGCCAAGACCGACCTTCGTCTTCCTAAAGTCCCACAACTTCACAACTCCATCCTGGAAGCCTCTGACAAAGTAATTCCCACTCGGATCCACAGCGCCATGGACGAAACGTGTTTCTTCGGATTTAGGGACGCCAGTTTTCGGATTGGTCTTTCGCACGTAGGTATATCCGAACTCTGCGTCTGGCTCGCGATTGAATGAGGTGCGGGTGTCGTATATAGTTATTTGGCGATATTTATGTTGAGCCTGTTGAGACGAGATAGATCCAGGTGCAGATAGAAGGGTGATTGAAACGTCAAGCCCAATGGACAGGTCAAGAAGTATAAGCTACAACTCACCTCTAGCACAACAAAATTTTTGGTCGCAGTATGAATCCAATAAATGTCATTCGACACTTTTTGCTGCTGCATCGCCTGATCGCCCTCCAAATCCCACTGCCAAAGATTTCTCCCCGCGCACGAGAAGATCGAGGAATCTCGCTGCCTATATTCCAGTGCGATGACCACCGATTTATGCTTCAACCCTAACCGTCTCGGCCTCGAAGCCTTGTATCTGACTCCTTGCTCAGCCCCAGCCTCATCCTCAGTACCACTCGACGTGACGCGCCACAGATGCACCGATCCGTCCTCCCCACCGCTCAAGAACTTGATTTTACCATCGCCCGAGTGTACGCCTGCCAGAGCGTGTACACCTTCCTTAAGATACGGCGTCAAATCATACCGCTCCGGACGAAGCTTCCTGAGCCTGTTCCTGCATGTTTCCTCCGAGTCTCTCGTGTCTCCCTGTGCGTCTAAGATCTTACCATACCCATTACACACATCCAAAGGACAGAGTGTGACCTGTATACCCTTCTTGGCCTTATAAGCCCGCGGGAACTCGAACCCGACAATGGCTACGTCGTCAAGGATAGTGGACGAGGAGACACGACGGGTGATGTCGTCCTGTGGCATGACGTTATTTTTGAAGGGCTCAATGAGCTTGCTATGATGTTCCAACATAGTCTCGTCAGTGTCTGACATCCCATAGAGAGATACATACAAAAAGAAGGAAGAAGAAAATGGGTGAAAGGCGGAAGAGAGACGCACAACTTCTGCTTCTTCTTGGCCAAAAAGTTGAACCTCCCCTTTATGTCGACCGCCATAAGCGGCAAACTGTTCGAGTGTGGAACGAGTAAGGATCGTGCACGACCATGCGGAACTTCCGGGATTGGAGTCGAGTAGTCTCTTCGTTTGCCTCTCGCAGGGGGTATAGCTAAAGCGGCGCCAGCTGGGGCTGGAGGACCGGCAGGTCGGGCGAGGCCTCTCGGGTTTTGGAGGATCAAGTCGAAGCGATGAAGAGGGCGTGCAGCAGATTTAGGATGGGCGATTTGGGCAGCGTCAGAATCAGAGCTCGAGCTTGACTCGGTGTTAGAACCAGAGCTGATCTCGATGACGTCCGCATTTGCCGCCTTGTCCTTACCCTTCGACCAAGACCGAGATTGTCCACGCGTGGGCTCATCTTCGGAGTCGGAGGAGCTGGAGGACGAGTCAGAGACGGCGCGTCGTTTGCCTTTCGCTCTTGCGGAAAGAGTCTGCTCTACAGGAGGCGAGGACATGATGACACGTCGTTCTGGCTTCGATTTCGGCGGTCGGATGGGTTCGTCTCGGTCGTCCTCCGAGCTGGATGAGTTTGATGATGAACTCGCAGACTGTGCTCTCCCCTTCTGTGGTGACCTCTGCGGCGGAGAGATAGGTCGTGGAAGTTCTCTATCAGACTCTTCCTCAGATGATGATGAAGACGAGGATGTTGCCGACTCCGAAACGGACGAGTACTCGCTATCGGCACGTTTCTTGCCCTTGGCCTGGGAAGACCCCTGCTGAGGCGTTTGGCGGTCTCGCATATGTTCATTCGCATTGATCTCGTCCAGGGACATCGAATTGACATAGCGCATGATAGTCTCTGGAGACGCATCTAGACCGGGAGGCTCAGGGCCACGCGAGGATGACGCGTCCGTTGTAGATTTGAGTGTCGATTTGGGGCTTGGAGGAGGCGTTCGTCTGCGGTGCGCGGACGTGGAGCGACTGTTCGACGATGACCCAGGCGAACCAGGAATAGGGATTGCGATTGGGATCTTATTGCGAAATCCGGATGAGCTCGTGGAAACCGTACGACGGATAAAATTGTTATTTGTGTGCAGGACGGGTGGTGGCATAGCGGACGAAGAGGCGCCTGAAGTTGAAGGAAGGTCGGGACAACCAGACCCAAAAATATGACCAGGAGCACTCGTCTTGCGAGATGGATCGCGTGGACTGGAAGCGACGGTGGATGGCCGCGCAGGAAGAGGGTGGGTAATCCTTTCGTTCGGGTTCCTTCTCTGGTGGGCATCGAGAGCCATAGGTGGAACTGTTGGACCCGATGAATTGAGGCGGCGTTGGGGTGGCGAGAGTGTGTTAGACGGTGCCACACGAAGGACATCAGGGGCTGAGGACGAAGCAATTGCGTTGTCGTGATCATGAGATGGTCGAGGGATTACCGTCTCCTCTGAGAGTCTACGTGGATGGTCTAGGTGTGGCGCACACGAAGAGGACGGCTTCATCGCGTTGTGGTAACCCTGGGATGGTCGAGGAAGTGCCATCGTTCCTGATCGCCTACGTGAATGATCCAGGTGTGGCGCACAAGAAGAAGACGGCTTCTGCAGTACGGCTTGTGCAGGTGCAGTGAGAAACGGTAATGGTGGCGGAGCCTCTGCTATCGTGGTTCGACATGTCGGCGTAACGAATCGACGGCCTTCATCGTCGTTGGCCAATTCGTCAACCTCTGAGTCTATCTCCATGTCTGACGAGTCAAGATTAGCTATTGTTGCGACCGGGGGGACGCCGACGCCGACGGCAGACCCAGCGTCTACTCGCTTGTCAAGTGGCTCCGCCAGCCCAGAAGTAGACGCGATAGCAGTCGAATTGGTTGCAGTAAGACCTGGAATATCCTCGTCGTAGTTGTCCAGCATGGGAATCGGAGGTTGGGCCACATCTATAGGAATAGGTTTTGAGCAATGTCAGTATGAACATCGCGTTCATTGCGACAGCACTAACCAAGATGTGGGGTCGCATTCGTATCTTGTGGCTCTAGCTTGAATATCATCGGCGGCGGCTTTACAGTCTCATCCTTGGTCCTAGTTCACAGAGCAGGGAGGTATGATGAAGAGGTCAAGTATAACGAGAAACAGCAAGCATACCAGGGTATCTTCATCGACCTCCCGTTCCGACTTTCGTCCAGACGTCAAATCATATATTATGGACAATATCAGTTCCGCCAAAATACGCACTGTATGACCGCTGGTCCGCTCTGGGCCTTTCCCGCTAATTGCAACTTGAACACCTCTAATCTCGCTTTAACTTCAACCCTTCTAAACCATTCGGCTTCCGGAACATCCTGCGCTCTCTCCATTATATCCACAACCAAGTGACCCTTCGGTTCTCCTCGCTCGGGCTGATTGCTTGGAACTCCGTTGTTGCCGTAGAGATCATCGAAAGTAGAGTCAGTTCTTGGCCGTTTCGAGTTCGACGGGCCAGCCTCAGCATTGGTATTATGACGTGATCTTTTTTGCCTGGAAGATACAACAGTAGTGGTTACAGGGCCATTGACGGCATTATCAGTCGACGCCGAGCTCATGCGAGTGTTACCGACAGTCGAGACGATGCAGCGAGGAGCGGTGAAGGAAAAGTTGAAATTTGTCCAGCATGTGTGGCGTCGCGGTGAGGCTTCGGCAATCCCCACTCGGTGGCCCACTCTGTTCATGTTTTCGGTTGCTCTCAGCTCCGAACCACAAGCATCGCTCCCCTCACTATGTTCACCACATGCTGACATTCGTGATCTCTGCCATTCCAGAAAGCCTCCAAAGTAGGTGCTTTCTTTGGTCTGGATCTAAACCAAACAGAGACACCTGTCTTCCACGGATCTTCTTGACCCTCGTGAAGCTGTTTTAGAGCCTGATATACTTCAAGACAAAATGGCCAAGGGACTTCGCAACTCTCGTCAGGTGAGTTTTGCCGCTACCGACATAACTGTCCACTGAAAATAAACTGGAACTAGTTTTCCACGAACCATCGTTCTCAGAATCCGAGCAATACCGGATCAAAACGTTGGCTCCGGGAGCACTGGCAGATTTCGAAGCTAAAACGAGAACAAAGTGATCTCCAAACGCGGATATCTGGCTTGGAACGAGAGAAAGCCACTCTTTTCGAAAGGGTAGAGCAAGCAATCGCGTCAAATTTAGCTGAAGAACCTGCATTCGGTTTTGTGTATCAGAATCACGAGGTATGTCATGTAGGAGCTATTGAGGTTGCTTCCTAGGCGCTGTGTTCGCTCACGATAACGTACAGGAGCTTGGACGCAAGGTCAAGATTCAGGTATGTAGTTTTTTTCTGCTTTTCTGAGTACTGTGAGGCGCCTGTCATCTGATCGAAGAGCACGACTTCGTAGGCGGAAACCATCAAAAGCCTAAAGACCAAGCTCGCCATCGCGACGAAGAAGTCCGTGAAACATGAAAGAGATTCAGTCACATCCAAGCTTTCAAGGCGTACTTTTGCGTCGTTGGAGGTCGAACTTGCAGCGAGAGTTGCGGACTATGATGCTGTTCGTTACTTTTGGATTAACACGCCGACTGAACGTCTAACAATAAGCCCTTTCTTTTCGCAGATCTTGCAGGATTTTACTCTCGCGAGCGCTGAGTTGCAAGAGCTTGAAGCTCTATTGAAAGAGAAAGATTTAGATATCTCGATCCTTCGGGCTGAGATCGAAGGCCGAAACGGTGAAGTCAAATAATGGGGTCATCGCCCTCCAACTTCCTGAACCTATTCTCATATGTGTCCCTTATATCAGGCCATTCCATGGACCCACTTGACTTTCTCAAAGAATCGTATTCTGAGAAAGATATCTCACTGCCCTCTCTAGGCGGCCTCGTCAGATACTCCACTGATCCTATATACATCGAGCCCAAGGTACGCTTCTACAAATTCTTTACTGATTGCTAACGGGACCTTACATGTGTCCAGATCCCAATGCCGCTAGCGTAAGTCCTCTGTTTCACTCGCACCAGTTACTTAAGTTCGGCTCAGACCTTCACATCCAGTGTCTATCCCTTTCTACCCCTCTCCAACTCCTCCCTCATATATCAAACTGCCGGAACAGATCCCCTCTCTCATCTAGTATGCGTTCTCCCACGTCGACGCTACAACGCCACTGCCTCGAACTGGTCCACGGCGCCTCATGGCATTAACACCTGCGAAGTGATGGAATTGTTGATCCATTATGATAGCGTTCCGAAGCAAAGTTCATGGTTTCATGTAGGAAGATATGAGTGTGCACAGATATGTGTTGCTCCTGCGGAGCGTATTTGGAAGAATATGGAATATGTGCGTATGCATTTTGCCTTGTCTTGACAGCTTTTGCAGACAATTGAACGGTGGTCTCTACTTCTACATAACAGGACCAGAAGGAAGCCCTCGTCAAGCTCACTTTTGAAGCAATTGACTCCGCCACCCAAGACACGAGAGAGATGATCTCCGGGCTCTACGAAAACGGTATATTGAAGGTCTACTGTTACGCGCTACGAAGGGTTGCTTTCGATAGACGACTCGACCAGGCGCTTCATACTTCTTCGACTTGTGAGAAAGAGACCTTCTCGCAAATCTTCGGTGATAATGCCAGCGCTCAGGACAGCAGAAAATGTGATGGACTGGATGTAGAGTTCGGTGGTTCGAAGAGACGGGGAGTTGGTAGGTATGCGAATTCAACACAGGACGCATAGCTACTGAACGAGGAGTCTTTGTTGTGTATCGCTCCGAGTCATATACGTCGGTCACGATAAATAGAACTGAGTCATATTTGCACTCTTGCACATTTTGTTACGACGTTGTTGAAGCATTCCACGCAACCTGGACGCAGGTGCGACTAGGTGGGTCGCCACAGTGGCGTTATAATCCGGGCCGGAGAGTTCGGCGGTTGCCAGCGGTCCCATCTTCGTTCAACTTTGAAACTTGAAGGAATCCATCAATCTGAGCTCGGACGTCTTCGTTCTCTTCGTATTCAACAGCTCTCGTGTACAATCAGGCCGCTTGCCACGTCTGTTCTGGTCCACGGATAGCGCGTACGGTAGGAGCATGGAGATCTCACCCAATGATCTCCTAAAACTCCCGCGCGAAATTGCACTGCCTCTCCTCGAAAAAATGGCCAGTGAGCTTCGGACTGCTCGACAGGTACTCGTAATCATGAATAGCAGTGTTGACATATCATTAATCTCTTGGCTCTAAACCCCGTTTCTGTATCTTATCACAAAGAAAACGCAATGCACCGATTCTTTAGGTCACCGCAGCCTCGAGAACGATGTCGCCAGGCTGAAATGGGAGAAATGCGAACTGGAAGCCAGTCTGACTAGAGTGGAGCTGGAAAATTCGGATCGGCTTAATCGGCTTGAAGAACGCGTCAACTTGGATGTTATAGCAGAACCTACGTTTGGGTTTGTGTATGAGGATCATGAGGTACGTCGAAACGGGACGGATTGCTTGTTATCTCCCATAAGCGTCATTTTTAATCCTTCGCTCACCAAACTTTACAGGAACTGAGACATAGGGTTGAAAACCAGGTTTTCTATTCTCTTCTATCATCTCTGTAGACTGTACTGACCATCAGTATATAGGACCAGACCATCGAGAATCTCACAACAAAGATTGCTACACTGCGGAAGAAGGCAGCGGAGCGCAAGGCAGAGATAAAAGTGTGTAATTTCTGCTCATGATTTCCACAATACCATGTTATTGTTCGGCTCCTTGCTTTACAACTGACTGCATGCGACAGCGATTGGTATGCACCCGCACTGCTTATGTAGTAATACCGTGTTCCTCACATTCAATGTTCTCTTCAGCAGCGAGCCATACCATCCGATGCCGACGGCCAAGATGTGACATTGGTGCAGTGACGTTGCCCCATTATCGCACATATACATGTCCTCATTTCGAACAGTGCGACCGATTAGGATCATCAGAATCACAGTTGACTGCCAAGGGCGAGACCAATACAGAGGTAAATCTCTCAATTTGTTCTTTTTGGTTTCCAGTGCTAAATATAATAATAAAGGTTCTACCAGATCTGGCTTCCACTCAGGCTCAATTAGAGCTGGTTCACAAGCCATGCTCGCAGGAGAACGAACTACTCGCAGAGTCTAAAGTGCAGGAAATCTCCGGTGAAGTTGGCTACCTCTTCCCGGCACCATGGTCCTGCTCAACGATGAAATGGCCTACAGACATCGACATTGATGTTGTAGCATTTAGGAAGGAGCGTTTCCGAGACCCTTGCCCATTGTTACCTGAGAGTACAGATCTTAAACCGTTCTCAAGTAAAGATGAACAGCCTAGGGTACGTATTTGCACGAGACAACGCTCTTTCTTTGACTGATATATCTCTAAGATATCATCATCCATTCGGTGCGTCATATGCAGAAGTAAACGAAGGATGCCGACTGAAATATTTGGTCTAGTCTTTCCCATCCCATTTTCCCTACCCACCGAAGCTCTCTTATGCACCATGTCCGCGGCCTTGCACGCACCCTGGCAATACTACCCCACGAGCGACTTATCTCCGCGGGGAAGTGGGAGCTAGTCACTCACCCCATTGCGTGCGGAGATGTCATTGAGATGACGATACAAATTAGCTATTCTGATTCGTCGTGGATATATCCCGGACGCTACAAATGCTTGTTCTTTAGCGAAGCGCCACCCAAGACCCTCTGGTCTACCATGTCGTCTGTGCGTTGACCGCCGACTCGCCTTTCCTTATTTCGTTTGTAGCTGATTTTCTACCATTATCGTCGGCGTTATAACAGGGTCAACAGAAATATCTTATAGAATCTACTGTTGGACACCGCAACGACATCCCAGTGCAGAAGAAAATGGTCGCAAAGCGTTACAGGAAAGGGACTCTCAAGATCGATTGTTTTGGTTTTGAAAGAATAGGTTACAATATCGAGCTCGATAAGGAACTCCACGGTACTGCCAACGAAGATTACGTGCGGCCGCATAAACGTTCGAGTCAGATTGCTGAGACGTCGTTCGTAGCTAGAGTTAGGAAGAGGAAAAGCGGGGACCATGGGTTGTGCGAAGGCTCTTCGAAGCGGCACAAGGGCCCTGAGTTGGAGGCTGGACAAGGAGAGTGACCGGATGTGGCTTTCTTAGACATAATGTTTCTGTTTCTGTAGCATGACACTAGTCTCTGAGTTCCCCGCGCGTAGCAGAACCATTCACAGTCACGAAGTTGGTGAGATGGTTCTCCGAATCCGAGCCCGGTCATTTTTCGTAACTTCGCTCCACAAAGTTCAGCCATGATTTCTGTTTTAGATACTAGCAGAAAACGGTGTGACCGGATGGTAGTAGGTGTTCGACCTTTGAAGTTGCCACCAAGTTGCCACAGCACCTGAGTGGCAAAGATGGGTTCGGCGATTTCCGTTGCTGTGCCATGTTCAAGTCCTCGGGTTGAATTTCTTCCACGAACCACACCGTCCGACTCTTGGTATTATCGCCGTCCCTTTCAACCACTTCCATCAGTCGAACTACCCAGACAACTCAGACTACCTGGAGTTTCGAAAACTCCAGCAGCGTGATGGAGCTCTCGCCGTACGAGATTCTTCGCCTGCCTCGCGATGTCGCGGTCCCTCTGCTTGCCGGGATGGCCGATGAGCTACGGGCATTACGACAGATGGTAAGATACATTTGTCTCTACATAACTCCCTCTGAGGTACTCAGGCGACCTTGCTCGCTGCTGATGTTCTTGTAGAATGTGAGTATCGCCGCCGACCATGCAGGATATGAGGTTACCGTGGCGGAGCTAAAGCGGGAAAGAGACGACCTCAAGAGACAGCTATCTGCTTTGTTGAAAAAGGCGGAGGAAAATCTTGCGGTTAGCGTCGAAAGAGTGCCCACCTTTGGCTTTGTATATGCAGACCACAGAGTACGTAAGTTCTCACCTGAGCGACCCTGAACCTGCGTTGGGCGCACATATTGGATGTAGCGTCGACAATTGGCCCCGTTTACGCAGGAGCTTGAACAACGACTACAACAGAAGGTTCGTCATTCGTTTTACCGCTATTGGTAGGATCTTAAGCATAGCAAACTCTTGCTGGCCTCAGGAAGATGAACTGGCGCATTTGAAGACGAAAATCGACGCTTACGAGAAGAAAAACGAACGTCACGAGGAGGTTCCAGTACGCATCTTCGTATTTCGTTCTATATACCTTTCACGTCTCATTTTTCCCGACACAGAGCTCTGTAAGACTCGCGCATCATCAGAAGACGTATCCGTGACTTAAAGCCATTGTCCTAGCAGCATGGAAATGGACCTGCTCTCATCACTCAAGGCATCGAACGTATGCAAATAGACCTTGATAGTGCCATGCTCACTGATGTGAGGTTTCTATACTACCCATGCTACTGAGACTTCGTAACTTCTGACCAAGACACGACAAGGCTGTTGACGATCGCTCAATGGCGGGTCCGTCAAAGCGGCATCGACCGAAAAAATATAGAGGTCAAAACCAAGGGAAATGGAGATCCGGTAAGTGTCGTCTACGATATCAGGTCCTGCACAGGATTCAATATGCGTGGTCACCTACGTAGCTCCGGAAGAAGGTATAAAAGTGTTTCTCCAGTTGCGCAAAAGCTGTCGTGGGGGCTCGTCCTGGCCGACATATGAAACCGTCATGCCTTATGCGCAAACGGCTGAATTCGTCCCACCGGAGGTAAAAAGAAACAATTGCGTTCTCATTGAAACATAGTAGTACTCATTATTCTTATCTAGCTTCCAAGGTTCGAGTTGTCACTGTATAGCTTGACGCTACTTTCGACATATTTTTCACTAAGAAGAAAAACTGCCTTAGATCTCGCAAACTGCTCCATCTCAGCGGCCTCTCGTTCGTTTTGGGCGATGATCATAATATCGCGAATATCCTGCTCATTGAACCTGATCAACGTGTCGACGGCTCTGTGAGAAGAGATACAACGAAAAGAGCTGTCAAACTCCGCCAGCACAAGGAGTTGTTGGTGCAGTCCAATACGCAACTCTGGCATTACTGGGGTCGATATGAATGCATATCGGTCAGTCATCTTTCTACCAGAAGCGATATCCTTCAAGCGAAGTTGAGTCCCGTACGTCGCTCCTCCTTCTTCGAGCTCATCGATAAATACTATACTGAACGATTGCTCAAAGCATCAAATGGAGCACCTTTACGAACAGTCAACTCTCACGCCCAGTGGCAGCTCCATCACCCCCGAGACAAAGCAGAAGATAATCACTTGGTACCAAGACGGTACTTTGAAGGTCCGATGCCTCGCTCTCCGCAGGGTAGCCTTCAGCGTGTCTCTAGATCGGGAACTGCGATCCTACTACAACTCGTCATCTTTGCCTCTCACAAACAGTATAGGTACCAGTCAGAAGAGAGGCATAGAATATTTAGACGAGGAAGACGATCATGGTCGCGCTACGGAGACCATGGGTGCCAATAAGCGGCGGAAAAGTAGTGGGTCCGACATGTCGTTGAGTAGCTAGTTTCGAGAGCGACAAGCGAGATTGGTCTCCTGAACTGAGTTGCGCTCTCATGATTTCGTATGTATCGCTTCGGGCCTCAGGACGTCGCCTCAGGACCTCGAAGCGTGTGGCGTCCAAGGGCTTCTGGGTGTGGCGTCACAGGTCCTCTTTTGCCACCCGAATAACATTGTTGGTTCTCTTGCGATGATCTCGATCGAGCCTAATAGCAGCCCTCTGCTTGTCTGTTGGTATCACCTTTTGTTGGCCTCATCTGGTGACTACTTACGATCAACGCCCCCTAAACAGCTACACAGGTGACCCGCTTCCTTGATGGCATGACCGCAAAGTCTGAACATGGGACTGGCTCAAAACGGCCTTGTTCTCGCGCATCCTCTTTTTGCACTATCGAAATGATGCACTATGCTCACGGGTGACGGAATCCGCTACACGCCCTTCCGTCTTGTCATGGGTTTCCTGCTTTCCATAAAATGGCATCCTCGTCCACGCTTTTACTCGCTTCCCACCTCATACTTATTCTTGTCCTCGTAGAGCGATGGCCGACTTTGAACCAGTTTTTCCTCCCACTCTCGCTCTTCCGACTCTCAACAGCCTCGGCATCTCCGATGTCAAGAAGGAGACCGACTCGTCCATCGATGCCCTCGACGTCGCTAGGGAGTGGTTCTCCTCCTTCTCTCAGGCTTTGTCAAACTCGGATGTCTCCACTCTCATCTCGCTTCTCTTACCCGGCCAAAATGTCTTTTGGCGCGACATACTTTCTCTGACCTGGGACTACCGTACCTTCTACGGAGAGGATAAAGTGAAGACGTTCCTGAACGATCGTCTCAAGCAGTCAAATGTACACGACTGCGCTCTTCAGGAGAAATGGGTCGCACTGGAGAGGCCCTACGACGACTTACTCTGGATCCAAGCTCTTTTCAAGTTCAAGACCTCAATCGGAACCGGCTCCGGCGTCTTTCGTCTCGTTCCCACTCCGTCACCCACGCCTGGACAATACATCTGGAAAGCCCATACCATCTACACTGCTCTCGAATCCCTCTCCTCCTACCCCGAGCTCTCGGGACCGCACCGCCTGTCCAACCCCAACCACGGTCATTGGCCTTCTGATCGCCGTAAGGAACTCGACTGCAGGCCGGAGGATGGCGAGGAGCCAAAGGTCATCGTCATAGGGGCTGGTCAGAGTGGACTAGAGATCTCGGCGAGGTTGAAGTTTCTAGGCGTGAAGACACTTACGATAGAGAGACAGGCGAGAGTCGGGGATCAGTGGAGGACAAGATACGAGGCCTTATGTTTGCACGATCCAGTCTGTGAGAGTCTTCCTATCATGTGTGGCGTGTGGCAAGATAACTCTCGACTAACGAACCGGTCGCATCAGGGTACGATCATATGCCATATATCCCGTATGTATTCATATCCCTTCCTCGTCTTTATGTCGCTTAATTGTGATTGTGCTTTTCTTAGTTTCCCTCCAACTTGGCCCGTCTTCACGCCTGCTCCTAAGGTATCGCCACGATACCCTTCTTTGTCTCCGAAATCCGACTGATCGCTCCCACATTTCAGCTCGCCGATTGGCTCGAAGGCTACGCTCGGTGCCTCGAGCTCAATATATGGACGTCATCCACGGTCACCTCGGTAACTCAAGATCACAACACCAAGATCTGGACGATCACCATCCTACGGGGCAACTCCGGTAATCCAGAACAAAGAACGTTCAAGGTCAAACATCTTGTCTTTGCTCTGGGATGGGGAGGAGGAACACCGTCGATGCCAAAATATCCCGGGATGGTAATCACTCGTACATCTATTTGATCTGAGACCGCCAAACTCACGGGACGGCATCGTTTGGCAGGATGAGTTCAAGGGAAAGGTCTTCCATTCGTCGCAGTTTGGGAGTGCGAGAGATCATGTAGGCAAGAAGGTTGTGGTTGTTGGGGCTTGTACTTCTGGTACGATCATATACGTTCCAATCTTTCTCCAACTGTGTCTCAATCTCTGTATCACTCAGGTCACGATATCTCGGCCGACTGCTATAAACACGACATCGGTCAGTTCCTCCCCTAGTTAGCCTCAAGTTATCCGAAATTCATTCATCCGAACTCGATATCTTAGATGTCACGATGTATCAACGAAGTGAGACCTACGTTATGTCCACCAAGCACGGACTACATATTCTTCTTTCCGGTACGCTAGACTCCTGCATCCCCCTCTTTCTCGATCTCACTCGCACCGGTCCAACAGATCTGTACTCCGAGCACGCACCACCTACAGAAATCGCCGATATTATACACGCTTCATACCCACTGCACCTCATCCATCTTGTACATCAGCGGAAGACGAAAGATCTTGCTGAAGCGGACAAGTGAGCTCTCGTTCTGCGTTTCTGGTCAAGATCTCACGCCAATATATGTCTACAGGGAACTCTTAGATGGTCTTCGAAAGCGTGGATTCAAACTTGGGTGGGGGAACGAAGGTTCCGGATTCCTGCTGCTCGCGTTCACGAAGGGCGGAGGATATTACCTCGGTACGTCGCGCAGCTGTCTCGCAACTGATTGGACCGATCCACCTCTTCTGACTCAAACTCTCCTGGGATCTTCGAAATAGACGTCGGCACAAGCAAACTCATAGCAGACGGCAAGATCAAACTCAAGAACGATAGCCCTATCTCCACCTTCACACCCACTGGCCTCAAATTTGAGAACGGAACGACCCTCGACGCCGACGTCGTCATCTTTGCTACTGGGTATACGAATGTCAGAGATCCGATTGAAAAGCTGTGCGGAAAGGAAGTGACGAGTAAGCTGAAGACGATATGGGGATTGAATGAGGAGGGGGAGATCAGGTCTGCATGGAGAGACACGGGCGTGGAGGGGCTGTATGTCATGATGGGTGAGTGGATCATCAGTTTATCGGATCAATGGGTACAAAAAATAGTGGGATTGATATCTTATGTATAAATTGTAGGAAATCTGGCCCTTTGTCGATATCATTCTAAACATCTAGCCCTCCGTCAGTCTCGCATTTTGTCGTGAAACTGCTAGCTGACTTCTGCTGCGTTTTCGTTATACTTATAGAAATCAAGGCGATGGAAGAGGGCGTGTTCGGAGAGAGATACAGCTCAGCGATTTAAGGTCCACAGCCTGAGAGTCTTTGACTCGTATACAACCGGAAGCGTAAGTAGTTTTGAGTGCTCGTAGAGTTGGCATTCGCCGTACGTGGAGTGTTCAATATGCATAAATGGTGGAGAATTTTATCGCCTTGAATAAAGTCGACTTGAGTATAGGGCGCCTGCTTCAGAAGAATCGTTGACTCAGTGTCATTGCGATTGCGTGGCCTACTTATAATAAGTGGATGGTGTGTGGCGGCCACTGGCCACAGCTTGGCTACCACGTGTTTTAAGGATCCTGAGCCGACTCGCATCAGCTCGCATCCTCAATCCATATGCATCACCGTCCGACTCACACACAAATATCATCCTCATCGCGACGAACACTTTGCATAGGCAGTGTTGTTGTGATATGTTTGCTATCTTCCTCGTTCAAAAGGTCCGTGCTAGGCTTGGATTCTCTTCATAGTACTTTCCCCCTCAACTAGCTCAGCCAAAACCTTCTGAACTTCTATGACAATGGCGCTTTTGTCCCTTCCTAACGAAATCATTCGTTACATTGCTCTCTACTTCCTCGAGGAGTGGAGTAACCCAGAACACTCCAAAACAAGACCCATCGCTCCTGTGTCTTTCGATGTCAACTTGCGAAACGTATGCTCGACAAACCAGCGACTCCGGGACGTCTGCAGATCACTGCTATACAGAAATGCCTGGGTTAGCATCTGCGGCATTCGTTCGATGGACTCCCAGCAAGTACACATATCACGAAAACTGTTTTCAAACAAGGAGCTATGCGGTCTCGTTCGGTTCGTCGTTTTCTATTCAGACTCTTCTCTTGCGTATCTTTTCTCAGACTGCAACGTAGGCATGCGAGGCTTCGTGATAATGTTCGGGGTAATCATGACCCTATCACTGCAACGGCCCCCGATGCGCGTCACCCTCCCATCCGTCAGATCATCCAGGATTTGATCTCAGCCCTTCCCAACCTCATCTCCCTCGACATTTTGGGCACTTTTTTCGCACTTTCCTCCGACATTCTAGTGACCATCAACGCCCATCCTAATTTGAAGACGGTTACGCTCGAGGATGCCTACCAGATTCATACCCTACCATTGACCTCTGCCAACTCCCTCGGGAGGATATGCTGCCGACATTTTCGGCTGCCTCCCAGCGCCTGGCAGACAATGCCCCAATATTTTCTTCAGGACGGTGGTGCTCGTCTGGATAGCTTATATTTGAGCCGATCCACTCTAGAGGAGCTGGGAGACTGCACGCTGTCCGGGCTTCGATCAATCGTTTTACCTGCGCCGACGGATCTGTTTCCTTCACCGGATGCCGCGAGCGCCATCGTGGCACGCCACTCATCGCTTGAGTCCATCACTCTTCGAGGAGCAAGTTCGCTCAACCTCCGATCGCTTTCGTGCCTTCCTTGTTTCTCCGAAATGTTCGTGGAAGCGAAGGACAGAGGTCTGCACAGTGCCTTCCAGTGCGAAGAAGTTGAGCTGTCGAGAGATCCTTACAACGGATTTGCGGCCACACCCGCGTGGTCCATCGTCGGCGCGACCTTGCGGCTCACGTCGCAGAGCAGTGCTGGACTGCCGCTGTTCTTGAAGTTTTTGTCGTCTATTCGGAGGCTCAGCATAATCAAAACTTCCGTCGAGGACGATGTTTTCTCCGTGGTATACTCTTTTTTGGATTGCCGCAACGCTGCTTTGTCGCTTACGGACATCCTTCTTTATAGCAAGACCTCTTCACTATCCTTCACACCCACGCCACTAACCTTCGCTATCTCACGACACTTACCCTCTCAAACTTTCCCCTGAAAGACGATCTCTCCACTTCCAAGCAACCCTCCGTCGCTAGCATCAAAGACATCTCCTTCGACCTCACTGATGATGACATCACCCGTGACTGGGTCACTTCCACGGAGCATCTCAATGTCAACGGTGGCGAGCTAGGGCCTGTTGCAGGTGTGAGGGAGCTGGCAATGCAGTGCAAGGATTTGAAGAACGTGATAGATTATGGGCCTTCCGGCACCACGTTCGGGGGGTTATATTTCAGTTATAGCGTGACGAGGGAGCTCGACGAGGAGCTGGAGGTGAAGTGGGGTCTAGCGAGGTTTGGTTTTGATAAGGTCGTTCCGTCCCAGCCTTGACGAAGTACGAACACTATTGGCCGTTGCGGTGACGTTGCATTTAGTATTTTCGTTTGTGTTTGTTTTCAGGCCATTATCTACTGAGCCGTCATCTCAAGCACATCGACCCTTAGCTCTCAGGTCACCGTGTCGATGGTCCAGGATGATCATACTACTTAGTACTAGGCGACTTGGAGTCGACCACTGGATATGGGATGAACCATTGAATAGCTAGAAGAACTGAACAAGATACGTCAAGGTGACATGAATATCAAACACAACACTATTCACGCTTGTAGCTCTAAGTTCCACAAGTGATCTTGTGGAATTTCCAGTGCAACCTCTGACAGTCCTTCCCGCAATACTTCACCGTCTTACACCTCGAACAACACTGCAAGTCCACTGGCTCTCCGTCTCTCCCCTTTCCACACGACATGCAGGACTTCCCATCATAGAGCAGCTCAGGCCCGCCAACCAAATCCGCCGTCGACATTTTCGCATAAGCGCGAGCCGCTGCTTTCCCCTTCCTCTCTCCCCTCGTCCGATCCCACTCTGCCACAATCTCCGCCATCTTCCAACTTCCCAACCCACTTTGTAATGCCCTTCTCCGCGCCGTCTCAATCATCCGCCTTGGATCCATTCCATCGTTATCCTTCAAGTCTACATCCCCTCCATTATCCAACCAAAACTTCAGCGCCCTCTCTTTCATCTTCAGACTCTCGCCACTCAACTCATATACCTTCGCCATCTCCAACGCGCACGTCCCTCCATACCTGTCCCTTGCAACCGGATCAGCACCAGCCTCCAGAAGTATTCGCGCAAACTCTGGCTCGAACGCGGGCGTTGTCGAGATGGAATGCATGAACGCAGTCGAACCGCTCAGATCCCGCCCGTCGACCGGAACTCGGGCTTCGTGCGCCAAATACTTCGCCACCTCACGACACTCCTTTTTGAGCTGCGGGCGGATGATGCACGTTAGCAGCAACTTGACGTTGAATATCGGCGTTTTCGTCGGTCCGTAGTGCAGACTGAAGAGTTCAGCGGCAGCAGCGGCGGTAGAGCCGGAGAGGCGGCGTGTGCGGGAGAGGAAGTCGGCTTTAATGGAAGGTAGGTCGGCGGAGAAAAGGAGTAGGCCGTAGTCGTCGAGGTCGCGGAAGGGTTCCATGCAGATGCTGGTGAAGTGTAGGCGGAGGCGTTGGGACTCAGCCCCTTTGAGGGAATCGGTTCTAAATTGAGTAGATCGTAAATGGGTTGGGTATAGACTGTACACAAAAAAAGAGTGCGTACGTCCTACAGAGTTCTTCTAGTGACCTTAGAGAAGAAGGTTCAGTCTCCATAGCCTGTTGTATGACGAAATGTGTTCACGTTTACCTTCCTTCGTTCGAATTCATCGCGCGGAGCATCGCTTCCATCTGTCGGCGGTCCATGATTTGGATAGGATTGTGAATGTAGACCAGAGAGAGAAGAAACTCGTGTTTGACAGGAAGACGACGCAAGAAAAACGCGTGTTACTAAATTAGTCATCACGTGAGCGTGTCGAGGGCCATTACCTTGCTTACAAGGTCCTTCGCACCGCCGTAATTATGACGTCGGGCTCCCGTTTCAACAAGTGCAAATAGCTTACATACTTACACTTTTTGTCTCGTGCCACAATTCGTTTGTCCTCTTGCTCAGAAACTAACGGACTCGTCTAACGCCGTCGCCGCTACAAGACTGTTCATCATCACCACCCACCACTGCTGCTTTGTATTCCTGTCCAATTCCTTCAACCGATCATCTTCGTCTAAAACTGGTGCCGCGCGCGCTTGCAGAAATAGATTGTCGTCTCAGTCTGTCAGAAGGCGGACTGTGGCCCTTCCTGGGCTCCTGGATAGTGCAACATAGAGGTTGAATAATGACAGCCCGCCTCTCGGAGGATGTCGACTATGACATATAAAATGGTTTGCCCCTGTGCTCGGTAGTCTGTGAAGGCGTACGCAGCGATCATCAACTGTCGCCACGTCACCCAGACCCTCCTCGTCCGCGTCTTGCGATTGACCCGCGCACGAGTCTCGAAGGTTCGTGAGTGAGAGGCAAGATCGGAATTACTTGATCCTCCAGGCCAGCTAATTGATTCGCCTGTGTGCGGTCCAGTTTCACGAGGATGTATGCCGGTATGTACTTCAACTCCACCACGTCCCCGTTTCCTAGAGGTGGCTCTGCTAGATTCAGAACAATACCTGATATGACGCCGCGTGCTCCGTTGGCGAGATCGACATCGGTCTCCGGGTTCGTGGTAACCCCCACCTTTTGACCGCTCGCGATGTCAAAAAGAGTTTGTTTGTGGCGGAAGGCGGGGATGACGGTGCGCCCGATTTTGCTCTCGGCCTTCGTCTTTCGTTCTCTGGCTTTCCTCATGGCACTCACCCACGCACATCTCTTAGACTTGCCACTCTAATTCAAGTTCGAGAACCTCCCGACTCGAAGCCACATAGCCAAAGCCAAACTGGAGAAGATGAAGGATACCCACCCCATTCCCTGCTTATAATGTAGATGGGTGACTTGATCACGCCCAATGGCTACGACATTGCACTCTGTGGCGCTACCATCGCTCTCAGCTTCTCTCTAACACACTACGCCGCTGCCTCCAGAGAGTCGGATAGTGCGTCCGGCTCGTACACTACGTCGCTGACGTCGTCAAGATTCGCATTCTCGTCCCTCCCGCTCCTCGTGTCCTCCAGGAGTCGCCGAGGAAGAGGCTCCAGAGGAAGGACGATGATTCTTTCCTCGCAAGATCGCACGCGTAGCTCAGGTTGGGTTTGGAGGCGTGTCAATGTGTCGTCTTTGGTTCTTGAGCTGGATATGGGTGACCTTTGTTCGACGTCAACTTATCAGACCGATATCCGCCTAGGAGTTTTGTTGTACAGCTGAGTCCTTGTGGATTCTGATCTTAATGCTGTACTTACGTATTGTAATATGACGGCCTGCATTTTTTGCCATGGTGGGATTTGTTTGTATTCGTTTCTTCGATTGAGCAAAACTGCCAGGTGCCGCACAGGCAGACGCCGGAGCGCAGCTCAAACGAAACTGGTATCTTGAACTCCCTGTTGAGATCGCGCCACCATCCCCTCCAAGCGAGGTTGCTGCAGACGAAGTCTGCGCTCCCCCAGTTCAGGTTCCGCTGCGGCAATTCCCGTCTGCAACATGAGTGTCAGTGTCGTTTGTTTCTTGCTTTCTCAGTCACCTTCGCACCCGAACCTTGCTTTGATCTTCTCCGGAATATTTTTGTCTCCCTAAAGGGGAATACCTGGCTCTGGACATTCAAGTGGCAGGAGCTTACTTCTCTCCTCCAAGTACCCCCCATCGATTCCTCTAGTCGACAGCGCCTGGATTCTCGGTGACTTGGGCAATATGGCACAATCTTTCTATCTGGTCAACCTCGACAAGAGACAGGCATACTTTATCGGAGAATTCGGACAGATGTTCTTTTCCGATGTCACCTCGTATGTCCAGCTGATAAGTCGTCTTCAGCGCCGGCTCTCTCCCCCGTCCGAACCTCTACTAAACGGTGGGAACGGTGTGAAAGGCCTGCAGGCCGCGATTGATTCCAAGCTTGCTCGTCGTCTCGCTGAACGCAAGCGCATGAAACAGTGGTCGCTTGAGGACGTGGATGGAAAGTCCCTTTGGGACGTCGAGCTGCATGAGCGTGAAGACGACGATGACTATCGTCTACAATGGATGCCCTCTATACCAAGGTTAGTGACACGGACTCTCGAGAAGGTATTTAGTGATTAATTCTTATTCGCTCAAGCTGCGGATCTGGAAGAGAGACTATCAATGCCTTACCCAACGAGCTCATCGCCATGACATTCTCCTTCATCGCCGATTACGACGACGCCCTCGCTCTCGGACTGACCAGCTCTCGCTTCTGGGCTATAGGCAAATCCCATCTCGTACGCATGCTTACTCGCTCACAAGCATCCGCCGAGTTCTGGCCCGGCGATCGTATCATCCTCGTCGCCTTTGCCACGAACAGTTTACCTCAGGATCTTGAGGTGGAATATCTTGGACCGGCGCCGAATGACCCAGACGATCCAGACGAAGTAGATCGGCGCCCTTACAACCTCATGCGTGCTCTCGTACAGGATATCGCTTTCGGGAAGGAAAGTGTGCTCTTCACCCAACCTTGGCCGATCGCTACGAAAGACTTCTTGTACACGGGTGACTTCGGCACGGTCGGGCAATCAGAGGGATTCAGACCATGGCTCAAGCCCTTCGATCGTTGTGTGCAGACGCTGAAACACGGCGGGGCACAACGTAGGACCAACGACGACGGTACCTTCGCGGCACCAGAGTGGATCCTTCGTAATCTGACAAAGAAAGAGTATACTCGCGAAGATGCAGGCCCGTCCGGGAGCCTTTGTCATCGTCTGATCGTGCGGTCGTGCTGGGCTGAATATATCGGCTCGATTGATATCTATCCGGAGCCGGAATCTCTCTGTCATGGTTCGTGGGCTGGAAATAGATTCGATATTGTGCCGTTGGAGGATCTGGAGTTGGTGCTGGGAAAAGATGGGAAGGTGGAGAGAGTGGAAGGGTGGACGGACGTTACGAGTGAGGATCGGGAGGAGATTGACGCGATCTGTCGGGCTGAAGATATGAGTTCTCATTACGGGAACTGACTGGTTATTCTCTATCAAGCTATGCAGAGCGAAAAATGTTCGCTTTATCGTGATAACGAATAGGATCCATCTATCCTCTTTGGCATTCGTTATTACTTGGTGCATGATTGTTCGTGTCTCACCCCATTCCGTTTTGTGTCATTGATTGAAGTGATAATTTATATATGTGGTTGAGTCAAGTTCAGTAGAAATTATGTCGATGTAGTCACTCGCAGTGGATATCATGGACCGAAATTGGTGCATCTTCGACCTCGATAGAAGGCGGTCTCGCTGGCTGTCAAATTTTTGGGGGTGATTCGTCAACGCTATTGGCGACACGCTTGTGGGCACCGACGGAACAGACGACGTCCTGGCTCGGGCCGTCTACGAGAGGGAGTTCGCTGTGCATCGCGGGTTTAGTGAGCACGATTACGAGCTGGAGACGTTCAGTGAGATGTCTGGGTTTTAGCCGTCCGTTTTCCTTGGACTGTACGCACGGGAGTAGCGCTTCTAGGAGTCTTGCAATGTGATGGCCCGTGCCCTCGATACAGAGTAATTTATAACCTCACCGTATTTGAATTTGTATGATCATGAAGGCAATGATATGTATCGGTGTAAGCGTAGTTACTACATATTGTAAAGACTTTCCAATATTCGCGGCCTGCGCAGGAAGTTGTCCACTGACCAGCTAACAAACACACGCACTGTCCCCTCTACGCCACATCTGAATCACGCATCCCCACCACCTCCGAGAACAACCCAATCCCCCTCACCTCCTCCACCACCGCCTCCTTCCACCACCCCAACTCCGCCAAACAACACCCATCCCCATGCGCGCTCGATTCACCCGAGACCGCAAACAGCCGCTCTAGATCGAGGAGCACGGAGAGATCGTTCGTCAGCTTGGTGAGGATGCGGGAGCGGTAGACGTGTTCCCAGTGGGCGCAGATGGCGGGTGGGGCACGGCTGGTGTGGTGGTGCGAGAGACCGCGAAGGATGGCGCGGCGCTGGACGTTGAGCCATTTTTGGTAGTATTTGATCTAATCGTATATTCAGCAAGTACGGAAACGGAGACGTCATGGCGAACATATAAATGTGAGCTCGGCCTTCGTTCCAGTTGTAGGTTGTGGACGATGTTTACTTACCCATGATGCGAGGAGATGTGGAGGGAGAAGATCTGCCATTTCTCCGAGAGAGATTTTGAGAGCGTGTGGCGCCGCGGAGTCCAGGAGCGACAGATAACCATGTTTGGCTGCGTATACGGCGACTTCAGGCCCATATTCTGCGACGCGTTGGCTACAAATAAGCGATGTCGACATCAGCACGATTTGGCATACTGCACAATACTAGTCCAAGGTGAACTTTAACTCACGTCATGCACATTTGACAATGATTCATCGCCGCATAAACCTTATACTTCTCCGCCGCCTCCGCCACATCCTGCAACACTCCAAACTCAACATCGAGAAGACTCGGATGTCGACGAGGATATATAAAGCCGAAGAGAATTTTGAGCGTCTCCGCGGATTCGAGCAAGAAGACGACGTCGCTGTCTAATGATGAAGATGAAGGTGGGGAAAGGCTGCCGGTGGCGATTTTAAGATATTTCTTTTGTATGCTGAATTGGACTTCATCGTTGGATTGGAAGGCGATATTGGAGTCGTCATCGTTTCCGGGGCCTGCAAAAGACGTGTATGTAAGTGTGTCGAGGGAAGATGATATATGCTCGATATATCACCAGGAATCGGGACGCGGACCACTCACGTTCTTGCAAAACTGTCGCTGTCTGAGGAGCAGCCTGAGAAACCGAGAAAACCGTGACCATGGTTGCAAAAGAAACTACTGAGAGGTCGGCACAGTGGTAGAGCTCGCAATATGTCTGTAGGAGCTGGAGCTAGGTTTGTCCAGGACGTGGGGTGTAGTACGCACATGAAGTCCCAGCGTCGATTTATATGAAGCTGTAGTACCCCAAAATCCACGCTCGCCACAAGAATCATTTCATGTCCCTCTCCCTCCTCGAGGTGCTGTCATCCTGTAAAGCACAAATAATACCGGGAGTTAAGCTCGCAAGTCGAGCCTCCGCCTTGAAGTCTAAATCTAAAAGTGTTCGTCCCCGCAGAGTCGTTGATCCGTCAGCTGGCGTGCTATCGAAACCACATCTAGTTAACCAGTAGTCCGCCATGTATCTGTTCGAAGTCGCCCGAGATCTGATATGATGCTATGAAAGCAAGAGGGTCTCCGATCGGACTGTAGCTGAGCGAGCGATGCCAAAGAGCTCGAGACAGACGAGCGTGACGTTGCCAGTTGGGCTCGGGAGAGTGGTCGGTCTGCGCTATCCCTGTCTGGTTTCAAGTTCACAGGTATCCAGTGTGTTAGTTCATAAGTGACAACCAGGCTGGTCTCAGAAAGTCAATGGAAAACAAACAAGCAGGGACACAGATCAATCGATCATGGTTGGAGACAAGGACCCACCCCGCCAAATTGCCGTGGACAGAAGCGGTCATCCACGTGGCAGCGGCCCGGGAACGCGTCCGTTTTTTGGACTTGCCTTCCTCCGTGTGTGCACTCGTACTTTACCGCGACTGGTTACTCTGTGCTGTTACCATTGCTGTTCGGTATCAGGAGCTCTTTAGTGCGAGAATACAAATAAGGGTGCGTGATACTGATTGATAGGACTAAGGGTTGCAGAGCTGACCTCTCTGTTAAGCTAGATTGCTTGTGGTTTGGATACTTGTAACCGTGACTGCCACTCAGGCTGGTACTACACGAAATTGCAGCCTGACCATCCCTTACGGCCAAAGAGCTCAAGATACAGGGTGTTGTCTATCACCCCAATCCCCAAGCGTCAAAACTCTACCACGTACGGACGATGCTCGCCTCCCGTTCTCTCAGGCCTCTCTGGTCTCTCGGTCCGATCGCGTCTTCGAGCACGAGCAGGACAAGTATATGTGCAGTAAGGAGGGCGGAAGGATTGAGGATGTACGGTGCGTAGACAGACCACTCATGCATACTTCGTCCACCTTATCTAATTCACACCTACATACAATCACTCGACCTCGTCCCCTTCCATAGCCAATTACCGATTCAACACCAAAAAGAAGTCTAAGTCCAAGTCGGACCCTCCCCCACACACCCAATCCCCCTTCTCCCCCCTCGACGGCCCCCCACTCTCCCCCTGGGGTCTCCCACCCCCAACCAACTCCCCCTCCTCCCGTCCCTCCCGTCGTCGCCGGCACTCCAAATCAAAATTCAAGGAAGACCCCGCCACGCAAAAAGCGCGCGAAACCTCCGAACACATCTCTGATTCCGAAGCAGCTATACTACGGTTTGAGAGGGAGGAGTTTCCGCATGTTGAGAGGAGGAGGTTGGAGGAGGAGAGGGAGAGTGCGAGGGAGGAGGAGGAGAAGGAGAGGATGGACCCGGAGGCGTTTAGGAGGAAGTTGGAGGAGGTGAGGAGGTGGTTGGATGGGAAGAGGGAGAGGGGGATGAGGGGGAGGTCGAGGTGGGAGGCTAAGGTGGATGGCGGGGGTGGCGGTGGCGGGAGTAGGAGTGCGGATGAGAGTAGGACTCAGAATAGGACGAGGACGTGGTCTGGGGCTGGGACTTGGTCTGGGGCTGGGAGAGAACGGGAGCAGAAGAGGAATGTGTATGGTGTGCGCAGCTCAGGCTCAGGCGTTGGAGGCACAAATGACCATGTGTCGAGAGAGAGTGGCCATGGCCATGGACATGGACAGACGAGACATCATGAGGCGTCGAGAGTCGCTGCGTCTGCTATCTTGGGCAGACGCAAGGTTCGTGTCGCGGGAGATCTTTGATTTTTTGGTTGTTTATGTTCGGTCTTATTATCTTTCACTCACCTCTCGTACATCATGCTTAGGTTCTTACTATACATTTTATCGGATTACACCCACTTTCCCCCCTCTTACAACTATGCGGCGAGATCAAAAGCTTCTGGTCAGGGAGGACGGCAGATAACTAAGCTCATGACATGCGACCTCCATCTCCATATCCTAGATGCCTACTGTCCCCGGCTGACACTTTGGAAAGAAAAGCACCTCCACCGAATCCAAACAGGTTGAATGTGGCGAGTGTGGCGCCTCCACGTGATCGCTTTTTGCGATTTTGCGCGTTTGTTTTGCGCGTAATTTCTTCCTCTGACCGCGTTCGCTCGTCCGTCCGTCACGGCTCTGGGCATACAAACCATCCTCTCGACTGTCCCATCGACAGTCACTCAGGTCTCAGGTCTCGTCTTTGCAACAGCTCGATAGCTCACTTGGTGCGTATACAATCATTTGAACTTTGACGTGATGTCGGGAACGCTGGGTACTGACTTCAAGAGTGTAGGACGAGGACGAGGACGGGCAGAGACAGTTGTGGGTTTTGAAGTTTCGGGAAGAATTCGTACGTCTCTGACAGTGATACAAAGATATATAAGTCCTATCGTGTCCCAAGTACATACTGACGTCGTCCTCTGTCGACCTTCCGACATTTAGGTCTGCATCCATTCCTGCTTGCCGAAGCTGGGTATACTTCGAGACGATCCCTGGGATATAAACACAGGCCTAGACGAGTCCAGTCATACTCATCTAATACCAAAACGATGCTCTCCTCCACCCTCAGACTCCGGACCTCTCTCCACTTCCCTCATCCCCCTTCCTCTCCCTCCACCTCCTCTTCAAATACGCACGTACGGCTGCAACGAACTGTTCGATATGCGCATGGTACGCGTTCTTTTATCTTTGTCTCCTCCCTCTTTGTTCTTTCCTTCGTGCCTTGCTCTTGCCTCCACACCTCCGTCCTTTTACCCCGTCCATTGCCGCTAACTCTCAAAATCCACAGCATCAACCTACCGTCCCTCCTCCCCTCGCCCCTCCCCACCCCCATCCCACAAACGCACAAAACCATCATCGTCATCTTTTCCTCCCCGTCCCCGCTCAGGAGGAAACTCGAAATTTGCCTCGAAACCCGCAAAGTCGAAGCTCCTCTCGCAGGGCACGATCCGCTCGGAGTTCGTACGTTCTGACTCAAATTCTCGTTCGGGTTCTGGGGGACGGAGTCGTGAGGTTGGAAGGAGCAGAGACAGGGACGCCCGAAAGGCGGGGGACGGCGAGGAAAGGGATCGAAGAGGAGATAGACTTACGGCGAGGGCTGACGAGGGCGTGAGCGAAGGGGATAGTAGGGACAGAGACAGGCAACGTACCAGACGAGCCAAGCCTTCAAAATGGCAAAAAGAAGCCGAGGGGAGCGGATTATGGTCTTATTCGAAGGACAAGAACGCGCGTAGGGCTGCGAACGATGACTATGGGTCGTCTGCAGAGCACTCAGGATCAGGCTCAGGATCAGGAGCAGGCTCAGGCTCAGGATCAAAGGGCCTAACACCACTAACAACTTCAAGCACCGTCACATTCACCTCTTCCTCCCCCTCTGTTCCTTACAACGAAGAGCACGTCAGGTTATATCCCGAGTCTCGGTCTATACAAGATGAATTCGATTTCTCAGCACCGGCACCCTCTTCCAACTCTACCTCCTCCTCAAAAACCACCACTTCCACCTCGAGCACGACAACTGCGGCAAAAGAGACAGACCTCCTAACAACCTTCGCCTCACCCCCACTCATGCCCGGCCTCGTCGATTCGCTTAAAGATGTTCTCGGCGCGCGCGCGAAGCCGACGGCTATACAGGCGCTTGCGATGCGGTGGTTATTGAAGCCTTTTTCTGAGCCCGCGGAGTCTACCTTCACCGCCAACTTGGACGCGGAGTCGACGAGCGAAGTGAATGGAGAGGTAGAGGCAGAACCAGGGAACGAGGCAGAGGCAGAGGCAACAGAGAACACGCAGGGATACCGCCAATTCCTACTCGCATCCGAAACAGGCTCTGGAAAATCAATAGCCTATTTCCTCCCCCTCCTCCAATCGCTCAAACAATCCGAACTTTCTTCCTCTTCATCCACCCAGCTCCCTCATGATTCACGCCGCCCACCAGCCCCGCTCAACCCCCGCGCCCTCATCCTCGCCCCGACACACGAGCTCTCCCGCCAGCTCGCGAGTTTCGGGAAAGGATTGATCCATAATATTAAATTGAGAGTGATGAGCGCGAGCCGGGCGAACGTGCCTAATGACGGGCGTTCGTCTTCCTCCTCCCACTCCTCCTCTCAGTCCTCCGAGCTCAGCATGAGGGCAGGAACGGGAGGAAGGAATATGTCGGCTTCACGAATGGCCAAAGCATGGGACGGAGAGAACGAAGAAGGTGAATTCGAAGTGAACGGGAGTTCTGTGCGCGGAAAGGGAAGGGACGTGGACGTGCTCGTGGGGACGCCGAAGAGGTTATTGGAGATGGTGATGGGGCATGGGTGGGATCGGGAGGCGAGGAGGAATGCGGAGGCTGCAACTGCGGAGAGGGGAGGGAGGAAGTGGGTCGTGGGGCCGAGGGAGGTTGGGTTGGAGGGGGTGGAGTGGGTGGTTGTGGATGAGGCGGATACGTTGCTTGGTGTGTTTTAATTTCTCTTTCATTTTCGTGGTTTGTGAGGAGACTTGGAACTGACCCCCGAATCACGTGTACGATAGACTCGGACTTCAAACAAGAGACTACCCGTCTACTTTCCGAAATCGCAGCCGCACGGGGATACACCGTCCCTCCCTCCCCTCCAGCCTCCACCACCACCACCACCACCACTTCCACACCCTCTTCCACCCTCCCCCACGCCTACCCCTTCAACTTCATCCTCACCTCCGCCACCATCCCCACCTCCCTCTCCACCTACCTCTCCACCTATCACCCCACCCTCACCCGCCTCGCCTCTCCCCGTCTACACCGTTTCCCGACCAACCTCCGCATCGAACATCACCCATACACGACCGGAAACCCCTACGCCGACATCGAACGCAAGATCAAGTTCATCTGGGCACAACAAGCCCTCGAGGGGTCCGGTGCCAGCGTCAACGGGGGAACGAAGGGCAAGAAGACGAAGATGGTGATATTTAGGCAGAAGAAGACGCAGGCGGTGGAGCTGGGGAAGTTTTTGAGGGAGAGGGGGTTCAAGGTCGTTGTCGTCACGGGTGGAGGGGGAAACGTGAGCGTCGAGGATGCGGGGAGGGCGTATGGTTCCAATCGGCATATTCAGCCCTTCTTAAACCCTGCGCGCTCTTCTTCCTCCTCCTCTTCCTCTCGCGCTCCTGAACCGGCGAGGAAGGAAAAGGAGGAAAATGAGGATGAGCCAAGAATATTGATCAGCACCTCGCTCCTCGCCCGCGGCCTCGATTTCGCACCGGAAGTGACGCACGTACTCATGGTCGACCCGACGCGGAACACGGCGGACTTTTTGCATAGGGCGGGGAGGACGGCGAGGGCGGGACGGGAGGGGACTGTTGTGCTTTTTGCGAAGGAGGGGAGGGGGAGCGAGAGGGGGAGGGAGTTGAGGAAGAGGGTGGAGGAGTTGAGGAAGAGGAAGTGAGCGTGCGCGGCGAAGAGGCGACATTTGCGCGTCGGGATAATTTATCTTTGTAGGCATACATCAATTGCATCACCACCGTTCATGATATTTGAAGACAGACTCATGGATATAGAAACGTTACATTGCAGGGGAACCATTCACTAACGAGAGTGGTGAAGAGAGACAAGGCTGCCAGCAAATACAACAGGGCGAGTTAGACTCAGAGACCAAGATACAAGAAGAACGGAACGTAGGCGACAGGGTTCTGCGGGCGAATTTTACATACGGTCCTTTCGTAACATCGGGCAATGCTTCAGTGTCCACAGGGACTGACGCCAAAAAGGAACAAGAACACGAGTGACACAGGCTACTAGCACAGGGAGGTGCGCCTGCTAAACGCTAACTTACAACGACAGATGGGAGGCAACGTGCAAATCGGAAAGAAACGCTCGAGACGCATACGGCATGCTCAGTCTGAGGAAGGGAAAGGGTTCTTGGACAGATCCTCATCAGGGAACAAAGCCATATACTTCGCGCGATTCTCCTCCGCCGTCCCGTCCCAGCTCGTTCCCTCCATCTGGGACGCCCTCCACGAAGGCATCGCACGCGTCGCTCCAAGAATGGCCGCGATCGTGTCGTTTCCGATACCTAAGATGGGAGCTTGTGCCGGTAACTCGGATGCATCTCCTGCTTGTGTCGAAGACTGTTGTTGCTGTTGTGGTGGTGGTGGTGGTGGACGGGGTGGACGCTCTGTCCTGAACAGGCTCGGGCCGGGTCGCAATACGCCCTGCGAGTGGGACGTGGGTGCACGCGCAGGACGCGGTGGACCCTCTCTGATGAAAAGACCTTCACTCGGGTCAGGTCGCAACACACCCGACGAGGTGATCCAGTCTTGCCAGAGGATTTCATCGGGGGCTTCGACCGTAGAGTGAAACGGGAAGTGCGCTCTGACGCGCATTTCGTGGAGGATGAAGAGTGCGGGGAAAGGTGCGTGACGATCTCCGATATCGAGCGCAATCGCTTTGCCGTGATACTGAGCGAGATTATCCTTCCCAGAGTGGTTGAAAAGGATGAACTTCCGCTCCTGTTGAAAGTTAGGAATCGATCGAACAGGTACATAAAGGGAGTGAACCCACTTCGGGCATGTAGCGTATAAAATACCGGAACGTATTGAATTGGGTGCAATGGGTGGGACACATCCGAAGAGCATTGCGCGGTTCGTGCGTTTCGGTCTGTTTAGCAGGCGACGGGACCCACCCGGTTGCACGTAAATTAGGCCACTAGAGTATGATCATCATCTTATATCAGCCTTGAAAATTGGCCCCGCCAACGACTCTACTGACTGTGTAGGATTTCGGACTGATGATATAACAGTGCTCTAATACGTCACTGTCAGAAAATCCACAGACGACGCAGCGTGCGACACCGAGGAACGTGTCCCGCTGGTCCAAACCCGCTCGAAAAGTCGTGGTCGTCGACAGCTGGGACACAGAACGCTCCTCCCAGTCGTATCCATCGGGAATAGACGACAGAGGGGGTTCAAAGAGGGTCAGTTCAGGCATGGTGGTGGTGGAACAGAAGGAAGTCTACATAAGGCAAGTTGCGTCAGTAGCCTGAGACGTGACACCCTCCTTCCTGATTAAGGTTGCGCCTTCTTCAAGAGTGTGTGCCAGCGCCGGCTGCCACCGGTTCCCTAATATAGACTGACCCCTATGTTTATTTCTCAGTGCATTAGACTGAGTCATCGCTATATCGACTGATGAAGATTCAGTCCTAAGATACTAATCGATGTGCTATATGTACCGTATGCATGTATTATATTCGTCGACCATTTTCCGAGAGAAGTAGAGTAACCAGAACGAAAGAACAGCACAAAAACGACAGCCATCGATAGCAAGATAAAGCTTGAGTCAAAACAAAACAATCCTCAAGAAAGAGCAAGAAATGCAGCCAGATCAATCACATCGCCCAAGACGTACGACTTCAGACTATCGTCCATGGACCGAACGGCATCTCGACTCCCCTTGGAGTCCTCGAACCAAGACCTATTCGCCGACTCGGAGGCCCACTCATTCATCATCACCCTCACTCCTCTTCCTCTTCCTCTCCTTCCTCTCCCTTCTCTTCTCCTCCGAATTGACCTTCACCTGATGCACAGGCTTCACGCTCCCCTGCACAGGAACCAAGATCGGCGTAGGCTTACTACTCATTCTCAACAGCGCGAGCGAAAGCTCAGGGTTGTAGTCCACGCGTTCGAGGGCTAGAATGCGGACCTTGAGGATCGGTGTGCCAGTGGAGGGATTGGAGTCCCACATCGAGGAGACTAGGCGCTTGAGGGGCGCATGTGGGTCTTGAGTGGCTGGTATCGGTGGAGTTGTCGCGTTTGACGGAGGGGTGTTGGGACGGGCTGTCGAGGTGTCGAAAAATGACGAGGACGCAAGAGAGGGGGCGGAAGGTAATACGAGGGCTTGTTTTCGAAGTGCATCTCTGTATCTCTACATACACAAAAGAGGTGTCAACAACGTCAACGGCGCTATCCCGACAAAAGAAGACCCTACCTTGTCGCACACACCCTCAATCTCCTCCATCTCAACCAGTCCCTCCCGAACACACGCATACCTCCCAAGATATTTCCACTCCACCGAACCTTGTGCGCAATTTGAATTTCTCGATGAGGCCCGCGATTGATGGACCAGTTCCCGTGTTTGGCCGGGTTTGATGGGTATTGTGGGGACGGTCCATGATTGCGTTAAGGCATCGTAGCGATGGGAAGGGAGGGTTATGAGACCGCGGTGGATGTCGATTGGATCGGTAGCGCAGTTCGAGGTCGAATTGGAGGGGAGATCAAGAGACTGTGGCCAGATAATGCGAGCGTCGAGATCGCTGATCCAGAGCAGCTCGCCGGAATCTCTGAAACGGACGGTGAAAGGTAAGATATCGATGTTATCCTCGTAAAGCAGCGAGACACAGACTTTGTCAAGATTTGCTTCACGTAGCGATGAGACTGAAGTGATTACATGTGAACAACGAGAGGGCGAAGAGCACAAGCGAAACGAAAGGCTTACCGTGGGATCTTGATATCTCAGTGCTCTAGAGTATGGCTGTATTTGAAGAAATTGAGGCCACTTGTCTTCGTCGAAGAAGGTCCGCCTTTCCCGAAGAAATCGTACCGGGTTTGACTGGGCTGTACTCGAGGGTCTCAGGGGCGACGTGGACGAGCATAACAGAGTATTCTCTACACGCGCTTCTTCCAGAGCATCCATCGCCTGCCATTCGTATAGTAAGATCAATATAAGCCTGAGGTAAACACAAGAGAACCGACCTCAGAGTAAGCTCGTTTGTAGCCTCGCGCTGCTTCCAAAGATTCTTCGAGGTATTCGATATGTCCCACCTTTATCCCCATAGCGCATGTCAATCTCGTGATGAAAGAAGGAAATACAAGAGCGATATACATACCAACTCCATTTCTCGTAAGGACCAGTCACTCTGGGCTTCTCGCAGAGTCTGCAGATCAATGCGTCATGACGTCACCCCGAAGACATCAACAAAGGCGGACTCACGGTGATCTCCTGGTGTATATAAAGTGAGAATCATATAAGTAGCATCTCAACGCGCCTACGTACTTTATTAGCCTTCTCGAGGAATATTTGAAATGCCTGAACGACAGTAGTTCGGTCCGCTATAAGAGATTGTATCTATACGACGACGCGATTCAACAATACTATAGCCATGAGGAACAGAGCGGATGCTAAAATAAAAGCAGAGCAACCCACCTGCTTGTTCGCGGATGTCGTACCCTCTGATATTACCCTCTGCGCATCTCCGTCCTCAATACCCCCGTTGATATTAGAGCTCTTGACCGAGGTAATCGATACAGCATGGCTTTTTGGTGTACTCTGGAGATAAAATGGCGTACTGTCTCAGCATGGTTGAAAGGTAGATATAATGCAAAGAGCGCGTACAACTTTCTCGCCATCAGGAGATGAAGGTATTGGATGAGTAGCACTTGGACGATAACTCTTCGAGACCATTTCTCCGAACTTAGGACGCATCATGTCCACAGGGGTAGGGATGGTCACGAGAAGTAGAGGTGCTCGTCGTCGTTGATGGTGGCCGTCAAGTTGAACCCTGCGCTAGTCACGCGTGACGGTACGCGTCGTCGAGCGAGAGCATCGCAAGACTATTTGGTTAGCCATCGAGTCCTGTGGTTAACAGTACGGTGGGGGACCAGGCGGCGTCTGCAGCCTTGCTGTGGCCCCATTTCCGAAAGACGTGGCGTCACCGACACTCAACGCCACAAGAATTCTGCTCCCTCACTAGATTCGCCGCTATCCACCACGAGTTGTCTATGTCAGAAAATGTTAGACGAGAAGACGGGTTACATTGTGCATGGGAGGCAAGAGCAACAACTTGAAGAATCGAGGACCGACTTTGTCTACCGAGGCGGACTTTCAATCTGACCTGTCGGTGTGGCGTCCGGGATTTGGTGGCTCGGGCCACAGAGGGTTTCCTGAACATTGACTCTCTCATCAAATCCCCGAGTGTCATCATCGTAACAGTCGCTTACAGCCATTGCATCTAGTCCTAATAATAGAGATCATGACCGTCACAATTCTCAAAACCCAAACAGATCGTACTCTGCGCCTTCTCCACTTCCACTCTCCTCATCTTCCTCCTGCTCCTGCTCCTCCTCTTCAACATCTGAATCTTCACCGGACAGGCTCGCAATTTCTGAGCTGTCATCTCCAGAGTCAGCATCATCCTCCGAGTTAGGTTCCCATCCAGTCAGCGTCGCCAGCCCGTACAACATCAACGGAAAATACTCCACGTCATATCTCCCAACAATGGACGATCCACTCGGAACAGACATCCCTCTCGTGCGTCTATAGACCTTCCACGTTCCCTCATCTAAACCTCTCATCGCATCGTAAGCAATCAAAAGACCCTTCCGATACTTGACAGGAGAAATCGAGCTGAGGAAATCTGGACTCGGAATGAAAGGGCCTTGTGTATCCTTCTCGTGATAGGCGCCATATTGTTCCGAGACGAGAACGCGACGAACGGTCCTTGGAAGGCGAAGCTGTCGGTATTTCTTGTGATCGTTGATCTCGTGGAGTGCGTCGTCGGTTATACGGATCGTGGACCTTTCGCCGTTCGCTGCGTAGTCGCTGGTGTTGAAGGGCCCAAGTAAGACCATGGATGTGAGAGCGGGGAGTCTTCGAGCGAGTTTGGCGATCGCATGCCATTGGTCGTCCGTTTTGGCTAATGAGGAGATGTGTAGGTCTCGTAAAACGGGCATGTTTATTTCAGAATAATAGGTCGCGGGTAAGACCGAGATTTTGTTGATGCGGAGGAGGAAGACGGATAGAGATAGGAAAGGCGTCTTCAGAATGGAATGCAAGAAATCCAGGCGACGAGCGTCATCTTGTTCGAAGAGAACGACGCTCAGAGTTTGCAGGGTAGGGCCCGTCAGCGATAGGAGGAGCGACAGCATTCCGGATGTTTTGTAGTGATCTTCGACCCTGAAACCATATCATTGAAAAAATCAGCGTCGAGTGCTATTTGGGTAAGCACTCCGAGTACCCTACTTTATGCTGTTCGCCATAACGATAACGTGCAGATGGCGAATATAGCCCTTGACGCGTATTTTCGAGCGTATCGTTCGCATAAGCTCGATCAGGCTCGAGACCGTGATGAACAGTGTGCGAAACCTGAACGGTTCTGCAGCTCCTGCAAAATACTTCGAGGCGCGAGAAATCGCCCTAATGGTCTTCGCATCGTCTATGCTCTTCGGGGAATCGCGCGGGCTAGCAGCGGTCACTGAGTTGAAGACGGGAAAATGCCGCGCCTTTGCACGTTTGGCATCGCTCTCGTCGAAAAGTAAGCAGTATTCAAATATTTCTGAGAGTAGTTCGGGGGGCAGGCTATCAATTGAGGGTGCAGTAGCACGCTGGAAGGCAGAAATAAGAAGTATAAGCCTACCAAAAGTTGAGTATATTGTCTAAAGAGTAAGCGTACTAACCCGAGTAGACAAGGACGACATGGGAGGGACAGATAGTTGCTGTCCGAGTCTGGACTTCCGTTGCTCCCTTCAGCAGAGTTTCAAACTGTCGACCGAGCCCGTTGCGTACGCACTGATCAGCTTCGTAAAGCACGATAGTAACAGTAAAACGAGCCTACATATCAATCAGCCAAAATCTTTTGTGCACTGCGGCCTCGGGATCGTGGTGGTTGCCGTTGATGAAGGAAGTGGTCCATCTGAATTTCCAACTGAACGCGCTCGCCTGATTTTTGGGACTCCGAGTCTCCGACAATTCGCGGTGCCACTGTGGCGCCACCTTTTTTTATATTAGCTTTGAAGGCTGTCCGGCCAGCGAATTCACTTACCACATCGACCTCTGATTGCATGATGATATGACAGTACTGTAAAGCGTTTCTCGAAGGAAAACCGCAGACGATGCAGCGTCCGACACCGAGGAAGGTGTCCCGCCGGTCCAACCCTGTCCGAAAAGCTGTGGTCGTCGACAGCTCTGACATAGAACGTTCGTCCCAACCGTATCCATCAGGCGGGTACGACAGAGGGAGTTCAAAAAGATTCAGTTCAGGCATGGTGGTTGAAAAGGGAGGTGCGGATGGACTGTTTGTTCCTTGTTTGCACTGAACTAGGTAATGACATCATCACCGTTCATGACCTTTTCTGGAGAGTGTATACGTGCAGTCCGTCTTCGGACGTACTACGTATGTACCGTAGTGCAGGCGCGGGATGGATACATAAGGGACAATGCGAGATGAACTAAAAATAAATAAGCGAATAAAACAAAAGCAAAAAAAAAATACAGCCTCCGCGCTGATATCATCAAATTTGACATCGACAAGCAACTCATCCAAGTTCCAACTCAGGCCGAACGATCCTCCGTCCCACTTCATTGTTATTACTTATCATCAACTCAACTGCAAGTAACTGATGTTTGCACGATGATCGTTCGACCGAATTTCTTGTTACTGAATTTTAGGCTCCGATCAAAAGCTGCGCCACAGCGCCATATGTTGCGGTTGAGCCAATATATACGAACTTCAGCCATAAGGGCGATTGAGCCGGAGCTCATGCTAACTAACACGTCTAACAGTCCTCGGGATTCAAAGAGCATAAGCGAAAATATAAATACCATAATAAACCCATCAAATGACGTATACACACCTGCTATCCATGCCCTACCTACGACGAACAACACCCCGCTCCCCACCCTATCCGTTCTCCACCTGCACCCGCACCTCCATCCATCCCCAACCTCAACCTAATCACACTTCCGATCCCTGTCCTCCCCCGCTGACCTCTTCCCTCCCCAAACGCCGAGACCGGCCTATTCGCCTCTCCAAAATGCATCAACCTTGCCTGTCGCGCCTCCTCCCACTCCCATCTCTTCACTACTCTCGCACATATATATTTGAACACATCAGCAACTCCCTCTCCTGTTTTCGCAGAAGCGAGGAAATGTCGCGGTCCACGGTCGGGGGCGATCGACGTTGATGTTGGTGGTGTGAATGTTGGATGATGTGTGGAAGAAGAGCAGGATATGGACGAGGAGCGAGAGCGGGGGGGATGATCTGTTGGAGTCGGAGGTGTAGAGGACGAGTCGTGACCGTGCCGATTTGGCCGGGCGGTTCGGTTGGTGAAAAGGGAGGGTGTGATCGTGGGTGCGTATGCCGAGAGACTCGATAACGAGGACGTGGACCGCCTTCTCCGTAAGGCCAGTGATTCGCCTAGTACGAAATCGGGCACTGGTGGTCGAGGTGTCGATCTCGATCTGGAGCGCATTGATGAGGAGACGGAGCGAGAACGAGAGGCAGAGCGTGAATGGGGGATGGGCGAGGAACGGGCGGATTCGAAGACGTCGAAGTAGGAGGATGAGGGTGTGTGGAAGGATGTGTATCCCGTGTGCATGGTTCCTATTGTGTCAACGGTTCCCGGTGGTAATGCAGAGCGATGCGAGTGCGCGCTGTGTGTCCTGGATGGTTGTTTGGCAAGGTGATGGCGGGAATGGGTGATGGTGATGGATTCGGAGGCAGGTGTGTCGGGAAAGGCAGGGCCACTGGGCAAAGCATTGACGTCGTCTGAGTCTGAGGTATCGAAAGAGATGTGTGTGATGGGATGAGGCGGGGGTTCGGAGTGATGTGGCGTATGTGGCGCAGACGATTTGTCGGACTCCTGAGTGCGGGGGATCAGCTCCTCAATGAACTCTGACGCCTCCCTTTCGCTAACCGCTGGCCCAGAGGAGCCTTCGCCCTGCTGAGAGACCAAGTCCATCTTATTACCGACAACGACGCAGCAGTAATCCTCCATGTCCTCCTCCGCTAGAGGTGCATTCGTGCAGAATTCGTCCCACCATTTATCTAGTGCGCGAAGACTCGAGGGTTGGTTCACGTCGTACATGAGTAGAGCTGCATCGGCGCCACGAAAGAATGCTGATGACAGCGAGGAAAATCGTTCTTGTCCTGCTGTATCCTACGACACAAAGTTGAGGTTAGACTCTAACAAATCAAGGACAGGAGCGGGAGTATGGGACGGACCCAGATCTGGAGTGTCACTGTTTCCTTCGGATTGGTAGGGTGAGGAAGCGTCTTGGTAATAAAATCAGCCCCAATGGTAGCCCTATACCCCGTCGAAAATCGTCCAGAGATATACTGAGAAGCAGAAACGAGACCGCAAATTAGCACACGAGTGGCTATCACTGTATAGATGAAACGCACCTGTCCTCGAAGACTGGTCTTCCCCACACCAGAGTTCCCAATAACGACGAGCTTGATGGTCAGCATAAGATTTAGCTGTTAACTTAAGGTCGTCTACACCGACTACGGGTGGATATATATGAAGGCGAGTTGGTCAGAGCATGAAGGAGGAAGCGAAGCGAAGCAACGGTAGTCGCTCAGCCACACCCGTATCTAGAACTTATTCCCGATTGGGCGAACAGGCTACGCCACACAAATCCCTGACACGCGCACGCCACTTCATCGATCTCTTCAACCTGAACCACCATCATCATCAACGCACAACACGGTCGGACAGCGATCGAAGACCATTCTAGCTCTTTGTTTCCTTTGAAAATCTTTTGGCTACCACCAGCGACATCAAACGTGCTGCTAAGCTTGATAGGACACGGAAGTGGGCAACCCTCTTTGAATCTTTGCTGCGTGTCGCGTCTTGCCGTGTCCAGCCGCCTCGAGTCGGAACAATCGCCCTTGCTTGACTCCGATTCCCATTGTTCTCCTTGCACTATATAAAAGCTCTACTCTCGTGTCTTCGGCTGCTAGCATCCCCTCTTCACCCCCACATACGCCCTCCGTCAACACCCCAACCTCTGTTATGTCTCCCGCACGCGAATTCGACTCTAGCCTCGAGAAAGCCTTTCGAGGCATGTTCTTGAACGACAAAAAGCTCTTTTCGAAGATCAAGAAATACCATCATACTGGCGACAAGGACGACCTGAACCAATCTGACGACTCTGATGATGATGTCGAGCAGCCCTCCTCATCTGAACAGGTCATGAACGTTGACGCTGAGTCGTCTTCCTCTGTGCACGTCAAGCCTGCTGATGACTTCGCTCGTGGTGATACTCCTTCCCCTGGCCCATTCGTCAAACCTCTTGATAGTACCGATCTCGAAACCAAGGAGCGCTTCATCTTTCGCGGCTGGCCTCGCGATCCCAAGGGCAAAATGATCACATACTCAGCTAACTTCACCGGCGGAAAAATAGCCGGAAAAGGCGGCTTCACTCTTTGGGGTGCTACTCTCTATGACTTCTATCGTGTGTCTCCCTTTCCTTCCCAGCCAAACTACGTGTGGACTACGACGGGTAGCCGTCTGGTCGAGTGGGCGAAGGAGTCTGGCGAGACGGAGTTCGCCAAGGACGAGATCGCGTGGGCTGAGCAGGAGCCGGAACCGAAGAAGAGAGTGCCATGTGACGTACTCGAGTTGGCGAAGGATATGGATACGAGAGTACGTATGGGAACATACAACGGGGCGTCGATGGCGAGGGACCAAGCTGAGGACGAGCCTGGGAAGGAGACTATTGGTGCTGGACCTTCTGTAAGTCCACCTTCTTCTCATCGTTTTCCTCACTCGTTGATGTTCTTTGGGTCATCAGGACTCCAACGACCCATTTCATCCGAGTCAGTACCCAAAACCGTGGCCCTTGACGCCATTCGCCTATTCCGCTCCTCTTCTCCAAGAGCGTATCCCGTACTACATCCTGCCGGAGAAACTGGTCGTTCACGACCCGTGCGGTGTTCTCAAAGCTGTTGGAGGCAAGCGTCTTCGCGGGTATTGGCCGAAAGACATGGAGTACACCCCACACACATACGCACTTTCTCTATCTCCCGAGACGAAGGCCCTGATCGAAAAGCAGCGTCAGGAAGCACGCGAAAACTGGGAAAAATCACACGAAGGCAAAGGCCTATGCTTCATGTGGAAAGATGCGCTCTCACTTGACAAGACCGGGCCTGTCGACGCGCCTCTCTTCGTGCCTACGCCTCCGCCCCCTATGCCTCCGCTCTCTGTCCCTGTTGCTCACTTGTATCTCTCGGCCGACGAAATGAAAGGTCAGGGTCATCATTCTATGGTCTATAGCGTCGAATGGGAGCTTCCTCGAGCTGTATTCGAGGACCATGATCAGAAGAGATGTATGGAATGTATCGAGGAGGCCGTCGCCGAAGTCTTGAAAGCGGAGCATGAAGCTGAGAAGGCTGCTAATCTCGACGAGGCCCCTACCCATCCAACGATCAGCAAGGAGAAAGGTATCATGTACGTATCAAAGCACACAATTCCCGGAGTCGCGTTCAACATCGTACACGAGCACGATTTGGACGATAAGGCTAAGGAACCTACTCCGAACGATCCACGACGAAAATATACCGTCAATGAGCCTCGCGTCGAACATCGCGCCGAATACGACGGCCCCCTCCGTCGCATCGAAATCCCCGAATCTCGCTGGTCAACCATCCTCGATCCCTCCCACACCTGCTCGCATAAATCCTCCCAGTCGAAGTCGGAGCCCCACCCGGCAACCTTCAAAGTCCGCGTCACCGCCAAACTGTCCATCCAGCACGACGACCACCTCGCGCACGAGGCGCAGAATTACCAGAAGTTCGACGACATCTTGTTCGAGCACTGGACGGGCTATAACGTCGTTCCGCCGCTGCATGACCCGACGCCCGTCGGGGCCGTGGTGCCCCAATTTTATGGCTATTATGAGGCTGTGGATGAGAAGGGTAAGAAGATCAAAGCGGATAAGAGAGGCAGGTATTTGAGTCCGATTTTATTGCTGGAGGATTGCGGGAAGCCGATCGTGGTGGAAAACCTGAGTATAGACGATCGGTGCGTTTTGTCTTTTTTTTCTTCCTTCCTTTCTTTGTCTCGCGAGGTCTTGTGAATGTCCTCTCATGCTTTGGCGTCTTTGATTCTATTAGGCAAGAATGTGCCGCGCTTTTATATCGTCTGCACTACGCCGGCTGGACGCACAACTCCTTCTACCGCCGCAATATTCTCATGCAACTCGGCGATATCTCCGACTGGCCTATTACAAGGATGAACAAGAGCAAACCAGACCGCCGCTTTCGGTTGATCGACTTTGGGAGAGCGATGGATGGGAGGACGAAGGGTAAGGATGGAGAGGTCGTGTGGGATAAAGACTTCCAGAAGCAGAGGGCGGTGGAGGAGGCGTTGGGGCAGAGGGAGCTGAACCTTGCGTTATGATTTACAGCGTGGTGGGGAGAAGCCGTGACACTAACAGTTTGCTGGAGTGGGCTCTGTCGTTTGTTTTCTTGGTGTCGATGCTTTCTCGATGACTTCGTGACCGCTGTCTGTAACGTCTACTTATGTCTCTGTCTGTATGATAACTGTCGAGCCTTTTGCTACCCGAGAAATGACCAATGAATACATGTTCAGGAATATTTGACATCCGCGATACACCTCTTTATATAATGTGCGCCTTTATTTTTTTTTTGGCGAGAGACTAGAGTAAGTATTCACGATCACGTGCAGAAGACGTGACGCTGACAAACCTTGTGTCAGTGTCTTCCACTTGGTTCAACCTCCCCTTTCTTCTGCTCTTCTCGTCTCGTCTGCGCTCATTCTCCCTCCCAGCACAAATTCTGCCATAGACTCAATTACTGAATTGCTTGCACGCGCTCACGGTCCGAGGTCCCAGTCCTGCTGCAGTATTCCGCCATCTATTTTGAGCAAACAACCCCCATTCAATAGGGCATCGCTGATATGGGACAATACTTCTATCTGGTCAACCTCGACAAACGGCAGACCTTTGGCTGCTACGGCAAATTCGGCGAGTGGTTCTTCTGCGGCCTCGGGGACCGACTCACTTCTCACCTTCAACGTCGCCTCACGCCTCCGCTTGACCCTCTTCCCAACGGTAGTAATCAACTGAAAGGTTTAAAGCTCCACAAACCTTCATCCAAGTCGACCAACTCTAAGCGCGAAAAGATGAGGGCAATGTCTCGTGAGCTACTATATGGAGCAGACTCCCAACATGGGTCCAGTGAAGATGAGGAATCGGATGATGATAAATTTTGGCCACCAGACTGGGTTCTGAAGCGGATTCGCCCTATTCCACGGTATGTGCATATTTTCCATGCCTTTTTGCCTACAAAATACCGATTTTATACCAGACCCAAATCCGGGCTCGCGACGATCAATGAGCTCCCCAACGAGCTCCTCAGCATGATCTTCTCCTTTCTTCTCGTCGACGAGTCTTCATACGATAGTGCCCTCAGGTTCGCGATCACCAACTCCCATCTCTGGGACGTCGGTAAGACTGCCATAGCGAGTTTCATAACCTCACGCGAAATTACTACCGATTACTGGGTCGGCGACCGCATTGTTTGTATCGGTGACTATGCGGCGGACCTTCCGCCACACGTCGATGTCAAACAGCTCGGCCTCGGAGTGGACTATACAGACGACCTAAACGACGACTTGGATGACGACCCGAACGACGACCTGGACTTACGTGCACGTAGGTGTTGTTTGCTTAAATTACTTGTAGCCTGACGTGATGATTCTGACAAGTCCAAATATGAAGTGTTCCGTTTCAACAAACCGGGGGAGCTACCTCACAGTCGCGAATGGTGCCCCAATGCCGTCACCGACCGGGTTGGAAAAGTGCCAGGCTTCAAGCCCTGGCTACATCCCTTCAAGTTCAAGCGAGACGATTCGTCTGCTGGCCCCGAGAATGAATGGGTTCTCCGAAACTTGACGAAGAAAGAGTACACGCGCAAAGACGACGGTCAGGGTGGTAGCTTTGAACACCGCCTCATAGTCCGTTCCTGCTGGTCGACTTACATCGGCTCGATTTGTTTGAACCCGGAGCCGGAGAGATTGTACCACGGTCCTTGGGCTGGCGACCGGTTCGACATCGTGCCGATTGGTGATTTAGAACTCGTGAAGGACCCAGATGGGAAGGTTGTGAAAGTCGCAGGATGGAAGGACGTCACAGAAGAATTGAGGAGAGAAATCGATGAGCTTTTTGAGGCGGAACATGTGCGTTCTTTTATTACCATGTAAACTCTCGCATGTCGGCTAACATTATTGGTGGCGTTCATTCAGCAATATTGAAGGGTGCTTTGTCTGGATGGTAACAGTGTCTACATATCCTTGTATCTTTGCAATAACCGAACGGTATATGGAAATGACCTTATTCGTCTGCTCCATTCGTCTGCTTCCCTTCGAACATATGTGAACCTGTCAGGTCAACGGCCAAGTGCTCATACTTGCCCCGATGGTAGACTGTTCCCTGTTGCCTAGGGTCTCCTGCATCGAGAAGTCCTTGGGTACATCTAAATTGCAATCCTTCGGCCAAGTAAATGTATGTGACCTGTGGAATTATTGCCGTGCGTCTTCGCAGTAGAGCAGGATGGCGTTTGTCAGTTCACTAGCGGCGCATGGGCAGACGAGGCAGCGGCGATTCCAATTCTCGGGTATGGTATTACGAGAATCTGAGTACATCGATACGAATAATAAAGAGCGAGGTGATTACAATAGCACCAATCTAGCTCAGATGCCTGTCTCAAGATACTTAGACACCAAATGCTTAACACAACACACCGTCAGCCGTCTGACTGTTCCAGGAAGGAAAGTATGATGAGCTTACAGGTGCGCGATTAATAATATCATCCATCTCCCGTCTGATGGCATCGGTCACATCTTTCCAGCCATAGACCCTCACGACCTTCCCATCCGGTCCTTCTACGAGCTCTCGATCCTGGAGGGGAACGACGTCGAAGCTGTGTCCGGCCCATGCTCCATTATACAAAGACTTCGGCCCAACCCAGCTCCGCGAGCCTATCTCGGTCGACCAACATATACGGGAGAGAAGGCGATGCTCGAGATCTCCGAAGCTCTTGTCGTCTTCACGCGTATACTCCCTCGTGGTAAGGTTTCGCAAAATCCACACCGTTTCGCGCTCAAAAGGGTCGAGTGGCAATGCTCTTCCGCCGTCGCATGATGCCTGAACATCAGCCCATTCGGGTCCCAGGCCTATCGGATCGAGACGCCAGCCACTACCACGGCTACGAAACGCCTGGCCGCCCCGTTTGAATGGATGCATCCATTCCTCGAACGCTTCCATGCTGCCAGCTGGATCGGTCCATTGAGGCTCAGTGACTGGTAATACTGGGACTGATCGGAACCCGTATTCTGGGACTGCTTCGCTAAGGAGGAGTGCGACGGCCGTTCCTCGAAGGTCCTCTTCGTCTTGAACGGGACGGAAACCTAGGTCGTCTAACCCAGGCAGCGATATATCATACTCGACGTCGTCCAGACTAGGAGGGAGGTCCTTTGTGAGTTGTCCCATGCAGATGAGGCGGTTTCCAGGCCAGTAACAACCATCCTTGTGGCGACCGGTGATCAGGGACCCGATGTGTTTTTCCCAATATTCCAGAGCCGAGAGTTAGTTAGAGCGAAGGCGAGGGCATCGGCGTATTCGGGAATGAGAGCAAAAATCATAGAAATGGTTTCCGGAGATAAGACATGGATATTGGCCTGCCTTGAGTAACTCCTGGAAGCATATCGGAACAAGGAATAGAGATGCATATAGTAAGTGTCATCTCCTCAAAAATGATATCCTATACACTGAACGTTCACCGTGAAACGGGTCGAATGCAACCCATACTATGCAGATCTCCTTCGGATGGCCTTGTAGCCAATGGTGTCTGACCCCACTGGGCCTGCAGAGGTCTTCTATCGTGTGGTAACGGATCAGTAGGAGTCGTGTAGCGACGCTGCAGAAATTCCAGTATCCCGCTTTCGTGAAGCGACCCAAAAACCAGGCGTCGAACGATACCCATTCTTTATTTGCAGTTTCTTTGTCAAAGTTGACAATCCACCAAGCTTGCTCGTCGCACAGTGGTTGAGGGAAACGTCCGAGTCTCCATACCAGCCGGGACGATGCGGACTCATGGTCGAGGATCTGACTAGGTCAACATGCTGCCACGGTTGCAGAGAAAACAGAATAGGTGCCATGTCGTCACTGGGCTAGCGAAGAGTTGAAGAAAGCAGCGGACAACAGAAGTAGCAGAAGAGAGCAGAAGATCGTTTAGAGAGCCAGGTTGATAGTGTTCAAGTATTTGAAACTCCGAGACACATAACAGTCAACAACGCCACGTGGGAAGTGGCAACAGCCGAGTCGTCAGTGGTCACTCGCCTTGAGTGGCGCGCCACATCCCCCGAGTTGGCGCGGGTCAACGCACTCCCCTTGAAAGCTTGTCCTTCTTGCTCTTGACCGTCATCCGGTATGAACAGACATCCCGCGCAGGCATCAGTTCGCTCTATTCTGGCTTTGCTTAGTGACTGACATAGCTCAGCATGCCTGTGACTCGCTCTACGTCATCTTCCTCATCTCGAAGGGTTAAGCTGTCATCTTCTCAACTTTCGAGCCGTGCGAGTACAGAAAGACCGAGAACGATGGGTTCTACTAGTAAAATTAGAATCAAAACTATCATGGATTCTCCATCATGCTCCCGCGACATAATCGCGAAACGTTCGACCGGACGCTCGTCTTCCCCTTCCACCTCGCAAGCCGTAGTGACATCACATTCAGAGTGGCTGTCTACAGCTCATTCACTCCTTTTCGATATAACGGACACGGAAGAACAGGGCTTTCGCTCAGAACAGGAAAAGGTATTAATTCGAACAGCGCATCTGGAAATGATGGAACGAGAGCCAGGATATGTCTATTTCTTCGTTGGATCTCTCGAGAGGCACGTCAGGTTATGGCGAGCTAAGCCGCTCTTGATACAAGGCGCGTTTTTGTTTTCCTTTATTCATGGGCGACCTTACTGGATCTGATCTCATTATGGTCGTCTGCATACATAGAACAAGTGCGGGACGATCCATGGCGCGTGTTGGTCGCTGTTATGCTGCTCAACAAGACATCAGGCACGAAGGCTATTCCGATATTCTGGGAGCTGATGGAGAGATGGCCCAGTGCAAAGGCAATGACCAAAGGTATGCGATATCTTGCCCCGGCACCTCTCCTTTGCATCCAATGCTCAACAACCCATTCAATCCCATTTCAATCCCACGTCATCAGCTCATGAAGATGAGCTATGCGAGATCATCCGAACCTTAGGCCTCCAGCGAACCCGTTCCGCACGTCTCATCAAGCTTTCTCAGGCCTACATTGATGAACCACCTATCTTCCCTATTCTCGTTGCGTCGAAGTTCTTCTCCAAACCAGCTCCTGACAAAGACATGAGAGTTGCTACTGCCTACGCAACTCCTAGTCCTAGTCCGACGAGAATTGCTGAAAGATCGAAATATTTCGTGAAGGGCCCTGATTCAGTAGCCTCTGATACGCTGCCGATATATCCATTGGAAACACCCACACCATCGCCGTCGAACATCATCCCTACCTTTCATGGACGCAACCCCTCTTCACTGCACCTGCCGCTCTCAAATCCCCCAGCATGCCCTCTATCCCCTTCTAAAAATTCTTCACAGCACTCACTCTCATCCCCGCAATGGAGGATGCAAAAATCACCTTCGAAACCTGGAGCCTCTCTCGCCAGTCCAATCTCGCATCTTCCGGGAAGCGGAAAGTATGCAATCGACTCGTACAGAATATATTGTGGTGGTATCGCTGGAGATGACGAATGGAGGCATGTTCGACCAGAGGATAAGGAGCTGGTTCGATACCTCGTTAGTGCTCACCTTTACTCATGCTTTTGAATCTGGTACGCTGTTCGATCTTGGAACTAACGTCGTATCTGTCATGGGTTTGGGACAGAAATGGCGTTGGGCCACCGAGGGAATCGAATGGAGTCCGGAAGAAGGTGAAGTCGGACCTGCTAGTGATGAATATTTAGACGACCTCATTATAGATTTGGAGGAGATGAAGATGCTCATGCAGCTGCGGGCTGCGAAAGCCTGACATTTCTGCGTCAGGAAGGCCATCATAGCCGGGGTCTTCGGGTGTCCTTCGCTCATCTTATATGTATCTATTATTTTCCCTGCCAGTGTGCTTCCGGTTGTCTGGTCCTGCTTGCCCCACACCGTTTGGCGTGCCGCTCTCGCCATTCTCTCAAGAGTGCCTTTTGAAGGCCTTTTGGGTTCCTTGGATGGATGCTGCACTTCCCACATGCGGGGCGGTCTAACACGCGTTGCTTAGTCATATTTTTGTGGCGTGAGGAATGCCGTTCTCGTTCTTTTTTCAACTTCACTCGGTGAAGGATTCACTCTCTACTCTATTACTCCACCACCAACCAGACTCATGGCGGAGCTCGCTGGACTTAAGGTCGAGTATGATCCCGAAGCTGAGCTGCTGTCGCGGCATTCGGACCCTGCTGGCAGAGACCTGTCGAGTAATCATAGCACACGAACAGCACCTGTCTTCACAAGTGCAGCTCTGGATATGCTCGGTCCGACCGTGATACCTCAGCGTGCGGTCTACGGAAGTGTGATATCTTCGCATTCTCAGTCGCACTCGGTGGCGACTCAATCCGAGCGCCCGAGTAAACTCTACGTGAATACGAATGCCCCCTTCAGCGCTGTTGTGTGTGGACTCCAGGTAAACATGCCTTTTACTATGTTTCTGTGGGTGTTCTCAGCTGCTGCAGTGTTGACAAGTTATCTTGGATAGGGTTCCGGGAAGAGTCACTCGACGTCAGTTCTTCTCGAGGGTTGTCTGATTCAAGACCACCGTCTTGGGACACTTCCCGCACCGTTGTGCGGCCTTCTGTATGTTCACCATCTATCAACGTGTGACGGATATTTCGATAAAATATATACTATTTCTATAGCTTTCACTTCGATTCTGCTGCAGGAAGCGGGTACGTCCAGCCTTGTGAAGCTGCATACCTTGCTTCTTTGGATGCCACTCGTGGAGGTAATGCGGCTGCTCCGGACGTTACTGTGCTCGTCATGTATGGACTTTCCGCTCGGTTTTTACGGTTCTAGAGGGCTCCGTACTAAATATGTGCCGTTCGTCAGGCCAAATCGCGTCGAAGCGATGCGGGCTGTCTACGCTAATCTTCCGGGAGTGAAGGTTGAGGCCCTACGCTTCGCATCAGGAGATATCAGCGGGGAACGTTTGCTGGCAATGATGAAAGTCGACGAGAGCAACCGTAAGTCATCCCTTCATCGGACCCGTCTCTGATATTGGTCTACGTACCGTCTCAGAGTTGGACACTCACGACTGGTGTTACAGAGATGCCTCTTTACATGGAGCTTATCTTGACCCTCTTGCGAGACATGGAAGTTTTCGACTACAACGAGTTTCGAGCGATGCTAGAGAAACAAAGGCTAAATGGATCGCAGAAGTCAATGTTGAACCTCCGTTTGGCATTGTTGGACTCGTGTTTGAAAGGTGGAGATGCGAGTAACTGCGTCACACAATTCTTCAAGCAAGGCACTTTGACCATTGTCGAGTAAGTCAACAATTTCTTCCCATGGGCGTAGGACCGATGTAACTGTTTGTCGTGGTAGTCTTTCTTCGCCTTTCGTCGACTCCTCGTCGGCATGCGGATTTTTCGACATCATTCTTAGTCTTTTCGTCGAGGCTGAGGTTTCTACGGGGAAAATCATAGGTAATGAGCCTGCCCTTCGTTGGTGTCTTACCTACTAATTTGACCTTAACGCAGTCCTTGATGAGGCTCACAAAGTAACACATACTCCCTTGTCTTGAATTATTCACGGTACTGACCGACTCTAACCTCCGTTTAGTACCTCAGTGATACCAACCACTCCTCAAAGCTCACGGACTCTCTTCTGAGTATCATCCGGCAGCAAAGGCATCTGAATGCGCGAGTGATCATCTCCACACAAGAGCCGACAGTCGTCCCCTCGAAATTCCTGGAATTGAGCTCATTCATCATCGCCCACCGATTCTCTTCTCCGAAATGGCTTCAACACCTGGCGGAGCATGTATCGGCTGCTCAGACCGTCAAGGACGAGATATTTGAGAAGGTCTGTTGAACGTTCTAGCTTCTGCTTCCGGATCAGTAGCTGAATGTGCTGTGCGCCATGATAGATCATCGATCTTCGTACAGGTGAAGGCATCATGTTCGCGCCGTCTGGCTTGGGGATCAAGTCGGCCGACAAGGATCCCTCCGGCTCAACAACAGTGGCGCCTTTCGGCCAAGGATATCTTGTTGTTCATTCCCGACAGCGAATTACACGGGATGGCGGTCATTCTTTCCTAGCGGTGAGGGACGAAGCTGCCCATACTCGTATCGGAAGGGTCGCTGCACCCAAACCCATGAAGAGCGCTACTACGAGTGGACATACGTTCGCAGGGGCGAGCACCGCGCCGAAAGAGGCACTCCCTTTCACAGTTAGTTTTCGAGCACTTATCTTCGCTGTTTCAATGCGCTCAACAGGGCTTTCCAGGGTCAATCTGTCAAAATCGCATATGATGCAACCGACAGGAGTATCCCAGTTCCCGTAATATCTCTACAAAGTCTGCCCGCTCTTCACACAATCCCTAATACAATGCGTTCTACAGGCGCCCTCCGTCTTATATCCCCCACAACTGCCCAGCATGCCACCTGTGTACTCAACTTCAACTCAAGTTTCGTCCACGAATAGACCCTCGGCCCTTCCCGCAGTGCTCTCAGCTCGCGTACCAGGCCTTACTCCCGTAACGATCACGCAGCTTAGTTCTGTCGTCAAGGCGAAGAATAGACCAAAGTATTTACAGCCCCAATCGGGTTTCAATCATGACACTCATCTCCCTATGATTCTCCGTGTCCTAAGAGAGCAAAGGGACAGAGGAATTGCCCTTATACCATTCGGTCAATTCAAGAAAGCGTTGAAGGCTCGATATCCCGCAGTGAAGGGAGCCAACGTTCCGTTGAAGGTGTTCTTGGTAGAGGAGACTAGGACGGGCGCGATCGTATTTGGGTACCAAGGAAATTGGCAGAAAAGTGCTACATGCTATGTAAGGTTGGGTGAGGAGTAGACTCGGGCTTGATAACGGAGACATTCGAGGAGCGTGCTTAATATATGGCAGGATGTATATTCGGAACTGAACAGGAGGCCATTTGATAAATTCAATGCTTCAGCCGTCTGTCAGAGGAGACAGAAACAGGGGCGATTGTTTTCGAATAACGCAAAACACCACCACGAGGCAAGGTCCAATCTCTAGATACGAACGTTGCCAATGTTTATTTGGACGGCCTTGACGGCCGTGTAGCTAAAAAAGAATCAAAAAAGCATCAGGACTGTGTTCTGACAACAAAGGAGACGCATTGTAGGGCGATGCACGTACTGCTGGATTGCATACTCTCCGCAGTCGCGTCCGATACCGGATTGCTTGAACCCACCGAATGGAATCTGAGCATGCACCTGGTTCACATGATTGACCTGTACCAACGGTAACAACGAACACGCTTAGCCTCCAGCAAGTTATATCACCAAGAACATCAAAACACTCACCCAAACGGTCCCCGCCCTTATCTTATGTGCGATGCTCAGCGCCTTACTGACATCCTTTGTAAACACAGCTGCCGCCAACCCATACATGGTATCGTTTGCCTGCCTCAAGACATCCTCTTCGTCCTCGAACTTGATCACCACGCCGACGGGCCCGAAGATCTCTTCCTGAACGATCTTCATCCCCGGTTTTGTGTCGACGAAGATGGTCGGTTCGATCCAGTAGCCTTCTTCACCGTAACGAGCGCCACCGGTGTGCACTGTGGCCCCTTGGGATTTACCAGAGTCGATGTATGACATGACGCGCTGTATGAGCAAAAACAATCAACCAGTAAGTGGATCGAAGGCGTTCGACCAGTTTAAGGGACTTACGTCGAATTGCTGCTTCGAGACCTGTGGACCCTGCTGGGAGTCTTCCGCGAACGGATCGCCGAGCTTGATCGATTTCGCCTTCGCCGTGAGCATCTTCAAGAACTCATCGTAGATCCCAGCTTGGACGAAGATCCTCGTTCCAGCACAACAAGCCTGCCCATGGTTCCAGCTACGGAAGTGCTCCATCGATCACCTCACAGCACATCCATAGAACGAGAGAATGACCCACAAAATCCCATGCGCACTCCACCCGACCGCCAGCTCCAAATCCGCATCATCAAAAATTATATTCGGACTCTTCCCGCCTAACTCCAGAGTGACATCCTTCAAGTTGCTCTTCGCCGCATTCTCCATGACCTTCCTGCCCACGAGCGTGCTCCCCGTGAACGCCAACTTCTCAATCTTCATATGCGAGGACATCGCCTCGCCGACGGTGGGGCCACGGCCGGTGAGGATGTTGACCACTCCGGGTGGGAAGCCGGCTTCAGTGATGAGGGAGGCCACGCGGAGGGTGGTGAGAGGGGTAAATTCGGAGGGTTTGAAGACGATGGTGTTGCCGCACGCAAGAGCAGGCCCGATCTTCCAGGACAACAACAGGACTGTGGCGCAGATTATACAAGATGAGATTGGTTTCGAAAAAGTAAGACGTACGTGGGAAGTTCCAGGCGACGATCTGACCCACTACTCCGATGGGCTCGTGACGCGTGTACGCCAACTTGTCCGTTGTGGTCTCGATGACTTTTCCCTGGATTTTGTCCGCCCAGCCCGCGAAATACCTGATAGTCTCGATCGCAATGTTCAAATCCGCATCCATAGCCCACTTGAATGTCTTGCCTACAAGCGAAGATTATCAGCCACACATTCGTTCCACATAAGTTCTGTTTCCTTTCACCGGGGACTGGACTTGACAGGAACAACGTACCGACATCCAGCGCCTCCAATGCGGCCAATTCTTCCTTCTTCTCGTCCATCAGCTCTGCCAACCGATGCATCAGCTTTCCGCGGTACGACCCGGGCGCATTCAGACCCCAGACGGTGTCGAAGGCTTTTTGGGCGGCGGAGACAGCGCGATCGACATCGGCGGAGGTGGCTTCGGAGACGGAAGTTATGACTTTGCCGTTTGCTGCAATCAGAAGGATGGGATGCGATGAACGGTGTATATAGAAGTGGTCAGTTCAATATAGTCGGAGCATGTAGTATGTATAAAAACGGAAAGAAAGGATGGGAGAAAAGACGAGATTGTATTTGGAGACACACTGGGATCAATAACACTATAGATGCCGGCGAAGACGAGTCAAGACCGATTATCAGTGAGTGTACAATCAGTTTACACGAATAAGGACACACTCAATTGTTGTCTGTGACGCCCCATCACTGAACTTCCCATCAATATACACACCAGTCGGGAAATTGACCTTCCCCTTGAACAAGGGCGTGTCGAACTCGTGAACGAAGCTTGTCATCATTATCGCCTTCTATCGTCAGTGAGCAGTATTTTCAAAACGTAGAGTCTCGTAGGAGATGAGAAAACTGTCAGGGTTGGTCGTTGCGGTATGCGATTCGGGGGAGCACAATGGGTAGGACCATTCGTCTCTTTAAATACTACAATGCCCGGACCGCATCCAACTCGATGCACTAATTTCTGTCAGGGGGTTTCGACTACAAACCAACAAGCGCGAAATCAGAACAGATGGTATGACATACCACGAGGTGAGAATGGTCCATACTGCAGAGGGCGCCACAAAGTAAAAGTCGGAAGCGAACAGATGGCCGCAAGGTTAGTGCAATTCGGGGAAAAGGAGGACGAGGTGCCGTCGTATTCGTTATGTTCGAGCTCTACTTCGGAAAGGACGAGGATGGTAAGGCAAGCGACCAGTTATTTGGAGTTTTGGGTCCTGAATGATGTGAGGCTGAGTGACAGCATGCTGGAAGAGAAGGGGATGAAGAAGAGGATTACGAGATCCTGACTCAGAAAAGTGCGACCGCAGACCGGGTGGTCCGAGTCCCTCTATGTATAACACAAGTCTCCCATACTACTCAGTCATCTTCTATGAGTCCTTAATGTGAACTCGAAGATACTAGTCAATTCCGCCCTTCGATAGTGACCTTGCGTACAAAAAAACAATTAATCTGAGCTCTGCCAATGATATCTAGATTCCCTCTAGCCGTGTGAGGTAGCGAGATCCGCCTTCCCAGTTTTATGCATCCATCATATCACAACAGATATGGAAGCGTCTTAGACCGAAACGTACATCATCGTAATAGACCGTATCTGCAAGTGAATTCCTGGCCTCGCTAGACCCAACGGGACGGGACGACCGGACAGATCGCCACTTTAAGCTCTTGCAGATACGGTCTAAGTCAATGCATGGGAACCTGAATAAGATACAACCGCTCAGCCTTCAGGACGCAACGTATGAACGCTTCCGCTTCATGAAGCGAGGACTGAGATGCAGGGAAGATACTTGCCACTTGAACCGCGGGAAACCAGGATGGTACGAAGATATAAGCCCAGAGACAAGTTTTTCCCCCCAGCCCGCGATTTGAACGCGTCGGGGACGAAGTTGGAGACAAGAGACTTGGTTAGCACGTCAAGACAGTGCTATCAAAGAATACTCCATGCCAGTCAGTTTTTGAGGAACGACACATGACGTCAGTGATGGATGGTACCGCGGGGTTCTAAATCTACGGCAACTTCCGCCAGACACAGTTGCTGGACCTGCATCGTGCACAAGTTCTTTCATTACGACTCTGACCACGACATCCTCCATTGTGAGCCACTCGTGTCTTCCGACTCACATTTGATACTTCCGACGAATCAAGCGCGCAGCCACTAACTCACGATCTATCTCTTACTCTACTAACAAATCGGAATGACTGCAATTGCAGAACTAGCCTTGAACTTTGATCTGAGCCCCGAGAATGGTCGATTTCTTGATCCTCCGGCCCGGCTTTTTTCGATACTGGATTTCAAAAACAGTGACGACACGAATCGCTGGGGAGATACTACCCAAGTACGCACCCCGACCTCTCTCACGGTCCGTCGACTACTCACGTATCATCTATCAACAGCACATCGACACAGCAAGGTGTGCTCTGTTGACAACAGCGTTTAGAGACTCGCCGACTTGGAGGCGTCTCGTGCAGCATGGTGTTATAGAAAAACTATGCAAAGCTATCGTCGAGTTCCCTAGTGACGGAGAATCAATGGTTTGTGTCGAACCTTATTGAACATTCTTCAGGTCTCGTTCATCTCTCATCGGCTCTTGTCTTCTGTTGCAGTTTTGGGGTACAGGGATCCTCATGCCCATAGTCGTTTTTGATACGCCTCTCTGCACTGGAGGTATATCTAGCCCGACTGGGAAGATCATTGTGGACACATTGAAGAGATACTGGCGTCCTATAACTCAGAAGGTAAGACTCTGATTCGATTATTCTACTATACAGCGTACTCATTGGCTTCGGGAAGATTTGGAATGAGCCGTCTTTATTATTCTCACTGAAGGAAGACCCTTTCACGTTTTCTATGAGGACCGCACTTCCCACTACATTTCTATGTCTAACGGAGGATGCCGGCTTCATCGCGTGAGTTGATTCTCTCACACATCGTGCTAGATAAAGGTTCTGTTCTAATCCGCCATCAAAGCTCGCTGCTGGACGTTGAGGACGACATTACTCTTTCACTATTCACAAAGATATGGTGGCATTGTACTGGCGATCTTGACACCTACTGCCTCATGAAGGCTCTTGACTGGTTCCTAAGCATGCCGGCAACACTTATGTCTAATCCTGCCACTCGGAATCCGGAAATCTGTCGAAGTGTGACGACAAAAGTATTAAGTCAGATCGTTCGCGGACTCCATCCTGCCTCGGTATCTGAATGCTCTCAATTTCTTTCTCGCCTCCTCGATATGAAGGGTTCGCATTCTGGACAAATCAGGAAGATCCTCAAGAGTTTTACTGGGTACATCCAAAACGGCATGGCCTTTTACATTTCCCACAGCGAGGGGTGGATTTGTCCCATTGTCCCTACGCCGAACGGCCCACATCCAGATATATTGAAGCGAGGAAATTTAACGTGGCCACAGCCTTCTTCATATCCTCCCGACCCCAGGGATCACTTTTATCGAAGTTCATTACCGCTAAACGAGCGGGCCACGCATTGCGCTTTCTTTCGCGCGATGGTGCTCACAGAACCGTTCTGGTCGCAATATTTCGAGATCGTCCGAGGGATAGTGGAGAAAGAGGGACCGACATCTAAACGATGTCTGGACGTCTTCAGAGGTGCAATGTTCAGCTCCTATCCGGAACACGAAGGAGCGGATCTGGTTCGTTTGGTCACCGCTTGGCTGAATGCCGGACTTTTTGACATTCTCGACGCGCTCTATCCAATAATCAAGACGCAAGAGGCTCTGTTTAGCGGTTAGACTTTTCTCCACTCGCTCTTGGACTATCGAGACCCTATATGGCTAACGACTTGATTCTCTACACACTTGCTTGAGCAGTGCATCTCTTCCGTACCCTACGACTCACTTTAAAGGCGAAATCGCTCCCGCGCAGCCAGCGACAAGGTTTGTTCATCCCTACGAAGCCTCCTCCAGCTCATCTCCTGCGCTCCGCCCTCGACTTCGACATGAATACCTCGAAGGATCTTTTGAAGAACAAGCCTCAACTTGGCGAGACTTTCCAGATCAAACTGCCTCGAACAAATTTTACTCCAGGCCTGACTAACCACACAGGAGCGAGAAGGTGGCTGTGGGTGGCGCTGTACATTCTGCAGGCGAAGAAGGCATCGGTGTGCAGGCGGCACGGGTGTCCGGACGGAGGGAGGCTGAGGTGCAAGGCGTGTAAGACAAGGTATTGCGGTGTTGCGTGTCAAAGATTGTGAGTCTCCAAGTGTTTCTGCCTCAGACAGCTTCTCAGACCTCACCGTTGATCAACAGGGATTGGCGCGATCATCGCCTGATTTGCGGCCTACATGTAATGGCGGATGGCGTTGACGTAGACGAAAATAGCCCGCTGTCGAATCCGGAATACCGCGCTACGACGTTGACTGTGACCTATCCGTCCAGAGAATCGAGGAAGTGAAGGTACGAGTCCGTCCGGAACTATATATGAAGCTATAAGGACTTGGACTGACCTCCATATTTATCTCACAGGCCTTCATTGTGGAATATCACTGCTGTCGCTATTTTTTGCGGCGGTGTATCATATTCGTTCTGGAGGCCTCATGACTGTACGATGAGCTATGATGTACTCCAGATGAGACGACAACTGCCATTACTTAGTAATACATATGGAGTACTTTTGCTACCCTTGCCTTATCTCTCTCGTTAACTTGAAGTACTACGCTACTTCATCGAAAGCATGCATATAGATCAAGTAACTCTGGGGTGCACTTGAAGACAATGCGTGCGTTCACCTTGACCAAAGGTATCCAATCTGAAACTTGTTATAGAGAACTCCGAAAAGTCATTCAACGTTCTATCGAGCCGCAGGCGGCGACTTGGACGCGATCACATGATTGCAAAGTTTAGCCGAATACGCGTCGTGTATTGTAACATCGATATCGGCGCTTGTCCTACGCCACTTTGCATTCCACCACATCTTGCTACCTTATCCCATCATCACTCCCTCTGAAATGCCTCGGTGTACCCCTCTCCATAAAGACCTTGATAAGCAGCTTCACCAAGCCGTCTTCGATACGGTAGGAACATATGAACTCCCAGAACCCCCGATCAGCGATGAAGGATGGAGTAGCCTGACCACTGAGAACGCGTCTGCACACGAGTTCCAGGGTGACGCGTTATTATATGCGTTCACGAGCCAGGAGCTTCGGAGACTGTACCCAGAAGAGAGTTCGAGATGCTATTCGGTGCGTGAAGTTTTCTATTCTATAATTTCCTGATGTCCTTCGTCCGTCATTATCGAAAGGCAACCGCACGTCGCGTAGTGCTAATCAGCGACTGCAGCACATCCGCGGAGCATTAATCACAAATCAAACACTGAAAGGTCTTATGTTTGCCTACGGATTCACCGAGCTCAAATTCGAAGAAAACACGGCGGCAAACGCGTTCGAGATGGTGAACTCTCTTCTATTCGAGAATCAAGGACGAGATGCGTACGACGAATGGGCTAGAAGTGCCTTCGGACCACTGATCGAGGCTGCATACGAAGCTTATTGCACGAGGAAGTACGTATGCATTCACTCCACTTCTCTAGACAAACATGTTGACCTGACTGTCGAAAATGAACTAGGGAGGAAGCCCAGTGGGCGGGGGAGCCAGTGAAGCAAAAGCCGGTCGGAAAAGCTAGGTCGCTTTGCTTAGCGATGAAGGGACGCAAGGGTCAATTGATAGACAGGTCAATGGTGAAGCTAAACATCAGAAGTAACAGCGAGATGAAGAAAGAGAAGAAAAAGCTGAGGAAAGCGATCAGAAGTAAGTGACTCCCTGGAGCACCCTTAATCGTTTTCTCTTTCAGTGGTAGCTAACCTTCGACCTTGGTTTTATTCCCTACGATATGACCCTGGCAGTGCAGCAGGAACTAAACCAGTGGTTCGAATAGACGAGAATATTCCTGTCGTTCGTGGGCCCTGCGGAATCTAAATGATTAGTGACCATCTTGCGCCCCCAAGTATACACGCACATTTCGTGCACGGTCGTGGCCGTTGCTGCTCTCAGTCTATCTTCTCTTGTTCTGCGCATCACGCCGACATGACACAGTCCTGGTGCATAGTTGATCTGGACAAAAAACAATCAATTGCCTGGAGTATTCTACGAAAAGTTATTCGTTCTCGACGGTTATTCGTACTGCCGACTCTGTCCTGAAGGGAAGCCCTTCCAGCTTGCAGTGACGAAGAATTCGTGAAAGTGAGGCCGAGGATAATCGAGAATGAAAATCATCTGATTGTATCGTACACCGCACGGAGGAAATTTCATCGTCACCGACAAAGTATAGACCTTACCGCAGACAGTTGCGCAGAGTGGAAATACATTGGCCATAAAGATGCGTCCTTAAGTACGCCTCTCTTCCTGATCAGGTAGCTTCAGATAAGTCGTACCGTTCCGTAGAAACAGAAACTCCCCTTCCTTTGACGCTTCTACTAAAAATTTCTTTAAAACTACAGCGTTCGTCGTTTCCAAGTAGCCACATCGCGCCTTGAGATACTTTTTGAACTTGCCGTATGAGACGAGGAAGATCCCCTGTTCCCGAAGTTCTTTGAGGATGACGAGAATGATGGGGACATGGATGTCGTATTCCAAGAGTGTGTTCGTCGGTAGGCGAGCGGCAGAGTCTTTCAAGGCTTTTTTGCTGACGATCTGGTCGACGGACGTGACCGGAACTAGAACAACATCAGCGGAGCTGGGCTGTGATGGTTCTGCACTTGGCAAAGGTGGATCCTGATATTTTCACTGCATTAATTATTGCGAACGAAGAAGACGTCTTCAGAAGGCTCACCGAGGCATCGACGATTTCGCTCTGGGACACATGATTAGCGTGACCTGCAGAGAAAGACCCTCCAGGATATTCCCTAAAACTGTCGGTCAAGCTACGCCTGAGGTCACCCTGAAATAAAGAGAAGCAGCTACATTAAGATCAGTGATCGTCGGGGGTTTGACATTGAACCCACCATCGCGAAGAAATCCACCTCTTTCAGACCGGCAGTGTTCACGCTGGAGTTCCCTGCGTGATACGGCGGTATCTCTTGGGACGACTCTACGAATAGGTTCTGGTGAACGGCCTTCGGTGCAGCTACACGCCCAAAGTGAGTATGCGTGTCTTCTCTCAGACCAGCAGTGTTCACGCTGGAGCTGCCTTCGTTATACGGCGGTATCCCTTGGGATGACTCTGCGAACAGGTTCTGCCGGACAACCCTCTGTGCAGCTACGCGCACAAAGCGAGTATATGCGTCTTCTCTCAGACTGGCAGTGTCCACATTGGAGCTCCCTGCGTGATATGGCTGTATCTCCTGAGAGGAGTCTACGCCCGTGTTCTGCTGGACGACCCTCAGTGCCGCGACACGGCCGATTCGGGTCTGCGTAGATGTGTCGTGGACCGCAAGAAGAGAATGGCCACCATCGCGTGTGATTCGCTGTCGAGAATGGACCACAAGGTAGCCTTGTCCGAAAGGCGCCACCACCTTTCTGCCAGTGCTCGAGGAATCTGACTTCACCCCGAGGCCGGATGGTGCAAACATGATGCCTTCGCCCGTCTGAAGGTCAATAATCTACGGGGCATCATCATGATCATGAGCGAAGGCCGAACGGGTGAGAAGATAGATTGGCTCATCTGACCGACCTTCTCAAATATCTCGTCCTTCACGCCCTGAGCAGCCGAAACATGTTCCGCCAGATGCTGGAGCCATTTCGGCGATGAGAAGCGGTGCGCGATGATGAACGAGCTAAGCTCGAGGAACTTCGAAGGGACGACGGTCGGTTCCTGTGTGGATATGACTACGCGGGCATTCAGGTGTCTTTGTTGGCGGATGATGCTGAGGAGGGACTCGGTAAGCTTTGACGAGTGGCCCGTGTCACTGAGGTACTGTGTGTTCGAGTTGATATGTCACTGAAAGAGATGATAATGAAGTGTGAGGTATACCTTGTGAGCTTCGTCCAGCACTGGAGAAAAGGGAAAGTGTGGTCAGGACATGGTACATACACATGTGATGACGTCGACAGTACAGACCTATTATCTTCCCGGTCTTAACCTCAGCCTCGACAAACAAACTGAGTATGATGTCGAAGAACCCGCATGCTGACGACGAGTCTATAAAAGGTGATGAAAGGCTGTAATATAAACGGAAGGGAGTTGGTACTGCATTCAGCGTGGTCTGTCTCAACAGATCGTAGGATGGACATACTCCACGATCGTCAACGCCCCCTGCTTGAAATACCTCGTGACGCAATTACTCTCGTCCCCGCCTTTCAGACACGAGTCAAGCAACGCAAGACGAAGGTTAAGCATCGACTTCTGTGACCCATTCAATCTCTGCTGCGCGAGCGCCACTCTGAACTGATTATAATCGAAAACTTCCATGTCTCGCAAGAGAGTGAGGATGAGCTCCATATAGAGCGGCATTTCTATTGAAGTCGAAGGATGATCAGCGCGACGCTCTATTGTAGAGACACAAAGGAGATTGTAAGGCTGCTTACGATTATTCTCGTCCACTTTCATCATCGCCAACAACCGTTCCCCACTAATATCTCCAGACGCAAAACGCAGCGCCTCGACCCTAACTCCAGGAAGCTTCGCATAGACGTGCTTCATCGCTTCAACTCTATTAGGCCTTTGAAAATCAAACCGTCATATTGACTTCAGTGAAAGATTCATACGAAATATAAGTAAGAAAGAAAGGGATACGTACATGACGAGCACCGTCACCTCCGGCGCGATCGCCTTTCCCCCGCGGACGGCATCCATCGAAGCAAGATACGCAGCCTCGCAAGGCTGGACATACCCACTCCCGGCAGCCGAATCAAAATGAAACCTAAGTCCAGTATCATCGATACAGACCAAAACAAACATCAGAACTCAGTCTGAGCCCTTCCTTATGTTCTGCAACGAAAGTGACTATCAATGGACGCACAGAAGACCGCATAAAGGCGCAGGAAGTGTGCCGAGACGCGGGTCCTGAATAAGACAGCCTTCGAGGAGCACGGACGTCGAATGACTCTTGCCCGAGCCCTAGCGAGAGTAGAGACAGCGGCACCGTGACATGTAAGCACGACCCATAATATGGCTTTAGGAAACGAAAAAGAAAAGGAAAACGCACCTGAAGCCCACAAACAACCGCACTAAACGGCGCATTCGTATTCATGTACAGCCTACTCCCTTCCTTCCCCTTCATCGTTTCCTCGTCATTCAATCCTCCTGCTCCTGCTCCTCCTCCAGTTCCTCCTCCTCCATGCGCAGACAAAACACTCCCATAAACCGCACGCTGCGGCATCACCCCCTCACCAAGAACAGCCAGCGCCTCGCTCGTAAACACAGGTGCTGTGCGCACGCTATGGTCGCCTGCCAGTGCTTGATCTGCCCCGAGTCCAGCTGAGTCTGAGCGTCGTGGGAGGAGCTCTGCTTCGGGGTCGAAGTTGGGGTCAGCCATGAGTAAACGAGGTCAGGTATCGATGTGGACGAGGTCAGGATAGAAAAGCGGTGGAGATAAAGGAGTGAGTAGTAAATCCAAGCATATGCATGACGCAAAATTGGCATCGACTATACTAGTTGGACTATAGCGTAACATCCACACGCCACATGAATACCACTTATGCCAATGATGTCGGACGTCCTCGTGTAAGGTTTACAGGCATGCTGCAGACGTGAGTTTGTTTCCTTCAAGAAGCTTTTAACTGAGGAAAGTCGAGTGTCGCCCACAAAGCAAGCGATATAGAAGAAAACCGATTCGACGTTCAGGCGGAGGTTTTGCGACGCGGTCGGCAGTGGGCGCTAAGCGCTCAGACTGGAACGCGATCACATGATTGCATTGTCTGCCAAACGCGGACGCGCTTTTCTTGCGTTCATGCTCTGGTTCCTTCGACGAGTCTGAATACTGCATCAGGGAGATTTGGCAACCCCCCCTCCGATGTCTTTCCTCTAAGCGATTGGAGCTGGAACCACCAAGTTGAGTTCCGGTATCACCTTTGCTCTTGCACTCCCTCAACAAAGGGCTCGATACCTACTCTACCAGCCTCGGACAGCTTCATTGACCTGCTGAGTTGTGTACACGTATATGTGTGACGTTCGAGGTAGGTTGGAGGTGCTTAAAATGCAAAGAACGATGTCCGAAAATACTACTAACGGCTATTTCTAGTCGGCCTCGGCTGAGAACTACATGTTTGGAGCCAGAGGTCAACGGCCCCAATTGCAAGCCGCAAAAGGCCCGAAACGGAGTTGCCAAATCTCCCTATTCATCGCCCCAACGGCGACAGTTCCACGGCACACACAGACGCAGACGCACACAAGAGACGTATACATAAAGCATATGTAATTCCTCGCAGTTCATAGTGATAACGTACAGACATAAATTGACACTTGGCAGGCTCCCCAGCACAATACTTGTTGGATTTTATAAGTACAATTGGACGATGGGCATGATCGGTTGAGATGGGTTGTGAGGATAGAGGATATGCAAGATGAGGGAAAAGACTCGGACGAAGGGAAGGACACGACACGGTCAGATGCGGACCTTGCCGACGTTGACGTGCACGGCTTTGACGGAGGTGTAGCTAGATGACGAAGCAGCGCGTCAGCATTGGACGAGGAAAACAGTGTATCAGAAGACAGATAGAAGGACACGTACTGCTGGATCGCATACTCCCCAAGCTCACGTCCAATACCAGACTGCTTAAATCCACCAAACGGAATATTCGCATGCAACTGGTTCGCACAATTAATCCACGCCGTCCCCGCCTTCAACCTATGCGCCACATCCAACCCCCTCGAAATATCCTGCGTGAACACCGCCGCGGCCAACCCATACATCGTATCATTAGCCTGCTTCAACACGTCATCCTCGTCCTCGAACTTGATCACGACACCGACGGGCCCGAAGATCTCTTCTTGCACGATCTTCATGTTCGGCTTGGTGTCGGTGAAGATGGTGGGTTCGATCCAGTAGCCTTCTTCGCCGTGACGAGCGCCGCCGAGGTGCACGGTGGCGCCTTCGGATTTGCCGGAGTCGATGTAGGACATGATGCGCTGTGAAATGGCATGAATAAGTAAGTCATCGCACAGTGGATAGTTACGGTGGAGACGGTGGAAGGGATGGTATGAGAGATACGTACGTCGTACTGTTGTTGAGAAACCTGAGGACCTTGGTACGAGTCGTGAGCGAACGGATCGCCGAGCTTGATCGACGCCGCTTTCGCAGTGAACTTCTTGAGGAACTCGTCGTAGATCCCAGACTGAACGAAGATACGCGAACCGGCACAGCATGCCTGACCGTGATTCCAGCTACATATGTACTCATCAGCACACGGAAAATCAAACAGAGTATATCAGAAAAAGGGGAGGAAAGGAATGGAGACCTACAAGATACCGTGCGAGCTCCAGTCGATCGCGAGATCCAAATCCGCATCGTTGAAGATGATATTCGGACTCTTTCCCCCAAGTTCGAGCGTAACATCCTTCAAGTTCGTCTGCGCCGCCCTCTCCATGATCTTCCTCCCAACCAAAGTCGAACCGGTGAAGGACAACTTCTCGATATCCATATGCGAAGACATGGCATCGCCGACGGTAGGACCGTAGCCGACGAGAATGTTGACTACACCCGGAGGGAAGCCAGCCTCGTTGATGAGAGAGGCCATGCGGAGGGCGGTGAGAGGAGTGAATTCGGATGGTTTGAAGACGATGGTGTTTCCGCAAGCAAGAGCAGGACCGATCTTCCAGCACATCAACATGACTGCGAACGAATCCAAGACCGTCAGTATCCCCCACTCAAGCCCATCATGCAAAAAAAAACGTACGAGGGAAGTTCCATGCGCAGATCTGGCCAACGACACCGATGGGCTCATGACGGGTGTATGCGAGCTTGTCGTTCGTCGTCTCGATGACCTTACCCTGGATCTTGTCGGCCCAGCCGGCATAGTACTTGATGGTGTCGATACCGAGCGTAAGATCGGCGGCCTTTGCCCAGCTGAACGTCTTGCCTATTCACACAGTGACGAGTGAGCCCACCAAATATCGAAATTGAAAAAATCCGTGGAATCGAACGAGTGGGTTGTGATTGGGTGGGGAGATAGAGTGGATAGGGGTAAGTAAGCATGCATGGGAAGGGGCATACCGTTATCGAGAGCTTCAATGGCAGCGAGCTCATCCTTGTGCTTCTCCATGAGGTTTGCGAGGTTGTTGAGCAGGGCTGCACGCTTGGACCCAGGGGCGTTGAGACCCCATACGGTCTCGAAAGCTTCGTGGGCGACCTTGACTGCGGTGTCGACGTCTTCCCGAGTAGCTTCAGCGACGGAAGTGATGACTTTGCCGTTGGCTGTACTCCTCTGTCAGTACAAAAATGATAACACACGCAATAGATGAAGCGTACTAGGGTTGATGACGCTGCGAAGACGAAGAGCGAGAAGATGAGAAGACGATACGAAGGAGAGTCCTGGGAAGCGTACGTACTCGATATGAGACTTGGACGATCCCTCCTGGAACTTGCCTCCGATGAAGACACCGGTAGGGAAATCGACGGTGCCCTTGAAGACGGGGGTGTCGTACGTGTAGTTGAAGTGGCTCATCGTCGTTCGAGGCAAAGAGGAGTAGTGAGTGAGAGGAGGGTGAGAGGGAGGGGGAGTGCGGGGTAACGCGGGGTAGCGGACAGACTTTATATCATATTCATGATGACATCGTCCAGCTCTCCCACGCGGATAAACACGGCACCCCGGGAATGAACAGCTGACACGCCAGATCGGGTGCTAGAACTCCCATCTATGCCCGCAACTTCCAGTTCGAGCGAAAACATAAAACATTTACCCCAGCCTATCGTCTGCAAGGCTATACATGGAGAGGTAGCTTCACGCTTTTCAGACAGAGAAAAGAGGAATAAAAACAAGACAAACATCCGCAGAGAGAATAAAATACAAAGGCATCATCGACCATTCGTCCGCACAGCCCACATCCTGACAAACTTCAGTCCGGAGTCCGACACGCCTTGGCTGGTTCCTGCTGAAGCTGACCCCGCACAAGAACGAACGTCGCGAGCCAATGACGCGCACGCCGAACCCCGCACTCATCCTTCACTCGTCTTCTTCCCGAATTCCCGCCAGCCACAAATCCTCCGCCAACCAAACGGAGTCCGCTCCGCCCACCATTACTCATCCCTTTCTCCTTCCAACCCAAACTCCTGCTCGCTCGCGAAGATACGGAAAGGCCTCGTCCAGCCTCGTCCGTCCATCCGTACAAAGGACTCTAGGGGACCGTGAAACGACCTCACGCGATCGCGCTAAAAAGCATCACAAGACCCTCCCCCGCGTTCATGTTCCAGAGTGGTGATCCGAACACAAACACCGCCGTGCTTTGCGCTCCTATTTCTTCCCTGTTTGCCCCGAATGGAAAAGGAATGAAGGGTGGGGTTTCGATCGTAAGTGCTTGTACCTGGGATGGTGGGTATCCGTTATAGTGGAGTGTCGGTCCTCCGTTTGACTGGTCGACGTTTTCATGGGTTTTCGTTCGTTGTAGTAGACCTGTGGGTCTGCTGAGCATAGAAATTTATCGGTTTACTCACCACTGACCGTAAGGCCCCCAGTAGTTCGTACGTCCAAGGTTTGAGACACCGCAACTCGGACAAGATAAACGACAGAATCATAAGAGCAGATCGTAGCATCTTCCAGTCTATACAAAGTCACAGAAATATCCTGCATTCTGAGCATGACGAGAGCACGAGAAAAAAGACCAAGGAGAGTAGTTATAGAGATTTCCACTGAAAGTAACCAGTCCAGGAGTCCGAGTCCGACGAGATGCGGACCCTCGGTCAAATCAGCAGATGTTCCATGGGGGTGTAACAGAGAGATCACAGAGAACATATAGAGTCCATAGTCATCCTTCTTATACGAAGAACAGAGAAGAAAAGCCGTGTAGAACGACGCAACGAGAGCAGAACATAGCGGGTGAAAACCAAGATCAGAAAGCGACGCCAGGGGAATCGCCGAGCCAATGCCACATTGTGCACACCCTCTGAATCTCTCAACGTCCAATCCAGTCTCGAGATTGTCCAACACCGAGACAAGCACCCTTCATTCAAGAGACAACGAGCATAGAAACGCATATTCCATTTCCACCCGCCAGACCGAAACACACTGAAAATAACGTACAGACATGAACGCCAAACACCCCCAGCCAACGCACAGCACGGAATTGTTGAATTTTATAAATACATATGAAAGATGGGAAAGCGAATGACGTGGATTGCATGCAGGACGAGAGAGACATGAAGACGAGCTCAGAATCAGATGCGGACCTTGCCAACGTTGACGTGCACGGCCTTGACGGAGGTGTAGCTGCGAGACAGAGGCGTGAGCAACGAGTGGAAGATAAGATAGATAGGGAGACACATACTGCTGAATCGCATACTCCCCCAGCTCCCTCCCGATCCCACTCTGCTTGAACCCCCCAAACGGAATATTCGCATGAATCTGATTCGCACAATTAATCCACGCCGTCCCCGCCTTCAGTTTATGCGCGAACCCGAGCCCCCTACTAATATCCTGCGTGAACACCGCCGCCGCCAATCCATAAAGCGAATCGTTCGCCTGTTTCAGCACGTCGGCTTCGTCCTCGAACTTGATCACGACACCGACGGGCCCGAAGATCTCTTCTTGGACGATTCGCATGTTCGGCGTCGTGTTGGTGAAGATGGTGGGCTCGATCCAGTAGCCTTCTTCGCCGTGACGGACGCCGCCGAGCTGGAGTGTTGCGCCTTCGGCTTTGCCGGACTCGATGTAGGACATGATGCGCTATATCCGGTCGGAGAGAACGAAGAGATCGAATAAGCAACCACGGGCTGCGAAAGAGGGACGGAGAGACTCACGTCGAAGTGGGGTTGCGATACTTGAGGACCTTGGTACGAGTCGTGCGCAAATGGATCGCCGAGCTTGATCGACGCTGCCTTTGCGGTGAACCTCTTGAGGAACTCGTCGTAGATCCCAGACTGGACGAAGATCCGGGAACCAGCGCAACATGCCTGGCCGTGGTTCCAGCTATAACGAACCAAAACCCAGTCAGTTTCATTGCATCACCTAGAACGGAAATGGAGGGAGGGGTGGAGAGGAAGGAAAAAGACGCACAAGATCCCGTGCGAGCTCCAATCGACCGCCAAATCCAAATCCGCATCATTGAAGATAATATTCGGACTCTTGCCCCCAAGCTCAAGCGTCACATCCTTCAAGTTCGTCTGCGCCGCCCTCTCCATGATCTTCCTCCCAACCATAGTGGACCCAGTGAAAGACAGCTTCTCGATATCCATATGCGAAGACATGGCATCGCCGACGGTGGGACCATATCCGACGAGGATGTTCACGACACCAGGCGGGAACCCGGCTTCGTTGATGAGAGAGGCCATACGGAGAGCGGTGAGAGGAGTGAATTCGGAAGGCTTGAAGACGATGGTGTTTCCGCAAGCGAGAGCGGGGCCAATCTTCCAGCACATCAACATAACTAACAAAACCCATCGAACATTGAGCATCCCGAACACACAACGAAAAGGAGGCGAACGTACGAGGGAAGTTCCATGCCGAGATCTGGCTGACAACGCCGATGGGCTCGTGCCGCGTGTATGCGAGCTTGTCGTTCGTCGTCTCGATGACTTTACCCTGGATCTTGTCGGCCCAGCCGGCGTAGTACTTGATCGTATCGATCGCGATGGTCAGATCCGCGTCCATAGCCCACCTGAACGTCTTTCCTGTTCGCATTCGTCCTGAATGAGCGAACGAATAGGGATCAGCAGCGGTGGAAGGAACTGACCGTTATCGAGAGCCTCGATAGCGGCGAGCTCGTCCTTATGCTTCTCCATCAGGTTTGCGAGATTGTTGAGCAGGGCTGCACGTTTGGTTCCGGGAGCGTTGAGACCCCATACGGTCTCGAAGGCTTGGTGGGCGACTTTGACTGCGGTGTCGACGTCTTCCCGAGTGGCTTCGGCGACTGAGGTGATAACCTTGCCGTTGGCTAACGCCTCTGTCAGTACGTGAACAATAGGATGTGACATGAATGAAGCGTACTTGGGTTGATGACGCTGTGAAAAGGAAGAGACGGGAAATCAGAAGACTGAAGCCGGGAAAGAAAGTCGGTGTGGGGACGTACTCGATGTGAGACTTTGACGATCCCTCCTGGAACTTTCCTCCGATGAAGACGCCAGTGGGGAAATCGACGGTGCCCTTAAAGACGGGGGTGTCGTACTTGTAAGTAAAGTGGCTCATCGTGGCTGAAGGCAAAGATAAAAGGCAAAGAGTGAAGAGGGAGGAGAGGGAGGGGGTGCGGCGTAGCGCGGGTAGTGTGCGGTTGTATATATATCTGCTCATTCATACCCATGACAAATTTCAGTCCGGGGTCCGATCACTCCCAAGTTCCTCATTTCCTCGTCGAACCCCGGCCCCCGCACTGACACAGCCAACAATTCCACCACGCCCAATGAGCTCTCTCAGAATGAAGGCCCCCCACCCCCGAATCCAATTCTTTCTCCCACCCAATTCCCGCCAAATACAAATCTCCGCTAACCACCAACGCACGAAAGTCCGCCCCGCTCACCCACTCGCTCACACTCGCGAAGGGTCGGAAAGGCCTCGTCGCGTCTCGTCCGCCCAAAAGAGCCCAAAAGACCGTGGAACGTGATCACGTGATCGCGATCGAACTATCATAATCCGGGGAAAACGCAAGACCATTACCCCGCATCTCTGCCCCTCCAGAGTAACACCATCGCTTGGCCTCCTATTTCTCTCCTATATGCCCCGAAAGGATAGGAAAGAAGGGTTGTGGCTCGACAACAGACGTAGAAACACAAGGTCGCATGGGCATCCGTCTCGGTACTCCGTGCAACTCGTCCATGTTTCTTTTCATGATCTCGAGAGAACAAATGACAGAAAGCAAGCGAGTACGGCCGCCGATCATATGTAAAGGACGAGCTGCGAGCGCCACACCGCTAGCCACCGCTCGCACTGGGCGCGGAAGGTTTCGGAACGGCGTACGTTCCACCACACCCTTCTTTCCCGGGATCTCTGATTCCGCTGTCCAATCGATACTGACGAGCCGTCTCACCATTCGATCGTCCATTGTCATCCATCTCTCACCCCACATTCCACGGCTCAGGAATCAGAAAGGAAGTCATTCGTGTACTCGGGACTCAGAAGGTTGAAAAAAAGACGGGGACAAACCCCAAACTTCGCGATGAAGACATGATAAGGTGGGAACCACGAGAATGTTATGCCGGTCGAAACAAGTCGACATGGACTCTTATGGACGCAACAATATCTGCATAGTACTTGGGCGATGCCTGCAAAAACTAGAGGAAAGCAAAGAAGCAGACCGCCCCAGATGTTCCGCGACAATGAACGCGGGGGATCAAAATGTGGGGAATGTAAGCTTCAAGCCTACATGACGTGAGACGGAATGGGAGAAGGCCTCATAAGTCCTCGATGAACGCGAGAGCTTGGGGTAAACCTGGGGTAGTTAGACGGCTTTCATTGTACATCGCGCCGATGATGGGCGAGACTGTCCTTGATATCGCCCACAGACTGGGTCTGGACAGCGTTCACTCGGGCGTGAGGGAGGACAACGGACTAGGCCTCCCGTGATCAAGCCCAGACTTGGCCTGTAGACGCGGAAGGACATATCAGTGAAGAGATTCGAGACGGAGGAAAGTAAGAGGTGAGGAACGAAAAGGGAACAGAGGAGGATCAGACGTGCTATAGCACGTGTAATTATTTAGTCATGGGCGAATAGCATCGTCCTCATGAGACTAATCGTGAAAAAATCATATCCTGTGGGTAGTAAGAGTGAATGGGTGTTTGAAGAGGACATGCCTTGTTGGCGACTCCGGCGGTAGCCTTTGTCGTGTTCGGGTCGAGCAAGCTCTTGGAAACAGCAACTGAAGACAAGAACAGATCAATGAGCGATACGAACCAATTTATTTCGACTCCACGAAAGAAAGAAGGACGTAGCAATCAGAGTGCACAAGGGCACTGTTTCTATGCATCGACAGAACGTCTGCCTTAAAATGTTGTTTACCAAAAGAAAAGCATATCGAGAACTCCAACTTCCTTGTCGATAAGGCAAATGGTAAAAGAGCAAAGTAAGAACAGCTTACCCATGCATGATCAGCTGCGGATCAACAGAGATATCCCTGCTGGTTTGATGCAGTCGCGTCGGGACGAGTTATGCGGATGGTTGTTTAAGGTGAAATGACAGTCTATGTGAAGTTAATTGTTAGCTACTTGGATGACACGGGGGAGAGGAAGGTATCTCGGGGCGAAGGTACGGTACAGGAACATCCCTGCCCTTGCACCAGCATCAGAATATGCTGGAATAGAGTAGGCCAAGCCGGCTGACTGAAACTTCCCCGACCGCCTATAATGCACAGACATTTCACGGCGATGGTAATGTGTAGCTTCGCGGGAGTGGGATCCAAAAATATGAGGAGGTTGGTCGAGGGGAAGAAAAGACAGCTGAGAGGCCATGAGTTGTAAGAAAGATCACGTACTACTTCATTCATTACACCACCGATCCTCAACACGGCTCAGGCTTGCGGTAAACCATATAAGACTCCAGTTGAAGTTGCCTGCCTGTCCTAGAATAGGAACGATGCAAGTCCTCGGTGAGTAGCGATCTGACGAAGCTCGTCGCGCCTTCGTCCAGTGCAACATTCTCGGGATTTGATTCATCTCAGCGATAAGGTTAGAGGGAGAGCTGAGTTTTCGTTAGATTTGGTCCAGAGTTTATACTAAGTACATGGCAACGAATGATATAGGAAAAGAGCTCAGAGTTTGAGGTTGGGATGATGGTGTGGAAGAAAAAGAAAAGAGAACAGCGCGCGTTGCCAACTAATAATATTGCACATGCACGTGATCCTACCTCCGGAGTGGCCCATAATTAATATTTCTCAAGCTCTCCCACCTTCTCCGCTCTCTTCATCTGGTCGACAGAACATAATTGACTGCTTGAGGTGACATTCTTCGCATATTCACCTCATCGTATGGGTGCTTTCTGGCCTGATTTCTCTCCTCGCCACATCGATGTCGCGTCGGATTCAGACGACTCCTAAAAATGGTACAGACCACTGTTCCGTCATGAGTTTGCTTCCAAAGTATGTACATAAGTACCGCGTTTGTCGTATGATTCACCGAGAGCGCCGTGCCCTCGAGTGGGTGGGCAGCGTTGTGGGGAGCAAAGTCGAAGTGTGGTGGCGTCTATTGGCCACATCCGACGGGAGGAAGCCCAAGTTTTTCTGACTCAGAGCGCATATAAAACAAGTCGATCCACTTTTCTTTTTGGCTGGGCTTCACTCCTCCTTTTCGCCATCACGAACACTCCTGACCTGTCGACGATTTCACGCCTTGCATTGACTAGCAAATCTCTCGCCGTTAGATGTCTACGACACACGAAAAGATAGGTTCGGAGGAGATGAAGGAGGGAGGAAGCGGAAGTGCTACGCCGAACGACGTTGAGGTCGCAACGATAATAGTAGCAGCAGTCGACGACAAGTCTGAGTGCCCCGAAGGAGGATTGCATGCTTGGCTCGCCGTCCTTGGTTCTTCGCTCGTATACTTCGTCTCATTTGGCCTCATCAATAGCTTTGGGACGTTTCAGGTGCGTCTCGCTGTCCTTGCTAAATTTCGTGGTGTCTAATGGATTCGTGTGCGAGTAGGAGTTCTATGAGCAAGACTACCTCTCGAGCCATTCTGCTACATCTATTGCGTTCATCGGAACTCTGGAGATCACATTGCTCTATATCGGTGGCGTATTCATTGGACCTCTATTCGATGCGTTTGGGCTCAAGGTGAGCTCCCTGCTGTTCTCTCTTCCCCAGCTGCCGGGACGTCGAGTTCTAAGACAAATCACGTGTAGTATCTATATCCCATTGGATGCCTCGGAAGTGTCCTGGCCCTCGTTGCCCTTTCCTTCACAAAGCCAGAGCAGATATACCAGCAGTTTCTCTCTCAGGTCCGTACCTCCTCAAGACTTTTCAATGCTAACCGTCTACTCACATCTTTCTTAGGGAGTTCTCTTCGGTATCTCGGTCGGTTTCGGTGCGTACCCCGCCCTGGCGTTGGTAGGTCAGTACTTCAAGCACAAGCGTGCTCTTGCCATGGGAATAGTCGCCGCCGCAAGCAGCGTCGGCGGAGTCTGCCTCCCCATAATGTTCTCCCGGCTCTTCAAAACCATCGGTTTCTGTAAGCAATCCACCATTTCCGTCTTCTGCCTCGCCCTCTTCCCTACCCTTCTTCCAACGCCGCCTGTCTAACTTGAGGCGCCCATCCACGTAGCCTGGTCGGTACGTGTGGCTGCCCTCATCACGTTGTGAGTATTGCTCTCCTATCATTCCACCCTCACCCCTCTCGTATTCTAGCAACGGCTGATACTTATTTTCAACCAACAGGTTCTGCTATTTAACTGCTATGATGATATCTCGAACTAGATTGCCTCGTAAACCAATGACGAAGCCGAGCCAATTCGTCGATTTGGGTGGGTTTAAGGATCCGCTATATGTGGTGCTGATGGTCGGAGCGTTCCTCGTGAACTTGGGGCTGTATATCCCGTATTACTACATCGGTGAGTACGGCGTTCCGGAATTTGGGCTGTTGATTTATTGTGAGATATTTTTGCTGACGACGAGTGTACAGAACCGTTCGCAATCCAGCTCGGCATATCGGAGAACGTACACCCCTACCTCCTCCCCATGCTCAACGGATTGTCGTTCTTTGGACGCATTATGTAACATTTTCATATCTCCCTTTCTCCCTAGCATCACTTCCGCCGTCGCTAACATGTACACTTTGCATTGTGTTCTGTAGCGGCGGTCATTTGGCGGATATCTACGGCCGCATGAATGTTCTCGTCCCGACGACGCTCATCTCTGGCATTCTCTGCCTTGCCCTCTGGCTCCCTTCGAATGGGACGGTCCCTGTGATCATATTTGCTTGTGTCTATGGTCCGCTATCCTATCCCACATCCCGACCTTTCCCTCCATTTCTTCATACCGCTAACCTCCACCCTCTCCACGCCACATCCCCCAGGTCTCTTCTCCGGCGCCTTCATCTCCGTCTGTCCCGCCACAGTCGGCCAGATCTCCCCAACTTCCAAGCTCGGAGCCCGAATCGGCACGTTCTTCGGCGTCGTCGCGTTCGCCACGCTCACGGGGACGCCTATCGGGGGTGCGTTCACCGCGGGCGCGGAGGGCGTGGAGGGGTATAGGCGTGTTGCTATATTTTCTGTGCGTCTTTTCTTTTCTTTGTCTGTGGGGTGAGTCTGTCTGACCGTTGATATCTTTTTGTTCACCTATTTTCGGTGGGTTGATGGGTTGTCACGGTCGTGAATTTAGGGCGTCATTTTGATGGCCGGAAGTGTGGTCTTAGGAGTGGCGAGGGTGATGGCGAGTCGGGAGTTGATGCATAAGGTTTGAACGACCTGAACGCCGCCTGGACGCTCTTTTCGCGGCTCGTATACAGTCGTGCAGTCCAGTTTTGGACGTTTGTGCTTCCTGGCTGTGTCCGTTCTTGTCCCGAAATGCGACACGACCATCCTTCCCAAGTTCTCCTACAATTTCCTTTTCATAGAACCATCATTTTGATTGACGAGCCTCACTCATAGACGACTGTCATAGACCAACCCATCACTTCTTACATACAACATGAAATAGATTCAAGACCAGCTGGTCATAACGCAATATTTGTTTTGTTTTCCTTGTCACGTCGTCTGCTGAAAGTGAGGACCGATGGACACTGAACCATTCTGGTTATCGTTCGTATGTCTCAGCACTTTCAACAAGAAGGGATGCTGGGCAAATAAGGTGATTAGTTCGGTCTCTTACAATTTCGTCGATACTCGTACCTTCACTTCTTCTCTCTGGATGGATAAGTCACGGTCAACATCGTAGCGTTGTATGCTGGATTCGACAGCGGGCTGTTCTCGTCTACGTCAACCCCATCGGCCATGATATGTAGGCCACAAATGAGCCGATGGTCGCGCCAGTCCCTGTCCAAACCGTGAGACGACAGTCGTTTCAACAATAAGGACTGAGAAGGTCTCTGAAGCTGAACAGCTTGAAAAACCTACAACTTCTGACACTCAGCGCCACAATACCTTGTCTTACATGCCTTACATCTCAGCCTCCCCGCTTCCGCACACTCGTGCCTCCTACACACCGACGCCTTTCTCGCCTGCAGAATGTACAGCGCCACCCACAACCACCTTCTACCTCCCTCGTAGTTGGACATGCTTGGCGGAGAGCTCATCGGAGGCAGCTTGATCTGTACAGTCTGGCCGAGTCGAGGTTTGTTTTTCGCAAGATCTTTCGAGTTGTCGATGTCGAAATCGAGGGCAGAGCGAAGGAGATGTGCCGGTGGAGGCTTCGTAGGAATGGACAAACCGTTTCGCTCGCTGTGTGAGAGCGATTTCGCCTTCAAGACGAGTCGTAGCGCACGGAACAGATGGTCTGTCCGAGCGATGGTATAGATATCCGAACGGTTAGTCATATATTCTCCAAAACGAGGAAATGAACGAACAGATAAGCCCTCTCTCGGACGTCTTGTTACCCGGATAGAGCGCGTCGAGAGTGTCAAAGAGTCCCGCATTCAGCCAAGCAGTGACCAGACGCACGAGATCCGCCCCCTCGTATCCTGGCTCGGAACTCAGCATTGATGAATAGAACATGAAGAGTGTATTTTCAAATGTAAAACCATCGCTCTCTTCACCAGCCCGGACGAGATTGAATTGAAACGACCAGTAGGGTTCCGTCAGCATCATGGCACGGAATAAAGCACAATGCGTGGCACGCTCGTGCAGCGGCAATGCACTTCGAAAGAAGCGAGCCCTGGGATCGGTAGGGCATGGAGAAGGCTGTGGCCACGCTGAATCTCCTGCTCTCAACAGAGCGGCCTCACGTGGCTTCATCTGCCCCGAGGCAAGAGGAGCCATCCACTTTTCGTCGTCGGAGGGTCGTACGACTATGTCCTTTTGTACGACCCAGGTGAGCTCCTTGAGCACTGCATCAACTTCTCCCGAAGTCCGGCCCTTGATGCGGAGAAGGCGAGCAAAAAATTGGGTGCACTCGGATAACGAGGCTGGGTGGAGGCCGCGCACGATCCGATATAGTAAACTTGTCGTTATACTTGAAGGAGACTGCACAGAGATTGGAGACTCGTTCGTATGTCTCAGAAACCAGTGGACGGCCTGCATGACGAACGAGTTGTCGACTTCGGTGGTACAATACCACCATATCTTGACGAAAAGCGAAAGCGTGACGTCATCTTCGTCGTCCAACGAGCTTCAAAGGCGGGCAAATGGCAGGTCAGAGCAGATTCTCTACCTGGCACAAAGTATGAGGGAGTTAGCTCACGCGACGAAGGTGCTATCCTTCACTAAAGAACGGAATGCGTTGGGCAATGTCGTCCTTTGAACAAAGCTATGCTGGCCCTCCTTCAGCGAGAATAGTAAAGATGGCTCTTTCCAGATCTTCCCGAAGCCCATGAGCAAGGATTATACAGCGCAAACCTGTAATTAAAGTCTTACCCTCTGGGTTATAGGACGCCAGTATCTTTTTAATGTATCCATTATGCTTTTTGTAGTTGGGCTAGATGGATCTCCGATACGGAGAGGAGTATCAAAAGTGGTTAAGGGCATGAGAACCCCTGTATCCCAAACCTGCCACAGAAGAAAAGAACCGATGAAGGATGAGAGGGACTTAGAGAATGTTAGATGAAATTAGACGCAGACGATAGAGCTCCCGTCGCTACGGCACTCGAGACTAGCTTTGCATAGTTTCTCCGCAAGACCGTGCTGCACGAGACGTCTCCAGATCTGTGAGCCATCAATTGCTGTCACTGCAAGGGCAACCGTCGCCTCCCTAGTATCCTGGTGGTACAAGTAGTACAGGATAGGTCGACGATACTCGATGAAACAAAGAGCAATGGGTGAAAGGTTAGTGCTTACTTCTGCGGTATCTCCCCAGCGATTCACATCGTCGCTATTCTTGAAATCGAGAATTGAGAAAAGGCGAGCCGGAGGATCGAGGAATCGTATAGTCTCGGGGCCCAGTCCGTAGGCTTCCAGTGCGCTCGACATCTGGGTCGCGTTGACGAAGAAAGATATGACTATGAGGCGAGAATTCCTTAAAAAGATGGTGGTGGAGTGTAGTTACGCTACGAGTCGTGGCAAAGTTGCGGCGAGCTTGCGGCGAACATGAGGCAGAACGTAAGTGGATCCCATACCATTTTGTCTCATATATGGCAGTAGAGACACTACGAGGAGACTTCGCGAGTGACAGCCCAAGGAATGAAAGGGATTGTGGCCCTGCACTGAGCGTCTGAACGCCCGGGCCGACGTGGGAAAACGCCACAGCGGCATTATGTTTGATTGGTTCCGCAAATCTTGAGGTTTGCGACTTTCAAGTTCTCTTTCTCCTCGTCCGAGGGCCTGCTCCCTTATGCTCGTACAGCCTTCCGTTTCTTTGTGCATAAATTTTCTTGGATATACTAGGCAAAACTACAGGCAATATTGTAGTTCATGGCCAGCTTAGTACCCGCAGACTAACCACGTCCTAATTGACTCGGTGCCAATCCAACATCGATGCTGCCAGACGATGGAAGCTCGACTGTCTCTGCACTCGCTCTTATTTGGTGGTGCTGAAATCTGGTCCGAGCTTGAGTCTGAGTCTACCATGTAACCAGTGGGACGATATCTTCCCGCTTTGCCTTGGTCCTTGGCTGTCCTTGATAAAAATATGGTCTACTAAAGTAAATTTGCTCGTCCTGCCCCACTGTTATTATTCAGTCTATCATTGATCCCATTCTGGACATTGAGCGGACCATAGTCTGCGATGTTGGCCGTCATGTTTTTCAGCTACGTGGAACTGCCTTTGTGCGTCAGTCATATAGGTAAATAGCGATCGTCTCTTCGACCCGGAGCGCCGCCTGCACTTTTCGAAAGATCCCAATTTAGGATCAATAACACTCTTTGTCCCATCATCTCTCTTGGTACGCTCACACGGCCTCACAGCAGCATCTAGAATCTAAAGCTCCAAATAACTCTCGATCTGTCTCATCCTATTCGCACGTTCCCACATCGAGCTCGAACATACCGCATGACTACTGCACACGACGTCGCCTGCGCTTTACCTCGGGTACACTAATTGTGCCGTCATTTGTTCGCTCCATCCCCTTCCTCATCCAGACCGGAATAAGAATGGATGGGAAAGGTTGGTGGAGATAGTTTGCGCCCTCTGTAGCGTGAAGGATTTAAGCTGGTTAAGGTACGTCATGCGACTAGTTCTGTCTTCATGCTTGCGGCTATGGAGAAAGGCGGAGACGAAGCAACCTGACTGAGATTTCCGTGTATACATGACAGCTGTATATAGGGTTAGACGAGGGGACGTTGCAGTATTTAAAAAGAAGAGAGGTCCCATTCTCGTTGCATTCTCGTTGTGCTTGCTTCCGGTACACTTCCACCCCCACTGACCAACGACTGTGCTGCTCCCAGCTTTCCTCGTCCGCAACGTGACCCTACGCCTCGAAACTGAAGACTACTCACTGACGACGAAAGAAAATAACGATGACAACCTTCGTCCACGAGTTCGATACGCCGATGTTCAAGGGGAAGGTCAACTTCCCGACTGGTGTGTATATTGATGGGAAGTTCAGCGACGGAGGGTCAAAGACAACTATTGAGTACATATTTATCATGCATGTCGCACCTAAGTATACTGTTAAATGACCACGATTCAATCTTGTCGATAGCGTTGTTGATCCTAGTACGTCTACAAATTCAATCTTGCCCTTCCTTCCATCTCTTCCCTCAACTGCCTACGAACTTCGACTATAATCAGCTTACTATCATTCTATTCACCAAACATTCCCATCCCACCCCATCCTATCTTAACTCGTGCTTCTGATAACAGGAAACGGCAAGATTATAACCTCCGTCTCTGAAGCTACCCCCGCCGACGTCGATCGTGCTGTTATCGTCGCCCAAAAGGCTTTCGACACCGTCTGGGGTCTGAACGCGCCCGGGTCGTACCGCGGAAAGTTGATGCATCGGCTGGCGGACCTGATGGAAGAGAACAAGGAGGAGTTGGCGGCTTTGGAAGCCCTGGATGTCGGTACGTTGAACTTCTGCTTCGGTCGCTGAAATTCGCGTGAGTAGATTAGGAGAACTGACTGGAGGACTTGGTCGGCTCTTTGGTCTTTGTATGACAGGCAAGACATTCAGATGGGCTATGAACGCAGACCTGTCACTGGGAATTGATACTATCAAGTATTATGCGGGATGGGCGGACAAGATTCAAGGAAAAGTCATCGAAACCACAACGGACAAGATGGCGTACACGCGCCACGAGCCCATCGGCGTAGTCGGTCAAATCGTAGCTTGGAACTTCCCTCGTACGCGCTTTCTCTGTGCTGTCTCAACCGAGTTCTGTGAAATGTGAATGAGGTCGACGTTGACGACTCTCTGGTATATGACAGTGATGTTGATGTGCTGGAAGCTCGGGCCTGCCCTCGCATGCGGGAACACTATCGTCTTCAAACCCTCCGAATTCACGCCCCTCACCGCCCTCCGCCTCGCCTCGCTCATCACCGACGCTGGCTTCCCGCCCGGTGTAATCAACATCCTCACCGGCCGCGGGCCCACCGTCGGCGAGGCGATATCCTCACACATGAATATCGAGAAATTGTCGTTCACGGGGAGCACGCTCGTGGGCAGGAAGATCATGGAGAATGCGGCGAAGAGCAACTTGAAGGATGTCAGTTTGGAGTTGGGCGGGAAAAGTCCGAACATTATTTTTGATGATGCGGATTTGGATTTGGCGGTAGCATGGAGTGCACATGGGATTTTGTGGGTGATTCTACCATCTTGGAGGTGCTGCGTGAGCTGATTCAAAGACTGTTTTTATAGCTGGAACCAGGGCCAGGCTTGTTCTGCAGGCTCGAGGATATTCGTCCAGGCTAAGGTTTATGATGAGTTCTTGAAGAGGTTCACGGTGAAAGCGGAGTCCATCAAACTCGGTGATCCATTCTCCGAGGACGCCCAGCAGGGGCCTCAAGTCTCGCAACAGCAGTTCGACGTACGTTACCGTATTTACTTCTACTTTTCGTGCCCTCTATCTACTAAGCCTTACATTTTCTCCTCGTTATGCAAAGCGTATCATGTCCTACATCGACTCGGGCAAGTCCCAAGGCGCCACAGTCCACACAGGCGGCGTCCGTTTTGGGAAAGAAGGCTATTGGATCGAACCGACCATCTTCACCAACACGAAACCGAACATGAAGATCGTCCAGGAAGAGATCTTTGGACCTGTAGGCGTATTGATCAAGTTCGAGGACGAGGAGGACGTGTTGAGGCAGGCGAACGATACGATGTATGGCTTGGCGGCAGCTGTGTTCTCGAACGATGTGAGTAGGGCTCTGGGCGTCGCGCATAAGTTGAGGGCGGGGACTGTCTGGGTGAGTATTGAGATCATTTTGGTGCTATAAAAGGTCGGAGACTGAGTCGTTGTTGGGGCAGGTCAACCATGTGAACCAGGTGCATGCGCAGATTCCGTTTGGTGGGTACAAGCAATCCGGTATCGGGCGTGACCTCGGAGAGTATGCGATTAATCAGTACGTGGTTATCCACCCTTGGGTATCCTTCGTCGCACACAGGCAGTCCTAACAATTCTCCCGACTATCCTCTAGCTACACCGCCGTCAAGGCCGTCCATATCAATGTCGGTAATGTTCGTATCTAGCGATCGGGCCCTGCAACTCGACAATGCCATCGCGATTGTGATTAGCTCAAAATATGTAGCATGTATGTATTGTATGTGTCAAAATATCGGATGACAATAACCACAACGAGTGAACATCTGAGTCAAGTCTCATAATATTCGTTATATCAACAACGTAGGACTGATACGGGGTCTAACACGGATCTTTATGCATCTTTCCAGCTCTCACCGTAGCAGAAGCGCACTACATCATAGTCCGAAGTCTACTGTTGATGCCGTGGTCTCAGGTAATTAGTCTTTACTGGCTTCGAGCTATGAGACAGATGGTTAAATGGTCGCATACGAAATGTAGATTGAGCAATAGCACTCACCTCTCCCGCTGCAACGAGGAGCTCCCTAATCTCTTCACCGATCTCGTCCGTAACATCCTTCCATCCATCCCTCGCCTCTAATCTGCCGTCTTCTCCGATCACCCTCTCTAGATCACGCAGGGTGACGACATCAAATCTATCACCCGCCCACTTCCCTCTATAGACCGTCTTAGCGTCAAAATCCTCATTCCGACCTCCGATATGAACGTTGGAGGACCAACATATCCGCGTCATAAGGCGATGGTCGAAATCGCCATGATCGTCTCCAGTCTGGCGAGTATACTCGCGTTTGCTGAGGTTACGAAGGATCCACTCTTCGCTAGCTGAGACCTGCACAGTGGAACGCTGACCTGAGATCCAGAACGGTTCTGCCCATGGTATGAATTGACGAGGCTGGCGTCCGCGCGACCAGTGTGGAGTTGTGTGTCTAACTCTTTCAGGATACGGAAGTTCGTCGTCGTAGAAGCGGTCGAAGATGTCACTGATGCTGCCTTCGCCGTCGCTCGGGAAACCTGAAGGCAGATCACCGGCCATATCACCAATACAGATGATTCGATCGCCCGCCCACAGGTTGGGGTTCATGCTCTTGCGAGTAATCGCAGAGCCGAGAGAACGCTTTCCGACGTTCCAGAAATACGAGCTAGTCGTTCCGAAAGCGAGCGCAGAGCTGAGTTCGTTGCCATCGTCGTCGCGGTCGTCCACATCAAGCAGGGAAAAAATCATGAGGTGTATCTCTGGGGGGAGGGTGTGGATGGTTGCAAAACCAGATTCTGGGCTATGTTAATGCGTTATGTTAGCTCAAATGTTACGCGAGAACAGAGCGCCGGTTTCGACATTGCTTGCCTAGGTATTGATGGCCCTGTGTACTCGGGTCTGTATCGTCTGGACCACTTTCGCACACGAGGCTTATAGCCATCAGCTCTCTGTGTTGGCTTGGGAAAACAGGGATTCAGCTTGACGGGGTTACAATCCGGGCAAGGATCAGAAGATGGTGTTAGACGACGCTGCAAGTGGGGGATGACACCGCTCCGAAGATTGCTAAGATAAAACCATTCGGAGAACTTGTCGTCGGGGCTAGCGAGACTCTGCTGTTTGTCCAAATTGATGATATACCAGTACTAGTCCATTTCACCGACGTAAGGAATGTAAGAGCAGAAAATGTGAGGAGCAGCAGTGGACGTTGCAATTGGTGGACGTTTGATTCAACTTAGGCGACACGATCGACGCGACACGAGTTCGAGCTCGCGTCGGTGGCTGAATACCGGCCGTTGCCGATCTACTGAAGTGGCTGCATGCGGCATCGACGCATTTTTCGTCCTTTCCTCCACGTCGATGCCAGCAGTGCGCCAAGAATCGGTCCTAGAAGTCACTTGGAAAGCTTTCCCATCCCAATATCACCTTGTAATTGGACTGCATACTTTTCGAGTGCCTCTTCCAGCTTGCGATTAGTAGGTCAAGCACGTTATAATCTTTTTTTCGGGCACGTAGCATTCTGTCGAGGTGCGTTTTCTACCATTCCTTTATGCTCGATATGATTGTAACAATCACCCATAAAATATGAGACGTGTAATGGGCTTGCCCCTTCGTCACGGACATCAACTATATAACTCTGATCATCATCCAATACTCTGCACCCATCTACCAAGATTTGAGGCTGACGATACTGTTTTGTCTATAGCTTCCTCAAAATCATTCACCGCAGTTCACACTGTGCTATTCTCTCGTAAAGCAGGTCTTGTGGTGGACCATCTCGTACAATCACGCGTCCATACTATGCCCATATTATATCTTGGCTTTCTCACGACACATGTTGTCCTCCATCATTCCCTCGGACTGCCAAAACCGAGCACAGGGGACAGGAGAGTCCAGTTACAATATGCTTCAATCGTGAGGACGCTCTCGCCGCCGTTCAGACGGCGTATAATACAGTCATTAGCTAGGAGGCGCTCTGACGCGTACCCTCAATTGATCATGTTCTTTCTCCTGCGGGCCCGAAACTTCATCTTGTCCCACTTCGTGGGACAGACAAAGTGACAGTTTCCTCACGCTTTACCGTTCTTTGATGTGGCAACCCCTGTCGCCAAGTAGACCAAGCCCATCAACCTCTACATGTTTCCCTTCGTGCCTATCTGCATTTCGAGGTCGCTTTTCTGTTAGCGCATCGGACGTTATGCGTACCGTCGTGCACGATGTTTTGAGTCCGTGCATCGGCTCCCAAGCTAACCAAGCCTCGCGCCAAGGGCTCTTGTCCACTGCAGAATAAATGGATGAGCTGTCGCATCCTGACAATCATTCTCTTTCGTGGAATTTCTTCAGCTCCTGGTTCTGCTCTGTCTGACACCCAAAAGATATCCATTCAGAGAATGATGCACGAGACCGTCGCTGGTTTCACTATGGAGTTATTCGGTGTCTTTGATCGTACCCACCGCTATGGTATCGTCCACAATACTCTCCTACGTTGATTTGTGTCCCTCCTTTTCGCCTCTGAAAACCTCCCTTAATTTCTGCCAGCACGCACAACATTCAATACGACCTTTTAAAGTGTATTCCGCAATTCAATATATCTTCCACAATGTTCGCAGCCATACATCATCAGCCACGAACGGAAAACCAATAAAAGGGACGTACGAGACGCTATGACAACTTCAGTACGCACCACTCGAGGATCAAGATGCATTCTACCTATCTCTCGTCTGTCCTGTCGGCCCTCATCCTCTCTCGCTCTACTATGGGCCGTGCGGTGACCCCGCTAGCTCGCCGAGCGGAGACCAAGGATGTAACCTTGAATGTCGTCAACGCGAATCTTGCACCCGATGGCTTCAATAGGAGTGCGTTTTGTCTTTAGCCCATCCAATGCTGTCGCTGACGTCCTTGGTATAGGCATGGTCACTGTCAACGGAACGTAAGTAGCTTTCGCGTTCAAACTTGTCGAGATGTATGGCTGACTATGTCACAGTTACCCTGGGCCACTCATTACCGCCAACAAGGGTGACACGCTCTCCGTCACTGTCAATAACCAGCTGGTCAGTATCGGCTAGAATGAGCATTCATATCTCAATCTTACTAGGCCGGTTTCTCAGGCCGACCCGACCATGCGTTTGAGCACATCCATCGTATGTATATCTGTATTTCCTGATACATATCGCATACTCATTGCAGGCCACTTGTAGGACTTCGACGGTATATTTTGGAACACCGCCAATGCTTTCGACGCTGGGACTCCCTTTGTCAATACCTGTCCTATTGGACCCAACTCTTCCTTTACATACGAAGTTCCATTGACGGACCAAGCAGGCAGTTTCTGGTATCACTCGTAAGTGTCTTCTTCTCCTGGCCATAGAACTCTGCTAACCTGGATCATATTACAGCCAACTAAGCGTTCAGTACAGTGACGGCCTTCGTGGCCCCTTGATCGTCTATGGTTGGTGTCTCTCCTCGATACATAATCGAGATCGCTCATGGGTATCATTTATAGACCCGGACGACCCAATGGCCGACCTGTATGATGTTGACGACGAATCGACGGTTCGTATTTAACGACTTTGTCCGAAGACCTTTGTGCTGAGCTCCTACTCGCTTTTAGATCATCCAACTCGGTGATCACTGGCACAACTCCAGTGTGGCCTTGCTTGAACACTATGTCGCCACTGGCATTGTCCCGTAAGTGCCAAGTTACACCTCTCTGCCTCGACGCTACCTGACATGTTTTGTAAAGTGTCTCTGATACCGGAACTGTCAACGGCGTAGGCCGTTACAACGGTGGGCCCGAGGTTCCTTGGGCGGTCACCACCGTTACTCCCGGCCTCTCTCACCGCCTCCGTATCATCAACCAGTCCATGCGCAATGTCTTCACCTTCTCCATTGATGGACATAATCTCACCGTACGCATTTCTCTGGTTATTCACTGGACTTGCAAGCCAGAGTTAACGAGCACGAAACGCAGGTCATCGAAGTCGACGGTATGGCTGTTCAGCCCATGACCGTGGACAAGCTGGACCTTCTCGCCGGACAGCGTTACTCTGTGATCGTACGTTTCCCACTTTGACTATGCGGCTGTCTCAACTAAATTGTTGTATATTCCAGCTCGTAGCTGATCAAGCTGTGGACAACTACTGGATCAACGCCCCCTACGTTGGTGGATCTCCCGCTCGTAACTTGAACCGTAAGATCTCCTTCTTCGTGAAATATGCAGACTAGTAACGCGTTTTTTTGTGTCCATAGAAAACTCCACCCTCTCTCGTGCCATCCTTCGATATGCTGGTGCCAACGAGACCGACCCAGTCACTCCCATGACCGACGGTCCCGCAGATGGCGTCGTGCTCCTCGAGTCTAACCTTCATGTGAGTTGTCAGTCATAAACCATACAATCCTCACTGACATCCGTGATCTAGCCTCTCGTCGCTACGCCTGTGAGTCTCGTGCTCCTCATCTCTGAATAAATATCTTCTAACATTGCTCCAGCCCCCGACTCCTGACTTGAACTTTACCTTCAACCTCGACGTCGTGAGTATCCTTCCTCAACGCATTCATCGCCCCCGCCTAACTCCACCCATACCAGGTGACTGGCAAAGCTATCTGGAACGTCAACAACGTATCCTATCTCCCTCCCGATACCCCGACACTCGTCAAGATTCTCGCTGGCGCAAACGATTCCTCGGCCTTCAATGCTACGGAAAACACGTTTATTCTTCCTGCTAACAAGACGATCCAGATCGATTTCCCTGCTAAGTGAGTTATGACTGTCGTTCTTAGGTCTCGAGAGATGTTGACGAAGTATCTATCACATAGCGAGGACGATGAATCTCATCGTGCGTTTTCTTCCCGCCATTTACTGTTGGATTCTTATACTGACCTCGTCGTTGAATGGTAGCTTTCCACTTGCACGGTGTAAGCACTACCCACTCTTCGACTTCCATATTATCCGCTGACATATCGTCTGATATCTCAGAACAACTTCTGGGTCGTCAAGTCCAACAGCTCCGAGGGTGTGATGAACGAGGTCGACCCGGTCATTCGTGACGTCGTCGCTGTCGGAGCAGCTGGTACTACAGTTCGGTACGCGGCCCTCTACATATTTTCCTTATCCCGGCGATACTATCCACACCGTTCGCTCACTCTTCGACAGCTTCAGAACCGATAATCCAGGTGCGTTTTATCCTGCACACTCGCTATACGCTCCTAGGACTGACAATGGTATACGATGCGTACAGGGCCTTGGTTCTTCCATTGTCACATCTTCTGGCACATGCAGGCCGGTCTCGCTACCGTTATGGCTTCAGGCCTCGACGATATACGCGCGAACACGCTCCCTGATGACGAATGGGAGAGTCTGTGCCCGGCTTACGATGCGCTGCCGGCTGAGTTGCAGTGAGCCGAGAGGGACAAGTGAATGGGGAACGGTGGTCATGAACTGTTGACTTATATTTATTCATTGGGTGGCTCAGACCCTCATTTCTATCTCTGTTCTAGTATGTCTATGTCTGAAAGTATCGTGTTATGGGAGTTCATTTGTTCTTTGATCATTTTCCCTCGGATTTGGATTGGGTATCATTGCCCTCACGTACTACAGACCGGATGACAAACCATCCTCAAGACTGATGAATCTTCCGTTTCGTACACTCAGGCCAACAATCACACTTCACCCTGATCGTCGAGCGAGGCGAATCTCCATCAGTCTCCTTCGAGCCGTGGTACGGTGTCACCAGTAGACCATGACCTTCTTCACTCTCCAGGAGCGATCGCACGACTTCGTCGAAGCGCATTGGAGTGGTGCTCTTAGTTTGTGAATCGTCCGGACCTGGATCTGTTGTCGTTTGAGCGACTGTAGGTTGAGTAAGTCTTGACATCCATTCAGATAGGGCTGCGGGAGTCTGTGGCGTCGCCGTTAAACCGTGAGAGTAGATCGACAGTAAATAAGACTATACCTTCGCCAACGTGTGAACGAATGAGCGTAGTTTGTCTGGATGCATACCCTTGGAAGAGAAAGTAGGTCAGACGTCACGCTCGATGGGACGATGCAACGAACTGTACCTCAAGGATGAAATGCATGAATCCTTCGATCCTTTCCTCATAATCGCGACTTCTCTCCCGCATGGACTCGGCGTCGGCACTGCGATCTACGTACGTAGACGAAGCGTCAGAATAGGCGACGCAGTAAGATACGTATGGATTGAAAATCGACTAACCTATCGATGGCCAGAGGATCTCCTGTTGCTTTTTCATGAGATCGAGCATGGTCTGCAATATCCCAAGTACCGCAGGAGCATCTTCTTCTGTGGGAATGACGAGAGGACTTCCGTCCGGATGACTGCTTTGGCCAGGTGGCGGATATGCGTCGTTCAAGGGGTCGTCCCATTGATCGAGGTGAAGTTTTCCACGAAGCTGGATGATTCAATAGATATATCAATCGCACCATAACTGCCTGCAATGAAGGAGGGCTTACCACGTTGGTATTGATGAAATACTTCGAATCCCTCTTGTATTCAGATGATGTCTGGTTAGATGTGGCGCGCTGCAGCCCAGGAAAGCAGACCGTACCAAGAACCAAGTGACCTTCACCTCCGTGCTCTCTACCCATTCTGATAGCCTTTCAATCGATTCGAAGAGAGTCCCGGCTTCATGTGCATGCTGTCTACTCTGTGCCACGCTCGCGTCACTTCAAGTCCAATTGAGTGTCATCGCGCCGGATTACAAGTTACTGGACACGCCGTACTCACGCTTTTCGGAAGCTGTCCAGCATGTCGCTCTTCGAGATACTTGACCCAGTTATATCCTCGATTTCGTCCAACACGTAGATGATGTGGCGCATCGCAAGCATGTAGCGCTCACCAACATCTTCCAAAAGTAGTTTGAGCTGTGACTGGTGAAAAAGGACCGCGGCTGAGGGCCCACCCGCCGTGGATATGTTCGGGGAGCTCGAAGGCGAAGTCATGATGGAGGAAAAGGGACGCATCGGCATGGCAGTTTGTTGTCAAGAACGTGTTCGATGGCTGAGAGTGGGTGGAGGGAAAATAGGGTGGACTGACACGCTGTCGAGTCGGCTGGTTATAAAGGGTGCAAGCGCTCCCCATCAGGGCACCGCTTTTGTGCACCTCGGCTGTAACTCTAAAGCGTTGAAGTGCTATTGTATCCAGAAGCGGTGTAACTTGTAGCTGCGAGATGTGCTACTTATTGCACCAGTGCCAGTACTAGTTACCGACTGTCCCGCTTACGGGTGTAGCACAGAGGAGCTGCTGAGCCTTTCAAAAGGACAGGGCGACCTGCCAGGAAAGTATCTAAAGGCTGCTGAATATTGTATCGCAGTAAGCATGCCAAGAGTTGACTGAAAGACCAAGTTGATCATGGAGAAAAATCGCCGACCGACGGTCTTGCGGGATTCAGATGATCAAAGATGGGTACGAAGGTCAACGTTAACGTGCTCTTCCCGTGAACAAGGAGCGATCGATGAAGAAGTCGATTCTCACGGTTGGTTTCTGGCGACATTCAAGCCACAAGCGGCCCGCCACTCAGGCTGACTCTCGCACCTAGCACGGGTTAGACAAACTACACAACAGACTAGCTTTCAATATGGTGAGTGCAATTATATGATTTGCATACACGATGTCCTTGTTCAAGGGTTCCCGAGAGACAGTCAGGATGGGAAGTTCGAATGTCAGGCTCGCACGGTGTACCCTACTTCTTCAACCAGCAAACGAAACAATCCAGCTGGGAACTCCCTGCCAGTAGCTATGTACAGACCTGGCGGCTGCGTCGCAGCGAAGCGGGCAGCCGCAGCGGTGTGACGCCGTGGGAACTTAAGTAAGCGTCGCGCGCTTGTCACGTTCGGTGAACGCGCGTCGCGCTCTTGCTCTTGTTCTTGTTGAGACGCGTCCGCATCGTCCACGATGAGTCCCCCAACAACCCGCGAAGAGCTCCTTGAGGCTTATATGGCCTTTATGGCTGTTCAGCTTACTTTATTACCTCCTAAATCCTCCCAAGAGCTACTCCAACAACTTCAGAGAGACTGTGCTGCCATCCACACTATCATGACCACTCGCTATCTTAATCCTCGTATTCCCGTTCCCAAAGCTGGTCAGCTTCACCTTGCATGGGAATATGCCAAGGATCCAGCCCATCATCACCGCTTTGTCAACATGCTGCGTGTCTCCCCACGC